TCAAAAACCAAACACATCGATATTCGACACCACTTTATTCGAGACTACGTCGAAATGGGGAAGCTTTACTTCCATTATGTCCCAACAGCGGAGAACATCGCCGACATATTGACAAAAGCACTCCCTTCGGCAGCACATCATTATCTGCGACGAAAACTAGGACTCATCGCTCCCACATGACTCGCGAAGGAGGAGAGAGCATAGGTCGGGAGTCAGGAGGAGCATGATGCATATTTTTCTCGGTACATATATTCCTCTTCTCATCATCTCTGGCTTGAGGAGGAGTGTTGGACGTTGTGCGTCGAGTGCAGTCCAGGACACTGGATCGAGGTAGATTAGATTAGATGTACCGAGATCGAGGACAAACGATGTACATACTCCGACCTCCCAAAAGGGGAATAAATCGTCTCTTGCCTTTCTGCTGTCACTGCGTGAGCTGTTTCCAACATACTCGGGCCTCTGGCTATTACTACGGAGTTCTGTCTCGAGATACATGCCTATTGTCTATGGTCTGCCTCAGCCACCATCTTGCGTGCACTTCAACGATCACAGATTCTCCTGCCATGTCACCGCCACCGTTCACGGTTATCCCTTTCTGCGACAGATACCCCTCATGATGACGCGTCCCGACACGTTGCCATCGCTCTCACTGACTCTCGGTTTTGACAACTGCTCTTTATCGGTTATTTGGCGGGATGATCTGTGGCGCGGGTCCAGCGCTAGCGTGGAAGATGCGAATTGTACACTCTCTGGCCACTATCGCCTACCTTGAATCCGTTGTGTCTCTGGGTATCCCAGTGGGTAAGGCCCGTGAATGAGCAGCATCGTTCTCGTGAGCTGTATTCGCTGTGTACGCCTTACCTTGGTTATATATATATTCGGTCGGTCAGAAAACTCGGACATACATCCCTCGGCGCGCTATTCATGAGACGCATCATCTTTCAACAGCACGTTAAGCGCACGCCGATGCGAGCCTCGAGGCTCCTTGCAACGCCCGTCGCCATATGCTCCATGTCGTGATATCTATAGCTTGGTCGTCCGATGGCTATCTTCGTCCGCTGGTTCAACCTGCGTCTTTTTCTGTCCGTATCCAGAGCCACTCATAGACCGCTCTGCAAAGTCTACAATGAAAGTATAATCAGTCCACAGGTGCACCATCGCCGCTATCCGGTGGCTTGCCCGAGTCCACGGACATCCAGCTCGTCCCTTTTGTCGTCCTTTTCTTATGATCAGCCTCGAAGGAGAATACGGACATACGAGGACCATGTGTCTCTACTCAGCGCTTTCTCTCCATGCCTGCATCATGCTGTGACCCACCTTTAGGCCTTGTCGATCGGTATCTTCGAACTCCGCGTCGCGCTGGTACGGTATCCCCGTCGGGACGACTTTTTCCTCTCCTCTCCCCTACGCTTTTCCTCCGCTTTGCTTTCTGGAGGATCTGATTTCTCGACTTGAAAGTATCCCGGACCTGATACTTTCGGTCATCGCGGTCGACAGACCGCACGGAAACCGAATAGTACAGGCGTCACATCCATTCCTCGGTAGCCCTTCGGTCTAGCCGTCGTTTTGCTTTGCCTTGCCTTCCCTTCTTGAAATCACGAGCGCTTTGAGTCGCCCCTGGATGGAAGACGGCGGCGGTGGACGAAAACGAAAACGAAAACGAGAAGGTACAAACTCCCAGCTAATGCCCACTGGATCGTCCGATACTTTGCGCTTTTGGCACGATGACTTGAGGTCGAAAAATATAGCTCCATCTCCGTCTTGAGAGCCGTTGTTCAACCGCATATCAGCTTCCTATCTTGACGCTTGAGGACGCTAGACCTCGTCGATTATTGCTCTTGTGCTCTTCAAGCCCTCAGCGAGGACCGTCGCCGTAAGACTTTGACCTCATGGTGTGACGATGGGTGCCTGTTGAACCTTCTCGCCAACAACCTCTCGACAGATATATCTTCAACCTCACCTCGTGATCGTATTTATACAGCTACAGACGACGAACGCACCAATGACCATCCGTACAACGCTGCAAGACTCCAGGACCGACGGCGCGTACGGTTCCAGTACGGCTCGAGTATGCTTTCATGATCGTCATGCAGCACGATACCGTCTCTCTGTCCCCTCCTCGCTCTTCTTGCTCGCCGCCTCGATGCAATTTCACCGACATTATCTCCTGGTCCTCAGTCTCTGATGAGGTCAGCGGGTTGATTACTCTCAACTCCTGCGAACGCCACACGACCATTCAGGATTTTAACTTCCAATCTACATCCGCTAACCAACCATCCTATTCTGATCACTCGCCGTGACCTCTCCTCTGACCTGCTCGTCCTCCTCTCCTATACCTCTCTGCTCTGATATCCCGCTCTACTTCCTAGATAACCAACTTGGCCCTCATGCTCGACCCGATATGCGACGAGATATCCACTCTTCGTCCTCGTTCCTCCCCCGCTCTTCCCCATTCTGATGGTCTGGTCCTGATCGTCCTCTCTTAACTTAAACCAGTCGACAAAGCACTACTGTGGATCCTAACGTTCTGCACGGGTTAGGTTAGCATCGCCTTGGCGCAGCAATAACGGTATGGCGTTCGTCCGTGCATGACTTGGACATCATGTCTACACGGCACGGCGGGCGCTCCACAGTCGTACATGTTATTCGTATGCGTTTGCATGACACCATGCACGGATCGTGCGGCTGGGAATTATTGGTCTGGATCCTCAATGGTAAGTATGCGTCTGCGCTCGGGCCTCGATGTCGCGACTCCGAGGCTTCATAAGTACGGCATCCTGATTCCATGAAGACTTCATTTGGCGGTGTGCGGCTTTAGCGCCTGAACATTTCCCTTGTCCATCCGAAATCTGATATGCGCCCTCTTATTCGTCAGCGCGTCAGCTTTGACCGACCTGCCTACACTAACATTCTGATTCGGATTTACTTATTTGACGCGAGCCTGTCTTTCTCTCCCGAATAGGACGAAAGAGTCGCTGCCGTGGAGGAGTTGTACCCCGGAAGATCTGAGTTTTGACGCCGGCCGGCCGAGATTCCCGTGGGAGGCTTCTTTTTTAGATATATCGACGAGGAGAACGTTCTGCGTTCACACAGACTGGCATATAATTGAACGCTGCTGATCCGCACTGTCACCGATCGTAATCGTGCTCTCGTCGCTTGCGTTTCACTCTCCGCCCCAGAACGATGGGCGAATGGGAAGGTGAGATTCCCCCCGGAGTGGAGCGCGCTCACGACGAGTTGAACATGTCTTCATCATCGTCCTTTGCGATGTCGACTTTTTCTCATGGACTGAAAGTCGGGTGCATTCCCCACGTTTTTCCGTGCTTGCTGTCGCGTTCTAGCTCACAACATCGCCAGCTGTCTTCTGTCAGCTCGTCCTTGCTGTATCTCCATGTACAGTCGGACGTTCCCATGGCTCGACATCTGCGGTCTGGGCATTCAACTTCATCGACAAAAGAATAGATATCTGAAACACTCGAACGGTCAAAGTTGCTGGGGCCAGAAGGGGAAGGGGACGATGCTTTGAATAGACACGGAGAAGCTCAGGTAAGTCAAACTTCTATTTCCCCCCAAATCCCATCGCAATTTTTCTTATTCAGTCCGTACGCCATCACATCACATCACGTCCGTCCCGATACGTACGCGGCCTCGTCCCCCGCCCGTTCCACCTCTGATTTTATATATAAAGCACGCCGCGACCGCCCTTCTCTTTTTTCTAGCCGCGTCACCCTCCCAGTTTCCCGCTCTCTCCTCTTCGTCGCCCTCATCCCTCGCGTCCTCCGAGACTTCCCGACCCGCCGAACAACAATCCAAGATGCGCTTCTCTACTATCTTCACCGCCGTTGCCCTCGTCGCTTTCTCTGCCTCCGTCGGTGCGACTCCCGCTCCTGGCAGCCCCGCCGCCAGACGCAATCCCGACTTCATCACCAACAGGGAGAGGATCTCTAGGGGTCTTCCTCTCAACCCACCCACGAGACGTGCGCCCGGTGAGGCTCGCAGGGCTGTACCCAGCAGCACTCCTCCTCCTGAGTACGTCCTTTCGTTTCTCCGTACATGTTTGACCAAAGGGTGGTTATTGAAGTGATCTATGATATAGGTGCAAGCCTCTCCTCCAGTCTTGCTCGGTCAACAGCGAGTGCTGCGCCGATGTTTGTCTTGCTGGGGTACGTGTTCTTTTTTCGCATTTCTGTCCCCAACCGTGCATTCGTCCTCCATCATCCTTTGTCCATCATGCATATCTCATCATCATCCCTTCCGTCGTATTCCATCCGTGATCATCCTTCCTACGCAACTCCTTTCCGTGGCGAACAACGAAACATTGACCGTTGCTCGCCTCTTCCGTGCGATTCATTCTGATACTGACCCTTCTTCTGTTTTGTGCAGCTCTGTCTCTAAACACGTACATGAAACGCCTAGTTCTTGGTCGAACATTGTTTGATCAGATGTAAGTCTCGCTTTGTTGGTATCTCCTTCATTCGTCCATTCGTCCATTCAGAGCATCTTTCCGTTCCATTCTTCCCGTCTACCGCTACTCTATCGTGATCTTCGTAGACGAATGCTGATCATTTCGCTATCACGTTTCATACAAATATAGCGTGCTCGCCGTCTTCTTCTGTACGTGGCTTCCGGAGTTACGCGTCGTATGTGACTGGGTGTCGATTCCGACGGAGTAAAGAGTCAGATATTTGGGTCGTGGCTGGTAGTCTCGCAGAAAAAACAAACCTCGTTCTTCCATCCTCCTCATCCTACCTCCCCCTTCTCTCTGGTCGTCGCGCTCTGGACTCTAATGGACTCTTTTCTTCCGAGCCATCACCGTTATCCGCTGTCTGTTGTTGTTTTGATCCGAACGGCTACTCGATCCGTACTGCGTTCCTTCGTCGCTTCGTTATCCCTTGTTGTCCTTTATACCTCCAGCACTCGTTGATACACCTCATAGACGATTACTTACCCCGTTTATTATCTCCTCTTCCTTTCCTTCTTTTACCCTCCATGCCTTTTGTTCGCTCTCGCTGGGATTTGGGCTGTCGATACATCAATCAGACCTAATTCTGGTACATATTCTTCACCTTCGCGTCGCTCTTTGAAGTCAAAAGCTATATGATCACTCATTTTATTCGTATGCGTGTCCTCTCGACGGTGATGCATTGATGTGAGATGTGGATTTTTCGGAATACGTGTTACTTTGCGGTAGGTACTCCCAAGCTGAGATGTCCGGAGGATTCGCATATGTTGGATAATGGTGCTGCCGAATAGTGCAGCATTGAACGATCAACGAATCACGCTTTGAATAAGGATTCGCCATCGCGACACCGACAGATCTATCGAGTCAAGAATAGAGATGCCAGCGCACTGCCTACATGTCAATCTAATTTTACCAGCAGTCTCGGACCCGCATCACAGATCCCAATACAGCAGTGCTGTTGCTCAGAAAGCACGTACTTGAATCTAGATCTGGAAATACCAGCTAATGTTCAGTGACGACGACTATGATATATGATCATAGAACGCGTAGAGTATGCATTCCACGGTTAGTGTTGAGTGTTTTGCTGTGTTTTCTGTAATGAATCATATTGAACGCTGTAGTCAGTGGGACCGGAATATGGGCAAGGCGAAAGAAATCAGGATAGTATACATTCAAGGGGGCAGGATGAGAAGTTTGTAACTACACCAGCTTCGTTTTCGGCAATACTTTCGGATAAACGTGGTAGCAAAAGAGAAGTACAGGAGCCGACGAGTCCGGATAGGGAAAGACAGAGGCAAAGGAATACAAATTGAGAATAGTATGAGGTGCTTATACCGGCACCAGTTAAATTATAGAGCATCGAACGTATGGAGTACAAGCTTCTCCAGGTCCATGTTACACCTCAAGAAGCTACAGAACCACACGGAACATGTCAAGGGACTGAATGAAATCGCTTGCTTATGAGAATCATGGAAAAGGTATTCGTTCACTAGGCATGAACATGCTTACCGTCGTCACTGCGCCTAAATCAGGGCCTCCGGAGTCCTCAGAGTGGGCGCGCTTTGCCAAATAAAATGGCTGACACAATTAAGGTCGTGCCACCAGATGCTCCGGAGATCAATAGTGCAGTAAGCACTACTACATGCCCTGGTAGCAGTTTTTAGTATGCAAAATGTGGCGCAATACAAAAACTGAGAGACTGACTGGTTTGATCCCGAACCTCGAGCTCTTCCGTTATCGTCTTCACGGCATCCACTTTGTTCTGTGATACATATCAGCTGATGGTAAGGGTCTCAGTTACGAAGTGGTTGCATACCTCCACCACAGTCAGCGATTCCTTCATGTCATGCTCGATAAGCGTCTGTTGAATATTGAGACGTGTCTTTCGGGCAGAGCGATTGCGCTACGTGAGCGACAAAAAGCCATAAAAATAAAAGCACATATTATGCGTACATTGAACTCCTCTATGGCGTTACTGATATCCACCTCGCACTTCTGAAGATCGCGTAGTGTGTCCTTGCGGCTCAAAAACCGCTTCAGACAATTCAATCGTGACCCTTCATAGCGAGAGAGGACATCGATGACCTGTCCGAGAAGTCTAAGTTCGCCATCATCATCGCCGTAAGTATTATTGGTGAAGATGAATATGCAGTCACGACATGTACTTTTCGAGCAGTCTGAACGGTTCTTCTAAGCCTAGTGGCAAAGTTCCCTGCCACTGACTGTCCTCACGGACGTCGACAATGATGCCCTGCAACCGGACGATTCGCTCACTCAACGTGCTCAACGTTGTTTCGACCTTCTGTAGTTCCTAGATATGTTGAAGAACATGACTATCTTAATCCGGAGAAAAAAACATCTACTGAAGGCGTACCTTTGTAGCTTTGGCGACGTATTCGATGATCTTGGCGAGGCTTTCTACGTAGGGAATTCCTTGAGTCATCTGCGAAGTTTCGACGAGGATGGTACCTGCGAGCATGGCCAGCTCGAGAACGGCATTGCGGGTAGTTCCTGAATACATGAGCGAGTGGCACCGTAGCGATGATGAGCGCAAGACAAATAGAACGAACAATACGCGAATGAACTAACGAGAACGACTCCAGATTTGATATCGCTTCTTCGTGGAGGAAACTTGGGCAACATGACTGTCCTGATCCCTTGAGCGGCAGCTAGTGACCGATGTGGTATCGATGGTGAATTCAGTGGCGCTAGTAGTTGGTGTCAGTGTAGATGGCGTGGGCGCTGCTATGGTCAGTAGTATCAAGTTCATGAACTCTGGAAGGGTTGTATGTAAACAGACTTTTGCGTAGCAGCCACTTCTGTCTTAAGTGCTTCAGCACCGGCAGGTCACTATTTGGCGGTGTTGACGGAGTGGCCGCCGCTAAGATCAATAATGTCGGGTTTAATCAATGTCAGAATGCGAGAAGATTTGTGTCTGGGCGTACCCCTTCTCGGCGGCCATATGTTATTCATGCGCCTCAGCAGCGGCAGATTGAAGTCTTTGTTATTATGCTGGCACAGAGCTATTGGTGAGTAGAAGCAAGGAGGGAAAAGCGGAGCAGAAGAGCTAGGCCCCCACGACCGGGAGGATGGTAGTCCTATGTATTTCGGTTAATATCCCACGACCAACTTGCAGGGTGACGACGCTCTCGCTTGCAAGGCGGTGTACAAGAACTAGGGGTAAGTATCGATATCGATACCACCCAGATACGGGTAGTTGGGTTATGAGATTGTCTCATGTACAGTGCTCTTTTCGCACAGCATGCGCCTACAAGGATGTACCTGAGTAGACCCGAAGGGGAACGTAGAACGGCACACGGGCTTCAGGGAGCGGCAGGAAGGCTATACTATGCAACGCCACGGGTCGGCATCGAGGGGAGTCTGTAGAGTGGCAAACGATGAGTCAACGTTACTACACCTATGTGGAAAAAAACTGCGACCGAAATGGTCAGTGATCAACTTGTTGAAGGTGCCGAGATACAGTACGCACCGTCCATCCCTTCAGCTGGACAACTGAAATTGCTTCGGATTTCCAGACGGCGGGCTCCCTGTTACCGTCTATCGTACAGATGTTGGCCTGATTGACTACGCTTGTATTGGACCGACCTCATGGCAGCTAGCAGGCTTAGTAATAATGACGTCACATCATCGCTACCGTAGCTTTACAAGGATGAAGAGACGCCTGAGACGCAGATGGACTCGCAGTATTTGTGTTCAGACTCCCGATTTCCGGATTCTTCATGGACGAGAGATTGGGAGAAGGTAAGAATTTGACGGGATATACGTACGCACCTGGAGCTCTCAGGCTGAGATCAGTCAGACATGGCAAAAATCCACTGCATACATTCACATTCAAAGAAATAAACTGCAGTTGGATCATAATCAAAGCTTAGCCACGAAGGTAGTACCGAAGAGTGGGAGCGTCGCATCTGTATTATGTGTGGTGAACATGGTAGGCGACGGTGCCTGATAATGTCGCTTCATTGAATGACCAAGGCATGAAGCTTTGAATTCCATCGCGACACCGACAGAGAGAACTAAGAATAGAGCTGCTCATTGCATACCAATGTAATTTTAGCCACCGTCTCGGACCCGCACCACAAATCCCGATACAGTAGTGATGTTGCCGAGAAAGCACATACTGTCGTGTGACGGACTCTGCACGATGCCGCCACCGTCGGTAATACGACTTTAACCTCCACCCGCTCTTCGACATAACCGCCACCAACCCCGGCGACATCCACCGGTACATCAAGCTCGCTACCTGCGAAGAACGTCGTTGCCTCTATTACTCTGCCCCTGCTCTTTTTTTGCCTCTACCTCCTCATCGTCATACATACGATTCGAATACGACTCCGAATCTCGTGTTCAAACCTCTACAAAATCCGAACCGTCCTTGTGGTCTCAGTCACACTCGAGACTCTATCATAGCCGTACAAACCATGTCATGTGTCTCGTCGACCCGAAACAACAGGGATGTTCCTACTGAGAACTTCGGTCGATAATGTCGTGAGATTCACGGTATGCATGGGTTGGCTGATCACGGCGAGTTTCAGTTCTTCTGGTGCAGTTACGTCTTTCTGTGTTTTGTTTTGATTATGGATTGTGGCGCTCTTTCTACCCGTGCAAGGAGTCATTTGCTCCTGTCTGCTCTGTTATATTTGCATGTTTGGACCTCTGCCTTCGTGGCCGACTCAAGCGAACGTCGGATGCGTACTGACTTGCGACGTTTGTGTTTTTTTCGTTCTTCATATTTCATGTCTCACGTTTCTCTGGGTACCACAAAGTATGAAGCCATTATTTCTCTACAAGGCGGTCGTCTCCGCAAAGTTTCAACGCTGAGAATGATTCGCAGGGGATATACACAAGAGTGCGAGTTTGTCTTGCAAGCCTGTCGATCGGCTCACGAAAGTCGGTTCCTAAACACAAGTTGGCCGGTGGCAAGCCTGAAATCGAGCATATCCTGATCCCCAAAAAAGCTTCAAATATCTGGAGCACGTCTTTATATGCCTTAGAGCATACCCCGAGCCATCTGATATACTCTCCTGTGGAGGACTGTGTAAGAGGACAGGTAACGCAATCCGATTGCAGGACCCGTCACACGATAGTAGTGTCAAGATCTGAATTGCTAGCCAATGTTCATGACGAGGGTCGTTGAACGCGGGGCGCCTGCATTTCACGGTAAGTGTCGAGTGTCTTGCTTCGTTTTCTGCAATGATTCATGTTGAGAGCGGTAGTGAATGGGGCCGGGATATGGGAAAGACCAAAGAAATCAGAACAATATAAATTGAGAGTAGCATGAGAAGATTGTACCAACACCAGTTTCGTTTTCTGCAATGATTTCTTGTCAAAGTAGGAGTAAACGAGAAGTACAGGATCCGACGAGTCCAGATATGGGAAAGCCAAAAATCAGAGTAATATACATTCAGAATGAATAGTAAGAGACGCTTGTACCATACCATTCCACTCCCAAAGCTTGATTTCGAGCTTGTTGAGGCATAAATCACACTTCAATAAGCTCCGGAGCCGAAAACATGCCCCGGGAATGAAAGGGATGGTCTACTGGCATTTGTGTGGTGTATGTTTACCATCTTATGTGTTCCCGATTGAGCCTTCCGGACTCTCCAACGTGAACAGGGTTCCCAAATAAAACGGCTGAAACGACCAATGTCGAGCCGCCAGAGGTTCCGGATATCAACAAGACAATGAGTACTACTACGTGTCCTGGTAGAAGTTCATAGTGTTCAGAATGTGATGCAAAAGACGGACAGAGAGACTGACTAGTTTGATCCCGAACTTCGTGCTCTTCCGTTATCATCTTCACTGCATCCATTTTATCCTAAAATACATTGTGAGCTGCTAGTGAGCGTCGCGGTCAAGAAGACGTTTCGTACCTCCACCACAGACAGCGACTTCTTCATGTCATGCTCAATAAGCGTCTGTTGGATGTTGAGACGAGTCTGCGGAACAGAGAGAATGCGCTATATGGACCTCCAAACTTTCAAATAGAAAATGGCACAACAGACTTACATTAAACTCCTCTATAGCGTGATTTATATCCAACTCGCACTTCTGAAGATCGCATAGAACGTCCTTGCGGTTCAAGAACCGCGTGAGGCGTTTCAACCGGGACACTTCTTTTCCAGAGAGGAAATTGATGACCTGCGATAGCAGCCTTAGACCACCATCGTCAACGCCGTGAGTATTGATTAGCAAGGTATGGATACGCAGTCACAACACGTACCTTTCGAGCAGTCTGAAAGGATCGTCTAAGCCCAATGGCAAGGTACCCTGCCTCTTGCTATCTTCACGGACGCCGACAATGATGCCCTGTAACCGGATGATCCGCTCACTCAACGTACTAAACGTCGTTTTGACCGTCTGTAGCTCCTGGGTGCGTTGCAGAAGATGACTATCCCAATCCAGAGAAGAAAACATACACATCTGGTGAAAGCGTACTTTGCTAGCTTTGGCAACGTATTCGATGACCTTGGCGAGGCACTCCACGTAGGGAACTCCTTGCGTCATCTGGGAAGCTTCGACTAGGATGGTACCTGCGAGAGTGACCAGCTCGAGGACGGCATTTTGAGTTGTTCCTGAGCAGAGGAAGGAGTAGGACCGTAACGATGACGAGCGCAATACGGAAGAGATAACGAGTGAGCGGGCGAACTCACGAGAGCGATTCCAGAACTGATATCTCTTCGTCGAAACAAATTGGGAGCTTTGACTGTCCTGATCCATTGAGCGGCAGCTAGTGACCGATGTGGTATCAATGGTAAATTCAGTGGCGCTAGTAGTTGGTGTCAGTGTGGATGGCGTGGGCGCTGCCAAGCCCAGCAGTATCAGGTTCATGAACTCTGGAGCGTTTGCATGTAGACATACCTCTGCGTAGCAGCCACTTCTTTCCTATGTGCTTCAGCACCGTCAGGTTCTTATTCGCCGGTGCGGGTGGCGTGGCCGCCGCTGAGTCCCATAAAATTTATCGAGTTTTATGAACCTTGGAATGCTAACAGATTTGCGCCTGGACGTACCTCTTCCCGGCGGCCACATGTCTTTCGTGCGCTTCGGCAGCGGCAGGTTGAAATATTCAGTATTATGAAGGGGGCAGACGTATTGGAGAGTAGTCTCGAGGAGAGAAAAAGGGAGCAGAAGAGCTAGGCTCCCACGACCGGGAGGATGGTAGTCCTATGTATCTCGTTAAAATCCCACGACCAAGAGTAAAGACTCTCTCGCGTACAAGGCAGTGTACTGTCACAGGAACCAGAGTATCGATATCGGTGCTATCCAGAACCGGGTAGTTGGGGCATGAGATCGTCTCACGTCTCGGATAGCATGTACCTACGAGGATGTACCCTGAGTGGACCCGAAGGGGCACGCGGAACGGCACACGGGCTTCACGGAACGGCGAAAGGGCTCTACTATGCCACGTCAGTGGTAGGACATCAACAGGGCTGCGGGGTGGCAAACGATGAGTCAACAGTACTACACCTATGTGAAAAAAATGCGAGCGCAATGGTCAGTGATCAACTTGTTGAAGGTGCCGAGATACAGTACGCACCGTCCATCCCTTCAGCTGGACAACTGAAATTGCTTCGGATTTCCAGCCCGTGGCCTCCCTGTTACCGTCTATCGTACAAATGTTGGCCGGATTGACTACGCTTGTGTTGGACCGACCTCATGGCAGTTCGCAGGTGTAGTAAGGAAGTCACAACATCGATATCATAGCTTTATAAGGATGAAGAGACGCCTGAGGAGCAAATGATGGACTCGCGGTATTCGGGTTCAGGCTCCCAATTTCCTGATTCTTTATGGACGAAAGATTAGAAGAAGGTAAGGAACTGATGGGAGATATCCACGCACTTGAAGCTCTTAGTAGTCTGAGATCAGTCTGAGATGAAAAAAAATTGTCTAAATTTGCATTCAAAGAGATAGCCTACAGGCGGATGATAACCAAAACTCAGTCATGAACGTAGCACCAAAGAGCGGGAGCATCGCACCTGTTTCATGCGGGGTAAATATGGTAGACAGCGGTGCCGGTGAATATTGCTGCATTGCAGAACCAAACAGTGAAGGCTTGAAGGGGGATTCGCCGTCGGGACATCGAAATAATGAACTAATAATAGAGCTGCGGTAATTGCACACCAGCCTAATTTTACCAACGGTCTCGGACCGACATCACAGACCACGATAATTACGGTGATAATGTTGCCGAGAACGCACATAGTGTCTGAAAGATGACAGGTCCGTTGAGACGAGTAATTACTCTCGTGTGACGGGTTCTACCTACAGTCCGATTAGGGGGCATTTCCCTTCACACATGGCGTCGCGCAAACTTCGGGATATGTTCAATGGATGTGATCCAATTTCTTTCAGCTTTTTTTCGGAGGACGTGAAGTTCTTGATTGCATATTCGAACCTTTTACATTACCGCATTCCTCTATCGGACTCTCATATGTTTGACATGGGGGACACAATGTCGGCCAATATTCAATGGCGAGGGTTTTCAAACGTGGGGTGTGTCCAGTACAAGGTCAATCTCCTGCTTCGCTTCTTGGAACAATATATAAGACAAGCAAAAACAAAAGAAAGGTACAAGGGATCCGGCCGAAGCATGAACACGAAAAATAAAAATCAGAGTAATATACACAAAGAATATGAATTCGGACAAACACCATCCCTGAATCATCCAAGAAAATTATGTCCAATTGCATTGAAATGTGAGTCACTGAGCATGTAACTGATGGATTGCAGCACAAGAAGGTCTGACATGCACAAAAGCAGGAGAAAAAACCCACAAATAATGAAATGGGTGCTCTACTGATTGTCGTGTCGCGTATAAAATGAGAAAAATAGTCGGATGCCCATCCAGGGCCACAATAATTGTGGAGAATGGTATGTATATCCTTATCCGGAGGCCCTCACGTCCTTGTAGTTTTCGTACATGGGGGAGTCCTCAACCGTCACCCCCGCACTCCAGACCTGTTTTTGTGACAGAGGTCTGCAGTGCGGGGGCGACGGTTGAGGACTCCCTCATGTACGAGAACTACAAGGGGGAGAGGACCTCGCTAGGTATGAACATGCCTACCACCCTAGTGACTCGCGCAAAAGACCTCCGTCGCCTTGAACACGAACCACTCCCCGGACCTCCCAAATAAAACGACTGAAACAATCAACACCGAGCCGCCAGAGGTTCCGGATATTAATGATACAATATGTTTGTGTCCTAGTGGAATGACTCAGTCTTGGCAGCATGAGTTAATGGACGGACTGAGAGACTGACTGCGTTCACTCCGAACTTCGAGCACCTCCATCGACATTACTACATCATCTAATTTATTCTGTTATACGTTATGAGCTGATAGTAAGGGCCACAATCAAGGAGTAGTTGCGTACGTCCATCTCAGACAATGATTCGTGTATGTCATGCTCGATAAGTGTGTGCTGAATATTGAGACGAGTCTGCCGAACAGATCGATAGCGCTACATGAGCCTCAAAAAGCTACACAGGGGAGAAGCGTGCAAAAGACGTACATTAAACTCCTCCATGGCGTTTCTTATATCCGTCTCACACTTCTGAAGATCGCATAGAATGTCCTTGCGGTTCAAGAACCTCTTGAGTCGTTTCTTGAGTCGTTTCAATCGTGACGCTTCATAAGGAGAGAGGACATCGATGACCTGCAAGAGCAGCCTAACGTCGCCATCATCACCGCCGTAAGCATTTACATAATGGTGAGGATGGCTGCGCAGCCACTACACGTACTTTTCGAGCAGTCTGAACGGATCTTCTAAACCCGATGGGATGTTCCCTTGCCTTTTACTACTATCACGAACGTCGACGATGATGCCCTGCAACCGGAAGATCCGCTCACTCAACGATTTGAACGTTGTTTCGACCGTCTGTAACTCCTGCATATGTCGGCGATTATGAGCCTCTTTACTCGAAGGAAGAGGTAAGTTTGAAGGAAGCGTACCTTGCTAGCTTTGGCAACATATTCGATGGCTTTGGCGAGGCATTCCACGTAAGGAATTCCTTGGGTCATCTGAGAAGCTTCGACGAGGATGGTTCCTGCGAGCGTCACCAGCTCGAGTACGGCATTTCGGGTAGTTCCTGAGCAGAGGAAGGGGTGGGACCGGGACGACAATGAGGGCAAGATCGAAGAGATAACGAATGAGTGAATGAACCCACGAAAGCGCTTCCAGAACTTATATCTCTTGGAAGAAGAGACTTGGGAACCTTGACTATCCTGATGGGCTATTGGATGGCAGCTGGTCATCGATACGGCGTCAATGGGGCTAGTCGTCGGTGTCGATGGCGTGGCCGCCGCTAAGTACAGTACTATCAGGTTTGTGAACGCCAAAGGGTTTGCGTCATATACATACCTTTGCGTGGCACCAACTTATCTCTTATACGCTTTAGAGCAGCCAGATTACTAGTCGTCGGTGTTGAGGGCATGGCCGCTGCTATTCCCAATAATATATATCAGGTTTCATGAGTACTGGAATGCTTTAAGGTCTGCATCTGGACGTACCTCTTCGCAGCGGCCACATGTCCTTTGCGCGCTTCAGGAGCGGCAGTTTGAAGCTTTCAGTGTTATATTATGTGCAGAGTTGTTGGGGAGTAGTTCGCCAGAGGGAACATGGGAGTAGGAACACTTGGCTCGTACGAAAGGCAGCATGGTAGTAATATGTACCCAGTCAAGATCTCATGACGAAGGATCAACACTGCCTCGTGTGCATGGCAGTGTGCCAGGACTATATGTATGTTATCGATGCTGTACGGATGCACGTACTTGGGGTCATGAGACCGTCTCACGAACAGGACTGTTTTAGAATAGCATGCGCCTACAAGGACATATACTGCGTATGTCCAACGGTATCGGGAAACCCGTATCGAAAGACAGAACGGCACACGGACTTCAGAGAGTAGCAGAAGCGCTGTACTATGAAATCTCAGTGGTCGACTCAGCATATAGTGGAGGTTACGGAGTAGCACACGATGAGCCAACAGCACTACGCTGGTGTGAAAAGGAACTGCAAGCAAGATGAACAGTGAGAATCATGAGCACAACTTATCTATGCTTCCCAGCTATAGTGAGCGCTGTTAAGCGGTGCAGTCGCACACCTGAAGAAGGCCTTCACGTTCCTATTCCCAGCCCGCCGTGTCACCGTCGATAATACGAACTTTGTCATCGTCGATTACGGTTGTACAAGACTAGTGAGTTCGAACACGAGGTAGGGAAGCCGCAGCATCGCCACCTTGGATTTGCGGGGATTGAGCGATATATATCGGCAATGTCGATTCGATGACGAAGAGACATCGGAGGTACAACCTATAGTTCGCGATACTCGTGTTCAGGTTCGTGATGTCTGGCTTCTTCACGGAAGAGATAAATCGGGAGAAGGTACTGACTGGATGGAAGGATACGTACACGCTCAAAAATCTCAGTGTGAGAGCATCACTCGAGAGGTAGAGGGGACTCGACGGTTGGAGCTGCTGTCGCAGAACGAGTGGCGGGACCCTTAGGAGGTGCGTTGTCGCCCGCAATCTGTGTGACGGACGCTTGCGCCGTCACACGAATCCTTGCTCCTCTATGAAGTCACGAACATCAGTCCAGGAGTATGTAGATACGAGAGGTCCGATTCGAGTTGATGACGAAGACTAATCCAGTCGTTAGCGGCGACAGTGACAAGACAGTCAGACCTCAGAGCAACACAAAGGCAACGAGCGAATGTCGAGGCGTACTGCTGGTTAGACACGTCGCAGAGAACAGGAGCGCCGAAGGCAGCTGTGGAAACCCATAGACGGAGTGCAGCCTGTTCAGTACTTCGTAATCGTCGAGGCGAAGAGAGCGAACCGAAAAAGGGGCCACGTGTACAGGTGAGTACCCGTGTGGAGGTGGCTCCGCTCGGTCTGAAGTCAAATTGTTTACCTCACACCAGGACTCCTAGCAAGGGTTACCGTGATTGATAATGAAGATAACTCCGCGATATTCCGCAGCGCATGGGAAAGCATTCAAGCGTGAAGACCACTACGCACGATGTGGGCTTCGTCCTCGTCCGAGTTACTGTACCTCGAACCTAGTAATGGCATCGTCAGGAAGCAAACCTCCGCCGCTTCCCCCTGTTCTCTGGTAAACCTGCAACGTCTTCTCCTCAAACACCAACGTCAAACTTCGCCCTTTACCCTCCCTTCTGACCAGCTCTTGAATTCGCCTTAATGCCACGATCAACCTCTTCAACGCCCCATTCTTCAACAGGAGCGTGTCGTGCTGGCCCGCCAAGTCTCCCTTCGAGACATCATTCTTTTCTATGTCGGAGAACATGCCTCCCGTATGCCCGGCGACGTAGAGATGAGGGGTTTGAGAAAAGAAGAGCTGGGAATATGATTCGGTTTTCTTCGAGGACATCTTGGACAAGAGACATGTCTTGATCTCGATGATACTGGATTGATGCGGGATAAATGCACCGCCGTGGATGACTTTGACCAGTTGCGCAGATTGATTCGGATTGCTTTGTGGTAGAGAGGCTGGGGCATTCGCTTTGGTGCTATGTTTTCGACGCGGATTCCGTGGCCTCGATGAGCTGGACTGTGAGCCTTGCGAGATCTGATTTTGTGGTGTGGGTGGCGGCGGAAGTTCCATGTATGCGTCCACTTCGAAACGGACTAACATGTTCAGTCCATCTATGCTCTAGTACAAAGGGGAGATCGTTAGACGTCCCTAGATCCGAGGGAACACCAACAGAAATAGTGGAGGCGTCACCGTCATACGGGATGAGCTCACATATTTTGATAATTCGACGATATCCCTCGTAGACCTCATTTCCCGCTGCAGCCGAACCTACAGTCATTCCCAACTCGAACGTATGCCCAAAGCCTTTCCCATCCGCTCCCACAGCGGTCCTGGGCTCCCACCGGCTGAGCAACATCGTTTTGTTACCAACGAGCTGCGTATCGATCCTCCATTGTTTCTTGTCAGATTTACCGTTAACCCAGCCGAGAAGTTTACGAAGGTTGTTGCGGTCCGTGATGAAGTCAGTATCAGGCCAGTGGACCTTAGGTGTAGCGCCAGACGTTGCAGCCGGGGTAGAAGGTGTGCGTATATCCGGCATGGCGTCGACAGCAAGAAAGAGCGGAAGAAGAGGAGTGGAGGGCACGAGATGACCGTTCTGGTCTACGAAAGTGGCAGTTTGATCGGCTGGGAGTTGTACCGGTAGAGGGCTTCCAACCCATTTACGTGGCATACCTGCGCACTCCAGAGAAGTCAATTGGGGAAAAGAAGTAGAATCGAGGCCGAGAGGGTAGATATCAGAGTGTACCTGGAACGACAATGGTGGGCGTCGACGTTTTCATCCAAGAGTATGATCCAAGAAACTCCAAGTCCCGAATTTCCACATCGATCGCTGCCCCTGAGCTTACCTCTAATTCCGCAACGTCGCTGTCAAGAGGAACTACTATGTCACGCAATGCCACAGGTTGCAATCCAGACTTGAGCTTCTTCTCCTTCGGTATATGTCGACCTCATATCTTATAACGATCAGACGAAGGTTCATCCAGACGTGAGCGGTTCGTATTTAGCGAGCGTGGAGGTTGGCGGTTCGTTGGCAAAAGGGCGTGTGGGGATGTGGGTCGTTGGCTGAGTCGCATCATAGATCATTCATAACGGACGATGATGGACAAGGAATGGAGGACGCACTATGGACGACCACGACTAGGCATGGTGGATGATATACCGAGAGAATCGGGGACGAGAGAAACCTGTTTTTATACACGGGTTAAATACTCATAACGCCACTTTAATTATGCCATGCTCCAACAACGAGGCGTCGGTCCTGGGAAGGTCACGAGGTACTTGTCACCACAAGTAAATGGGACATCGAGTGCAGAACGCAAGGCGGTCCAGTAATTGAATGACGATCCTTGGATCCTGATTACTTGGGCGGAGCAAGATATCAGACTTGGAATACAATGGACGTCAACATCGGATTCGGTACATTTCCCTTTACCACTTCATAATTCTCCTCTAACCGTACCCTTCGAAAAGAATGAGCAGCTAGTCAGCCTTGCCAAACTCACACCTCATCTTCCTACCCTCTAGGAATTGGAAAAAGACACCCAAATCGGATGGTACTACCTCCTGGCGTTCTGGAACAACCTCCTCCGAGGCCCCGTACCTCCGACGGCAGCTCTATATCTCTCGGCGCATTGGATAGCGAAATCACCCTTTCTGGATCAGGAAGCAGTGCTGACACCGTCCCACCCCTCCTCTGCGAGCCCGCAAAATCAACAAACTCTAAGACTGTCTCCCTCTTCGGTTCTAATGTCTAGCGTACATGTCTTCCTCACGTCCGCAACCGTCATGATGATGGCAATCATAAGCAAAAGAGGCGCCTACACGTCATTATGGCCTTTCCAACGCGAATGGACCGACATAAAGCCCTCTCACCAGAAGCTCGACCTAAAGCGCAAGACATAGCGCCAGCCCTGCAGTCCTAACGGCCTCGTACAGTCCAACTCCATCATCCACCAGTCTCGCCGCACGCACCTTATTTGCATTCAAATCAACACTCACCTACACCTATCGCCTATTCCGGACATATGAAGCCGCCCAATTCTTCGAACGGAGATACGTGCGCTCCTCGCAAGAGAGAGAAGTCTGCCGAGTGTGGGCTCTCCCATATCCATGACCGTACCGTAGGCAGCAGTTAGAGTGTACGAAGTGAGTAACGGCGATATCAAAAATTGAGGTTCCATGGAGCCCTGCAGTAGGGAAGGAAACCGGGAGGCAGCTAAACGTTGCGATTCAACAACGCACGAGTCTGCGACTAGATCGCGGCTTCACGATATGTACAGAAACACAGCAGCATCCATGGGCTAGGGAGACAGTCATAACCGTCTCACATTGAAAGTAAAAGGAAGACAGTAAAAGGTTAGGTGTGCGATCCGAGCAGGACGACGACTGTTGGACGTTGGTGTTGGAGTCCAACAAGAGTCCAAGGAGGTTAGAACTTCCCACTAGACCCTAACCCTGAATCAGGGTCATGCCACCGTGTGGCGCTCTGCTCTGGCCGTCGCCTTCTCTCGCTCCCCATCCAGCATCTTGCTGCTGTCAGGGATATTTTATTTCTTAGCTACTGATATTGACATGTTTCAGATATTCTGAGGAGCCCTATAGACTTTATTGCATATACTTTGATTCTCTTTCCCGATTCGTTTTTCTGCTGCTTCCGTCTTCTACGCACAAGTCCCTCCCTTCAAGTGATGTTGGACATTCATCCCAGAATCTGCTGACTAGATATGCATTTCCGTTGGTAAGCTGCTACTTTGTTTCCTCAGTAAATTCAATGTTCTCCAAACGCGTAAACTCCAGCTTCGGCGCTGGACGAATCCGAATCCTGGACACCGCGCAAGCCTTCACTGCCGAGACGCTCTTAGTACTCACCTTGATTGAATGATCCTCAGTGCCAAGGCGCTACATAACGTCCGAGACGTACAGGGATAATGTCCACTATCATTATGATCCTGTGTTCTACGAGAATTTGCGCGTTGATCTCGTCTCGCGAATGACTCCTCGTTAGATTATAATAGGTCTGAATAGCCTTAGCCAACCATAACGCTACTGTGTTTGTACCTCTGAGTTATATCAGAACGCTGTGTCTGCATGGTGAATCCTGAATATCAAACTACAGTTCCGTTCACGTGCGTGCTTATGTGAAACCTCCGCCATGCACAGTAAGAATACACGTTAGAGTATGACCAGCCATTCCAGCTCGAGTTGGGAATAAGTCTAAATTCAGAGACCTTGAATGAGATGTTTTTAGTGCTCTCTCTGATGGAATACCCCTTTATCGTCGAGTTTCGTGACTCCTATGAGCAGCATACGGAGAAAAGAGTCGCATAATGGAAATAATTACATATAAATTCAGACGTGAAACGATGCACAATATGACTGACAACGAAATGTGCGTGCAGTGACCAGGCTTATTATGTGACAATCACTCTGAGAGCATAGCATATTCTGATGCTCTGATGCAAACTCGAATGAACTAGTAAGAGGTCTTACGATTCCGGGTTTAACAGAGCCAAGTTGACAGGTTCACAGCCAACATGACATCCATCAGTCATTTGGACCAGTGTGTATTCGACGCCCGTCATCGTCTCAGGAGACCTGCTGAGATTAGCGGGCTAATATGTAAGGTCGCACCCACAAGGGCTTGATATGTCTCTGGTATGTCTTTATACTGTGGACACTCTCGCACAGCTCCAACCTTACATGGCCCGAAAATTATTTTCTATCATCGTGCATGTCCGTTGACAGAGGGCTTTCACCGCAGTTTCCCCACGTTTGCCCGGCAGACACTATTTCCGGGGATCATGACCTGTCATCAGGTACAGCACAAGCCTCGCTCCGTGTGGTCATGATAAACTCGATGCGATGCATGCATATATATATATATATATAACAGAATGACAGAATATTCGCGTCACGGTCGCAGTACTCGCACCCATATCATGTCTACACCGATTCGTCTAGAAGATGTTTTGGGATCGAACGACATCATTCCTTTCGTCCAAAGCTCCCTGGGTAGTTTCTTATTCCTCCATCGATACCATCGTATGGGAACCGCATTGATGTCTCGTGCGCCTCTACTTGTCATTAGGTCCCGTATTGATATGCAGTGTCGTCATGTACATGTTGTACGGGGTCACTACAGTCCAAGTACGCTTTCCCATCTCCTTCCACCCCTTTTAGCTGCTGACTTTCGTATGGATCAGACCTATACTTACTATTCGCAGTCATTTAAAGATCCGCTCGTAGTAAATTTGAGTGTAAATCCATTCAGCGTTCTGGAATGCGAAGAAGTGAATCTGATGAGACTATTTGATGCCATGCTTTTCAGGCGCTGCTGTTATGGTATGCGGTAAACGATCTTATAAGATTTCTGGTTGACGCAAATCTCGGAAACAGGATTCTCGATACAGTTCACATGGGTTTTGGTTCGATTCCTCATATATTCATCTTCAGCACGTTCCCTCCCAGTGACCAGTACTCCTGATTGCAGTGAGCCACAGTGTATACTTCTGGCTGGTATGGTCTTTTTATTTCTAGCGAAGCAATTAATGACTAATGTTTGTCCTTCAGATCTCAAGCTATGCGGATCCTTCTGCTTTGCAGGATGGTAACTGGTGATATATGCTCTAGCGTAAATCATACAATTAGATAGAAACTGACCGAGTCTCCCACTGGGACGTTCAGGGCTCTATATGTAAGCATCAGCTGTATACTTTAGTAGCTCTCATATACTGATGTACGTACCGTGAGTATATAGGCAGCTGCAGCGATAAATGTGAGGACTCACGTAGACTTGAGGACCAGACATACCGTAACAGTCTTATACACAGCCGGTCATCGTATTTGTTGTCCAGACGTAATGATCTCCTTGCCTTCAGAAACGCTATGTCGCTCATCACGCATAGGCAGATTTCTGACTCACAAAATATACTGTCGTTAGTGCATAACCCTCAGGATATCTTATAATACCGAGCTGACACAATCCTGTAGTCTGTAACCCTCGCTGGAGATGGCCAGTGGCACTCACAATTGTTGGTACCGCCGGCACAATAGCTAGAAATCGAGTCTGATCATGCGTCTCTCGTTCATTTTAGGGACTACTGCTGATTGCTAACACGGGTAAGCACAGTACCTCCGAACCCTGTACGGTCACACAATGATGTTCATGACCATCACCTAGCTTTCGGTATCCGTAGGTTTGCATCGAAACATACTCCTCCATCTGTTAACAACCATCTCCTATTTCGCAGAGGTCACAGTTATCTCGTGTGTTATTCTATACTCATTATTTAAAACCTTCGGGCCTCACTACTATCCATAGTGCGATACGGTGGGACCTGGTGTACCTTGCGGATGGAACGGTGAGTGACTACTATGACAATGCCACTCAGGTACTATTTTAAATCGTGTTATAGAAACAAGCAGTATTGTCCTACATTGTAACTGGAATCGCAAGCAACGGTGCCGTTGTGGCAGGGCTTTCGATTGTACTTCACCGGAAGAAAACAGCATTTCGAAAATGTGTCGAAACGCTCCCATATGCTATGCGGAGACATCAAGGTCAACGACTGGACCCATTCAATAGGACCAATGTCTTGATCGATGCACTTATCAAGTATGCGTTTGAGAGATTCATTCTCATCACGTGCGTCTCCTCGTTCCAGAATCACGTTTATGTCGCTGATACACTGGGCAGAGCTGTAGTCTGCGTTCAGCTCATCGAAGTATGTATTACTACGCCTCTGCTTACAAGCTCTCACACCGCTTTTTTGCCGTAGACGTTGGTGAGCCCGAAAGCTACCTGGCCATTGACGCTCAGTTTCATAAACGGACAATGTAAGTCGGTGGTGTTCCATGTTCATCTTCCCTAGTGAGGACACTAATATTTCTGGACTGATGGTGAGAAGTGGAAGCCAACTCGCTCTTAGCATCGCTGAACGCGCGGCGAGATCTCCGAGACGAATATTTTGCGAACACGCAAACAATTCCTTTCGTCAATACTGTCCGGCTAAATAGTCTTCAGGCATATCATGTCGACACGCAGCGGCACACAGGCATCGATATACCTTCGATCCACGACGGGGTGGATCTCGGGATGAGTAGAAATATGGAATCGGTGACGGACAGCTCGATGGTAGAGGATGTGGAGGCAAGTCAGACACCAAAGTAAGGCTGACGAGAACTAGGAAAGGTTGATGATGTTTTCGGGTGAAGCCTTTGAAATACGTTGATATCATTCACGGACTGAATTTTTAGTAAATAAAGATGTGTCATTCACGTAGAACGCTATCTGGTCAGAGTTGGGATATGATTATTTTGTTCATGTCACCTCTATGCAGATTTTCCGTGATCGAATCAATCTGGGTTAAAGCAACAGACTTGAGAGATCTCGACTTACAGTGGCAATATCCAAGACCCTCTGCGGCTCCTCACCATCAACATCAGAGGTAGACGTTACATCGTCAAAGATAGAGTCCATGGCGTCCCCAAAGCCCAGCGGTGCTCCGATGTTGCCCAATACTCTGGCGCAGGAGTATCTGAGGCTCGTATATGGACCAATGTCTGAGATGATTGGTCGATGGTGGCGATGGGAATATGATTTGAGATTTAACACTATGCGGTTAACTACGAGATTAGGCAGACTGTGTCCATGAAGCCGTCAGTATCACTTCCAGATATAAGTCGGAGAAATGTAATTTACAGGCTAAGATATGGACGGATGCCGCTTTGCCAGAGTTTGGACACATAGGCGGCCTGTTAGCACACTTAGAATGAGTCAACGAGAGCAATATGACAGCAGCGAAAGGTTACCTGACCTCATCGTCTAACATTTGCAGCTACGGAAATGAACGTTATAGTCAGAGTAAAACACAGAAGAGAACGAGAAAGGCTCAACAAGTATGAATACACAGAAGATGAGCTCAGTGATTGCGATTATTCTGTTCCCCGATTGAGAATATGAGATAAATAATCCTGGTTTGTGAACTCACGAGAAGTACATTACTCCTACGACCACGACCGTTGAGCATAAATCGTCCGATTGTGAAGGATCAAAACAAACTCACCGTCACGGAGGAGAACATATGTGATACCAGGCTGCCCTAGACTCTTTGACTCCACGTAATGGCGCCACGTCGTTCGAACGGTGAATACAAACATGTAGGAATCTAGCACCAGTACGACCAGCGTATACGCAGTGACAACTGTGCATAAAATTAAGATCAGATGGCTCGCTTACTCCTCTATCTCTCTCAACATACCACTGAAAAGACGTCAGTGTATGCTATTGGCCTATATCATGAGAAGTGCTTCCATACCTATTGATTACGGTGATATCTGGACTACCAAGGCTGCAGTGCTGCAATGCACTGATTGTTGGTATTGTATGTGAGTCTTCTGCAGCGGAAACAGACCCAAAGACACTCTAGCGAAGTAACGTCAATGTCGTATCGGTGGAGCACGCCATGAAACGCTCACAATCAGAATCAACGCCACAGTGGAGGACACCAAAGAAGCACAGATCAAAAGGACATGTATCTGGCGTCCGCTGATGCTCCAAACGCGCAGAACAAGCAGCCCTAGATGGCACAGAAACAAGGTCAGTATATTTGGATGACATGGTAGAGGAAAGAGAATACCGTATGATACGACCCAGTCGATGACAAGCACTACCTCCCATACATAGGCAAAGTTGCGACACCTGTGCTTGCGATGAATTGTTTAGCATGGACTACTCTGTTTTATCGCCGAAGAAAATGATACTCGCATTGCGTTCGAAACAGGGCCAATTGCGATCACTGTGAGGGCGAAGATTTGAAGTGCCAACATCGTGTATCTGTTAATAAGAAACATAACGGATGTGATCGACATCTCGTTGCACCAGATGAGAAGTATCTCGGTGGGAAGCGTGCTAAGATAGTCGTAGAGCCATAACGCTCATCACAACGCAATTCACTCCCACTATTACCGTTACAAAATACGATGATGACTCACCTATGGAAGATACAGAGGTCCAGTTGCCTAGGATTCTGGAGGACGAAGAATCAGTTGGAGTTCCCCTAAGGTAAACAAGGATACAACGGAATCGTTACCGTATCCAATTGTCGTCAATCACATCCTGGGCTGAGGCGGTGCTCGGCATGGTAGGGACAGCAGCACGGTGGGGATGGAGCTCCAGTTAGATATACCCGATTCCTTAAGAAATGGAAGCGCCATCGGTGTTTCCAATTGGCGTTAGATGAGAAAAACGCCGTGTCAATCGCTCCAAGGTGTGCGCCATGGCTATCTTCAGCTAGCAGCACATCGTCTACTACCGTCGAATACGGCGTGATGCCCTCGGCTCTTATCTCAGGCTAGGCCTCCCGTAGAGGATGAGTGCCTCGAACTGCACGCGGATTGAAGTCCTAGAATATCGAGCGCTGAGGCACATCTGCTTCACCTTGACATTCGGGGCGAGACAAATAGGTCAAGTCAATACCCGTGGACTATATCAAGGAATTAGCTGTCAGCTTAATATCACCTTGACGCGGAGTGACCGGTGAAACGTATGGAGAACACTAGCCACATACCGCAACCACGGTTAGGATCGGCGTGCGTTGCTCCATTAGACTCTCCCTGAAGTTCCGGATATTAAATTTCGTCGTAGACGAGGAAGGGCATTGGCATGCAGCACAACACGATCCTAACGTTAGCAAGCTCCCCATTGGAGAGTACGGTGCCGATAGAGTAAAGCTGAGCGGAGTGTACGCGGGTAAATACGGTGATGCAAAACGTATGGCGCACTCACGATAATATATCCTTTGCTTTATTCCGTTCATCTACCAGACAACCCTGAGCTCCGGGTATTTCGCACTCGCCACAGATAACTACAGCACGGCAGGAGCGTAACATACCTCTGGCGGTAGAAATATGAGGGTACGGGGGTAAACACGGCCGGTGAGTTGAAACGTATGTGCGTCGAGCTACGGAGGCGTACTCCCGACAATATATCCTTTGATTTGACTTATGATGACTATGGTCCATACCTCCTCTTCCGGACGATCCTATTCATTGCTACTAGATCATACCTACGAGGATGGGGCACGGGTTAGCGCGGTGAGGCAAAACGTACGAGCACCTAACTACATATACATTGCTTTAATGTGTTGCGCTTGTGGACAACCCTGAGCTCCTGGAGATTAAAACCCGTTGTGGATAAAGATGAGCAAGTACATACCAGACAGCACGATCCTATCATACTCTTCATAGTAGCATATGATATCCATAGAGTAGACCTATGAGGAACATACGCGGGTAAGCACGGTGAGGTGAAATGTATACGCGTCGGGCTACGAAGGTGTACCAACGATAATATATCCATTGCTTTACTGTGTTGCGCTTGTGGACAACCCTGAGCTCCGAGGATCAGAATCCGTCGTAGAGGAACAAGAGAGTATACATACCGCACATCACAGGCCTAACATACTCTTCATGGGAGTAGACCTGAGAGGAGAGTACGCGCGTAAGCATTGCGGTAATGTGAAACGTATACACATGGGCCACGGTGGCGTACTCACTTCAATATATCCTTCGATTTATGTTGATTTTGGTCCATGTCTTCTTTTCCTGACGGACCCCTCGTTCCAAGAGGAAGGCACAAAGAAGGCGGAAAGAACACGACCGGTCGAAATCAAGAGCAGAGCTTTACATTCCATATTACAGATATATGTTCATTATAGACATAGACAAATCATCCCGACACCATCGATCAAAACCAAACAGTCCCATCGCACCTCGACGAAAAGGAGCAATCCCAAGAGCTAAAACTCACGGCCCACGTCTCAAGAACCAACCTACCATCCTCATACACACTGAAGACAGAGACGAGCTCACCCAACGGGCGACTTACATCCGAAACTCGTCGCCGCCGCCCCGCTCGCGAACGTATTCTTGATGGACATCCCAGACCCGTACATCCCTATCAAAATCGCAAACAACACCACATCAGCACCGTCTACAAAACCTGTCCCATTCCTACGATCAAAAGAGAAGAAGAACGCACCCAGACACGCCATACTCGCCGCCCCCAAGAACAAAACAAGATTAAAACACTTCCACCCCCTCTTCTTCCACACTTCCTTCTCCCCCACCGCCCCATTCCCATCCCCGTCCACCCCACCCATCCCCGTCCAAAACCCTCTCCTCCACCTCGAAAAGTCCGCCCAAGTGTCTCCAGGATCGTTCGGTCCCCCAGCATCGAGGATCATCTGATACCCGAGTATGAAGAGCGGCGGGAATGTGTATGTGAATTGCATGATGCAGATAGCGGCGACGAGGCCGGAGATGGTTTGGACTTGGGGGATGGCGGAGGCTATGATGTAGGCGAGGGCCCAGTAGACGATGACCATGCCTGGTTGGGTGATGAGGTATTAGTCCGTGGAAGGAGGATGGGGAGAGGGAGAGGGAACGGGCATACCGGACCAGATGACGTGGCCTTTGCGGCTGAGGAGCGATGGGCCCTTGGCCCATTCTTCTACGAGGTTAATATACGCTACCTCTACACCACCAAACATCAGCATACATCCGCAACCACAATCCCGACCAAACGCAAAAGGCCACAAAAACAAAAACAAAAAACTCAACTGATCCCAATATTCCCATACAACCCCGCCGCAATCACGCCCGTAATCAGACTGATCACATTGCCCACGTCCTGCCACGACTGCTTGCTCACGCCCTGGTAGGCGAGCGGGAGGGTGTATTGGCCTTGGAAGGAGTACACGAAGAGGCCGTACATGAGGTAGACGGTCGAGATTAGGAGTTGGGCGCAGACCTGTGGAGAGGGAGGGATGTGAGCGGGGTGATGGGAGACGGGAGGCAGGAGGGATACGGATGAAGAGGAGGGAGAGCGAAGAGGCTATCGAGAAGGAAAGGATGGCGGAGAAGAAGAGTAGGTGCGACGCAGTGTGGAGAAAGAGAGGATGAGATGCAGGCAGAACGCCTCCGCTGAGATTATTCAGGATATATGCGTGGTGGAAAAACAGAAAGGATAGGTGGAGGTAGATGCGTAAGGCGAATATATGCATATCCGGGAAAGGCGAGAGAGGAAGTAGATGAATGGAGTGACGTAGGACCATGCAAGCAGAATGCTTCCGCGAACGTCATTCAGAATATATGCGCGGTGGAAAAACAGAAATAATAGCCGAGAGGCGAATATATGCGTCTCCAACTCCAACACCTCGCATCCCAACATGAAAAAAACAGGGTAACAACGAAAAGGAAACGCACCATGCCCTTCCAGAAATCCATCGGTCTCCGCATCTCGGCCTATCCAACATACAATCCAGTTAGCATACATCGAACTAAACGAGGCATAATCAGCGGGAAAGGGGAAGAGACGACGCACCATGAACTCCGGGAAGATCATCGCTCCTCCGTAGGCGAAGACTATACCGACTAGCTCAGCCGCCCGAATCCCACAATCCACGCTCGAGAAAACGGAACGCACCCATATTCATGATACCTGTCCACATAAAAAGTGCAAATCAGCCTTCTCATCCCGTCACCACTCACGACTCACATCCTTCCCTCCGAAAGGACAAAAACAACAACAGGTATGACAAAGACTCACCGTTAACCTTACTAAACAACGGCTGGCTCACAAACGCGCTCTTCACGACGGGTCCATCCCCGATACTCGGTCCGTACGCGGCCTGTGCGGCTGCGATGTTGGGTGGGGAGTGGGAGATGAAACCCATGGAGATGAAGATGATGAGGAGGTTGAGCCATACAGCGCTGTGTTTGTGGGTGGGCCGTTAGCGAGGAGGGTGGTGAAGGGAAGACAGGGGGGAGAGAAGGGGTACGTACGAGTTGGCTAGCCATCCGTAGTTCTTGAGCGTGCCTATCCAAACGAAACAAAATGGGTCAATATATGCCAGTCAAGCAACGATGCGGCCGCGGAGCAATCGGCGATCGAAAAGGGAACCGAATAGAGAGAGGGAGACATACGGATCTGGCCGATGAACATGCCGACGAAGGTCCAGATGAGGATGCAGACTGAGAAGCAGAACTGATGATTTCCCGCGATCTGTTCCACCGCCTGTCCGTTCGAGAGACAGATCGTTCCGACCTACACCAGCAAACGAATATATATAAACACCTCCAACTCGAACCGCACGACGAAGGGAAACGGAAACGGAATGCGCACGTACGTTGATGATCAACTGCAGACTCTGCAGCACACTACACCCATACTTCGCCCACCTCCCAAATATCCTCTCCGCCAAATCCGCATACGTCCGCACCGGATACCGATTACTATCCAGCCTAATAAAAAGATGCCAGAGCAACAACCCGGTATAGCACGCCGCAACGCCCATGACGAGGTACAGAATCGCGCCGGGCGCATAGCCGACCTGGGAGAACGCGAAGGGCGCATTGAAGGGGCCGAGGATGTCGGTGGTGATGAGGTAGAAGACGGATGCCCAGGAGGCGACGCGGAGTGCGCGACGGGCGTTGAGGAGTTCTTCTTCGTGCGCTGTGAGGATTGTTGTTCCGTCGTCTTTTTGACGGAGGCTGATCGTGATGGGTGGAGAGGTTAGGTGACGGATAGGGGCAAGGACGCAAATGGAAGACGCACCCGGGCGTATCGTCGTGGTCTCCCGTCGCTCGTTCATGAGCTCTAGTGATTTCAGCCTGCTCGAGGTAGACCGCAAACGGGACTTTGCCACCCGCAGCTTCGAACACAAAGAGTCTATTAGCATCGATCACACGTCAAAGAATGATCGCAAAGAGGGTTCACCTTCTTGATGATAGTCAGCGACAACAGGCGACGCCGTCCTCGTCCCGGCCTCCTTCTCATTTATCTTCTCTGCGTCCCCCTGGCTCTTGTCAGAAACGCGATCGCCATCCGCCAGTGTCGCGGACATGGTGATGGTGGTGAGTGGTGCGTGGAGGGAGGGTGTGAGAAAGAGGGGGGCTCGTGTGCGACGGGTGAGATGTCAGCTATATGTACTGTACGAATCAAAATTCAGTGATTCGGGCAGAGCCAACCGAAGTTGTGCTATAATTATCACAAGAGGCACCAAGTGGGGAGTGTGTGGGTGAAGGATCATATGCTTGTCGCTTCTCAGAGTATAGTCGCGGGCAGGTTAGGATGCGGATGCGGATGCCAAAGATGGAAGGGCGATGCAGTGTGCGACTGTGGGCGCAGGATCCGATATCAAAACCCTCTCGGCTTGTTATCTCTGCGGAGACGAGGGCGCATGTAAAAGTAAAGCGTCACTCGAAGATGCTCCGATGCAGTTTGCCTACGACGACTTTGCTGTTATGTAGCTAGCAAAGAGCAGGATGGGGTAAGAATTGATGGGCCTTCCACCGAATTCGAAGGAATCAATGAACGACACGATCTTCGATGCTTGGCAAAAACATTTGGATGTGGACGAGAAGAAAGGAAGCGAGACTCAACAGGCGCGCGCGAGGTGGACCACATGTCTCTCCGTCTATATATAAACCATATCGCTGCGAACACCGCGGGGCGAACAACAACGTCGCAGTAGTAGTCTTCTTCACAGCATTCACCTAGCGCGTTACTTATCGATAGACACTCAGCAGGTCAAAAGGGCATCATTCTGGTGAGAGATGCGAACAGCAAGCTGAGATGCAAGCGGTGACGTATCACCAGAGCTACATGATGCGACCTCTACGCATATTTCTCCGTCTGAGAGGCAGCGCCCAATGTTCAAGCGCTGATCCGTGGACTTGGAACGCGGTAGATAAAGACGTCGCCACACGGCGGCAAGAGAGAAGAAGTTCTATACGAGTCCGTGACCGTGAGTAGAGCGGGCTGTGGACTAGGAGAACTGGCCATGGACATAGATGTTTAAGACGACTAGGCTTATTCGTCTGGTAGATGCCATCGAATCCTGAAGCAGTAAACGTTGTCAGACCGCCAAAAGAGAGAGTGCTTTGAACATAAAAGGTCTCAGAGTTGTCGTTGGTTGAAGGAGCGCGCCAGCGGAAATTAGAATTGGGAGGGCAAATTTGACTTCAAAGTCCGCCGGCAACCACCGCTTTCATCCCGATCGTCTCCGACTCGTCAGTCTCTGCCAGGCTGCTCACCGACCACATCCTCTCTGGACGGAAAGCTAGGGCTCTTGGGTCCCACTCGCGAACTCAGTATTCTTCGTGGATTGTATTATCCGAATTTTTTCCCCCGTCTCTTGCCCTGAGTAGGTATCTCGATTCAACCCGATCGCTTGGAAAACTCGGACGAATTCCCTTCCAAATTACCCTGGTCGTCCTCAGGCTCACGAACGAGCAGCGACTGACTCGGGAGTAGATCGCCGTCATCCTCTGCTGATGAAATTACATTCTTGAGTGCTGGATTCTTGTCTATAGAATGCATTTCCTGGAGCAACGACCAACAGTGTGGCGCTTGTTTACTTGTGTGGCGTAACAAGCGACGTACAACCACGCCAGAATCTGTATGGATAGGTAAGTCATATCTTTATGGTATACTTTCCCCGCCTCTTTCACCTGGTTTGTAACACTTATTCCACGACAGATTCGTCCCAGCGCCCGCGAGTCGCAATGCTCGTTGCTGGTGACATCTCGACATCGCACCGACGCGGTGCCCAGTGAACGTCTCTTCGATATTATTATATGGTTTGCTGGCTGTGGATTCCTCTCAAACGTTTCTGTTCCATGGAGGCTCGTCTATTGAGTAGGTTTGATGGTAAGAGCGGTCAGCGATTTAGTTCTGTTCCGTTTTGTTCTGTCCTTTGCTGTAGGTGGTATAGTCCCAGTCCTGGAAGATCATTCCAAGTTTTAGTGCCCGATTTTAGGCGTAATAAACTGGAGCCTTTCTCGTCTATCATAGAGATCGAGAGAGGTGGTTGGTTCATTGGATTTTGTGCCTATTCCACATAGCTCTTATCCTGCACGACCTTTCGAAGATGTTTGCCGCTCGTCATCACCCTCGCTCTTACTCGAGTGCTATGGAATTGCGTTTCTGTCGTTCCTACTTTGCATTATGGGTGCCTTGATTTCATGTTGAGCGGTGCAGAGGTCGATGCTCAATGGATCCAACGTGGCCAATGACTATAAGGCCCACAAGAAAATCCATCGTGCAAATATTCCGCGCTCACATCCTACTTTATGGTTCAAAAGGCCAATATATATATTTCACCAGAACAGAGCACGAACGATTCACAGCCAGGATCACAAAGATAAACGAATAATCAACGAGACGCTGTATGAACCAAAGACGATCGCCTCAGTATCGACGGGCCGCACAGAAGCAAAGACCTGAACTGACCAATTCGACTCCTCCGAATCGCGGTAGCATTCATTGGCGCAGTCGCCTACTGGCAAACCAAGCCGCCGCTGGTAGAAACACAGTCTAAAAATACAGTACATCGGGTGTTTAGTATCGTGGCGATCATCCTGTTCTAGAAGAAGTGCAGAAGAAAACTTACAGCCTTCGATGACATCGCCCGTGCAGGCGCTCACGTAGTACTTGCATGAATGGCCGGCGTTGTAGTGGTTCTTGTCGTTGCAAGCGGACACTATCAAAGCAAAGTGACTTGGTCAGTTTTCACACTCTGTGGGAGCAGCGAAGGGGAAAGCGTACGGGGGTCACAAGCGATGGCGTTGACCGCGGGGAGGACGAAGAGGAGCGCGGAGGCGAGAGCGAAGAAGGTGGTGGTGAATTGCATGGTGGAATATGAAGGGTAGTTGCTAGGTAGAAGGATGTGAGTTGGAGATAGAAGTAGGTTGTGGATGTTGATGAGATGGAGAGACTCGGCGATCAGCTTTTATAACTCTCTGAGGCGTCAATTTGATATATGCCTCATACTTGCAGAGAATACAAGTGCGGATACCAAGGCTCTAGGTTGAGTCGAATCATGACGAACACACAGCTGGACCGTATACCACCTCGGATGAAACTCGAATGAACGAGACCAGCACGACGGAGACCCTCTCTGCTCAGCCCACCAATATGACACATGCAATTCAACCTAAGGTCGAGATGAAAACATCAATGACCCCGAAACCCGATCAGCGGCGGCCGTACGACGAGTAATATATTCGTATCGCATCACTGACACATGACATCTTTAGCCCTGTCGAGATGGTCCTACAAGCTGAGATGAATATGTATTCTCTCTTTCATGAGTCCACTCATGCTTTACGTCTCACCTCGGAAATCCTGTGGCTCTCAAAGATTGACGCACCGTTCTCGTGATGATAGACGCTCAGGCTAGCGTTTGTACAGCTACTGCCTCGGCCTTTGGTATCAGCAAAGTTCTCCGCACTGAACTTCACGAAACTCACCCCTCGTCGCAGATATATCCCATCAAACTCCTGAATGGCGGCGGATTTTTTCCCGGCCGTAGATGTGCATTGAATAGTGAAGGAGGACCAGGAGATTGATGTGGCGCACTCCGATGCGGCGCACAGGTCTTTTGTTCGCTCCATTGGGCCCCGAGCCAAAATGTCGTTACGTCGTGGGAACTGATCCCGCCAGCGGGTTCTGCAGCCTCTTCGCTGTTCAAGTTGTTCTCCTCCTTGTCTTCCCGCTTTCGACCGTTTAGACGTTCGAGCTCCTCAAGCGCATATTATCTCATTACGAAGTTGCTCGGTATATCTCTGTTGTTTGCGCTGCGAAAGATCCCACCACACCCAGTCACCGATGAAGATTCATCTCCGATTCAAACCCTTCGTGCGTACTTCTTTCTATCAACAACGTCACCTACGGATGGGGCAATGCTCGGGCTGAGCAGTTGTGCCCGAAATTAATTGGACTTACGAGCTTGAAGGACATCAAAAAGAGAAGAAGGTAAACCATCCCGTCATGATACACGACTCCGTGGATGGAGCGCCGTCAATCGGTTTGGCTTCGTATGTGCCATCTCGCCTCAGTTCGGCAGTCCTTCATTGGCCTCGTGATATTGTGGTTGATTCTATCCCATTTTTACTCGACAGTCGGACATCGAGCTCTTGAGGGTTGTTGTTGAACCTGGAGCTCGGGAGGCTCCCTCGTTACTGTGCTGAATGCGAGCCTAGTACGAGCCTCGCCCTGATGTGTATGATGACCGTGACGGATCATGGCCTTCAATGCAACCGTGTCGTACTAGACGGAGGTGTAACGTTCTCTTTGTACGCTCGTCCAGTCGCCAAGTTACACTCTGCCCTTCGAGTTGCAGGTCCTATCTAACCTGAGCATGGTCAAAACCCGACTGTCTTTCGTATTCAGCTCTTAGACAAGAGTAGAAGCGGACTGAATTCACGAGACGGTTGACCCTGTATCGTTCACAATTTTTCAATTGCAGTGCATCTTGAGCTGGAGTTGGGGTGCAAACATTGCCCAGCGAGTCTTCTTGCTGAGCTCAACAGAGGCATCACCCACCCATACATGCGAACGAAAGTGCATTCAGTCATTTGCGAATGACTAGACGACCGTAGTGTTCTAGTGCTCCTCACAATATATTTGCAGTTGACTTATGCTTTTCGGGCATGTGCACTGAAGAATCACTTCTTAGATCAGTGCACAAAGTCTCGAGGGTCACAAGATCACGTCGACGGCGAACAGTATGTCTACAAGTCTATCCTCTTCTTTAACGCCTTGACAATGATGATCATGCCATCAAGGAGGGTATGAAAGCGCTGTACCCTCTTTCTTCTCATTTCCCTGTGCTGGCCTTCATGATTGTGTCATCCGGTGGCCGTCTAATTTCAAAAGTTTCAATCTCAATGCACGTAACGCATGCGCGTTATGCAGTGTGAGCCTGTATCATGACGGCGCCATGGAGCCGTGCTTAATTGATTACGAGAGAGAGAACGGTGAGCGTTCAGCTTGATACTCAGCGAAACCCAACCTTGCAGAGTGGACGACTCGGCTGAAGTGTCGAGGCCCAGCGGACTTTCATCCTCATTCTGTGCGAGGGGTATCTCAGACGGTTATATAAACCCGCTGAGCCCCTCCCTCAGAACTCACAACCCACTCCCACTTCCACTCGCAGTCTTTTCACTTCCAACCACATCCAAGCACCACTAGTTTATCATGCAGTTCTCCAACGCCTTCTTCGCTCTCGCCTCCGCGCTCCTCCTCGTCGTCCCTGCTAGTGCGGCGACCTTGAAGGCAGATATCGCTTGTACACCGTGTACGTTCGACCTAATTTTGATACTTGTGTGTCAGACAGCTAGACTGACCTTCTCGATTGCACAGTGGCGGCCTGCAACGGCAACAACCATTACGATGTCGGCCATTCGTGCAAGTACTATATCAGCTCCTGCACGGGAAGTATCATCGAAGGCAGTAAGTTACTTTACAATCCTTCTTTAACGCTCTGGTCAGTATCACTGACTTCTTTTCTCAGAGTGCGTCGCCACCGACAGCGGGTTACAGTGCCAGTAGACGCTATCGAGTCAACGTGCACGGCCAATACGGCTCTGATTCATCTCTGTCAGTATACCTTGATGCTACATCCATGATACCCGAGTACTAATATGAGGTTTGCGATGTCTTCTAGGGGCTCGTATGCTGTTCCACTTTCCTGGATATATATTGTGAAATTTAGTCGTACTCGATGCCCTGTTGAATGATATATTTATCACCATGCACATAGTTCCGGATGAAGGAGTGTAAATCTCATTCATCAGCATCATATCGCTACTTGAGGCATATGAACAGACAGGAAAATTAAATAACACACTCTGCAATCTGTCATGGTGAAATCAAGCATACACCGCATCGTCTGCATCCTCTGACTCCATATCCCAGACCCTGACTGTATTGTCGTTCGAGCCAGACACTATGTGCTTCACGTCTGGGGTGATTGCGACAGACATGACGAGACTGGTATGGCTTCGCAGTGGCTCGCCTATCGCATTTCCAGTCCATGTGTCCCAGATCCGGATGGTCAAGTCAGCGGAGCATGAGACGATGCGGTTCCCATCAGAGGAAAGTCTGACTGCATCGAAGTGCGCAAGGTTACAGTGATTTGTGTCAATTTAAGTCTAGAGGAGTAGCGCGCGATAAGTTACAGTATCAATTGCATGACACGGTTTATGAAATGTGGAATGAACCGCCCAGTGAGTTGAATAAAGTGGAAGAGGAAGTATCAATCGGGGAAACGGAGGGGGGCGACCCATCGCGAAGGTACAATAGGGAGTATGGCACGGTGGCGTAGAAGAGAATGGCTGATAAAACGGATAGGATTGCGGATGAAAAAGCGCACGGAACAGATCGCTGCTGAATACCCTCTCTGCTATCTCGCTCTTCAATCACAATCAGCTCTAATAGCGGGCTCGAATAGACATTCGGCCGGGAGAGAGGGTCAGCGGGTTGCTGTATGGGACCCGCAAGGGAAACACATTTAAACAAATTTTCATAGATGGGTAATAGATTCTCAAAAAAAATAACACAAAACTCTGGCTTAAGAGGAGAAACATGCATGTGAGGAAACACACTGATCGGAACGAGCATGATGATCTCGTCGTGTGTCCCTTGTGTTCCCCGTTCTGTGTTGAACAGTGTCTCTTGTGAAGCACACAGGTAAAATTTGGAGAGCATTGTATCTATGCCCTGGTGACTACTCAAGGAGAAAATTGCATGGATATCGATGGCTTGGAAAAGGACGGTCGACAACTCGCCGTGGGCGAGTCAGCACGAAGAGACGCTTGGAGGTTGGACTTGAACGTGCCGAGGATCATGAGATGTAAAAGGCAAGGGAAATGTTCTATTGTGTCGTGAGAAGCACTCAGAGCACCAGTTAGACGACGATCATCATCTCTGTCAAGTTGCCTAGGAAGAGGAGGCAAAGCAAGGCAAAAAGCGGCGAAATTCAAAAGATCAACCTTGCCACGTGCTAGTGTGGCGGTGGCGCAGTCGATGACGTGTTCGTCCCGCTCTATCCCGCTCCTCCTCTTTGCTCTTGCATCACTACCACCATTGTCTCCAGTTCGCTCGCCTTCACCTCCATCCATACCATGAACTTCAATCCTGCCAGCCCACTCTGTAGATGCAATCACGATCTCACGCGAACAGAAACTCTTCGATCTTTTCCTCTCCTATGCTCAGAGCTCTATGTAAAACCCTGGCGATCGTCTATCGTCTCCATCGTAGTCTGAATGTATGCTATTCCAATATGCTACGATGTTGCTGACCTGATGAGCGACACTATCGCGATGACGGAGTGCGCCAGCAAGGTGTGCATTTTACTCTTGTTCTCTGCAGAGCGACGGATCTATCACATCCGGGTACGGTTACCTGCAGTCTCGATGAATGTCCGCAGGCTGGACCTATCTATCGATGAGCGGTAGGTGTTGATATCGGATTTCTCGTACGCTGCTGCCAATGTGGTTATCAAAACGAAGGGTGAGCATCTGCGCCAATGTGTGCGCCTTTGGCGAGGTCTGCGGGCGTGTTGAAGGTCCTTCAACTGCAGTCTTGCCACATGTTCACAACTTCGTGACACTCTTTATGACGTGGCCCCCTTACATCTCCGCTTTCTAGCATAGCACCGCCGCATTTAGCTTGTTCCGTCTCGATTAGGATCTTATCGCCATTGGCCTCATGTCTAACATCGTACCAGGGCTTAAGCCCTCAGAGACCATACTCCACACATTTGAGCCAGAGTAAAAGTCATTGGTTAGAACGAAATACGATCAAAGCTATGTAAATGCAAATATGTGATTTAACTAACGAAGTGTTGCGTAGCACACCAATTTGCGACGCAATCGACGACAGCTGATTTCGCCGCCTACTCGTCACAGCGCAACATATCCAACGTCTCAACAAGGTCCTGCACCGCGCGAGCATCCCGTTTCTTGGACTATCAAACTCGGGTCAGTTACAACAATCATTATGGACTGCATACTCATACCTTTTTTGGGGGCCTCTCCGATCCTGGATTTCCCTCCACCAATCCTCTTTTCCGAGTACGTTTCGCAAGCTGGACAGATGAAGAAGTGATTAGCAGAAGACGACTTCCCAAACTGACCGAGAACGTGATATGACGGTCTCGTACGCACCAGCTTTAGGTCACCGTTATCGTGGTGCTTAGCGTCCTGCTCGCTATGTTCCAACCGCGCAATCATCTCCCTCATCTGCACCTTTACCCTATCGCGATCCTTCTTCAACCCCAAGCACCTTTGTTCTAGGGAGCCACATTTCGCGATAGCCTCCTCTCTCTCGTGCCTCAGCTCGTCGCACTCCTTCATCAATGTCTCCTTCTCCAGCATCAGAGCGAGCCGTTCCTTTTTCCAGGCCTCCTTCTCCTCCATTGACTGATCGCATTTCGAGCATGATGAGTCCCTCTGCCCCAAAGGACAGCCTTCTATTCCCCCCTTCATCGTTTTCAACCTCGTCTCCACCTCGCGCACGACACCCCGCCAAAACCTCTCATACTGTCTCTTCAAATCCTGATCACCTCTCTCCTGTTGCTCTATGACCTCCTTCATGCTCTCATTTTCCTCTGTCAGACGTCCGATCTCCACTTCAAGCGCATGATACACCGCCCTAAAAGTCGCCCTCTCTCGCTTCAGATACTCCTCGCTCACTGTCTTACCCTCGTCGTCTCCTACGGCGTCCGGATCTCTCTGCACCTCATCACGAATCAAATTCTCCAACTCTTTCTCCTTCTCCTCCGCTAACTTCTTCTTCTCTTCCTCTCTAGTCCGATACTCTTTCGCCCACTTGGATGCTAGCCGTGACTCCAAGTCATCCTGTTCGGATGCTTCCTCCTCCTCCGATGCTTCCTCCTCCTCCGATTCTTCTTCCGCGCTACCTTCCTCCTCATCCGAGCCTTCGCCACCCGCATGCCCATCATTCGAAACAATCAAGATCAAAGTACACCCCTTATCCTTCTCAAACTCCCTAACGTAGTCCTCGTCGGAGAACCGGACAGATTTGGCCGCGTGGCCCACCTTGTCGCCTTCCACGGAGGAATCGTCTTCGCCGACAGCAGTAGTGGTAGGAGACGTACAATCAGTGGAGTCCCCGTCGACGTCGCCCGAGCCATCGCAGGTCGAGCTACGGCTGTCGTCTTCGAGATCCATCACGTACGCAGCAGAGACTTGGACGTATTCTGGCGGGTGGCGTATGTCATCGTCTTTGCTGGACGCGGAGTCCGGGGGGGCGTCTGCGGGAGGAGCTTCTGTGGAGGACTCGATCCCGGTGTCTGCTCGATCGGTGGGCACTTCGTCTGAGATTTCGGTGGAATCGAGAGTGGTAGAGCTATGGTGTTCGTCGTCGATGTCCATCTCGTCTGCTCCTGCGACCTGAACGCATTCGGACGGGTGGCGCACCGCTTCTTCTTCGGGAGCAGAGGGATGAGGATCAATTGTGACGGTGGTCTCTATCTCGGTGTCGACGACGATGTCCGTGAGCGGTGGAGTACACATGGGTGAGGAGCTGAAATACGGGGATAGCAATGAAATCGTTGATGATGATTTCGCGATTCAAAGTATGCAGGTTTTGCGAATACGACGTCTGGCCGTGGGCGGGTGCCATATCAAGGGATATGTGGGCGTAAGTGTATTGCTGTGTATGGATCATTGGAGACAGCGTGTATCGATGGGAAGTTCTACCCGAGTCAACCATCGGGTCCGATCGCAAGCGGTACAATGATGCCTAGGCGTGTATCGCATCCACAGACGACTGGGTGGGAAGGATAAGCGCAATTGAGAGATCGTAGGACGTGGACTCGCCTCGCCCCTCTTTTCAGTCCGCATCGCTTCTGTTTCCCACATTCCATCTCTGACACCTGAGATACATTCTTATGCAAAACATTTGCAGGCGAAGTTATATTGGAAACATATACCATTCATCACAGAATGCAAACCCTGGCCTATGGGACGAACGAGGTATTTGTCCGGATGCAGGTCTAGGTGCACGTCTTAGGCTTGTGATCGTGCTGGATAGAGACCGATGTGCCCGGCCAGGTGTGGTCCTTAGAGCACACGGCGGGCGATTAATGCGATGTCGCATCGGCTACACAACATGCCTGCGAAGGCGAGTAGACATTAATGCATGTCCCACTGAGTCAACTCTACCAGCGCACAGTTCTACACAGAAATCAGTTTTGCACACAAATCATTTCAGACGTGAACGAAGAGAGCCCGCTGGCAGTGTGTCTTCTCGAGTGCTAGTCGGAGTTCCTTAGGTTAAGAAACATGACGTTGGCGGCGGTAATCTGAGGGCAAAACAAAGCTCACGGAACGCGTCTGCACGCAGAGAGAATAAGGTATAGAGTGAACGATTTGGCTGCTCACATGAACAAATAGCGGGCAAGAACGTTTCGGAGAAGCCATTGGACTTCTCGACATACGAAATCCGTTTCTCTCGCATATAGCATCTACGTAGAGGCAGTTGGTAAATATTGGAACCACCTGATGATTGATAGGGACACAAGGCTTTCTCTTTCCCAGTCTCAAACAGGTCTTGGAAAGTAAGGCCTTTGGCGTAGCACTTTCCAGCGGACTTTGGGTGTGAGAAATAGAGCTGTCAGCTAAGTGAAAGATTCGTCGAGTAGAGGTGGTCCGCTCTTGGGACGGACTGATATATCTCAGGAAACATATTCAAACTAAATATACTGTCCAATACAGCGGTCGCTACCAGCATAAGTTCTTGGAAATCCAACCCCATAGGACCTTCACTGCGACCCAAATGACGCCGCTCAACAGAAGGTGATGTCAATCTGTCCCCATCGTAAATCGTTAATGCTTATCAACGACTTTTACACAAAAAAGGTTCTCACCCCAACATTGCTGGCCGTGCACTGAACAGGCGTTCCATGAGTGGGGTCGGTGAACGAACCAGGGCAGTCGGGCTCATCGCATGTAGCGCTGCCAGCACATCCCACGAAGTTGAACGCCATATCGTAGGTGCTAACCATGTAATTTCACCGTAAGTATTCCGACCAACAATCACACTTTCAAGCACGGTGAATTCTGAATGGCGAGAGTAACACGACTCACAACTGATGGTTCCCGTTGGCAGGCTGTCCTTCGAGCGTGAAGTCCGCCGCGTTCTGGGTGTTTGCTCCGCCGTTCGGGTTCACCAGAGTGAACTCGACGGCTCCGCAGTTAACACCAGAGTTTTCGCAGTTCGCTCCAGCGTAGCCTGAGACCCAGGCAATACCACCAAGAAGTTCGCCTTCGATAGTGGTGGATCCTTGCGGGTTTCCGTCAGCCTGGTAGAGAAACACAGCCTCTCCAGATTTACAGTTGTTGGTCAGCTGTTGAATATTGAGGATCGTCGTGAGCATTTTGAGGTAAAGCAAAGGAAGGGGTGAGATTTGGAAGTGTGCGGCTGGGTAAGATAGTAGATGTCTACGTACCGAGACTCTGTGGGATTCCTGTGCGGCAACGATGCCAGAGATAGCAGCAATAACAGTAAGAACGGAAAGGGAAAACATGTTGAATACGGAGTGGGTTGAGATAGGATTGAAGCCGAGTCTGCGGTAGGGCTCTCAGGAGTAGATGTCACTGAGTGAAGAAATATGCCTCTTCCTGTACGCCTTTTATAACTGGATAAAGTGAGGAAATACGGCCACAGTATACCGAGAACCAGTGTCAGATCGAGGGCTTCCGCATGACGAAGCTCTAAGTTGAAAATATAACACCACCGGTCCAGGGATGGCCGCCAGTACATGTAACAAATATATCCAAATGCATGTAGCACGCCAGCGCACCTTTCAAAGTGGCATAAAGAGTATCGAGTTCTAGAGTACCACGATCTGAATCAAGATGGGAAATGCATACAGATGATGCAGCGTCCACGAGCGGTAGAGACAATAAATCCTGCAAATTGGGATTAATAACGGTCGTTTGTCGGAGTTGAAGGCGGACCATCAACGATATAACTCAGCCAATTCGAAACCTGGAAAGGCAAAATGAACTCCATACAGGCTCTTAACCACGGTTCTACAGCGACAGGACCACCAGAAGCCGCACATGTCTTCTCCGCAATCACACCAAAAGATCACAACGTACACATATCTATAACATCAGTCTGTCATGAGAGCTGACTGACAGACGTGTTGAGCTGTTCAGGCGAGAATATTTAGACGCGTTCACATTGTCTCACCGAGATCGTTTGCATCATGAGCACAGAACGAACAACCCTAGAAGCGTCAACAGTATGAAAACATCATACACACGGGGCAACGGCCACACATGTGCATGCAGCATAAGTATATGGTCTCCTTCGAGCGTCTGATGGTGAATATATTGGGCGGTTCAACATAGCACGTTTGCTTCGCTTGAAACAATGTGGAAATCTCCAGATGGCACGTGAGGAAGAGATGGTTACAAGATCTCTGGCAGCTGTACGTGTCAAAGGTGCTCGCAAGGAGATAAACAGCTTCTTTAGCCAGCATGACGCTGGCGTAGGAGGTATGAAACCAAGATGTGATGCACCGGCCCATGGTGAGTTCCCAGGAATCGAACGCTGCTCGATTAACTGTGGATAAGTCTGGCAGCAATGGGTGGGACCTAAGTCAACCCAGTGAACCTGAGCATTCGGGGTACGAAATCGGACAAGGCAACTCAGAATATTTGCGAGATCGTGTAGCAGGATGCGCAGAATGATATACTGGTCGACTTGATGCGTCTGTCGATGCACAGCCATCGTTTCATCTGTAATTCCAGACGCAGGCGAGAGCCCTGCTTCTTCATGATATATCTTGTTCCACGGCTATGGTCTGCCGACATTGAAAAGAAAAGCCTAAACAGTCCAAGGCTCAAACTCGAGTTCGTCACCGTCCATGGATCACCAGAATCCAGAAAGGCTCTGGGATACATAACCAAGAGTACAAGTGTCACTGAGATCTTTATGTACCCCCGTGGCGCGTATTATGGACGCAAAAACACATATTCGCGCCCGGTCTCCATAATATTGCCCGCCCTTCGCAACCCCGTGTGAGGTGCAATATACACTGCGACACACAAGTTTTTCGGAGTGCGATTCCGTGGAGTGTTTGAGGTCAAGGGGCGGATTACAGCGAAGGATAGATGGAAGTTTTACCATGGAGGCCGATTACTGGGAAGAGACAAGGAGATACGACGAGTGGAAGAGGAGAATTGACGAGAGTGCACAGATTGGCCGACGTGCGGGAGGTCGAGGAGGGTTACTGGTATGCCCATCAGATTTACAAAAGAGAGCGAGCCGTAAAATTCAGTGTGGGTTCGATGACACAACATAGCGAATGTGAAAGTCTCAGAGGGAAGACAACTTTCGATAGGAGAAGAGCCGAAATGTTGTGTCCGTTCAACGGTGCATGAATATAGGCGGAAAAATTAAAATGCATAAATAACGCACCAAACGACTCAATGACAAACGACCGACTTCACTTTCTTCCGAATCGCGTCGCAAAATCGGTGCTTCTCATATTCGCAATTCCAGCGTGATCGTGGCCAGGATGGGGGTCAGGTCGAGGAGCGCGATGAGTCTTCGTGAGATCGAGAAAACTTAAGCTGGGCGGCGGAGAAAGAAACACAGTATGACAAGAAGGATATACATAAACTGCCTAGAGAGCGGAAACATGAACCATGAAAGAGAGATGGACGTGAGGTTGCACAGTAGGATGCAGTTCGATTCAAGTTCCACTTCAAGTTGGATGTCTGGATACCTTGCCACGTGCTCACGTAGGTGGCGCAGGCGTCGATGACGCGGCCTCCTTGGCGCCACTCGGATTTTTATCTCTTCTTGCCTGCTACTATCAGTGTCCACGACCGAGAAACCACTATTTAGAGCCCGCTAAAGTGGAATCCAAATCTTGGTCAAAATGTCATATATGGATGTCAATTTAGCGCTCTCTAGAGCGAAACTTTAGCGAGCTCTATAGTGAATTCCATTGATTATTCTCTGAATTGCCTTTAGAGGATGCTAAAGAGGTTCGGGGTTGCCACATAAGGCAAGCCCGAGGTGCTCAACAGCCTTTAGCGTCCTCCAAAGTCAATCTTTAGCGTTTGTACGGCATTTCTACAGAAAATGCATAGACCCGCCTTTAGATGACCCTAAAGTTTCTCTTTAGTACTTCCCAAAGGGGAGACCACATATAATATATATATATTTCTTTAGACACACCTTTAGAGCACGCTAAATAGTGGTTCCCCGGCCGTGGTCACCTTCTTCAGACGCCTATATATCGAGTTGCGTCACTATTTTTGGGTCAGTATGCGTTCGACACCCGAAACTATCGATCACAGTCGAAAGCCCGGGTGACTTCACATTAGAGAGCTCTCTGTTAATGGACAAGTTTGTGTCGATTTGGAAATAGGAAGGCAGTCACGGTGTGGTACATGTGTACGAGTGCGAAGTGTTGTGATAAGGTGAGGCGCTTAGTGTCAGGATGGCACATTTAAGCTCTCAAGTGTTTTATTAGTAGACACCATAATCACTCCGAGGCTTACTTCAGTGCCGTTTCTTTTTCGTATTTCATGAATGAGACTAATAAATTGATAGTAGTGCTTGTGTAAGAAAAGAACTGAAATAATGCAGAGAAGCAACGATAGAACTGGTTCGTGGCAAAGACATGAATTTTGTGGGCTTCGTGAGTGTACCTACCCCAACTTTCGGAGTCTCATACAAACAACTCTCCCAAAATGGTCACACAAGAATCAAAAGATTCATTTCATACAGCTCAGTACGTTGACGAAATCCGATGAGATACAACCTTTCATCACCTTCATCGGTCAAGCACTCAGCAGAAGGTGATATCAATCTATTTTTCCCAAGTGAGATCAGTGGTGATTTCGAGGAGCTGACAGAAAGACTGCAGTGCTTACCCCAACATTGCTAGCGGTGCACTGCACAGGATGCCCATTAGTCGGGTTGGTGAAAGCGCCCGGGCAGTCACTGGGACTATTACATGTGGCGCTTCCACTGCATCCCTCGAAGTTGAAAGCCATCTTGTACGTGCTAAACATACAATATAAAGGTCAGTCTTCTCATGGTTGCTTGTGAAAAGTGATGCATGTATAGACATATGGAACTTTAAGGCAGAGATCAACGCGACTTAGACTCACAACTGATGGTTCCCGTTCTCAGGTTGTGCCTCAAGCGTGAAGTCTGCTGCATTCTGGGTGTTTGGTCCGCTGTTCGGGTTCACCAAAGTGAACTCGACCGCCCCGCAGTTGACACCGGAGTTTTCACAGTTGTGTCCGGATAAGCCAGAGACCCAGGCGATCCCGCCAAGGAGTTGACCTTGAATAGTGGTGGAACCCTGGGGAGTTGGATGGCCCTGGTAGAGAAACACGGCGTTTCCTGATCCGCAGTTGTTTCTCAGCTGTAGTAGATGGAAAATGTTATCAACCTAAGCGTCAGTGACTAGATTGTGGGATGTGGGGTAGAGTTGCAGGCCGCGGGACAACCTTCCAAGTTGGGCGGCGAGAGAAAAATGGGTCTTCTTTAGTTGAATGACGCACCGTGACCTTGTGAGACTCCGCAGCAGCAATTCCAGTCAGAATAGCAATAACACTGATTCCAAACAGGGAGAGCATTGCGACAGTAAAGGTTTGTGAGTTTAAGAGTGATTAAGGAACGTTCAGGATGTGCAGAATTAATTGCTCCTCCTCAGCACCATTTATACGTGCGGGACGCTAGCAATAGCTATTACATAGTCCCTGCGATCAACGGCGAATTTCATGTAAGGAGCTCGAGATGTGTTTCCCCAACGAGTACTCCCTGCATACTTGTGATTTGGGTCCATAATTTTGTATCACCGGTCATGAGTTGGATATCAAAGCATACTCCATTTTTCCTATTGCAGACCACAACCGCCCGTCCACATTGCGATTAGTACCGGGCCCACACAGAATTTACTGATGGTAAGGAGATATCACTAGGGACCATACGCTATGTTGTTTGGACGCCCAGTTGACCCGCCTTTTAAAGTCAAGAGTTATGCCGCCTCAAGACGAGTATTCGGAGTACATATTACGAATCAAACCACATGCTACAAAACAGAAAGTTGGAATGAAGGGATTGTGATGAGAAGTATTTGAATCACCAAAATGGAGGTGATGCGTGCACTTTGCTTTTCTGACTTGAAACACAGAAACCTTGAGCCGCTGACACAAGTGGAGATGGGCGCCTTACAATTTGATATAGTGTCTCCTATCAGTAATAGGAAGCCACCATTTGATACGAGTTCTAGGAGTGTAAGGAAAGGTCCTCCCCATCTACATAAAAACTCCGAGCACAACGGATGGCCCAAAACAGAATACTGGCTCCAGGCTCCGATTCAAACTTGAGCCATGTATCATGATTGATATCGAAAGCGGGCTGGCGTGTACGTCTTGCATCATAGCGCTGGTTACAACGGAAATATTAGGAGGGAAATTTCTAAGGAGAAAATAAGCGGTGACGAGAAACGTTGGAGAGAGGGCCGACCCAAGTTGCGCACGAGCAAGTACCTATGGAGCTTGCAGTTCACGCTTGAACTTGCCACCGCCACCCAACCGCGTTAACGCGTGACAAACAACCGGGTTGCCTCGCGACGCGTGAGGCGGGATGCATATTGGTACGAAGGTTCGATCCTAAATCTAACATTTGGGCGAAATTTGTCACAAAAATTTGGCGCCACATATGTACGCATTCGGATCGGGTAACCCTGCTTTTCAGAGACTTTGGTACGCACAACGGATCGAACCATCGTTTGCGAAGACCCTGCATGCAATGTAGGCATCGCTATTATTCGCGGTGTAAATGTGTACTTCGGACCCGATAGCGAGTAAAAACACCTTTTTTCAGTCCAACTTCATTGACGAGGACAGCGCGCTCGAGATTGCCTTCGCGCACATGTGTGTTGCGAACAAAAAATGTCGAGATTTGCCTACTGTGAAGTTAGGGAATGATAACTTCCACTCGCTTTTGTGCGTACGTGGATCGAACCTAAGATACAAAGCTTGACTTGTGTCAGCATTTGGGATCGGACCACTGCTGAAAAAAGGCACAGTCTTTGTACTTTTGCGATCGGACATGGAGGTCTTTTCGCACAAAATGTGTACGCATTGGGATCGAACCTCGTAACCAGTATGCATCCCGCCTGACGCGTGGCGCGTTGCCCTTTCTCTTCGTAAGAGAAATCTGAGTCGACGGTGACCGTTCCCCCATCTCCCATTGCGCTCAACTCGGCTTGATTGGTTCTGAAGAACCTCAATATTCAATACCGATATCATGGCAGCAAAATAGTGATCTTCTGCAGAAGTGGATCAGAAATGGGCCCGGTTGACTCTGTCAGATCCTCACCATGTCGTCGGTCTTTTCGAGCTCGACTGGCGTGGCAACCAGCGCAATTGGTGGGGAGATAAAGCTTCCGTGTATTGACCGCTCACTGTAGAAATGTTTTTATATATACTCACTTACATCTTGATAACCTACCAGGACATTGACCCAGCCATCCGCTGTATATACCAGACCATCCGCTCTAGCAAGCCTGGCGCAGAATGGCGCGCTCTAGTGCATGGCGGGATAGTCGATATGATATGTGAATGTGTCGCTGGGGAAAGGACTACATTGGATCGGCCGGTCGCTCTACGATACAATGCATCCGGTGCTGCACCGACGGTAAGTGACCAGGCTGCCCACAAGGGTCGACGTCACCTTTGTACGGAATTCAGGTTCTCTGTTGGCAGTTTCATTCGGTCTACCACCCGGCGTTGGCGATAATATACGAAATGGAACAAATACTTCAAAATCCCCCGTCTGCGCTGTGTTTACTTATCATCGATTCGCTCCGAAGGCATTGGCCAGACATGATGCAGCGCGTGAGTAAATTTCGACTCGGTCAGTAGAACTATGTCACTGACGCTGACGTGTAATCAGCTTTGGACGGATCCTTCAAACACCACCCACCCTCACATGGAGATGGTCCTGGAGCGTATCGTGGTTCAGAGTATCGTCAACTTCGTGTCATTCTCGGACCCAAGTTTCCTCGACGTCGGTCCGATGCCTGACCTGCGTCTGACTCGTTGGACAATGTACTGATGATGTAACGATAGATGATCAGAGGTAATGACGACCTCACCCTCGCTCTTTACGTCTGATACTGGATGAACTCGAGCACCACCCGCGATTTTGCTCTTCTGCTGTCGCACATCGCCACTATCTTCCCCCCCGGAGAGTACTTATCCACTGACATCCCTCCTCCGACTTCTCTCAGTAAACTTCCTCGCGACATTCGAAAAGGAGCCGGATCCATGCGGAAATGCTTCTCGAGGATCGAGGGCTCGTTTAAGTGGCTTGTCGGTGCCGACCTGGAGAAAGCGCTGATGCTCATGAGCGTGCTCGTCCGCTACGGTCATTCCGAGATGCCGAAGGAGCCTGAATTCGATAGACCAGACCTCGTTCGCACTCTCATAAAGGCAAATGGACTTTGGAGTGGTCTGTTCACCGTTATGACGAAAACAGTGGAAGACGATAAGAAGGGAGAGTCCTCTGCGCTCAATGTCTACGTTACCACGACGCGAGCGCTCAGCTCGTGTCTTGCCCACTATGTGGTCCGTTTCCCTAATGAAGGTGCTATTTTTGTGAGGTTTCTTGTGCGTGCAGGGATGTTCGATGCCTTGGACGTTTCTTTACCCTATTTCGCGTCTCGTGCGGACGTGTCTGGTGCGTGATATTACTAACATGGCTCTTCATTGGTATTTTACTAACTTAATTTTACCTTTCAAATGCTACAGTGGCACTTACCGAGAGAGTGTCCACCTTCCTCGTCCCCGCACTCTTCGCCCCATCCTCGACTCCGCCTACATAGGCCCTGGGAAACCACATCCTCCGAAATATATACCCCGACACGTATTACCGCTTTCGAGTCCAGAGACCCCATTCACGAAGCACATCCGGCCTTGGGTCGGATGGAACAATCTTGAATTGCGGTGCCAGATCGATAAGGAATGCACAAGGAGAGGGTGTACAAACCGTCGACGGGCTGTGTGTCCGGATTGTCAGACGGCGAATTACTGTGGAAAAAAAGCTGCCAGAAGCTGTGAGTCCGGTTGCTTGTATACTCATGTCGACTCTGCTGTAGAGATTGGAGAGAGGACCGTTTGGTATGCGGTCACTCGGTACTGTATGCCAAAGATCCTAAGGAGCAGGAGAAATTTGGCATGCTTGAGGTTCCTTTCAGACTCCCTCTTCGGCCGTAGTGAAGGACTTTCTAGATAGAATCATCTCTCTACCTGGGTTACCCACCTTGAAGCGTGTATGCGCTGTCGTGTCACGAGAATAAATACGCCCTTGTCCTAAAATTACCGCTGAATCATAATAGTGTGTGCCCGTGGTACAGCAACGAGTCTGGGAAGATTCGACCTCTTCGTAAAGTCACACAATAACTTCATTGCTAGGGTGACGAAGACGACGCTATTGACCCCATGTACGCCCCACAAAGTACAAAATGACGACTTCTGCTCTGTGAGGTGTGAATGAAGATGCGGAATCAAACTTTCAGAAATCTGGGCGGAGGGCGATGCAAGCGTCGAAGGACGTAAAAGGCAACTGATTCAATAGCAGCGACGAATAATCTGAGAGTCAGACCGCAAAGAACAAAAACTCAAGGGGCGTTCGTCATTCGTGGTGCCGTACGGGCTCTCCGTGATACCCTCTACGTGTGTTCAAGGGCGCCTGCTCGAAAGGATACCCGATAACGAGCTGTATGACCATTGGCCGTGTGCGTAAATATCGTCAGAAAGGCAGGGTTCGGCAGATCAGTGGCGCAACTGTGTTTGTAAGACCAGAAAGCAGGAGCCGGGCATCTACGTCTTCCCCAGGCAAACTATTCAGCCATTTTATCAGCCTCAAAAATCTCGGGTATCTGGATTTGGGAACGAGTCTTCATACGACTTCAATACGCAGACGATGCGTGTTCTCCTTCTCGGAGCCACAGGTCCCTCTGGCATCCTGATCATCCACGAATTCTTCAAGGCCTACCCAGATGGGACCTTGATCATTTACGCTCGCAATCCCTCCAAACTCCGCTCACAAATCATATCCAACCCATCCATAACCATCATCAAAGGAGAACTCACCGATACCGATTCCCTCATCACCACATTCACATCCACATCATCCCAACCAAAGATCGACGCTGTCCTGTCTACGCTAGGACCCGCGTTCGGCCACCCCTCCACGCTTCCGCTGACCAGGGCCTACGATACCCTCATCCCCATCATGGCCGCTCACGGGTGTCAATGACTCATCGCGCTATCCACAATATCCGCTGAAGATAAACGAGACAAGTTCAGCATACTCGCTTGCATCCTCGTCACTATTGTCTGGCTCATCCAGCGTAATGCGTATAACGACATTGTGGCGTACTCGAAAGGCATCGCCTCGAACTGCGACGAATACGCCATTGATTGGACGCTCGTGAGGGTCCTGAGCCTGAACAATAGGAAGGTACAGAAATTGGTGGTAGGATATGTCGGAGATGGAAGAACGGGGGTTGGGTTGAGTCGGTTTGCGATGGCGCAGTTTTATGTGGGGGAGATTGAGGGGAGTGGGTGGGTGAGGAAGGCTCCAGCCCTGTCGTCGAAGGTACCTTGATAGGTGAGAGACGGCAAAGTAATCCTCGAAAACAAAGGCAGCGTTCGGGTGACTGAGGAAAGTCCTTCTCGCTCAAATCAAGGTGCTGGTGCCAGTGGTGAAGTGGTTCGAGAGAGAGGGAGCCACCGCCACACCGAGATGGGCACGTGGCCGATCAGTTGACGTTGTTTTCCTCCGTATTTTTTCACTTTCGTCCTCGACGACGACGACGGGCTCGGCGGCTCTCAGTCTTTGTACAGATTACCCAGATCGTGCACCTTCCCTGTATCCGATACATTCGCACAATATTATCTCACATATGACAATATTAATGTCTGAATCTGAAGCACCTTCTCGACTTGTTCTCGACTCTTGCTCATGCGGTCCAGTCTTCACGAACTGGCCAGTCAAGCAAGTTCACCCATGGTCCACTGTCAATCATGAACTTGCATCTGGGGGGATAAAATAGTGTTGAACGGAAACAGTGGAGAGGTTTTTACTGTGCGTATCTTCTCCACGACCGTCCCGTCCCATCCCGTCTGGTCGTCCATCATCGTCCGATACTTACCAACACCTTCGCACCCATTTTCTCTGCACCCATTTTCTTCCAGATCAGATACAATGACGATGCCTCCCTCTTTATCTGTTGTGTGCAACATATGACCGAGTAGACGGATTGCGCTCGGTGATCACCACAATCTCAAAACCCTTCATCTTTTCCCTTCTACAACCGCTCTAAGCTCTAGATGTGGGTCAAAGCGTATTTCAGTGTACCGCTTCAACACTTTGGCCATCGTATGTTCGTGCTTCACGGTCAACTCTTCCACCCCTCGCGGACACCCACTTCTAGGCGCTGGACGATCCACACCCCGCCCGGTTCCATACATAAAGCAATTCAAGATGAAAAATGCATATTCAGCCCTTATTTCTTCGTCGACGATTTAATAGCTATCTGGTACGCCTCCCTCTTTTTCATTCGTCCCTTTCAATAAATCAACCAGAGTCTTTCACTGACGCAGCCCCTGTTCCCGACCGTAGACGCCACTCATCTCTGTCGCATAGAGCTCAATAAGCATACACGATGTCCCACTCCTCCAATCCGAAGACAATCTTCATCACCGGTGCCTCATCCGGTATAGGCCTCGCTTCCGCCCTCCTCTTCCACTCCCGCGGTTGGAATGTCGTCGCCACGATGCGCAGTCCTTCCAGAGCACCCTCTGTCCTCTCCTCCCTCGCCATCTCTGACGAGTCTTGTATACTTATAACCCGACTCGACGTGACTGACTACGACTCCATCGAGCCAGCGATCAAATCCGGAGTAGACCGGTTCGGAAAGATCGACGTCTTGTTGAACAATGCTGGGTACGGGCAGCAAGGACTATTTGAAGCGATTTCGAGGGAAAAGGTCAAGGAGCAGTTCAATGTCAATCTGTACGGTGCGTCTGGTCTCCTTCATCTTTTCTTTCCGCGTATGTGCAGTTATCCTCGTCTCACCCTGGCCGCATCGTATCCAATGTACAGGCGTAATGGACGTCACCCGCCTCATCCTCCCCCACTTCCGTCAGCACTCTCACTCAAGCAGCACATCGGATTCTGGCTCCCAACACGGAATAGTCAACGTCTCCTCCGGTGCCGGTTTCTGGGGGCTACCCATCTCCACGCTCTACACCTCATCCAAATTCGCCCTCGAAGGCTTCACAGAATCGCTCTCCTACGAGCTCGCTTCACAGCGCATCTTCGTCAAATGGCGTCTCTTCCACGGCATTCATGGAGCGTGCGGGTTCTGAGATGCCGGCTGGGGATGACGGCAAGGGACTGAGGTTGAGCGACTATGACACGTTCATGGAGAAGACGAACGAGAGCTATAAGCGGATGGTCGGGGGCGTTAGTATCTCGAGCGAAGATGTGGCGAGGAAGATACTCGAGGCGGTCACGGACGGGTTTTCGGACGATGGGGCTGAAGAGGAAACGGTGTCGCGAAGGCAGAGGTTGAGGTATTGGGTGGGGAACGATGCGAGAGGGTTCGTGAAGGCGAGGTATGCCTCGAAGGATGACGAAGAGTATATGGGATTCATGAGGGGGTATTTCCAATGAGGGCTTATGTTCCTAGTCAGGGAACGAACGCACTGAAAAAGTGGCCCAGTCTGATGAGCGAAAAAGTAACAGGTTCGTTCCATCTAATCTTTGGTTATGCTAGCATTCCTTGCTCTGCTTATCTTTCAAGACTGACAGCTGCATCGCTCGTAGACTCTTGATAAACATTCTTACCTTTTCTACTCGATGGTATATATTCATCGAGACCGTTGCTATTTTCTTGTCTCCCTTCTGAGAGGTATGTATAAACGCATGCGGCAAGCTCAGGCGTATATGTGTCGCGGACGGACCACATCGTGGCAAAGACAGGGCGATACTGCGCCGTGAGCTCCCCTTGTCTCCTTGTTGACACAAAATAAAGGTTGGACGTCTTTACGAACGTCATCCACGATTCTTCGTGACTGTGGGCCATCGCCTTACGTGCGTAGAGCTCGTGCCTCAGTTTCAACCAGACCGTTATGCTCTGTATGCGCTCCTTTCCCTTTATTAGATAATCTTGAGCTTCGTGGGTCTCTTCGTTCCACCAACTCCAATACTTCCTCCTTCATCATTACAGTGCGTCGGCTGCTTCCGAAAACTCGGGGAATGTGCGTTTTCCAACCACAACATATCCGCTATATAGGCCATTCCCGGGAGCCACTCGCTGGTCTGTTGAGGCTCGATCATAGGTGCTGCAGTACACAGGAGATCGTATGTTGTACATACATCGATGTCGAGATCGACGGGCAAAAGTGTCACTCATGATCAAGGCTACCTCACCATCAATGATCAACGGTATGGTCGCTGTCATCACCCACTTGACGGAAGTGAAAAGCATAGCATCTCTCCTGCACTAAGCCGTGAGAGGACCCCCGAAAACTCCCTATGAGGTCTGATTTTTGCGCGGGGACGAAGGCGGCGCGTCAGCGCCGCGGTCCGAAATTTTTGCGGGGACGGGGACGGGAAATTCTGGCCAGATGTATGATTTTTTCGCGGGGACGAGAGTGGTTTCAGCCGAGGTCTGTTCCCGTCGCGGGGACGAAGGCGACCCCAAGCTCGATCTTGACCTCACCCTAACCTCAACAATACCTAACCTCACCATAAACTGACCTAGTCCGGACCTAATTTTTTGCAACCTAGCTTTTCCTGCAGCCGAAAACTGCTCGTTCGAACCGGTATGGCTCGGAATCAGCGATACGAGACTGTGACAGACTTGATTAGGCTAGGTTAGGGTAAGTTGAGGTTAAGTTGAGGTTAGGTGAGGTTAAGTTGAGGTTAAGTTGAAGATTTTCAAGCTCACCTAATGAAACCAGCGGTGCTCGAATAAATTCACTATTTATGAGGATTTTTCGATGTATATTCCAAGACGCGGGGCCCAAATTGACCTGGGACACAGGTATGTTCCGAGCGCGGGGACGAGGGCAGCTCACAGAGCCGGCGACTACGCGGGGCCCAAGATCAGAGGGCGGAACAGACCTCTGAGGGGGTTTTCGGGGGTCCTGCCGTGAGCTAGTATCGTGTACCCAGGGTTCACTTTTTTTTACCTATAGAACTCTCTCGCATGCATGCGGACATGAAATGCGCATGCCTTGCAGTGTTCTAGCGAGTCCACTGAGAAAATTCCCCATTGGAGGGGCGACGCAGTGATCAGGGTCGTCTTGCTACAACATGTATGGAGGTGTATGTGCACTATTTATCATTGTCTTACGCCCTCGGTATGCGAGCCCTCGCTCGTTTACTGTACGCTGCGTTCACCTCATATAATAGTTGCCTAAATGCGCATCCATCAGTGCAATATTTGTCAATATTCGTTGATCTATGGCAGTCCACCGCGCTGAGAACACAAGGATCGTTCCTGAATCATACATACTGGCCCTCACGCAAGACGCAATGTAGGACTGAGCAACGTCACTTAGACCACTGCGCATCAAACTTCTAGGTTAGATCATTATGAATGCACGGGCATGAAGACACTGCCCGACTTCTCAGTACGTATATTTAAATTTTTGTCGAAGCTCCTGCATACTACGAACTATCTCTTTTCAGAAGATTGAACTGCTCTGGCGCGCGAGGCAGGGCGCTGCAGATCGTTAGAGCCCTCGCCTACGTGAGTTACCAAGTATATGAGATCCGAGAATACTCAGCTGAAGGATCCTTGACTGGAGTCAGGAGCAGTGAGTCCTCCAGAGTCCTCGTCATCTCCTTCAATCACGATATTTTCACCCACTCAAAGACTTGACTCTAACCACCTTTCTGCACGAAGACGAGGTTCACGACCACGGCATCGTTTTAAGCACTTCTGCACTCTTCTCGTCCTCGGGCTCTCTCCACAAGTGAAAAAGGACAGCCTCTCCATACCCGATTCCGAGTATAGCGCCTTCCGTAAGTGCGAGATCGTTATCGTAATTAGTCCCGGAGCTGATTTGTCATGGTAGTTGGACCATTCGCATAGAGCAATTGGTGTAATTGGCTCTTCCGACCAGAAGCTCAAAACTGGGCAGGGAAATCTGGTCTGATAGCAACCCCTACCAGGAGTTCACGGTGATGGCTTCCCCCGATACGACTGGGTACATTTTATTTCGATTCTTCTAGTCCACCTGAATTATATTAAACATATTTCTTTTTGTCATAAAGCAGAGGAAGTCCCCCGCTCGAGATACAACCTCACGCCACGCGTCACGTCGCCCCAACCAACCCGCCACCTGGCCCAAATTCACGCTTCACCATAGTGTTTGGCCGGAATTTTCTACTCACTGTTCGAACGGCAACTGCCCAATTCGTTGTCGGCACCGACTCAGCGGTATACTGGTCCACGCCATCACGGGTCAGTTCGAATGATGAGCCTGTCGTTTCTCTGTGTATCTACATGGGAACTGGCCTCGACGTGCTATTCAACCTTCTAAGAGCAAGATTAGAGGAAGACGGCTACGAACCTCGCCTTTACACAGACGACATTCCACCCAATACCACCGAAAGTACCGATCCAAAACCATCACCTCTCGCGCATTCTACGTCCTTCCCCACGGATCTCTCCCTCTCCCTTGTCGGAAACGTTATCGCATTCGACGATCTCACCAGTCCTGGAAACATTCATGGGTTCCGACGACTCCCTCTTACATGTCGGCCCAATATTGACGATCTGTACCCTATCATATGTGGTGCCACCAACTGGTATTATCACTTACGGAGGTGTCCTGCGCCTTCGAGGAGGCAGCTGACCGGGAAGGGTGATGGTACGGTAAAGTTAGAGGTCATGGAGGTGGAGGAGGGCGATGGGTGGGACGAGATGTTGATGCCAAAGTATGTTCCGGTGAGGAGGGTGAAGACGAGTGCAGAGGCCGGTGGACATGAGGGATCGAAGTACGTTAAAGAACGTATCGGGGTAGGAAGAGGAGATAACGGCCCTGTGTATATTGAAGTCGAGGCGGATGTGCCCAAGATGTACGGTCAGGAAATCACGAACGACTCAAAGTATGCTTTGTATCCCTCGCTACTTTACTTCGACAACAGCGACTTCAGCATCGGTAAATCCCTTTCATGCCTTCATTGCTTCTACACTGTGCTCACTCAAACAATTGCATGTCACTTTCTAGTGCGTTATTACCTTACACCCTCGTCTCCTTCCACCGCTGTTCCAAACCCTCCTCTACCGGCAAACAGCACCCTCACACCTGGCTATGGCGCAAGCGGAACACCGCCTCATCTTTACTTTCTGCGTTTGAATCAAGACCTCGACATCGGATATATCAAGCTTTTCCTGAATACGAGATACGTCGACCTCTCGCATATCGAGCAAAAATCGCCATTCGAGGGTGCGGAGGGAGCACGATTAGCGGCTTTGAGCAGAGGTGTGGGCGGTGGGGAAGATAGGCAGTCGAAGGTACAGGAAGCGAGAAGGGTGTTGAAGAGTTCGATTTGGGATGAGATAACGTACGTGATAGTGCAGAGGAAGGTTGACTGTCACGATAGAGAAAGACCTGGGTCGGGGGAAGACGCTAGCATACAGCGGCCTGCGACAACGGGACCAGGGTGGGGGAGCTTTTGGAGCAAATTGGTTCGAAGTGTGCTTCCAAAATTTGTTCTTTCTTGGTTTCATATGTCTTGAATGGTTTACAAGCCGATGCTGAGGTGGTCTGCCGAAGTGCCCTCGCCCCAAATTAGCAACGTAAATATCTTGTTCACTCGTGGCTAGTGTGATTTCTTCCGAAAGGAAAGAACTGGGGCGGCACAATGTTATTCATGCATTCGTGTTCCTCCACCGCGCGCTGCCAATTCGACTCTCCAGTCCTCGTCTTATCCGACATTCAATCAGCCCCGTGTGGATCAAGTTCACCTCCGAATCTTCTCTATTGTGGAAAACATCAAACTTTATTCATCTTCATGAAACGAAGGCTTAAGAGTGACCGGAACTTACCTCCGGGGTTACCTTTGAAGGCGGGCTAGAAGAGGCGACAGCGAGGACGACTAGGAACACAAGGTAGAGCATGGTCGATTTGACAATCATGGCTTCGGTCAAAGTATATGTATGGAGTGCAGTGAATTGTACGGGGGATTTCAGACTGGAGGGAGCAGGATGAGGCAGGGTGATTCGTTTGGGAAACGATGGTCCTTTATCTGCCTCCTATTAGCGCGAAGTCACCCTCACATGAACCTCGGACCAACCTCGCCGGGGTATTCCATTTTTTTGCGGGTTTGTGTCCTGGGGGCGATGCCTATGAATGGTTGAATAGTGACGGTATAGCTGTACTTTCGGAGTGTGAAATATCGTCATATTGTCCCCAGCACGGAACACTCCTCTCATGTAAGGGTATTCGTCAAATACACCGGATCGTTTTTCTTCTCATTTCCTTGCCTGACTTACGATACCTTATTGGAAAGATGACTTTGGCATACGGTATGCGCTTCGGAACAAGGGATGATCTCAAGGCGATGTAACTTGTGAGGTGAATCAGGGTGAATTCCACTTTGCGCTTACGTTCTAATTCCGCACTCAGTACTATACCCTTTTGAGCTGCGATCAGAACGGCGCATGGCATATTTATGATGTGCAATGGAGGGATAGTAGCGCCTGGATAGCCTTGTCACTCAAACTCCTGTAATTGGAAACCGTTCTTCTAGCTACAGAACGGATTCCACATATCAGACGCGTAGCACAAGAATAGCACGCCAACACCCATTTATTGCCAGTGTATATAATTCTTAATCGAAGAATACCTTCTACATCTTTGTCCGTAGTGGACCACTCAGAAATCGGATCGGGTTGAGGGTCTTTCACGAACTATGTCCGATGCATACAATGTGCCTTATCAATCCCTCAGAGAGCACGGTAAATTCGATTGAGACAAAGAAAGACGCTGGCAAGTGGATCGGCTTGGCTGTCCAAAAATTGCGAACTCCGTAGCCGCCGCCATGCATAGGTCTTTCTCATGTAGGAATTTCCATGCACGAAAGGTGATAGAACGATTTGTTCCAATCTCCTGACTCGAAGGTTGAGACTACATAAACGACCTAATCATCTTGATCGTTCTCTAACGGCCGTCATTCCCTCGTGTCTTCCCTGGATGTCTGCTGTAGATACTTCTCTTGGTGCTGTAGAGCTTGGAGGAATGATAATGATGCTCCTTTACGGAATCATGGTGGCCCAGGCTTATACTTACTACAAGTCCAGCTATTCTGGTGACAACCGTCTTGTCCATGTCTTGGTGAGCGGAGCCCTACTTCCCCGCTCGATATAGAATATTCAAGGGTCTCCATCGTCAGGTGCAAGGAATCATGTATGTTGAGATTCATTGTTTCCAATCAATCTCCGTTGCACACATTCACCTTCTCGTTGTAGATTCACTGAAACATTCCATACCGCCATCGTAGTGGCATTTATCTACATCACTTCTGTCACAGACTACGGACAACCATGGACCCTTAATGCCGCACACTGGACTGGACAATGGTCGGTTTCGATCGCCAGCCTAAATATCGCCATAATACAGGTGAGCCTCTACCCTAAATCGGGCCGCTTAGACTCAGCACATCCCCGATCAGGGATTTTTTGCATGGCGTGTACGATGCCTTTCTGGAAGGTGGACTATTCCTATACTCTCTTGGACAGGGTCCTCTGTACGAGTGGGGAGCTCAATCGCAGTAGGGGTCCTAACGCAGCGCACATCCCTGCTTTCCGTATTTCTCGATAAATACCGGTGGTTGAATACCCTCTGTCTTGGGATTGGCGCTGCGGTCGACCTTCTCAATACTGCTGCCCTGTGTTATTATCTACGAAAGGGCAGGTCCGGGTCGTTCAATAGGTCCGTCCCACTCTTTGACGATGTCAGTAATCATGTTCACATGGTCTAGCTCTCAGGCATTGATCGATACACTTATCCTGTGGACAATAGGCACGTTCAATCTCCTGAAATGCTCAGTCATATTAGAACTAACTTTGCGTGAATACTATAGAGACTGGGATGGCCACCGCGTAAGTTCGTCCTGTTCCACCATAATATGTGGCCTCATCTGACTATTGTTTCCGCGGGGACAGGCTCAATACGCTGACTGAACTTATATTCGTAAGTTTTCGGTCCAGCCCCATCCTAAATTACACTACAACTCATCTCTACGTATAGACCCAGACTATGACCCACAATCGTGAGTGGCATGCACTAAATACGTGTGGTTGCCAATCGTATGGGATGCTAAGGGTTTCTATAGTGGTATTTTTGGCTTTTTGCAGAATTCGGTACAAAAAGTCCGGTCTAGTTTTATTTCATGCATGGTAGATTCGCCAACTGACTCTCAGAAATTGTGACATTATTTTCAGTCTACTCCAACGCGTTCTTCGCCTCGTAAGTCTATGACAATCTGGAGGGTTTGTTCGGGGAAACTGATGCAACGACCTAGACTCAACGGCCGGTCAAGCCTTCGGGAACAGACCCATGTTCACGAACCTTCTGCAATGCTATCCACTGCACCACTAAGCGCCACACGTGTACGTATCTCACCTTATCCTATATCCCTTGCAGCTCAACTGACGGGGGTTACAGAGCAACTTGAACACAATCAATTTGACAGTTATGCATCCGGGACGCACCGCGTCGCAGAGCTTTATTTCCAACCAACAAAAATCGATTGTGTAATCCAGCAGTCCTCGGAAATATGTCCGCCCAGAGAGGCACATAGGTACATGCTAAGCCATACTGCATATTTATAACGCGTCGAAATTATTGGTACTGTCTCGATCCCAGACCGGCTTTCATTCATATTCATGTGTGCGGCGCCATTGGCTCGATATCCTTGGTCATCGGTTCATCTCAATGCATTGACAGGCCTCGCAAAAGAGTGGCAAGAAGACATAAGTGTATGATGCCACGGGCACACTATCGATAGCCGCTCGGTTATATATATCACTGGCCACTACTTAGGTATCTCGACGGTCTCACAGAGGCTTTGGATTCTCCTCATTGCCTCCTTGCCACCCACTTGTGCAAACCGCCTTTCGCACCGCTGAGTGCCAGTGAACTCACACATACGATCATTTCCGCACTTCATCATTTGCTGTTGTGAATAAACTGTGCCGAGACAAAGACTTGCGTATGTGAGCAGTGTCTTTCCACCCTGATCGCATCGAACACCTCGAGGCTTCAGCTTGCGTCTGACTTTCAATGTTATGATCCTAAACCCTCGTCGAAACGCACTTAAGTAGAATGCTCATTTATCGCGGAAAACTCGACTGGGGCTCCTACGCGGTGAACGAAGGAATCACCATCATTTTCCCCAACGACATCGGGCTCGGATACCCCGTCGGTGCTTGTTGGCAATGGACAAAAACCGAGGATGGACAAGCAAACTCGCCCGAATTCCAAACTGGGACCATCGACTCCGTCGACACACGTGAAGGAGAAATAATCGACCTCAGATTTTTCGAAAACCAGCGTTATCGTATCGAAGCCTCCGCACACAGCGTCGATAGACTGAGAATTACCATGACATCGGACAAAAACGCAGAAACCTCAGACACGAAGAGACTCGATCTCGTTTCTATCCCAGCCGAGTGGATGCCTTCGATCCCACCCACACTGCTCCCTGCATTTCGTCTTTACTTTGGGAAGCTCACTTATCTCCCATACGCGAAAGACGAGCTGTTCATCATGATTCTACCTCGAGGGATGGCGACGAACGCACCGGTCTTTACATTCTGGCAATGGACCACCGATGCGAAAGGGAACGTCAAGGCAAATACCGACACTATAGACCGCATCAGAGACCCAATCGGTGACACCTGGGCCGTCCAAGGTCCTGCCTACAAGCTCGCAGTGACAATAGACGACACCAAACAGACCGCGAACATCAACCTAGAGAATTCAGCGCGCCGAGTCCTGGGATATACCCTACTGACGCTCGACCCTCACTTCCTCCGCACCGCGAAATCTGTCCGTGCGCTGCCCATCCCCGCAGTGCTCTATGCTCGCCCGAACCGCGGGACTTATGACCATACCGCTCGAGCTCTGGCAGGCGTTGGTCTAGCCCTCGGGATCGCAGGGTTGATCCCGAGGGCATTCAACGCACTCGGGGCTTTGACAGCAGCAAAGGCAGCTTTGTCGATAACAACCGTGATTGCTGGTGCCGTATACACCGCACAAACCTTCGCTCCACCGGCTCGCGCGCCACCACGTCGAGTTCTCCCGGGTGGCTTCGTCGAGCGCACATCATCCGGTGGATTACTCTGCCCAGACAACGCCGACATCGATATCGTTAGTTGCACGATACCCGGATGGTTCATAGTCGGTGATCACGACGATATTCACGGCAATATTACTTCAGAGCAGGCCGCCGTTCCTGGTGGTTTGTCCGGAGTGATGATATCCTGTCACAGAGACTATCCGTCGAAATCACGATATCTCGATACCTATATCCATGATTTGAAGAATGAGAGAACGCTCCCCTTTCCCTGCTTTCGCGCTGCATCCGCAGACACCGCCTCTCTCCAGGTGACTCTGGGATTCGGGGATACAGCCAGAGAGTCAGAGTTCGCAGAGTGGAAGATCACGTCGACGGGCGTTCGGGTTTTATGTCTCAAATGCTGCAGGTTAACGTTCACGGGCACGCCGTCGCGGCACAAATGGGAGAGGCTGTTGGCAATATCCTCCACGTCGGAAGGGTCGGAAGGCGGGGCTCTGGGTCTGATCGCCGAAAGTCCGGAGTTCCTCGCGTATTGGGAGAACGCGCGTGGAGCGGTTTGGGCGATTAGGGGAGGAGGGGAGGGAGAGGGTTGGGATGTGACGTATACGGGTCAGGAGGGTGAGACTGTGTATTTTGTTGTACGGGAGGAGGTACCGTTGCAGCGCTTGAAGTTGGGAGAGTAGTTCATCAGCGTATTTGCGTGGTGCGTCTAGTTCAATCTTATATAGGAGAAAGTGAGATATGAGAGAGATCTCGCGCTTACTATGTCTTGCTACTCTCGTTAGGAGGCCCATCTTTCGCCATATGACCTTGTTCGCTATAAAATTGCTAGCAGAGAAGCGAGAGGAGTTGTAGTTCAGCAAGGGGTGCTTTCGTGAGCGATGTTTGTGGGTGTTCCATACCGTGTCACCTTGTCTCTCTGAGTACGCATCCCACGTAGTTCCAATATTATGGATAGTAGCCAAAGTCAACGATAGCCAACGATAGAGAAGTGGAGAATGGTCGTACAGAGTATTTGGACGGAGTACGACTCTGTGTCTGAGCTGTAATTATATCTGAGGAACGTCCACGCTCAGCCGTTACACAAGCAAGGGCTACGCAGTATGATCTCGCAAGGACAGTATAGTCAATGAAGGTCGGTATCCCGCACGACGGGAATCAGAAGTGGCGAAATAGGGGCTCATCTACGGGCACAAGCATTGTCTGTACGATGAACGTACGTGGCAGTCTTGCCATGATTGTCCACAAAATGCGCTTTGCAAGGTCAACATGGGGAAGTATAACGCCAAGTCGGATACGACAAAGAACTTGCCGTCTTCGTCACAGTTGCTTTCTCGCCACCGCCACACTCTTACACTCATTCGGTTAGCAGTAGAACGTCGTCGCCGGTTTGAGAGACGCAACGTACATTTGACTATTTGTTGTCGATGAGACGATGTTATAACGCACACGTCCGAGCTTGGGCGTATGTACTGTATGCGTGTAAATGTTCTGGGAAACTATGTGGATCGAAGCGAGCAGCGATATTGTGGGCTGAAGTAAGAGCTTGCATAAAGGAGTCGAATAGAAAGTTTTAATGCATATTTTTGACATCGCATCCTTCGAGATAGTCTGGTTCATCGAGCTTCGTCTGTGAGTACTAGAGTAAGTACGAGGAAGAATAGGACTCGTACGACCAAGAGTGCAGTCGTTATGCGACAGGTTTGAGCCGGCCGTGTACGCAAAGAGAAATCACTATATGAGAAAACGTAGGAAGCGTCAAACCAGTTGTATTCCAGAGGCACACAAGAGGAGCATAGTAGCCAGTACATTCCATGGTCGACGTTGAAGACGACGAGCGTCGAGAGCATCGTGATGAGTCATCCGAGGAGGCCCCGGAAGATGCCGGTCGAGCCGGCGGAAACTGTTTTTGGGCGCCAAAGAGGACTTTGCCTGGCACCGTCGTCGTCGCCGTCGTCCTCGTTCCCCTCGCCCTCGCCACTCATCCTCCTCTCGTCCCCGTCCCACTCTCAAACTAACAATGGCGAAGAAGAAGAGCAAGCAGGTAAGCATTTTGTGAGAGACCTGTGATGGAGAGGCTAACAGGGCATTGCAGATCCTGCGTCCGTGGTGCTGGTACTGTGAGCGGGAGTTTGAAGATGAGAAAGGTTCGTACGAGCCGCCTCTGCCCCAATCGGCTATGCTGACAGTACTATGTGGTCAGTTCTAATGCAGCACCAAAAGGCGAAGCACTTCAAGTGCAACATGTGTCCCCGCCGCCTCAACACCGCCGGCGGTCTCGCCGTCCACATCCAACAAGTCCACAAACTCGAACCAGAAAAGTGCGTTCTATCCACTCCTCTTCGTTCATCTCATACTTACACATGTACGCAGCCTCCCCCGAATAGAGAACGCGCTGCCCGGGCGCGATGGGTACGAAGTCGAGATCTTCGGGATGGAAGGCATCCCCGCGCCCGACGTCGCAGACTACAAACGCCGCAAAGAGATCGAACTCGGCCTCAGCGCAGGCTCCATATCCCAACCGCAAGCCAAACGCCCTAAGACCGAAAATCGACCCATGTCCGAAGACGAGCTGCGCGCGCAACTCGAGGCACACAAGGCCCTCATGGGCGCCGCCGACGCGCCCAACCCCTCCTCTTCTGGTCATGGCGCGAGTGGCGCAGAGTCGAGCGGGGCGGCGGTGATGTATGGTGCGCCGCCGCAGGCGTATCAGGGGTCGCCTATGGGTCCGACGCCGCCGGGGATGATGCCAGGTGCGCCTCCTTTTTTCCCTGGTATGCCTCCTCCGGGCTTTCCGCCCGGTTCGTCCCCGCCAGGCGCACCAGGGCAGATGCCATTCTCGCCCTTTCCGCCTGGTATGATGCCTCCTGGGTGAGCTCTCTCTACTTCTCTTTCTTTCCCCTCGTTCGACTCTAATCTGGAACGAATGAACGATAGCCCTCCGCCCGGCAACTTCGGTTTCTCCCCTCCCCCAGGCTATCCTATCCCACCCCCAGGCATGCAACTCCCCCCACCAGGCTCATCTCCCAATGCCTTTCCCCTCCCTCCACCTCCACCCGGCGTCCGCGTCGGCCCCTCCATGCCCGCTCCCGCTCCCGGCCAACAACAACCCGGCCAACAATCGCAACAACAGCAACAACAACAACCCCCCTTCCCCGGCGCTCCTCCCTTCCCTCCAATCGGCCAAGCAGCCCCACCATTCCCTCCTCAGAACGGACAGCCTGGCGCACCGCCCTTTCCACCAAACGGCCAAGGTGCTCCTCCGTTCCTGCCGAATGGTCAAGGCGCACCCCCGTTCCCTCCTCAGAACGGTCAATTCCCACCTGGGTTTCCGCCTTTTCCTCCCGGTGGTGGTCCGCCTCCATTCGGATATCCGCCTCCTAATTTCATGCCGCCTAATCCTAATATGCCTCCTCATCCGAATATGCAACAACAACACCAGCAACATCAGCAGGGCATGCCGCCTTTAATGAACACGCCTCCAAGCATGCCCGGTTCGACGCCCATGCCGCCGCCTATTTCGGGTGGGACGCCTGGTGGTGCGGGACAGGGAGGAGGTGGGATGCAATTCACGCCGCCGCCGGGAACGCCGATGCCGCCTACGCCGCAGAGTGGGACGTTTGGCGGGTTCCCGCCTGCTGCTGCCAACGGCGCGACCGCAAATGGAGGACCAGGAAGCGTTGGCGGAGGAGGACCAGGAGGAGGAGGGCAACAGGGAAGTGGAGCGCAACAGGGAGGTGGAGGACAGGTGCCACAGCTCGTGCTGCCGAACCCGGCGCTGGCGCAGACGAACCCGGAGATGAAGAAGAAGACGGAGTTGAAGTATGTGGATGCGAATTTTTCGCCGGTGAGTTCCTTTTCCTTCCCTTCCCGTTTCTCTCTTTTTATTTCGCTTCGCTTCTTGTCCGTTATATTATCCTCATCGACGGGCCTGACTGACGCATTCCATCTTTGCATCTCATGTTTCCTGTAGGACGAAGTCCGCGCGATCCATCCCAAATATTATTTCCCCAAAGGACAGCCTTACACTCCGACTGGGACTGGCGTCGGTGGAGGGTATGCGGCGGCTGGGACGGGCGACGAGCCGAGGGGGAAGAAGAGGGCGCGGGCGGAGGATTTCTTGTAGAGGGATGGAGGTGGGGAAATTGAGGAGAAGGGATTGGTGTCGTCAAAATTAGTGGGGGAGGTGATGGGGGGAATCCGTGTTGCGAGGGACGCGTGTCTGTGTGGCGCAGATGTCAACCTTTATGGTTGTGGAGACTGGGAAGGGGTTTGGAGTGGCGAAGATGGGTGCGTGGCGACGTAGGACTATTTGGGTGCATCGTGAAGCTGAAAGGAAGGTCGAAGGGAATAACGTTGCGGCACGAAGGGGATGTTTCGTCGGAATCTGGTGCTCGCGGCCATGATCTGTCGTCGGCCAGAGACGTTGCGGGGCGAAAGAAGCGACTTGGAGGCTCATCAGTCCGTCCATCACATTCCATCTAATTCCCCCACCACCATCTCGTCGTCTTCCTATGCTACCCACTCATCGCTCATCGTTTTCTTGCGCACAAGTTCTTCCGACGGCTCGTTGCCCCTATCACTGCTTTGTCCCAATCCCAATCCCGTATGGTTCGCGGTAAGTACCCCGAGCGGTGCGAGCCCTTTCTCCTCTTTTTTCTTGCTCTCTCCCATTCTTGTCATCTTCTCTTGAATTTTCGTTCTGTCTCCTGTGTCGCTGCTTCTCCTTTGGCTTCCGTAATATAATGAATGACGTTGACGAATGCTGCTGTACGGTCGGTGCCTCTTCTCTTCCTTTCCATCTTGTTCCATACTCTCTCTCTTCTTATTATCTCACAAACCCACAAAAAATAACCAACGACGCCAAGGTTCGTGAAAATGATATTATCAGAATTTTGGTCTTTGATCCCTGCTCTACTCCTCCGTGTGTCGCCTGATTGGACCGTCCAGTCGATAATGTTCCGCCATGCGCCGTTCTTTCGTCGGCCCACGCGTACCTACCCACTGCGCGAGGCAGAGAACGTGTGAAGGTCGAGGTCCAGAAATAGAGAAAAGAAACAGTTGGTGTGATTATCCTTCAAAGTTCGTCTATTCTTGTACGGTATGGGTGACAACCTGCAGGTGTCGAGCTGTAAGCAGTTTGCCTTCTTCTTTCGATCTTACCAGTTCGTCATAGGGCCCACCAGAGCCCAGCCGTCGACATGTTCGTGTCAGCTTCTTCTTTTGAAGGCGCTCAACTGACGGCTTGTATTCGGAATGTGCAGATGGCGTTGGCGTGATAAGTTCCACCAACTGGACTCTTGTGCTGTCGCCGGGTGAGGATGATACTTTAGACGACTTACTTCGTTTAGGTCATTTATATATAGTCTTGAGGAGGAATGGAGGCACTTTCGGTTTCGCTCTTTGGGATCTGGGATGTGGTGAGTGTTCTCGAACATATCTTTACGCCAGGAACGAGATTTGGACAACTCATGGCTGATTCTGGTCCTATCTACGGCTAATGATATAGGCGACTGTTTACCTAGATCTATATCTGGATGCGAATCCTGGGAAGAGAAAGATGCTTAGACCTGGTAGGCAAGTTATACCACCACCACCACCACCACCACCAGGTACGGATATCTGTGGCGCTATAGACATATGGATGTACTCTACACTTTGTACGTATGACTTTGACGCAATGCAATGCTTTTTTTCTACGTGAGTGGAGAGAAGAGGTGTCTGGTACTCTTGGACTTCGATGAAATGCGTACTGGTGCTAATAGTAGACCGCGCTCCACTCGCGGACGAATATACTTCGTTCGTGGCTATACTTCGTTCAGGTGAGTACTAGACTGTTTCAAACCATACTAGTTCGAGAACTGATACTAATCGTCTTACATCTTCGCAGTACATATCTAAGACTATATGTGCTTTGCGGCCTTGTACCCAGAAACTGAAACGGTGAACCTGGCCATTTTCTTCGCCTGAGCGCGTTTGAGATCGATGAACCCAATCACCTTAAGTCACGATTGGGTGCGTTTAGTGATTCCCTCTATACTTACTGCTCGTTCTTTCCAGATTGTGTACACGAAGGTGGACATACCCTTCATTCCGATAAAAGTGTTTACTGGACTGACGACAAAGTGTCCATCTATACACCCTACTGGTCGAATTACGTTCACCCCCCCCACAACTATTGGTTCAACTCTTGATTCACCCTCTTCTTAATCTAGCCGAAGAACGACCTCATGAACGCCATGTCCACTTCATCGCTCTTCGACTCAAAGCTCGCCTTGACAAACCCATGATCCCCACTTCCAATCCAATACCTTATATATCTTATTCGCCACGTCCATTGCACCGATTGTTTTCTCCTTCGAGTCCGCCAACATTTGCCCGTATCGTTCTCCTATCCTCTCGACGAACTCGATTCAGACATGGTTTTAATGAACGAGGTGGCTAATTGAGTTGGACTTGACACCAATTCTGACTATGCGAGGTGTTTTATAGCTGGTCGCAGTGGTGTCCATGGCACTCTGTTATTGTACAGAACGTGTTCTCTCGGTGTCCATTGACGAGCGCGTATGTGACGTGAGTATTGTTCTCCATTGGCCTAGTATGGATCTTCCCTTGCTGACTATAGGCTGTGCTGAAGCTGAAGCAAAGCGTGTCCACTACAGGTGTCTCTCACTGTACATGCCTTCCTATCTCCTTCCCTTGGCGGTCCATCGTGGTGGTAACAATAGCGTTTAACGCCTAGCCATTCTACCTCCCATCTAATCCCCTTTATGTACCAGTCACCACATGAAGTCTCGTAATACGAAACATGGGCGCAGATCCTCGCGAGCCTTGGGCGTTTTCCACGGCCTCGTTGAATGCACGCCCCTTTGGTGAGCTTCATGCGCTCATGCACCCTTGCTCTTTACACCGTCTCTCACAAGTTCCCACTTACCCTCCTCACTCATGGACACTCAGATTGAACCAACACCGACAGGTGTGTCCCCGCAGAACACCGTAGAAAGAGACGTAGAAGCGCGCAAAAAGTGGCAGAAAATCGTTGCTAGCGACGCGAAACGTGCTGTGGGGATCCTCGACCTTGAGCGTTCCGCTTCCAATTGATGGGGAGATTCGCTCAAAGTACGTCTCCCTCTACGTTCCAGTAAGCTACACGGCTGGGTGACTTGGAATCGTGCTTCTATGTAGGACTTCAATCCGGCTTTAAACGTCATTATCGACGCAATAAATGTCGGAGGTTCCAACCTCCAGGCCCTCGTCGAGGCTGGACTCGTGAAGAAATTTATTGACGGTCTGGTCGATGCAAGAGGAGCGATGGCCATTGTGCAGTTCAATGATATAGAATGCGGAAAAAGAGTGAGTTTATCGCGTACATACCTGGATTCTATGATGCTCAAATGTGCTAGGTTCCTCTCGCGAGCCACGTGATGGCGCTCTCCATGATTTGTTCTGTCGTGAAGCATTGGGGGGTTAACCCCCATCACGAACGCCAGAACGCGCGGTCCTCTCGGCTTTGAGGAAGCATTGGCCCGACATTATCGCCAAGGTTCGTGCCGTACATCGACCGAACGTTTCGGTGATTTGGTTTCTTGCTCAAAGTTTGCATATCGGTGACCTGGCAGTTATTCGACCAAGATACACAGGCGACAGATTCACATTTCTTGCAAGAGAGAGCCCACATCCATCAAATTACCATGAAGCTTCTCCTGGTCGACGGTCACTTCTTTAAGGTTTGATACGTCCATCATGGTGTCCTTAACATTGTTCTCATTCCGCCCCGGTATTCAGAGGATGGTGCGCGGTAAAAGGGATCGAACCGTAACTCTCTTTGTTCACTACCTCATGAAAGCCACCTCTGCCACCGAGTATGGAGCCTTCGTCGAGTTTCTTTCCGCTGTCCTTCCCCACACTGAGGACGTGATGACGCCGAGCGTGTCCGATCTCACCGCCACTTTGCGCATCTTTGGCAACGTGCGAAAAGGCAGCAACGACTGCCTCGTCAGCTTCTTCAAGAAACTAGGAGCAGGCCTTCCCTCTATTCAGTCGGATCCGAGGTTTTCTCTGAAGCTGTTTGAGGTGATAGGAGGACTATGGAACTTTATCACCGTCGACGACAGAGCATGGAATCTCTGCCCTTCACTTGTTGCCCAGTTGCCCGTTATTCTCTCCCTCGCTCAGCCATTCTGGAAGAATCTTTACACTCTACTCTCCACGTTGGCCCATCAGTACCAGGATATCAGTTCTGAAGACTCTTTTTCGAGGGCATCCAACGACGTTGGCATCTACAACATGATTCGTCGCTGTCACAAGCCGCTTACAACAACCCTTCAGAAAGGGAGAGACCGCGACGCCTCCGTCCTTGTCGTCGCATTCATTCAGGCTGGTGTCTTCAGCTTCTTGGATAGCGTCGTCTCTTGTTTATCTTTCGAAGCTGGTCACGGTATGTACCTCTTCAAACTTCACCCTCGTGTGATCTTCTGCATAGGGCTTTTCGCTGATAATAGAACTGCAACAGGGGAAGGATCTCATTTCTTCTTTGTCGGCGTATTTCTCAATGATATCCTTACCGTCTGCGAAACATACCCCGACGCGATATCCACCCTACGTCCTTATCTTCCACTGCCTCGTCTTCTTCGTACCTCCCTTGACGCCGTCTATGCCCACAATGCGCACCCGCCTCCGACCGAAATAACTGATGTGACTAAGTTGGATTTGAGGGCCTTGGCTTGGTATTCACTTGCAAGACTTCAGCAGATGTGTACCGTCCGTGGGGAGTGCCAGGCCCGCGGGTGTATGAAGAGCGGGAAGTTGTATCGCTGTAAAGGGTGCTTTACTATGTTGTACTGCGGGACGGAATGCCAAATTCGGTGCGTTTTTCTCCTTGGTCTAATTCATATCGTTGTGGGTCGTCATATGTGTTCACTCATCATTCTGTCCTGTCTATTTTTCAAAGGGATTGGAAGGAACATAAACTTGTATGCGGATTCCTCTTACACCCGACGTCCGCCTCCGAAGTGGCATACTCTCTCAGGATGCCTACTCGATTTCGCCAGTACGATCCGAGCACTCAGTGATCATTTCGTATCCGCACTGTATTTAAGGCGCTTTCTTCCCGTCTCAACGACACTTCTCTCGATTCTCCACTTCGTCCCGTAACGAAACCATCTCCACGCACTTTAAGTCGCCAGGTATAGCCTGGTTGAGCCCCGGGACTATAATATCTGCTGTATAGCTCTTGCCTTCCTTCGACCACTTTTTCTCTACCTATGGACCGTTCAGGTAGTATCTTGGGATGTATACATAATCTGATGTTCGGAAGATTATAGCGCCTCACAATGTGTACGGCGGGGTGTGTTCAGCCCGAACCATGCCTTACAGCATGCCAATGGGTTAACTAGTCACTCGAGCGTGGGGCAATACCATCTTCGTTCTCTAACAGTGATCACACAAGGTTATGGCGTTGAGCATTGCACGACTTGAAAAGGGGACTGCCATGATTTATTCAACTCCGCTGTAAACCCTAAACTTCAACTGCGACAAAGAAGGCGACAAGCAACGGCTCGGCCACAGACACGAACAAGAGAAAGGTGAAACGAAACGAAGACAATTCAAAAGACCTCGGCTAGATAACTCGGGTGAGAGGAGATCTCTAGTTGGTAACGGCCCACCTCCTATTTAAAGCACCCAACCTCGCACTCCTCTTGACCCTCTCCTCCCTCCATTGTTCATCTCGCTTAAACTCCATCTCATCTTCCCTCTTCGCAGCTTCCTGTCTCTTCTGAGCCTCAGCAGCCTCAGCGCACGGGTCCGAGGTGGCAGTAGCGGCGACAGATGTTGCAGTGGCAGTAGCGGCGACAGATGTTGCAGTGGCAGAAGCAGATGAAGAGACGGCAACGTTAACGGAAGCGGATGAGGTGGCGCTGGCGTCTGTGGAGGTAGCGTCGGTGGCACCACCACCGCAAGGATCGGCGGCAGCAGAAGTGGTGGCAGCCTCTGCGGATGAGGAAGAAGCTGAGGCGACGGCTGAAGATGTCGCAATAGCAGTGGAAGAAGAGGCGGCGGCAGCGACGGAAGATGAAGCGACGGCAGTGGTCGACGTGGAGGTGGCGGCCGAGCTTGATGCTGAAGCAGCAACAGACGATGAGGCGGCGACAGAAGAGGCGACAGCGGAGGTCGAGGCAGCAACGGACGATGAAGCAGCAGAAGATGAGCCGGAAGACGAACCAGATCCATCGACTGTGAAGTCAACGCAGCTCATGTATCTATACACCAGTATTCAGAAAGGAGTCAGTCGCACAATAGCATGACGGTCAGCAAGAGGCAGATCACGCACGTCTGGTCAATAGATCTGGCATCCCACCACCACTGCAACACGCAGGTACCGGCCTCTGTACAGCTACTTCCGACGTCGGGAAGAGTGACTGAGAAGGATGTCTCGTTGGCACCGATGGTGTGAGACGTGGAGTAAGCATCGGTATCGGTCCAGAGCACATCGCCGATGATTCTGTTGTATAAAGTAGGAGGCTTAGGTCCGATTCACACCTTGTATGTGAAAGGGTACAATGGATGGAGAAAGAAAGGCGCACTCGTTGGTTTGGGTGTTCACGACCGAGACGTTCTGTTATAGGAGCAAGGACAAGAGATATTCAGTTATGCAGTAAAACAGGACCGTTAAGTATGTGTAGACGTACGGCGACGCCCGTATGAGGAGCGCGGATGTCAATAGTGAAGTCTACAGTCTGACCAGCGGTGTACCTGCGGGCGTATGGCACGCATTATTGTCAGCAAGATTGCATAGGATGCAAGGAATGTGAACTCACGACTGGACATTGGCCGTGTTATCATCGTAAACGTATCCTTTACAAAGGTAAAGTTCACAGGAGTCCTGTGGGGACGGTCAATTTTATGTGATCGCTCTGAACATTCATGCGGAATCTTACCGTGGTATCCGAGCCGATGTTCTGTTCCTCGCTCTGAATGTTACCATAGCTGATGAGGACGTCAGTTTGCATTCCACCATAAGTGGGGACGAAACAACATACGGATCGGAGGTGACAATGCTGTACATCTGCTGACCGCATGTTGCGGCGAACGCAGTACCAGCCTGGTCAACAGAACGTCATTTGTTAGCCGAACTGGGTGAATAGCACCAGGGAAAAAAGGGAAATTTTTATGGACGAAGAGAATGGGTAACAAACGAGAACTCACGCTACGGATCGGAGGAGACGAAACGAGGCCATGCGCAAGGGTGGTGCGCACGACAGAGGCAGCGACGATGATAGTGGTGAGTTTGGCGAACATTGTACTCGTCTGTGAGAAGAAAGTGGGCGAAGGCTAGCTGCGATGCAATAAATGCTAAAGTCTAAGCTTTAAGCAGGTGAACCGAAACTAGTCGGTTATTGTGAATAAAGAGTGGTGAACGAAAGAAGGGAAGTGCGGCGAGCGCGTCGAATCGAAGAGGGAGCAGAGAACGAAAGAGAGAGCTTGACAAGCAGTCGTGCGAAACGAAGTGAAACTTTTGGGCCCACATCGCTGCGCAGCTGCAAGCCTTTTATACCAGAGTACACTTGGGAGGGGTACCCTGGACAGTGCACATGGTCCGAGGAAAACATTAGTCAAATCCAGCATGTTTCATGTTCCCGACAAGCGAAAACATATCCATCGGATCTTCGTAACTCTGGGCAACCGCTGTGCGAATTGTATCCGCCAGTAGTGGATCGATTGACGTCGTTGTGAGGCCAAACATATGCTTTGGACAAGTACTGAATGATCGTAGTGAAGCTGAAGGGAAGGAATGACTGCGGTGGCCGCAGACCCGAACCAGACTCATCGTGTGTTTTTGTTTTCCAAAGACATTTTCGTGGAACATGGTCGTCCCCATGGCCAGTGTCCAATTATAAGCGAAGCTGTAGCATCGGTATAAAATGAGAATACCAAGTATTAGCTCTTATTCCAGACAGCGCATGTACTTATTATTATATACCAATTATTCACTGTGAATGAAGACAGTGCACTCAGCAAAGGTACGACGTCGCATAATGAAATGTGTCTCGAACGCGTGGCACGGTCGAGAACCAGGAACAACAGCGACTAATACATCCGCGAGTATTTCCCTTGGCGACCGCAGGCTCTCGCAGGCTCCGAAGAGGCTATTTTGCAGAAAGCGGATCAGAAACAGACCAACGCGACATATATATATGTACCGGGATCTGGACCTTGCAGTTGAAAGTGGCAAACGGGCAAGGTACTCAGAGGTGAGATGTGGCATCGCCACTGAAAGTATACAAGTACAGTAGACACAGGCAAACTCAGGAGAGATCGTTTCCACTTAGCTGCGTCAAGGATTTCGGGATGAGACCTGGAGTACTGTCCATGATTACCCACCGGGCACTAACAACGAGGAACACTATTTCTCCTTCAGTTGTGAACACGTAAGTATTGGGAGTAGAATGCACAGGCGGAGAGTGACCGGGGTGCCCACAAGATACCAAGTCGAAGGAGAGCTCACCTCAAAGCCGGTCTTGATGACGATAAACTACGTGTGATGGAGCGGTTCGAAGCATGTTTCCCTGACTTGAGGGGGGCAGATGACGGGCTATGAGATGCGAGTGTGTCGGGCGAATACGCAGATTTCAAACTGCAAACGCTGGAAAAGACGACAATTCATCATTTCCCCGCCACCAGAGAGGTACAGACATGTGAGGCCTAGTACGGAGAATGGGACATACCTCGCAAAAGTTTCGGACGGGTGCCAGACTCGGAGAAGGGTCACGGAAACGTTGGGAAACAAGATATGGCACGCATGCCGGTTCACAAGTGAAACACTCACATCTGCGGCTTTTATTTAAAACCTTCTTGAACACAGATACCATGATGGAAGACACTCACGTCAAAAATGAGTACACTCAGATAGACGCAGACTCCTTGTGATCCTGAGAGTGGTCGGCCTCTCGCGTCCAAGCAAGCGTTGCATTGGCCAAACGTTCACTAGCGACTCCCAGAGCCAGTGAGATCCACGGAAGGACGTTCAACGCTTAGTAAATCAGAGCATCACCCAGAGGAAAGACTGCGGAAAGAGGCGTTCGATAAAAGGGTTAGGGCCCCTTCGGCAAGTCGAGTCGAGTTGGGTTGAGTTGAGTTGGATCGAGTTGTGCCTAGTGACCACGCGGAGTCACCTAGTGACAGTGTGTGATGGGTCCATGGTCACCCGGTAAAACAGGGGCCGGTCTACACCGTGCCTTTCTTCCCTCATCGCCGCCCTCGATGAGCTCAACGATGGGGACGGTGCTTTACTTGTAGAATTCCGTCCACCGAATGAAACTGAACGAGGCAAGTATCATGGAGAAGCTTCGATTATTCCACACATTTTGATGTATTATTCAGATCTACAGTAAGTGCACCTTAGTCCCAGCCGGAGATGGTGCCGGTGCGTCTGGGCTATCACGGACAATGCGCGGACATGGTCGGGAAACCACGCAAAGCACGGACGACTCTGCCTGAAGTCACCTCGGCTTCCTCCGTCCAAGAGTGACAACGGGCCTGTGATCCGACGGCAAGAGCAACTCGAGCTCCCACGAGATTTGGCGGGGAAGCCCAACTCAACCCAACTCGACTCGACTTGCCGAAGGGGCCCTTTATGAAAGCTCGACGATTGCCAACAAGGGCGGAGAAACCCTATCGTTGGGTTAGGTCTTGTAACCTTCGCAAATAAGCGCCCGTTCCCTACTCTTGACCGCCACAGTTTGGCCACAGTCCAACATCTTCGCTTCTGTCCACGACCTCTTTGCTATACTCGCTGAGAGCAGAATCACCTTCTTCGCTCACGGCGCTGTATGTTGACATTGGGGCACTTGCGAACCACTTAGGTCTGCTGGGTCCAGAACGCTACGCAATGGCTACGTCTTCCCTGGTCCTGTTCGTGATGGAGCTGAATTTCGCTCGCGGCTCTTTGAGATTGCCTCTCATGACCTGTGAAGTGTTTTTCATTATCAACTGCGAGCTTTGCCTTCATCGTGCTCCTTACTCGTTGCTTCTCTCTCGGCCTCGGCTTCTTGAATGATGGCGGTCCTCATTGCTAGTGTTCATTTTCAAACACCTCGAACCCTACACTCGTGCAGCCAGATCCTACGCTATACATACGCTATATCGATTATCCTTTTCAGCTCTGGTCGTTTGTTCATAGTCACGCTTGCTCGTCATTGACACCTTCGCAGTCAGTGATTTTACTTGCCTGTAGTACTCACATCTATGGTCGTCTAGAAACACTACATGTGTACCTCATAGTGCATCAATGGGGTAGCGGTAACCTGGGTCGTTAACCTATGTTTGCCAGAGAACGTGTTTCCGACATGCCGAGGGTTCGATTCCCGCTTGATGCAGTGAATGCTTTCCATTGTGTTTTCTTAAGACAGACTTTGTCCTCTGTGATCCGTCCCGCTCCTTTCACTGGTACTGTGTTCTACCGAGTGGCACATCAAATTGAGGCGAGTTGATCAACCGATGTCTATCTTACTCTCCCAGAGGTCAAAGGATACGGAAGCCCATCGGAACATATTCACAATTTTCAGCCACACGGAGACTTTTGCTCTGTCTTTTTCTGTGATTGTTTTGTCATCATTTGTCTCAACAACACGATGGGATGATGTGGTTAATTCATTTATTTCATCAGGTCGAGTGGCGTATCGAAACGCCTCACCTGCAATAACCGCTTGGGCGATTGAGATATAAAGACTTAGTGGGGCTTCAGAGAGATATGTGTGCCTTACCCTGCCCGCAGTTTTTATACTGGCTGCTCACTGAGGTCGGCCTCCCATTTATTTCACGCACCATCTACGATGCAACACACCCTTCTCTAAACCTATCATCCTTTAGAGGGATCTCAAATAGGATGACACACGCATTTATTTTTCTCTTGTCTCAGGTCACCCAACACCGAGATGCTCGGCGAGATCATGATTCTTTCTGTAAAGACTGAAGACCGAGCACAACCCGCATAGCATCGATGGGGTAACGGTAACCCGAGCCGTCGTATTACATTCATAGGCTACATCTGATCAGCGAAGATCGCCACTCGTTGGGGGTTCGACTCCCTCCTGATGCACTAGAGTTCTCTTCAGCGCACCTTTGGCAGGTCCTTACGCATATTTTCGGGCAACCAATTACTCCACAGTACATTTTCTCGGTCAAATCAAATCATGCCCCTGTCTGTAAAATATCGGTATGCCTCTAGCTCCTGCGTGACCGCTTCACTGAACACAGGTCCAGGCGCGAATAATTGAATGGGATTGAGTCTGTTGTATTCTTCATAGTCGCACTCGGATTTCGCCTCGCTCAGATAATCGAAGGTTTCCTTGGCAATGGGAACTATTACATGTGGGTTGAAAGCAGCGGTTTACATATTCAGGACCGAATATGATCAATGAAACTGTGTGTAAGACATACATAGTTTTTGGTGAATTTCCGGGCTTGCCCCGTTACAGGCCTCAAATTTGATCACAGCATGGGCCAAGATCTAATTGACACAAGAGATAAATCAGAGAGTTTGTAACTGGTGCAGATTCTAGACCCCTGCGAACGGGTTGCGTACCATCATAGTGCTTAACAGAGGCTCATCGTGTTCAGTGGGAAGCCGCATACCGCCGGAGACCCTGGGATATATCTTCCGTACTTCATCCAGTGCACACTGAAGATTGTGAGAAATAACGTCCAATGACGCAGTATCAGCCTGAGACAAAATCAGTAGAGAGCCTATTTACATGAAAATGTCGAAGAAAAGACAGGCCTTCAGGGCGTCTTCAACCAGGTCTTTGACAACAGGACTGAGTATCTCTACGCATCTCCGCAGATTCTGAGCTTGCTCTTCTGTTAAGAGCACTCTCGTCGAGTCTTTGTCGTTGCTTGTGACTTGGGAGGACATGGTAGTAGGAAAGAGAGCGTGATAATAAATTAGGCGCCCTGCCGAAGGCCATATATTAGGGATTCTCCGAACGAACTGGAATACGGGCGTTCGTCGAGAACAAGGCAATTACGACTCTCCATCCACTGCTAAACATCATCACCTTCACACAATATACGACAAAGCAGCCAGCCCGTGCTACGCACGGGGCTAGCAGAGGAGCCGCTCGAGTAGAAATGAAAGCTCGATGAGAAAGAACCTGAAGGGTCTTCCTCGAACTCCTGGTCGAGGCGCTATCGCGCCTCGCCCCTCCGTTCTCCAAAAGACCCTCCAGTGTTACAGTCCCGCAGGCTGGCAAAGCATCCTGTTTGGCATGAGGAGATCCCATGGAGACAGAATTTTACACCCAGAATGGCGCATCATGAATGCAGTCCTAGTAAGTACTACAACTGCCATGCAGAGCTGGGTGGTGCGAAGGCCCGCCTTGCCCGCCACGGCACATCGCGTATCTAAATACTCATGCCGAAAGCGGAAAAATCCACCTCAAAAGCTGCCGCCTTATGTGCCAACGTCGACGGCACTCAGAACTTCGCGCAGCGGCTCTGCAACGAACTTTCGAGAGCAGCTTGTGGTGGCGCTGGGCCACAGCTGCTGAGCAATCCCGGCACTGCCCGGCTTGACTAGCCAATCATTTATCGAGCAGGTTTGTCTTTATGTTTGTCGGCGTACTGTAGTATAATAGATAGGCTACATCTGACCAGCGAAGATCGCGACTCGTTGGGGGTTCGACTCCCTCCTGATGCACTAGAGTTCGTCGTGTATGTCCTCTTTTCGATCGTCACAAGGCCGTCTTTCATTTTCTGAATCCAGAACCAGGAGCACCATCACACATAGCTGATTGCTTGCTTTGCTTTATTTATTTCTGTTTTATGAGTAGCTGCGGAGTGAGTGGCGTTCCACCTCATCGAGACAATCTCAATACCGAAGTGCATGGTAGACAACTACAGCATCAGTGGGGTAACGGCTAACTCTCGAGGTAGCCCGCAGTGGGTGCGACTCCCTCTCGATGCACTTGTACAATGCGTATGTTGGTCCTCTTTTTGGTTGATTGTCCATAGTGCGTCTTCCTTTTCAGATCCTCGAACGAGAGCACGGTCACGCATATCGGAATACCTGCTTTACTTTGTTCTGCCCTTCCTCAATACCCGGGTGGCGCAGCCAATCCATACATTGCCAACATCAGCAAGGCCGCATCTGGCTAAACCTAGCTATTTCGGTCTATTCGGTCTCCTGGGAGACCCGAATAGATCATTTGACAGCATCTATTCATCATAGACCTGCCTTCTGGGAGGCACGATATAGAGCACAATAGAGTATGATAGATCCCTTCATTTGTCCTGTAGAGGATTCAATAGAGCATAGTAGTCGACTCTTATTAGCCAGTGTGGATGGTCAAAAGTGATTCATTGCTGAAATAAAGTGGGTGCTAAGCGTACTTTACATCAAACAAGATTGGTACATAGCGAGTAAAAAAAATATCGTAGCATCAAACCACAGCCTGGCACCTTGGTCACCCAATAAGCACAATCCCGACTTCTGCCCAGTAGTTACAAGTTCGAGATCCTGGACGACCTGGAGTCAGATACTTACGTGGCTATTCGCCCGTCAGCCTCACCGTTGAGCCACGTCGCCATTGACGGACCCCGTAGTCGAAGTAGGTGGGAAGTGCCGTGGTAGGTGAAGAGATCGACGACTGGGACGATCGGGATAGGCAGAAGTATCGGGAAAAGTGTATGAAGCAAGGGAGGCTGTATGGAGAGATGGAGAGAAATCAGCAAGGGTTCAAAATAACGACTACAGAGAAACAAAACAGATGAAGATACAAATAATAAATAAACATGTATAGCTGGTGGTGATAGAGGGGCAACTATCCCATCGAGTGCGAACGGGGCAGACGAGAATGGAAGGCTGGCGCCGAATCCAATGATGGACTCGATATACAGGATCGGACAACCGAATCACGGACACGGACATATGACGAGTCCATCGGGAGTCTCAACGGCATCAGCGTCGAGCGAGGCTTCCACTTTTGCGGCACAAGAGTCAACGAGCGGTACTGTCAGCAGCACCCTCCAGAGGCGATCTTGACTGTGGCGTCGGTGACGAAACCGACGATTCCACCAATTCCTCGTCGTCCTCGTCATACTCATTGTCGTTGTCCAGCTCACTCTGTGGTGGCGGTCGACAGCCGGATCAAAGTGCATCAATGTGATAGGATAGGCGAGAGGGAGAAGGAGTAGAGAAGATAGGAAGTGCGAGACGTACCCAAGAACAAACCACATTCCCGCTAGAATAACAACACTGCCCGTAAGAACCGCCGCATGGTTCATGGTATCCTTCGTGACAGGCAGCACCGTCACGAACAACGTCGACATTATACAGTTAAGATTGACCTGTGTTCCACACATGCCGCACATGAGGAGCAGGGAGAGCAACCAGGAAGAAAGACAACGTACCGCCCATCCAAGAAGACCATCTCCGAGGCCCATGTAGACTGTACCTGGCTTGAACGTACCTCATCCAGATTATACAGGCACCTGATCACATCTCCCTCCTCCACATCTTCGACCGATGCTGTGGGTGACGTCGAGGACATACCTGCATCGCCACATGCGCAAATCATCGAGCCTGGCCTGTCCAGGAAGATACCTTCAGTGAGTAAGTATTCAAAAGTATGAGAATGAGGAAAGAAACACACGCACCGCACGAAGGGTTCAGGAGACATGAATCGAGACCATCACGCCGATCGGAGGTAGCTTGTATCGAAAGCCGGGATACCGTGAGGACGTATCGTGGATGTGGCAGGTGGCCACTGGCAGCAACATGTTCCTGGAGGCGAAAGGGGAGGACGTTGTGGTGTTCGAAGGTGGAGGGAAGAGAGAAAGTGGATGAGCCGGTGCCAGGCGCTTGCCTTCGTCAAAGAGGATCAACGGGATCACGTGTTGGTTTAGGGCGGGCGCGGCAGAAGTATCGTGAATGTAAACGACTCAAACCAGATTCGTCCCTCCCATTCCTGCCGCTCATCTATCGTCCTCGAGTCCGAATTTCCGCTGCACGTTCGTCAGTACACCGACAGCATCGAGCCTTTCGACGCTTATTGACCCAGCGGTTGTGAATATCAGCACTCTTCTCCTGCCACGTACGAACTCCAGCCTTGGCGTTGGCGACACACGCCTTGGAGATAGCGATCCTTGCGTCCTTGCGAGCGTGAGGACGATGGGACGATTGTCGATGTGGATGCACTATTCAATTGGTATAGGGACGCGTGCGGCCTAATGGGTTGGCTGTGAGTTTCACCGAGGCTCGCCGGTACGTCTTCTGCTGCACGGCCGTTAGTATGTTATACCACTCACCCGGACTGCCTTCCCACTCCCGAGTCCCGAGTCAGTGCTCTCTCACCGGAACTGTGGTGCGACCGTATACGCACTGGTTGATGTCCGTAGGATATCGCTCTATGCAGGTATTTGGTGGTAGGTATACTTTGAGCTCTGACGAGTCGAAGTGAGGGGAGCATCGGCGAGGATTACATCTGTTAACTGCCTCATGTTCTTTCTATGTTTATGTACTGTGCGGGTATCTATCTTATAGTCTTTGTAAATACTAAGAATTGTAGAGACCTGTATATGTCTGAGTAACCCACCCGTTCTCCACGAATACAATGCTTCTCGTGGAGGTGAGGCGGTCCTTTTGTGCTCTACCAGAGCCATCAAATAAAGAAGTATCTATAGCGCCCCACGGGAATAGAGCGAAAAGAAGGCGTAGACCGGAATAGACCGAAAAGCTAGGTTTAGGCAGATGCTGTCTTGCTGATGTCAAGAGTGAAGTGCATTATGAACAACTACAGCGTCAATGGGGTAATGGTAACCCGAGTCGTTACATTTGGGTATTTCGATACACGTTCTATCGACTCGCTGGGGGCTCGACTCCCTCTTGATGCACTGCATACTCGGACACCTTTCATTTTATGGGTAGCCGTCGACCGAGTGCCTCGAGATGATCCTAAGGCTGCTTTCAAGATAAGTGATGTCTTGGACTAGACACAGCGTCAATGGGGTAATGGTAACCCAAGTCCTTACATGTATCCCCCGATGAGGTCAAGTACTTGTAGCACGACTAGTTGGGGGTTCGACTCCCTCTTGATGCACTGCATGCTCGGGCACTTTTTTTATCGGTAGCCGTCGACCGAGTGGCGCGAGATAAATTCGGGGCAGACATCAAGATGGGTAATGTCTTATGGATAGGTACAGCATCAATGGGGTAACGGTAACCCGAGTCGTTATGTGTCCCCTGATGAGGTCAAATACTTGTGACTCGACTAGCTGTGGGTTCGACTCCCTCTTGATGCATGGGATAGAGTCGACCGATTTTTTATTGCATACGGGCCTGTCAGTTCTCGAAAGTTGAATGAGGGCATCACTTACAGTTATTTGTCCGCTTTCCCACCCATCATTTGCTGTTGCAGAGTGGTGTAACCTATCAGGACGGATCGTAGAAACCCTCGAATGACTGAGGTGAAAGATGTACTGTACTTTTACGGGCTATCATTCTGTCCCACGTCCCACATCGCTCGAGAACGAACAATTTCACCGTGACTGTCCCACCATTTATCCCCGTGGAGAACAATGTTGTGTGACATTCGGTAAAAAGCATAGAAATGTATTTAAACAAACAAAAAATAAGCACAAGTAAAAGACCACCTCAAAGACCCACAAAACCATCAAACTTCGTCGTCTGAACACGACGACGCTTCCCCCGACCAAACTCCTCGGGCTCAGGTACCTCTATCCCCCCGGCTCCAACCCATCGACCAAACCGAGACTACCGTTTCCACTCGCCAGACCTGTAAATTTGATCTTACCTTGGAACATCGTCCCCTGTCCCATCCGCCCACAGAACGAGGAGACAGACGTGACGTCAGATTTCGGCAACATCCGGGTATTTGAAATGGAACGATAGCCCGTAAAAGTACAGTATATCAGTAAAGCGTCAATGGGGTAACGGTAACCCGAGTTGTAACAATAAAGTGCTCTGCAATAGAGTTTGTCGCTCGACTAGCTGGGGGTTCGACTCCCTCTTGATGCACTACGCAAGTAGACATTATGTCTTTTATCGGTAGTCTTCGACTGAGTGGCGCGAGGTAGTCTCAAGGCTGCCTTCGAGAGAGGTAGGACCATATGGATAGCTGAAGCGTCAATGGGGTAACGGTAACTTGAGCCGTCACATTAAAATGGAAATCCGTTTCAAGCTCGACTAGCTGGGGGTTCGACTCCCTCATGATGCAATGACACGGCTTTTGTGTGCTTTTTTTAATCTTATAGCTGGCCTATGATTTCTCGAAAACTTCCTGTAAGATATCACTTCCCAGTATCTATATCTTTGTCTGCCGCTGCTGAGTGGCGTACTTAATTGAATCTACCAGGTCGAATCATCAGAACCCCTGGATGACTGAGGTGAGAGATGTGTATCAGTAATGCGTCAATGGGGTAACAGTAACCCGAGTCGTCACATTAAGACGGAAAGCCATTTGGAGTTCTACTAGCTGAGGGTTCGACTCCCTCTTGATGCACTAGTCTATTAGACATTGACTTTTTTATTGGTGGCAGTCGATTGAGTGGCGCGGGATAAATTCGAGGCTGACCTCAAGATATGGCATCAAGGATATACTAGAGTATAGCGTCAATAGGGTAACGGTAACCCGCATCCTTGCATGTGTCTTGAGTAGGTGACATACTTGTAGCACGACTAGCTGGGGGTTCGACTCCCTCTTGATGCATAGGAGTTGCTTGCAACGGTTTTTCGTTTGTGCAAAGGGCTGATCATTTCTTCAAAGCTATTCTCCCAGCATTTTTCTGCTTTCCCGCATTTTATCTGTCACTGCCGAGTGGCGACTCAAACCTATCAGGACGAGCAAAGGGCCAATTTGTGAGGCGTCAATGGGGTAACGGTAACCCGGGTCGTCAAATTTACATGCCGTGTTGTAAGAGCCGTCGCTCAATTTAGACTCGCTGGGGGTTCGACTCCCTCTTGATGCACTCGTTATATCATCTTGGTGCTTTTACTTACTTACTTTCTGTTCTCCTTTATCCCAGCCCGGTCTCTGTATCCGCAGATACCGAATAGCACAAAGTCTTCAGTTAAGACGATCCAAAGACAAAAGTGCGTGATGAATGAATGGGTATAGCATCAATAGGCTAACGGGCAACTCTCGAGGTAAGTTAGCTCGCTGGTGGGTTCGACTCCCTCCTGATGCAGTTACGCCACATTGATGACAATATTTTTTCCGTTGTATTCTGAATCACTTCTGCTATCTTGCGATCTAGAAGGACGTGGGACGATGTAGTGCCCGGGGTTTGAATGAAGGTCGGCGGCGCTGGGAGGCGAGCAAGTCGCACAAGCATTGCATGAGAGGGTTGATTTATATTGTTGGTGGCGTACGCCATAGAGGGATGCATGAGTCTCAGCGTGGACTGCCCAAATACATTACTGTAATAAGCTCCCGTATTCGAACTTGCTACTTACATAGATGACTCCGATCGCTCTCGAAGCTCTCCGCAGATATCATTATTGACCAACGAACATACCTACTCTCGGTCATCGTCAGAGAAATATCAAGTACATACGAGAACGGAGTGCTTACGATGAACAGCTTTCGTGAGCCCCGGTCGTACGGCTTTGTCAAGTATCGTTCTCGGCGCTACTGCGCATGCTATGTTTGCGCCGATGAGGAAATGAAGATGTTCGTTATGTTCGTGCGAAGCGATGGTGTAGCTTTGAAGGCGCCACGAAGTGTTACCATTTCATTTCGTTTCAGATCAGGTCGTTAATGAATGAAGATTCGCGCGGACCGCGAGCGGGACAAGGAACTTGCAGAGTGCCGGAAGAAAAAAATATAACACTGACTGGAATGTGTACACAGACATATGGATGCACGTAGACGGACTCGCGAAATTCTCAGCGCCACACAGCTTGCAGTGATGCATATCCTCGCCGTACACAGCACTACACTGCAACGCCACCAAGAGCTACCCCATCCGACGAAGCGCCCCCAGTCTTCAAAGCGTCGAGTCTAGACGCCTCTCGACATCTACACAGATCGCAGTCTAAGCGGTGCGCCACCGAAAATAAACGACCCCAGGTGTAAGGTGTAAGTATTGCTCCAACATCCAGACAAGTTCAGATGTCCAGCTGTTCGGAAGTAGGTGGTTAGACTTCGCGAAGCAAATCATTCTCATAAGGGAGCGAAGCTAAGCTTCATATATAACAACGCCAAATAACAATAGGAGGTCCTTGTGCGAACGAAAGCCCGTGATGGAGATGAGAGAATAGGAACAAGAAGAGGAAAGAAGACGAGCCTAGGTATGCGATCCGAAGTCCCATGTCCATGGGTTAAGCACAGGCTCGCATCCACGGTATAGCTGTGCACTGAGATCCTGGGAGCGCTAGGAATAGATATAAAGGGCCACTTACAGCAGTCTGAGTCTAGACAAGTGGACACAAGAAGAGCAGATGATAGTAGTTAGATGCGCCACCGAGGAATGGAGGACGCGAGGCGAGGATCGACAACTGTATCAGCCCATCATCGATTGTCGAGATCAATGGGGTTGGGACTACTAGATACGTGATAGCAGCAAGTCCACTCGGGAAAGAAAGTCTACCTTCAGGAGGTGTTGGACGAGATGAGGAACAACAAGCAAAAGGGGCACAAGGAGACGAACGCTGACGCGGGGGTCGGAGATCTCCGGCAGAGGTGTATTTGAAATTACTCCACACGAGCTCACGATTTTTGATTCCGTGGGTCAGTCAACCTCTCTTACATTCCTCTTGTCTTCCGCCACCGAACCCTTAGAGATGTGGTAGCCTCTGTAGAACCTATATAAACGCTCTCCTCATTGTCGCCTCTTCGTCTCTTCCTCGTTCCGACCTCAATCTCACGCTCGCGCACAGCCTTTCTCCCTGTCTGCCTCACCTTCCCCTCGCACTTCGACTTGGGCATCCCAACCACAAAATCCCTACTAGTCACGATGACCGAATACGATTATTCAGAAGAAGGCTACCAACGGTACATGCAAACGCTGAACCGGGTCTCCGACTGGGTAGACGGCACCAACGCAGCGCGGACCCACTACGAACACGCCGTACACCCTCTCACCCAGTCCACGCCCTCCCAAGTCGCCACACACTCGCGGACTCGAGAGCGTTCGCAATCCGCATCATATTCCTACCCACAGCATGCATACCATTCACAGCAGAACTTGCATCATCCGTATGACGGCGGCGGGGCAAGGGCGGGTGCACAGGGAGCGCCTCCGCCGAGGATGCAGCCTACGAGGTCGAAGACAATGGATGTTTCGGCGGGGAGTCATTTACAGTACACACATCGACACGTCTACGACAAACAACACACTTCCAACCAATCGACGGGGCACCAGACTCAGCCCCAGACCCAAACACACACCCGTTCCGGATCGCGTTCCTCCTCCCGCCATCCCTCCCCTCCAAACAACTCCTCCCACGTCTCCTCCCACACCACCACACCACTCCACTCCCGCTCCGCCTCGCGAGTCACTTCACCCGTCTCTGCATCCACCACAGCACGCCAACAGTTCCCTCCCGCTCAGGTGTATAAACCGCCACCACAAACACAACAGACCCAAGCACGTCATGTCCGTTCTTCATCCGCCGAGCCGACCGCCATCCGCACACGTTCCCGCTCATACTCCTACTCCGGTCCTTCACCCGCCCCAGCGCCAACACCACGTCCCATCCCAGTTCCGCAGCCCGTTTCGGCCGTGCTGCCGCGAAGGGAACCAAGGCGGTCGAATACCATGCCGCCGGGGCATCATCATCATGTGTACGATCCGGGACATGGGGGCAAGGAGCGGAATGTGTTGAGGAAGAGCTATGATTATGTGCCGGGGGTTGGGGTTGGTACGACGGGTATTGTGGGAGGGGGAGGAGGCGCGAGGGGAGGAGTGGGGATGACGAGGGGAGGGACGTATGTTGCTGTTCCGCCGGGGTATTCGGCGAGGGTGGTGGATGTGAGGGTGCGTCCATCTGTTTCTTTCATGAGTGTTGTGTTCTGATTTTTATGTGGTTGTTTGTGGTCGGATGGGTATCCAGTCGAGATCGACGACGCCGTCGAAACAACCACCACATCGGCCGTTGCTCAAGCGGATCTTCACTTCGTTCAAGAACTAGTCAACCCTCCCCTTTCCTTTCGCTTTTCCTCATCTTCTGTTTTCTTGACTCTTTTCGATCACCCCTGATGACCTCTTTCGCCACCCTCGCCACCTCCCTTCACCCATCCTCGATTGCCGCTCTTCAACCACCCTCGCTTCCCACTCCCAAAACACCCTCGATTCCCGATTAGACGAAACAAAAACTATCCTGATGACGATACGAAATAGGACACCAGAACGCGACGAGATCGATGCGGACGGATGTGGCGCTGGAGTCGAGGGTCGAGGGTTGTGTGGCGGCATGGCGGCAGGCGTGGAGAACGCATGGGAGGGGGCTGGTGTCCCTCTTTTGACACTTTGCGTCCCTCGTTTGACATTTTGCGTCCCTCGTTTGTGTTCGTGCGTGGAGGTCGACCGTCGGATATTGGCTGGTGATGACGATGCTGTCGGTCTGCGTTTGTGTTCCTGCCTAGATCCGTGACGAGGAACGATGGGCATTCGCTGGACCCCATTTCGTCGTCTCTGCGTACTCTGATCGTTCTCCTGCTGGCTGTCTCCAACCTGCGTCATAGTCATCTTGATTCCTCCCTGTTCTTGTCCCTTCACCTCACCTCATCGTTTCATAGTCTCCATTCGTCGTTTTCAGACTTTGCGAGCGCACGCACTTACTTCATTATAATATGTATTATCGCACATTTCGTCTTTCGTCTTTCGTCCGTTTTCTTCGTTTTCCTTCTTGTCAACGCTCAACTGCGCTACCTCGTGTACATACCACCACTACCACCTCATCTTTTCTCATCCTTCGTTCCTGTTACATTCATCGTACATTTCCCTTCATCTCTTACGTCTTCGGCCTTATAATCGTTCCTAGTGTCTTTCTTCGCATTGCGCCCCGGATCGGATGGATCTTTTTCTTCTGACTTCGTTTATTGTTTGTTGTATATCCCGGATGTTCCTTTTTTCTTCGTGTACAAATCCCTAGACTTCATCACCGTCTCGTATTTACTCTCCCTACGTCTTTCTCGTTCTGTCTCTGTCTTCTACATTTCCTGGATACAATAATCTGCATGTTGCATAACATCGTTTCGTTATGGTTCGAGATGACATGCCCGAGTCTAATTTTCTTGGCTTTTTCGCGTTTGCCTTACCCTTCTTGAGTCCCAGGTTCTCTATTCCGTCCGGTAGTATCTGTCTATTTGTTTATATATCCATAATCGCGCGTCACCCTTCGACATCGCTAACAAGTACATTTTATAATGTCGTCGCGTACTCGTACATCCCAAAAATGGATTCGGTCTTCTCTTCTTTTGTTGTTCTTGTTCTCTTTCTCTTCGTGTCGCGTCCTTCCCAGCCCTCTCGCTAAAATCCGGTACATATATCTTCCCGTATAGACCGCCCTCTTTCTCTAGCTCTCTGCCTTTCTCTATGTCTTTATAATCCTTACCTTTTTCATCGTCCGAAAACGAGGGCGGGGAAGATGTTATGATCTGTATCTAAACTACTAATTTAGAGTGGGGTGTGGACAGTTTAGTTATACATTATGGTTACGATCTTGCATGAGGTTTACACATCTACGTTTCTTACGAACTTCACACGGCTGCGTACGTCTTTATAGTGACTTTTAGCGCTACGAACGAAGGAACGAACAATTCACGCCCCCCGGATACGACGAACTGCCTCGATAATTGCGTTGGTAACCGAGATCTACCGTTCGTCTCGTTGACAGCTGCGTCTGCTTGAGGGCACGGTACGGGAAACTTTCTGGATGGTAACTTGAAAGACGAATGGTAGGATCCGGAAGGACGAGAGCGAAATAAGAGCAAGAAGGGTGGGTGGCGCATGCCACAATCCGAATTCCCTGAACGAGAAAGTTGAAAGAGCGCTCGGAGGACGCCGGGTTGGCCTTTGAACTTCGGAGGCGATTTTTTTGTTGCTTTTCTGCTTCCAGTCAACTTCCAGTACGACTTCGACTTCCTCTAAGTACGACTCCTCGGTCTATTGCTGGTTCATCACGGCTGTGGTTTTCTCGTTTTCGGTGTTTAAAATCTGTGGGAGAACTGATCCCACTGTATTTGCTCACAGATCTGCCAGTTAGTGCGTCATTCGACCTTCCTCGTCTTCATCGATGCATCACCCCCACCGCCGATAACTTGAAGGCTCGGATAGCCGTACCGTGACGCTCCAGGAGTGTCCCTTTGTGTAACCCATCCAATTTCTCTCGATTTTGATTCTGAGTACTACGGACTCATCTAAGACATTTTCTACTGCTTTTGCTCGTATACTGCACGAGTGTCAGCATCTCTGCTCGAGCCCATCTTTGCAGAGACTTTACTTGTCAGGCTACGCTCGAGAACTTTTCACTTGATCTTTGGTTGACACACAAGTGAAGGGGTTCACAATACACTCCTGAAGAGCTCGATTGCAAAATTAGCATTAATCAGGGCAGGAGCAAGGTTCGTCTAATTTTTTGAGTCTATCTTATTCGGCAAATTACAGTCTGTGTCTGATAGGCATAATGAACCACAAAAGCAGGTCGTGTAGCACCATGTGCCCATAATGATCCAGTAAAAAATGGCTCTAGAACGGTGTGTCCACGGCACTTAGCAGCCCCGCATTGTCGCTTCTCGAATCGAGTCTAGCGAGTAACTGCGGGCTTGCTGTTCATCGTCCTTCACGCAAGAGATTCTTTTATTTTCAATCTATCCGCTCACTTGATGGGTACATGGATCTTTGTGTTGCGTGTCATACGTCAATCGAAGCTTGCTACTACGCTCAAGAAGGCCCCTACCATATCAGCACGCCGAGGGTGTTCTAGTGGATACTGACGATTGGGAGCCACACCACATACGCATATACGATACATTCACTGTACACGACAAACAAACGTCACAGACACCTCCATATAAACCGTGGGCAATCATCACGTCCTCCACCCAAACCAAGCCATACTCACGCATTCAGTCCAGGAAAAACATACCGACATCCCATCAAACTCCGAAATGCACAAACGGAACCCAACGAACAAACGCCGTCTCTCCCACCACATCTCGCAACTTCTTCATCGCCTCGTGCAGCGCATACGCCCCCCGAACACGACTCTCCCTTGCCCCACCGTCTTTCTCGTTCAAAAGTTGTCCGTAAACTTCCTTCGCAACCAAAGGTGCGTCCTGGTCCTTGATCGACCACAGCGTCCCAAACACCGTGCTGTATCCAGCGGCGAGCATCCCCGCAGCGAGATGTACTGATTCCTCTTTCAGCTTCTCGTCTCCTGTGGCCGTTTGACATGCAGAGAGGAATGCGATCTGCGCTGACGAGAACGATTGTTTCATCATGGTGTGAAGTGTGAGGGGACCATCGTGAAGCATGAAGGCGCTTTCCGTTGGTCTCTCGGGATCCTGAGTTCCGTGACATGCGAAATGACACCAGGCATGTGTCTTCATGGCTTCGAGTGTCGCACTCACAGTAGCGTCTGCGTCGTTTAACCGTGTCACGGAAGCACGCCCAACGACGGAGTTCATAATATCGGAGACCTCCTTCTCGGTGCCCGGAAGGGGTTTCTGTTCTGGTGTGTTAGGCTGGGAAATTGCAAGGATACGAGGTAGAGATGCGGCGGATGATGCTTTTTTCGACGACTGCTTATGAGCCTGTATGAGCATCGCAAGACTCGGGGTATATGACGATACCGTAGAATCATAGAGTTTGACACCACCAGATTTTTTGTAGAGCCCAGCTGCATGGAGCGGGAGGAGTGCTAGAGGACCTGTCGCACACCATGTCATATAACGCGGAGCATCTGGCCACTAATTTTGGATTATGAGTACAAGGGACGAATGTGATTAGATAGGTCACTTACCTCTTCGTGGACTCGGGTTATGATTGGACAGACAACGGTTTTCCACAGCAGCTCCAATATGTGTTGGATAGGCTCCTGTACGGACTTCTTACTTCCGCGGTCGCCCGAGTCACGATTGCGAACGTCGTTCTCCTTCAGTATCTTCCCCAACTTCTCTTGCATAGCTCGCGCTAGGTCCAATGTAAGCTCGGGAAGCGGGATGTGGAGGACTGGTATGTCGTCATCGCGGAGGACCAAAGCATCACAGCGCTTGTCAGTGACATTGATCATCGCGATAGGACCGTCTCGAGCAGCGAGACGAAGCTCGGAGAGCTGCTTCGGCTTGAGGAATTTTTCGAATCCAGGAAGCTCACGCACTTCCACCAGTACTCTCTCATATTCCGCTGCGAGACGATGATGATTTCGTGCCTGTTCCTCTGATGACATCTTCCCAATCTTGAACGGTTCTTCATCTGTGTCAAGTCGGCTTGTGCCTGCTGTTTCCAGTTGATGTGAAATCTTTGTCAAATGACGTGCTAGCTCAGGTGATGCTGCTTGAAGGTCGTCAAGGGGAGTCCGTAGATTTAGAATTTGACCCCAGACAATGGACCGTCCCTGCTCTAGCCATTCCATGGCCAAATCGTGTCTACCCAGGGACATTGCAGCAGCAGCAGCATCATTGACCGTGTCCCCTATGGAGCCAATATTCTCATACCGACGCGTAATCTCTGCGCCAAGCCAAATAATCTGGGGCACAAGTGAAAGGGCAATCTCATATGCCTCCAGCAGTGGGGTACCAGTGTGAAGCTGATGCATTGAGGCCCAGCTTCTTGCTGCAATAAAGCGCAGTGACGGAGCTCCGCATGCGAATCTCGCACCTTCCTCATAGATTTCACAAGAGTACCGAATATCGTCATGGCGTTTGAAATGATCGAATCGGCGATATAATGCGCGTCCAAGATAGTTGAGAGGTGTGAGCTTGCCTGCGTGGTCATTGGGCACGAGTTTGACTGACTGCTGCAGGATCTCGACCGACGCGTCGACATCATCAAGTTCTCCCAATCGGTCAAACCGTGACAGCAATGAGTTTCCAAGGCTACTAAAACACATCGGCTTAAGTGCGTGGCCATCCGGTATGAGTTTGATCGCCTGCTGCAGGAGCTCTATGGACTCATCAAGATCGGCAGGATTTTTAAGTTCTTCAAAGCGAATCCAAAATGAAGTTCCGAGGTTGTTGAGAAATCCGGCCTTGTCTGCATGTTCATTGTGCATGAGTTTTACCCCTAGCTGCAGGATCTCGATGGACTGGTCAAGGTCGCGAAGGTTTTTCAGTCGCGCAAATCGGTTGAGAAGTGAGATTCCGACATTGTTAAGACGTTCGGCCACGTCTGCGTGTTCAAGAGTTGTGAGTTCTAGTGCCTGCCGCTGGACCTCAATGGCCTCGTGAATATCGTAAATATTTTCAAGTCGGTTGTAACGAGATACCAATGAGACTCCAAGATTGCTGAGATATGCAGGTGTTTCCGCGTGCCCATTGGGCGTGAGTTCTATTGCCTGCTGCACAAGCTTTATGGACTCATCAATATCGTCAAGATCTCCAAATAGCATAAATCGACCCTCAAACGAGGCGCCAAGATTGTTAAGACGTCCGGCCATGTCTGCGTGTCCATGAGTTGTGAGGTTTACTGCCTGCTGCAGGACCTTTATGGACTCGCCAACATCGCTAAGATTTTGAAGGCGTTGAAATCGACACATCAATGAGTGTCCGAGACTTCTAAGACATCCAGCCATGTCTGCGTGTCCGTGAGGCGTAAGTTCTATTGCCCGATGCTGGACCTTGATCGACTCGTCAATATCATCAAGGTGGCCAAGTCGCTCAAATCGATTCCTCAACGCGCTTCCGAGACGGTTCAAATGTACGGGCAGGCCTGCATGTCCGTGAGGCGTGAGTTCTACTGCCTGCCGCAGGACCTTGATAGACTCATCAACATCGTCAAGGTTTCCGAGTCGCCCAAAGCGACGCATTAATGGGCCTGCGAGATCGCTAAGACGTGCGGGCTTGTCTGCGTGTCCATGGGGCGTGAGTTCTACCGCCTGCCGAAAGACCTTAACGGCCTCGACAACATCATCAAGGTTTCCAAGTCGCTGAAATCGAAGAAAAAATGATCGTCCGAGATTCTCAAGTCGTCCGGGCATGTCTGCGTGGCCATGAGGTGTTATACCTACCCCGTCCTGCAGGGCCTTGATGGACTTGTCGAGATCGTCAACATTTCCAAGTCGCTCAAAGCGAGATACCAATGAGCGTCCGAGATTGTTAAGACGTCGGGGCATGTCTGCGTGGCCATGAGGTGTTAGTTCCACCCCCTGCTGCAGGGCTTTGATGGACTTGTCGAGATCGTCAACATTTCCAAGTCGCTCAAACCGAGATATCAATGAGCGTCCGAGATCGTTAAGACGTCCGGGCATGTCTGCGTGGCCATGAGGCATGAGTTCTACTGCTTGCTTCTGGAGCTTGATGGACTCGTCAAGATCATCAAGATTTCCAAGTCGATCAAATCGACACCCCAATGATACTCCAAGATTGTTAAGATGTTCGTGTCTGTCAGTGTGTCCATTAGGGGTGAGTTCCACCGCCTGCTGCCTGACTTTGATACACTCGTCAATATCGGCAATGTTTCTAAGTCGCTCAAACCGAGACAACAATGAGTGTCCAAGACCATCGAGATATCCTGGCTTGTTTGGGTGTCCATCGAGCGTGAGGTCTACCGCCTGCTGCTTGGCCTTGATGGCCCCGTCAAGATTGTCAAGATTGCCCAGTCGTTCAGACCGTAACATAAATGCGTCTCCAAGGTTGTTCAAATACCTCGGCTTGTCTGCGTATCCATCGGGGATGAGTTCTACCGCCTGCCGCATAACCTTGATGGCCTCGTCAACATCGCCAAGGTCACCAAGTTGCTCAAATCGTAATATCAACGAGTTTCCAAGGGTGTGAAGACGGTCCGGTTTGGCTGCGTCGCGATCAGGCGTCAGTTCTGACGCCTGCTGCACGACATTGATGAGATGGTCGAGATCGTCAAGATTTTCAAGGCGGGCATACCGACGAATAAGTGAGCCTCCGAGATCGCTAAGGTGTACGGGCTTGTCTGCGTGGCCATGAGGCATGAGTTCTACCGCGTGCTGCAGAACCTTGATGGCCCCGTCGATATCATCAATGTTTTCAAGTCGCTCAAACCGAGACATCAATGACTTTCCAAGATTGTTGAAATATACGGGCTTGTCTGCATGTCCATTGGGCGTGAGTTCTACTGCTTGCTTCTGGAGCCGGATAGACTCGTCAAGATCATCAAGATTTCCAAGTCGATCAAATCGACACTCCAATGATACTCCAAGATTGCTAAGACGTGCGGGCTTCTCTGCGTGTCCATGGGGCGTGAGTTCTACTGCCTGCCGAAAGACCTTGATGGCCTCGACAACATCATCAAGGTTTCCAAGTCGCTGAAATCGAAGAAAAAATGAGCCCCCGAGATTCTCAAGACGTCCGGCCATGTCTGCGTGGCCATGAGGTGTTAGTCCTACCCCCTGCTGCTGGGCCTTGATGGATTCGTCAACATCATCAATATTTCCAAGTCGCTGAAACCGAGACATCAACGACTTTCCAAGCTGGTCGAAATATATGGGCTTGTCTGCGTGTCCATTGGGCGTGAGTTCTACCGCCTGCCGCAGAACCTTGATGGCCTCGTCAGCATCGTCAGGATTTCCCAGGTGCTCAAATCGCCAAAGCAATGAGCATGCAAGATTGCTAAGACGTGTGGGCTTGTCTGCGTGTCCGTGGGGCGTGAGTTCTACTGCCTGCCGAAAGACCTTGAGGGCCTCGACGACATCATCAAGGTGTCCAAGTCGCTGAAATCGAAGAAAAAATGAGCCCCCGAGATTCTCAAGACGTCCGGCCATGTCTGCGTGGCCATGAGGTGTTAGTCCTACCCCCTGCTGCTGGGCCTTGATGGACTCGTCAGCATCATCAATATTTCCAAGTCGCTGAAACCGAGACATCAACGACTTTCCAAGCTGGTCGAAATATATGGGCTTGTCTGCATGTCCATTGGGCGTGAGTTTTATTGCCTGCTGCGCAACGTTTATGGACTCATCAAGATCGTCAATGTTTCCAAGTCGCTCAAATTGAAGCGACAATGAAAGGCCAAGACTGTGGAGACGTGTGGACTTGCTTTCCTGACCGTCAGGTGTGAGTTGTACGGCCCGCTGGCGGACTTTGATGGATTCCTGAATGTCGTTAACGTCGCCTACGCGCTGAAATCGGATGTCAAATGAATTTCCGAGTATAGCGAGATTTGCAGATTTATCTGCATCATCATCAGGTGTGAGGTCTATTGTCTGACGAAATAATCTGATGGCCTCATCAAGATCTGGTAGATTGCCGACGCACTCGAATCTCGTTCGCAACATGCCAGCTAGACTGCTCTGCACCTTTGATTTCGCAGGATCCGTGTCTGGAAGCGTATTAAGGACTGATCGTTGACATTTGATTGTCTCGTTTAGGTCCGTAATCATACCGAGGTGTGCAAATCGAACAGTGTATGAATGTCTAAGAGCAGCCATGCACAAACTTAATTCCGCAGAATCCAGCGGGCAAAGGGTGGCAGCATATTTGCCGAGCTGTATCGCATGGTCTATGACCATGATACGCTTTGAGCGTGTAAACTCATTGGTCAGACTGAGTGCGAGGGAGACTAGCTCCCGATGAAAATGAGAGGCACGATAACGAGGCAGAGTATCGCGGAGTCGTGGAAAATCTTGATGTACTCGTTCTACTAGCTTGAGCGCGTTCTGTTTCTGTGTATCGTGGAGGAAGCATTTAGTTGTGACAAAGGCAGACCCTATGCGAAGAAGATACGATACCGTCGAGCACAAATGTTCTTGTTCTTGATCGGAGATCATAGTGTTCTTGAAGAGACAATGCTGTCGTGTTAGATATATCGAGTTCGATGATGACATGAACTCGGAAATACGCACCCCGGTGATGTCTTCGTCCTTTATTCGGAAGCCCGCAATCCCGTGAATTGTGAGAATACAATATACTCAGCTAAAGCCAAGCGACTCACCATCACGGTACGACCGGTCTCCACATTCTCAGTGGTCGCTATACCCGAGGGCGTTCCCTGACGAAATATCTGCGTTTAGGTCACCGCGAGTCGTGAACACACGGAATACTCACAATGCTCTCTTCGTTCTCTTTGCTTACAACTCTGTTCTCTCCCAGAGCCGTCTCCTGTGCTGTGGGTTGTTGGCTCGTCATGTTGGAACGTAGCCGTAAAGCTGGTGTGAACAATGTGCGAATGTATGAGTGAATGCTCGAAGAAAGATGGGGATGAAGTCCTAAGAACCAAGGTACTTAACCCTAGAGCCTCGCGCATAACATGCGTTACTTGGGCACAGGCGGTGTCGCCAAAAATAAATGATGTGCATCCACGCCTAGATGCCGCGTATTCGGAGACGCTGTAACAGAGCTTCCTTAGTTGGGTCTATTTTTTACGATGAGCACAGGTGCGGATATCCGCACCAGACAGTCACATCCCTTTCCCGTGTAAATCACACCGAGATCTACACTCAGTGTGATAAGAGGAAACACCTTACACTGCCTTGCCGCACTGGGATATTGCAGCCGGCGAAGCAGACGGTGGTTCTTTGGTCGGAGAGAAAAGAAAAGCGGGAAGGAAGTACAGCGTTAATGCTCACATTGCGCCGATCGAAATGAGGTCCGAGGATAATACTGACACCGAAATCGAGGAAATGAGCTATGGACACAACCGCGGAAATACCGGTTGAGACGCCGAGATATTCCTCGAGGCTATGAAGTCCCATCCACAGGTCGGTACAGACAATAAGGATGATCTTAATTGTGCGAGGGACACAGCAGTCGAGCTTTCTTAAGCCTGTGAAAACACACATATGATCATTGGATTGCATCGGTATATGCACGCTGAAGCTATACAGGACACGGAGATGAACATACGGCCTAGCACAAAGCACGAACGACCCACATCCACATTGTCGCCAAACAGCAGGCGGTTGGTTGCAGTGCCCGTGGCAGAGAGAACAGCTCCTAGCTGTCTAATGATAGTTTGCACTGGTATAGGGTTATTAGGATCCACCATAAAGGAACTGCCGCAACGATCTCTGTCCAAGTATCAATCCTACATTCCTAGCGTTAACAGTGTGGTCTATCCCATGCTGACCCGCGCGATAAAAATCATGCAAGGACACTGGTGTCTGGCGCAGTGAATGATCGAAATTTATATATATATATATATCAGGGATCGTGCAGAGTGGAACAATTGAACAGCAATGAAGCGTAGACTTCACGAAGTGCACAGGCTGATCGAAACGATAAGTCTTGCTTGTACAACGCTTTAGGCCTCCATGCTGCAATGCTAGTAGCTCGTGTAGTTGGAAAGTCGTTCCTCAGCGCCATGCAGTCTCTGAGATCTTCGGAGAAATAGGACACAGCTCCTTTCATGCACGTCTGATCACTGATCAGCGAGCGACCAATGAATACAACGGTACAGCACAGTCGAGGCACTGCTTCGGAATTTATAGCGACAAGGCAGATGCACGGAACCAGAGACGGAGAAACAAAGCAGCGATATGAGAAAGAATTCGTGAGTCTATTCTATCACGAGAGGACCACATTCTCCGCGGATTTGGTTTGTAGGTGGATGCCAGGAGGCACGGTAAATACCCATACTACCACTACATATAGCGCTGGTGACTAAGGCACCGTGGTGGGTATATGGTCATGAGCATCCACTTCCCGCTTAAGGACTATGCCTTTGGAGAAGACACGAGAGAAACGACGTAGAAGGTGGGATGCCGGTCATCGATAGCCAGGCCAAACAATAGACCACGTCAGATAATGTTGGCCGTGGTCAATATTTATTTACAGATGTCGTTCTGCCGAAAGTGACCGAAGGCATCATCAGAAGTCGAAATATTTGACCGCCAACGGTAAGGAAAACAATATGGCGCGAGACCGCATCTGCCCCAGACTTGCCGTGGACTATGGTCCGATAAGACCTGACCAGGTGGATATAGAGAAGGAAATAGGACACGAGGCCATAAAAAAGGGTAAACTTATTAGGGAATTGAACCCTGAGTGGGGCGAAACGCAAAAGAGTCAAGGAGAGAGAAGGTATGACGCCGAGATCACCACTACCATATCCTATCGACGCCTTGCAGGAATAATTGGTGTGCGAAGGTGACCGTAAAGATAGAGCATATAGCGAAGAAAAAAGATTGGTTGTCATTGTATAGCAGAGTAGCCAAGTTTGTTGAAGCTGCAAGGGTTACAGTATGTGGGCTTCACGATGGTGGAGAGCTCGGTCGCTGAGGACGATACGTCGTGCAGTGAGCAGTGGAATGTATGAGTCTATATCCCCTTATACCAAGGATAACGCACCCAGAAGTTATGCAACGGGGTGCAAGGCGAGTACTCAGTTTTTCCAGAGCAACAGCGAGACGGTAGGATATTCCGAGAGAAGCCAGTGGAAGCGAGCGACGATGAATGAGCACCGAGAAAACCAGAAGAGTATACGAGGTTTTAAGCGTGAAAAGAAGTGTATACAGAGACATTTGCGGGCGAGAGAGCAAGGCACAACTTGGGCACAACCGTTGGCGGACGTTCGTGTCGACAAGAGGACGGATGCGCTGTCGATGACGAAACGCAAAACCTAACCCCATTCTGAGGTTCATATGAGCATTCAGCGACAAGTCAGCGTCTTGCAACAGTTCCTTCCCCTTACCTCAGACATATCGAGATAATATACCACCGTCTCCTATCTTGTGCTTTGGACCACACTGTTGTCTACCAAATGCCCCCAGTCAACGAAGATATGTCGTCGACCGAGAGCTACTTGGCCGTGGGCAGCCCAGTGGAGTGGATGATCTCATCGCGAGAGGCCTGTGGCCCAGTCTGTTGAATACCCTGACGGAATAAACCTCGACCAGTACCTTAGTCGGTCCCATCAGATATATAACTGGGCTAGATACTCACTCAATAGCCTCAGGAAAACTAGGCCTTCCTCGTTATGCGGAAAACTTAGACGCTTGTAAGCTACCTGTGCTACTATCCCCCGTCGGTCACATCCCTCAACATCCTCCTCCCGTTCCTTGTGATTAATCTCCCGTGCGCTTTGTATACTATCCACAGAAATACTCCAGTGAAGACGAGGAGCCGCTAAGTACACGCCGTACACCCACTCACTCAGCGGTAGTCCACGCCCTCCCAAGTCGCCACGCGCTCGCGGACCCGAGAGCGGTCTCAATCCGTATCCCATTCCCACCCATAGCATGTATACCATTCACAACAGAACTTGCCTCATCCATATGACGGCGGCGAGGCGAGGGCGGGTGCACAGGGAGCGCCTCCGCCGAGGATGCAGCCGACGCGGTCGAAGACGAGGGACGTTTCGGCGGGGAGTCATCTGCAGTACACTCATCGACACGTCTACGACAAAGAGCTCCAGAGTCAGACTCAGCCCCAGACACACACCCGCTCCGGATCCTCTCCGGATCCCGCTATCCCTCTCCTCCGAACAACTCCTCCCACGTCTCCTCCCACACAATCACACCACACCGCTCCCGCTCCGCCTCCCGAGTGACCTCCCCAGTCTCTGCGTCTACCACAACCGCTCGTCAACAGCAGCGGTTCCCTCCCGCCCAACCATATAAACCGCCACCACAGACCCCACAGACCCAACCACGTCATGTCCGTTCTCCATCCGCCGAGCCGACCGCCATCCGCACACGTTCCCGTTCATACTCCTACCCCGGTCCTTCACCCGCCCCAGCGCCAACACCACGTCCGATCCCAGTCCCGCAGCCCGTTTCGGCTGTGCTGCCGCGAAGGGAACCAAGGCGGTCGAATACTATGCCGCCGGGGCATCATTACCAACATTATGTGTGTACGATCATACGGGCAAGGAAAGGAATGTGTTGAGGAAGAGTTATGATTATGTAGGATTATGTGCCGGGTGTTGGGGTTGGTACCGGGATGACGAGGGGAGGGACGTATGTTGCGGTTCCGCCGGGGTATTCGGCGAGGATGGTGGATGTTAGGGTGCGTTTCACCGCAGTCTCTTTTTCATGAGTTGTTGTGGTTCTTACTTTCTACTTTTTACGTGGTTTTGTTCGTGTTGGTGGTGGTGGTATTGGTTGTGATATGATGGATGGGTATTTAGTCGAGGTCGACGATGCCGTCGAAACAATCGCCACATCGACCGCTGCTCAAGTGGATTTTTACTTCGTTCAAGGACTAGTCATCCCTCGCCTTCGCCCTCCCTCACATCTCGTTTTCTTGACTATTTGAAACCACTCCGGACTACCCCTCCTTCACCGCCCTCACTTTCCCGTTTTCATCCGCCCTCGATTGACGATCTACAACTACCCCCGCTTCTCTTTCCGACGATCCTCGCTCGCTTGCCCTCTTCAACCACCACCTCCGATTAGACGAAACAAAACTATCTTGATATCCGAATGACGGCGCAACACAGGATATCGAAGCAATGAGATCGATTGGATGCCGATGTGGAACTGGAGTCGAGGGTCGAGGGTTATGTGGCGGCGTGGCGCTATGTATGGCGAACGCATGGGAGTGGGCTGGTGTCCCTCTTTTAAGACTATGCGTCTCTCGTCTGAGCCCGTGCGTGGGGGTCGACAGTTGGCAATTGCGTCGGTCGACGTTCCTTTCAGGACATTGCGTATTGTGCCGAGGAACGACATTCGCTGGACCCCATTTCGTCTCCTGCTGATAGTCTCCAACCTGCGTCATCTCGATTCTGGGCTATTCTAGTCTGAACACGTCTCATCTTATCAATCTAATCTCCTTTCCTCGTTTTCCAGACTTTGCGCACGCACTCACTTCATTATAATATGTATTATCGCACATTCGTTTTTCGTCCTTTTCTTTGTCTTCCTTTCCTTCTTGTCAACGCTCTACCTGCGCTACCTCGTGTACATACCTTCTCCACGCCGCCCTCTTCTACATTGCCCTATCTTTCTACTAGTCGTCGTTGTCGTCCTGTTACATACTCGTATATTTCTTCTTGTCTTTTTCATCTCCGCCTTCCTCCTCATAATCATTCTTCGTGAGCTTCGCACTCCAAATCCGATGGATCATCTCGTGTTTTGTTGTATATATCCCGGATTTTCTTCTTCGTGATCATGTTCGTATGTCTGTCCCTATTCATTTTCTTGTGTGTAAAAAACCTAGACTTCATCACCGTCTCGCTCTCGATGTTCTCTCTACGTCTTTTACGCTTCTGGGATACATTAATTTGCACTTGCATATCATCGTTTCGTTCTGACACGACATGTCCGAGTCTGATCTTCTTGACTCGTATCTCAGCCTTGGCCGTTTTGGACTCCTCTATCTCGACCATCATTCTATATTCATGATCGCTTCGCCTGTCCGCGTCTACATCACTAACTGGTATCCAGTAAATATACATACATCAGCCTCTCGTACTCTGAGTCATGCAGCCCGAAAATGGATTCGGGTTTTTCTCCCTTCTCATTTCCTCTCGTCTCATGTCTTCCTCTTTGCTTGGCCTCCTTCTCAGCTCTCTCGCCAAAACCTAGTACATATATCCGCTCCGATAGACCGCCCTCCCTCTCTAGCTCTCTACAATTCATCGTCCTCGTCCGCAGATATTACGGTATGTATTCAGTTATACATTGCCTACGAGCTTTCAATGGCTCTATACGTCCTTATAGTCATTCAGACTATTAGTATGACGAACGAAGGAATGTATATCTTACGCGCGCTCGCTGGCGGGTTGTGAAAATTCGTGTTGGTACGTTGTGAATGGAGATATAGCTTTTGTCTCGTTGGCAGCTGGGTCTGCTTGAGGGTACGGTACGGGAAGCTTTGTGGATGGGATCTTAAAAGACAAATGGTGGGAGCCGGGAAGACGAGAACAAGACGAGAGAGCAGGCGAGATTATCAGGCATGGATGATGCAGCAAAGCATCGCCCCTGCTACCAACTTGTATGGCAACCTCCTTAGTCGGGTCATGTCCCAAGAAGCGAGATCGATGTATTGATACCCATCGTGATATTGTCCCCGATTCAGAAGCTTCCATGGCCAGACGTTGGCTTGGTGTAGAGTGACGAGAAATACTGCTGTGTTTCAACGTCGGAGCATAGCAGGCGACGAAGACGTCAAAACGGCTACTAGTAAACGGGAATGAGAGATAACGATACTCATCACATCGCACCAATTATCATAAGCCCCCTGAGGAGGGTAAGGGTAGAGCCATAGGAATGTGGAAGAAGGCACAGGACGTTTTCACGACCACTTATTGCACCTTTGCCAATGTTATCGACTTCCATTCATCGACCAGACTACAGCAGGATAGGGAACGTGACAGTACTAGCGCGAGAAACGCACAGGTATCGACTCCGACGTCGACTGACTGCCTGGACTCGTGGAAGACGTTAACACTGGATTCAGTTGCTGTGAATGTTCCGAAGTGCTCGCGAGCCTCTACTGTACATGGAGAAAGCGCAACAGTCGAACGCCTCAAGCATGGGACCGGGACCGGTTGAGAATGGAAAGCAGGGCGAGCAAAAGAAACTCGATGCCGTAGGATACTGCTCACCAGGATCGTTCTGTGTCTGCACATACTTGACATCTATGCTGAAATGCACCAATATTACTTGACACCCTTCAGTGACAGATGGGCCCTCTAGCATCCGGTACGAAGGGTACTCCTCCCTCGAGGCATGGTTGTTGTCGGCAGCCCTCGACACAAAGGGGCTGGAGGGCAAACTGTAAGGCCAGGTGCAAAAAAAGTTCGGCAAAGTCCTGACATTCATCATGAGGGGCTCAAACTCTGGGAGAGTCGAGCCGTGGAGTTTACAAGGCACGACAATGACTACTGCTCCATTAGACCTTATATGTTAGTGAGAAACTCGACCTCTTTTTGTACTGACCTTGTATTGGTCTTGAACCAAGTGGAGCTGTTTTTGGATTGACTATCCCGTCGCCGTTCCAAGTTACTTCAGCGTAATGGCGGGCGTGGAGCGCGCTTGGCCAATCACGAAGAAAGAAATTTCTTGCGCCACCGGGCATTTTGTACTGGAAATCACCATGTTTTGAGCTGAGTTTGTATTGATCTGGATTGAAAACTTTCCAGAAAACTCGTAACATATAAGGTCTATTGATGCCCATATGTTTGCAGAATGTACATGGCCTTGTGCACTGGTAGTAAAAGATTGAATCAGCCATCCACGTAAGCGCGTTAGGCAGTGCTTTAGGATCTTTGAGCTCGGCGAGGTTAGATGGTTTCGATGATGTTGGAGAACTCAACAGCTGACGACGGAGAAACCTGGAAGGTGTGAGCAGAAGCATGACGTTCGGAGTTTCGTCCGCGACATGTACAGATGATAAGGCAGAGGCCATCAGCGACCAACGAACATCACGTGTTGTGGCGCAAAAGCGTTTCTGCAAGAATAGCGCGTACAGAAAGGCCTTCGTCAAAATTTCAATTGCGCAGGTCTACGCCCCCATTACATCGTAACATTCCTGCCGAATTTTATTTCGGTTAAAGTGAACTTTGCGAGGGCCATTCAACTTACAACGCTCAGAAGATCCGGCCCGTGACGCCACTGTCGTTTTTGACGGTCTACGGTGAATAGGGCTTATATGTTAGTGAAAACTTGGAAATTTTTGCGAAAGCTCATTGGCGGATCGGACAGATCTTCCGCCAACAAGTTCCAAGTAAACTTGAAACATATAAGGTCTAATGGCCCTCGTAATTTTTACCGTTTCTTCCACCTAACTTGCCAGCTTGGTCGGGAATGATCTTTACTAGAGGACTGTGCAGTTGTATTTGAGTGAAAAACGATTGAATACAAAATATTGGCTGGAAAACCCTGCTACGCCACTTCACGTGATGTTCGTCGGTCGCTGATGGCCTCTGCCTTAGCCCTCGCCGTACTCAAAAAGGTTCGAGGCTAGTCAAGACACGGTCTCCGGAAGGACATCGGCGAGAAGAGTTACAAGAAAGAAAGCCCAGAACAACAGCGAGGATCGAGAGTTGAGAACAAAAGCGAGCAAAGAGGATAAGTAATCGTAGAGTCAAAAGAAGGGTGCTTTCTATACGCAAGCTTGTTCAGCCGATAGTAAGACGATACAAACCATGGTATGGATTTGCGATGCATGAACGAGCTAGCTGCTGCTTCAAGTCGAAGAGGTTCGAGAGCAAGTTCAAGAGAGAAAGACGCCGCGTGCTTGATGACGAGGGCGAAACCTAACCCGATTCTGTGGTTCGGATCATACGCTCTCTGACTCGGTGTCGATGCTAGATCAAAATAAAAACCATCCTCTCCGAAAATTCACTCATCGTCCATCTGACTTTCCTTCTGAACATATTCCTCCGCATACTTGCAAAAACGCTGTAATAAAAGGAGCCATTGAAATCATGTCCCAACCCGAGATCTCTTCGGCCGACGCTAACCCTGAGTGGACTCCCTCATCGTGGCGCGAGAGGCCTGTGGCCCAATCTGTTCAGTACCCTGATGAGGGCAAACTTGGGAAGTACGTCCCTTTCAGTTCCTTGTCAAGGCCACGTATTTCTTGATCTCACATATTTCTCGGAAACCGAGCAGAGTCTTAACCAAGATTGAAAAGTTACCGCCGCTCGTCACGCCTTCTGAGGTACGTTCCCTTTGCATCCTCGACTGAGCCTGTTTGCGTAAGAGATAAATTGAAAAGCATAGGTCACTGACCAATAAAACATATAGATCGAGCGCCTACGCTACCAACTTAGCCTGGTTCAGAAAGGCCAAGCGTTTCTCCTCCACGCAGGAGACTGTGCGGAGAGCTTCGACGCCTGCACACACGTCAGTCCAATCACCGCTGTCCTCCTTGATCGTTGCTAACTCTGAATAATCACTTACTCTTTCTCGCTCCATACGTGCAATGTTATACACCAAGTAGGAAAATATCTCTGCGAAGATCGGCCTCATACTCTCCTTCTCCCTCATTCTTCTCTGGGGTTCCCGACTGCCAATCGTGCGTCCACTTCTTCTCTCGACCTGAGTCGTTTCACGCAAGCGCAATACTCATTGGAAGTGATTTCCTGTATGATATGGCTGGTAGGTTCGTATTGGTCGAATTGCCGGACAGTATGCGAAGCCAAGGAGTAGCGGAACAGAGAAGATCGGAGACCGGGAGGTGACGAGTTTCAGGTGTGTATCTCTATCATGCATCAAATACACCACGAGAAATGCAGGCTGTATTTCGAAACCAAGTAGCGCCTCTGTAGCTGCTCCCTGTACCCTTGCTCTTGTAGTCTCCGTTTCCACCATATGATCCCTCGCTGACTGCTTTCATTTCTCCTGTGTACAGAGGCGACAATGTGAATGGGTGCGTTCATTTCCCATCGTGAATCTCCTTGTTCTCGTTCTCATCACCATGGTTATCGCTCTCAAACACTGATTTCTTTATCTTCCCTAGTCTCGATCCTGATGATCGCACACCAGATCCCGAGAGACTCCTGAGGTATGTATCGCGTTCGGCCCCAGAACTTTCTCTTTCTTCGCCTTTCAATCAGTCGTCGCTCTCTCTTCTCCGGATACTCACTTTCACTCTACAGCGCTTACTTTCACTCAACAACAACGCTGAACTACGTCCGATCGCTCCTTACCTCTGGATTTGCGTCGCTCCACCACCCGAGAGATTGGTCTTTCGCTCATGTTAGGAGTAAGACCCTACGGTATGTCCTCCCCGTGCATCCCATCGCTTTGCCAACTCGCCATCGATACATCCTGCTTCTTTTCTACATTCATTTATCTCCGCCTCCTCCTATCCCTTCCACCGCGTTGCGCTAACTCCGTTTTGCGGCCCTTTGTAGCTCCGAGTTCCAGAAAATAACTTCTGGACTTGCTGATGCGCTTGATTTCACACAAACTATCGGGCTTGGATCTTCGGGTCCCGAGGCGGCGAGTTATGAGCGAGGTGGAGGGAGAGGCGTGTTGGGCGAGGTGGATTTCTGGACGAGGTACGTGTAGCTGTTCTCTTCAATCGCAGGAATGTGGAGGTATCAGAGCGAGTATGTGATCAAGACCGATAGTTGACCATTTTTACGGATAGTCATGAAGGCCTGATGCTCCCATACGAGCAAGCCCTCACGCGCAAATTCGCCGTTCCCGCCTCGGTCGCTCTTCCTTCCAAACCTACCGCCACCGCCACCTCCACCAGTACCACATCTTCCACCCCACCCCAATCGCAACCGGAAGCCCACTACAACACATCCGCGCACTTCCTGTGGATCGGCGACCGCACGCGTCAGCTCGATGGCGCCCACGTCGAGTACTTCCGTGGCGTTCGGAATCCGATTGGTATCAAAGTCGGACCGGGCGTGGATGGGGAGGGGGTGGTGGGGTTGTTAGAGATCTTGAATCCGGAGAGGGAGAGTGGGAGAATCACGTTGATTACGAGGTATGGGGCTGGGAAGGTTTGTTGTTCTTAATCTTGGTTTCGGCGATACATGCCTTTGGGAAGTCGCTTGACCCCCAGAATGATCTTGGAAGGGCACTCGTCTGCTAGTTCCTTCGCAGAGGGTCAATTTATTCCCGGGCTTCTTCTTTCATTGCTCCACGCTTCATCTTTCCTCTTGCTCGTACGAATTGGAGTGCTGACTATATGAACACAGGTCGAAAATCACCTTCCGGGCCACATCAAAGCCGTCCAAGGATCAGGCCATCCGGTCATCTGGGTCTGTGATCCTATGCACGGAAAGTACGTCGTCTTGTCCCGCCTTCCATACATCCTCTGAGACTAATTGTCAACACCCTCCAACTCTCCATCACATCCAACTCCTTTTACGCCATCTCGCCACGGAACGCCACACTACACCACCAATACAGCACCCACACCTCCACCACCGGCCTAAAAACACGCAACTTCTCCTCCATAATCTCTGAACTCACATCCTGCCTCCGCATCCACGCCGACAACAACTCTCGGCTAGGAGGCGTCAGTCTTGAGTTCACGGGCGAGGTGGACGAGGAGGGGTTCAGTGTGACTGAGTGTTTGGGGGGAAGTATGGAGTTGGCGGAGGAAGAGCTGGGGCTCAGGTACCAGGTATGTCGTTCTTCTAGCCCTGCTATTCGACGGTTGCATCGGCTCTTGTCGTGGTGCTTATGGATCCATTCTATCATCAGAGCTTCTGCGACCCAAGACTTAACTTCGAACAGTCGCTCGGTGCGTGTTGCATTTCCTCCTCGTTATTCCATTCCTTACTGACTCTCCTTCGCTACTGGTGTTCAAGATATTGCATTCCTCCTGTCCAATCATCTCAGGGATCTCCGTCGTTCCTCCACCTCCGGCGCTGGCGAGGCCGAAGGCGCAAGGCGTGGAAGAGACGTATTGTTCGCCGAGCTGGGAGGGAAGATTTAAAGCCTGCCGTCGCGTCGCGTTGACTTTGGTTCTAAAAAGTAACCATGAAAGTTAGCGGAGATAATTTAGGAGCAGCGGAGGAATTACTGCAATTGAATGATGGATCCGTGAATGCAGACCGTTGGGTTTCCAAATCCTGCCCGGTTCTCCACTTGAGTGTTTCAGGTCTCTCCATGCTTCAAATCACCGTATTCCCTCTCTAGCACCGGTCTGGAAGAATTGCGTCTGGCATGCATTGCCGACCACCATCCCAGAGTCTTTATCGCGCTGACACGCCTGACTGTCATTTGCTCTCGTTGCGTAGGTGTATATTTTCCCCGCTCTCTTCTGGTCTCAGTGGAGTACGGTCTTAACGGAGTGCATATTTTGTGACAGGGATACAGTGAAAGGCTTCGAAGTCTTTACGTGAGCTCTACCTCCCTCTGCCATCTCTCTTCATATTACCCATGAACGCTTGTTCTGACCATGGTTTTCACAGGTCCTTGTGGTCGACATCATTCGTACGACGCCGTCGCTCGTCGTCAAATCCTCGAGTGATCTTGCTTCGCACCCCCGGCTTCATTCACGTCACGTTTCCACTCCATCTTTCGGTCCGACTAGGCATCATATGGCGACCGGTATCGCCCCTCCCATCGTCGAGTTGCATAACATGCTTTGGTGCTGGCACCTCCACAGGCTGGGCGTCGATACCGCACTCGCACTCGGGGTGGATTCCTTTGTTGATGGACGCTTGATATGAACTAACTCGTTCGCAATGATTTGGGCACGTCCACACGTCAACCACGACAGCTCTAGTTGATCATTTCCTGCGGGTCGTCGAGATGTCTGTGCTCTGCAGAGACCGCTCAATATCCTCGATAAGTTGTGGCGGATGTCACATACTCGCCGACCGGCAAATTCTCAGCTCCAGGACACAACAGTCTACCCTCCAACTCTGACTTCGGCACAGGTCTATCAACCTAGCTCATACTTGTCCAGCTTGATGTCGAGTCGTCGTTCACCTGAGGACTCGAGAGATCGCTAATGTGGCGTACTCAGGTCATGGTGACGGGGTGCAGTGATGCTCAACGATTTTGACCCGGGAATGGAGCTACTTATGACCGGTGGCATCGATGATTGCCGATGTCTGTATGACGCTCTTGATGGACCCTATTTCGCGCGTCCTAGCCGGACAGGCTGCTCGAGCGAGTGAAGTTCGCCGGTTTAGGCATCAAGTTAGGGTCGAGTCATACAGATTCACGAGCTGGATACGAGGGTGTTGGATGGTTCGACTGCTGGTATGTGCAATCCGTGAGGTGACCCACATCTAGCCGTCAATGATGCGGCGCTGAACTATGTATACAATCACAAAGCCAGATTCGTAACTGTTGTCTAGTCCGTCATTGCGAATTGAAGACGGTGGAGAACAGCTCCTCAAAAGCTGTGGCGACGGATCAAACCACCTCAAGTATGTCGGCGTCCGTATAGATTGATGCGAATATAATGCGCCGTGTCGGCGACGGCGCCATCAATGTCGGGATTTGCAATTGCTCAGCCATACACAGCGTAACACCTGAGAATTCGACGGAGGGCACATTCCAGTCCGATGCCGGGAAGCGCCCGGGAAGCGCCCGGAATACGACGAGAAACCGCCGTTCGTCAACTTCTGCTACCTTTCTTGAAATTCGACACCACCGCGACGAGAATGTGACGGGGTCCTAGATCAATATGACGAAAATGTTCCCGACGTTTAGTGCGTTGCAATTGGTACATGCTGGCACTCGCTGTTGAAATATTCCATTATTCTTGGTTTTCTGGTACTTATGATGCTTGCTGCTGCTGTTCAACATGATGGCAATGCATTTATATTACCAGCATGTATGTAGCTACAGTAGTACAAACAAAGGGTAGTGAACAAAAAACTTCATAGAGTCCATATGCACTATTACATCCATCAAGCTAAGTGACCATAGAAAGAGATATACTTACTCTATATTGCTCACTGAAAGTTTCTGTAATGAAGACAGATGTTAGTGCTTGGGTCAGGCTTAGAAATGCCACCATCTAGCTTAGTTCTATCCAGTGTACAATACCAGAGAGCTTAGCTTGCAGAGGCAACACCCAGGCAGACAAGGACTCAGACTAAAGACCAGCATGAGCTATAGCAGTAGTACAAGACCCAGAAAAGCACCATGTATCAGAAGGCAGTACACCTGAGAGCCCGAGGCCTGAGTTCTGTTGTCACCAGCGTGCGAGACGGTGCAGAGAGCGTGAGGCCAATATACAAGTTGAAGGGCGACGAGAAGAACAGATGGAGAAAAAGTACAAGTCGAGACTGTCGCACAACTTAGCACCATCGTGCGCACGGACCTCTCTCACGCGATGACGAGCTCAAATACTAAATTCTGGTCACCTTCTCAGAACTTGTGGAACGCGACCAAAAGGTCGTCGAAAGGCGACCTCAGAGTGTGGCGTAGCGTTCTTGGCAACCGTCGGCGGGCGGATTCTCGTCACATTTGCGGCCCGTTCTGGGATCCGACGCAAATGTGCCGCGTCACATTCTCGAGCTTTACGCTGTGATAGGGAGGACAGATGCGAGGTGATGACTAAACGGTACCTGATGTTTGATGGCCGCAAATATTTCACTGAACTGGCGGAACCACAAACAGTGGCCAGTGTGTTTCTTCGAATGTAAGACACTGAGGGGTGCCCAAAAGTAAGGTCATACAAATCAATGGACCGTATACAGCCGTCGACTTTGTCTCTGTGTAGAGTTTCGTATACGAAAGCATCCTCGACGTCCACCACATCCTCGAGTGTATTAGCCATACGAGTCTTACCGACGAAGTGAGCCGTATAGTGCTTGCGCACTAGGATAACGCCACACGGGCAAGCGCACCGAGTATAGCCCTTCACGATCGTAGTCTATCCAAATATGAAAAGTCATTGCGATCGATGTCGGTACTATCGATCGTGATAAGTAGTATTCGATTGTGGCGCAGTGGGTGGTGTATGTAAAGTGTCCAAACACAGTTCGGTCAGAGTCCGTGGCGAGGTGAAGGGCGAGGGGAGACCGACGAGGAGGCTCTAAGCCGATAACAGTTAACGAGCGGTAGTGTGTATATGCAGTGTCCATGGTGAAAGGAGTGTGGAGTTGTGTGGGTCAGATCACGGATCTGAGGGAAGGAAGCACGACTCAGAGCGTGCGTATATAGTCCAGATTGAGGCAGGACGGAGTGTAGAGAGCGAAAGCAATTTCTAAAGAATGTTGTATATACTGGTAAAACACAACAACACAGCAGGAAAACATTATCATTACACAGTCGAACAAGCGGAGTATATCACCTTGGCCAGCCACTTTTGCATTATTCGCTACCACAGCGACCATGTAGGATTACCCAAGAAGACGGAACATCTTTTCCGGACATCTCACCACAAATACACCTATCGATGCAAGAACCACGCTAATGCAGAGAGCGCAGGACCTTCATGATATCCTCGTAATCGGTCTCTACCGTCCTGTCCCCTCGAACCTCCCTCATCCAAAGCCGACTGTTAACTTTCCTCTCCGTATCGGAATCACCAGGTGGAAGCTGGATGCCCAAAGGTTCGATGGACGGAGGTGATTTCGGCAGGAGACATCCAAGCGGTTTACGCTGAAGCCACATCCCAGGGCCACTCGCCACACTGGGTCTCGAGTCGTTGGCCGCATATAACGATGACGAGGAAGACATGGTAGCGAGGGAGGCGGATGATTCAGAAGCAGAAGTAGAGAAAGACGACGAGGATTTATGTGATGGTTTCTCGTGCAGAGGTTGGCCGTCAGGACCGATGACAGCGAAGACGGGGGGTGAGACGGGTGTTGACGGCTTCACGGCCCAGGTGACGCCTCCCGACCTCTTCCACTTCTGTGTAGCAGGCGCTACTGTCGTCATCTCCCTTTCCTCCGCTAACCTCCCATACCGATAAGTATCGTCGTCGTCATCATCGCCTACCCAGTCTCCTTCGACGCCCTCGTCTTCGCCCTCTGAATCATCGTCGCATGCGATAGGCTTGATGACCAAATCCGCGGGAACACTCTTCCCTAAATGTCTCCTCAACTTGGACAGATTCTTCGACCTCAGCTCTTCTACACTCGGTGCTTCGGGACTCAGGGGTGAGGCCGCGGGCGGCATCGCTACTGCTGATGATGACGAAGGTGGCACAGGCAGAAGACGAGTCGTGGAGATGATCGGAAGGGAGACCTGAGCACGACAGGTTCGTTGGCGTATGGATGATGTTTCATACGGTGGTGATAATAGGGATGGCGCTGGACTCGGTTCAGGGTTGGCGAGAATTGTAGACGAAGATGGGGATAACGGGGGTGTAGGGAGTGGACGTATTCCGAGAGATTTGGTGGAAGAGATAGAGGCGCGAGGCGTTAGCGAGTGAGTTCTCGGAGGTAAGGACTCGCTCGGAAGAGTGAGAGAAAGGGACGCGGATGAAGGAGGAGTGGGAAGACGCCTCAGCTTTCCTGAGCGCTGCGGAGGGACGACGCCGGTATGGTATGGTGGCGGGGAAGAGATAGACGACCCTGAAGCGGAGGACGCCAGGGAGGAGGTAGAGCCTGCGTTATGCATCGTGTGCAATCTATAGGCAAACATTTAGCGCAAGCAATGCAAGGTTACGTTCAGAGCTTACACCATGTCGCGCGAATGGAAGGATGCTGAACGCGTCACCGTTGATTATGACGCTGCAAAAGCACCGGGGAGGGGATTTTGAGCGGAAACGGGAAACGGGGGAAGGTTGGACGAAGGAAACGGGAAGAGGAGTCAAAGCAGGGGAAAAGCGAGGGCAGGTTGATATATACCTTCTTCCGTTTGCGTGTCGTATTACATCAAGCGAACAGTTGGAAAATAGTCGAGTCGCAATCGAGATCGGGCTCGCGTTCGCGTGTGGTTGACCAGCGTCCAAGGGCCTGGGACGACCCTGCAGATGGCAGACGAATCGGATTCCGAGAGCAGTGCTGCCCTGGATTTCTTTGATGGCAACTCAATCGTTGGTCGCGATTTTGTCTCCACGACCTTCGATGACCCTGGGTGGCGAGTGATACTCACTGAAGGTCAGTATTCTCAGGTCTAAGAATGAAAGACATCCCAAAGAGTGCCATGTTTGATAGACAAGGTCAGTGTGCCGGACTGTGAACAGGTCGGTATGATGAGGCCAGCGGGTAGAAAGGGGATGTTGTCGTGAACTGCACAGGATTTGTACGCGCAGAAGCTCGCTGGTAACAAGATCCCAATATCAAATTCCTTGTGTGGTTAGCGCTTACAAGCTAAGCGCCTAACAAAAGTATCCAAATCCAAGGTTTTTATATGAATTCGAACTTGAACTAGTTCAAATCAGACACCGATTGTCTGCCAACCCTCCTGTCTGTACACCACTAGATCGTAGAATGCAACATCTCGTCGAGAAACATCTCAGAACCTCATCCCGTCAGTTCAGGTCTACACATGTAGGGCGTTTCTCCGTCCAACACTTGGCAGGATATTTTGTGAGATACCACGAGCGACACCGGGAGGACCTGCAAGAGAATGACGCCTTAAAGTTCCATATCGAGAACAACTACAGCGATGAGCACTGAATACAAAACACCTTTGCTGTAGGTCCTTAACGTGCTGTGGGGTACGTAGCGGATACGAACCCGCTCAAAAGCGCCCAAACAGATTCCTCCATTGAGATCACGAACACTTCGTTCCGCAGAGCCCAGCAGGCATGACCACTGAAATCCGACCACGACAACTACCAGAAGACGTCTGATCCCAATTCGGCTGGTGAAGATGGAGATTCATTATGCAGTAAAAATGCCGCGCTGTTGGGACTGAATACATCTGTGTCCTGCATGGTAATCATTTAAGCTCGTGTGACTCCGACCAGCGAGCTTGTTCGGCCACCACTCGAAGTCTCTCATGACCTGGCGTACAACGCGCGCTCCCGTAAAGCCGCCTGAGTATTGCCAACTCCTTCAAGATGCTCGGCTTTTCTCGACCTTGGAAGAAAGACATAGTCATCAACACGCTGTGATGCATGCTCGACGGTTCCAACATTATTCCCGCAACAACCGCGAATAACAGCACGGCGATTGAAACAGTCCGTGAAGCACGACATCCACGAGTACAACGCCCATCGGCATGTGGGTGAGCGTAGTGGGAATACATGCCACTGTGCGCAAACCATTCCTGCGCTTTGAAGAGTTGGTTCATAGACGGATCGTCGCCCATAACAGGAGAAAACAATTGCCCATGTCTCTTCTATACAGAGCGACTCGGACTCGAGAAGCCTGAGGAGCCTAGCAGCTCCTATATTCCACGAAGAGTCGGGGGAAACGCAAAAAAATGCCCTATGTGATGGTTGCATTATGATCGGACTATAGAACCGGGAACAGCCCCGTCGACAGTCCAACCAACGCTAATCAACAGGCGGCAGACGTCAAGTAACGGGGTATATTCCCGTTCCCAAATCAAGGAAGATCATTCACCGAAGCGGCATCGGAAGTAATATATCAATGACGATGGGTGGGCCACAATGCCATCGAGAACGAAAGTGTTGGAAGCATAGTTTCCAACATGGACGTGGCGAATCTACGCGTACGATGTGAGCGGAGAGTCTGTGCTCCTACGGGAACCTTGATGCGTTCCGTGTGGAGAATATTTTTACACAGTAATACACAACTCCACACACGTCTGGAATTGCTGTAGCAAAGCATGCATACTGGAGATCGTCGTTATGGTGTGGCGTGGACCTACATATGCGATGCGAGGTGTGATGGCGCTTGAGGATAAGATGCTAACTTGAATGGGAGAAGCAAAGTCAGCTCATCATTATACGCAGTCCATCGCACACTAGCGACCAACACCTCGTTCATCCGCATGAACCTCAGAGCATGGGTACTCACCAGCGCATGTCTCCATTCTGTCCACGTGCTGGTGTTTATACCGAGCTCAGCCATAAGTATACCATCAGGACAGATGTCAATTCTGTACAATCATGATAGTCCTGATATAGTACCATATACGACGATCAATGAAGCCAGTAGTAGGTAGCCGACGGAAGAGGAAGTCAACGAGGAGCTCGAGTAGCTTCCTGCGGAGCCCATAGGCAGACCCTAGGCAGACCTTAGACAGACCCAAAGCATGAGTCAGAGTGTCATTAACAGTTTACATGCCGAGATCTAATGCGCCCGCTAGGAAAGGAAAGCACTTTTCATTCAGCTACGAAGCTCTAAACGGCGGAGCGAGGCATGTGCCACACTAATACTATTCGCTCTCAATCCACTCAAGCCCATCTCGCAATATCATCTATAGTGCCCCAGGGGAAAAGCGACCAGAAATGCATAAGGGACAATCTCTATGGGTGGGAGAGGCGGTGGTCACAGATCTCAGACGGCGCAAGCTTGTGAAGGTCGCGAACGAACCGTCCCTGCGTTGGGTTCGATTAGTTCGACGGCGGTGCCACCTCCATTGAACCGATACAGCGCATATTATCTTTCTAATAGGTCGTAGAACAGGATGGAATGTGGGAAGAGTCTTCTTGTTGGCCAGAGATGGTGGAGCTAGGAGGACAAGGGCATGTTCGGCCAAAAACGCACGGTCACAGAAGGCGGACTTTGAAAGAGATCCGGAAGATTCCGGTCAGTCAGGCTTGCAAGACTCGAGTCAACTCTCCGCTAAACCTCCTCGTTTCTCCTCACTCTTTTGCATGCAGTAGCAATCAACCTCCCTTTCTTCATTATGTTTCTAGTGATGCTCAAAGCTCTTCCCTTTTTATCTCGTCCACCTGTGCATAATATAAGGATATCGACCAAATATCGACTACGCCGGCGGCGGGATCCGGCACATGCTGGCGCTTGTAAAGTTTGTGCCGTGGCGCTGATGAACGGAACAACAGGAAGTTGCTCGGCACATCAATTCTTTCTTACCTTCAGACGTCGAGTGGCCAACCATATCTATCTCATACGGGCAAGAGCGGGTCATGGAAAGGGCTAGCGTCGTCTCCTGTGCGGCATTTCCTCCTCACGACCGACATATGACTTCGTACCGCGGCGAGCGAAGGCGCTCCATTGCGCAACGCGGGTAAGGAAAGGATCTTTGTTTTCGATAAGACTGCTCTCAGGATATCTTTCACCGTTTCGCGACCTCTCGTTCATCCTCTTTCTCTTTCTGCCAGTCAAGGACCCGTCTTGACCCCGTGCCATGGCAGAATCGAGTATCGACGAACCGAGCCAGACCGTCATCGAAAAGGACAAGTATAACGATGATGCATGTTCCGTCAATAGCTATGAAGTCAAGGGCTTGAAGCGAGCACTAGAGCCGCGCCATCTGACGTTCATCTCTATCGGAGCGTGTATTGGCACAGGTACGCAATGCTATGCCCGTCGTGACTGTACTTCGAACGCTGACAATCTCACCTCCACTCGCTATAGGTATATTTTTGGGAATTGGAGAGAGTCTGGCGAAGGGTGGACCATTAGGTGCGTGTATCTACCACTGTCTTTATGCCGTACGCCTGTGATCTTTACACTGTCACGAATAGGTGTATGGCTTGCATACTCTTTTATGTGCACCGTGGCAATCGCTACCATGCTCCTTGTCGGCGAAATGGTCACCTTCCTGCCAGTACAAGGGGGCCATATCCGTCTCGCGGGTCGTTTTGTGGACCCGGCTCTTTCATGCGCCATGGGAGTCAATTATTACCTATGTTGGGTCCTTATCCTCGCCGCCGAGATCTCTGCATCGGCTGTACTCATCTCATTCTGGACGACATCGGTCAACCCAGGAGTTTGGATGGCAATCGCTTTGGCAATCGTCCTCGCCGTCAATTTATTCGGAGTTCAGTATTACGGGGAGACTGAGGTTGCGTTCGCGAGTCTGAAGGTCATCACGATGGTGGGGCTTATCATCCTGTCTATCATCTTGGACGCAGGTGGCGGGCCAAACCACAAACCGATAGGGTTTCAGTACTGGAGAAATCCTGGACCGTTCGTTCAGTACCTTGGGATACCGGGATCGACAGGGCGCTTCCTCGCTTTCTTCTCCGTTCTCACTCAAGCTTCTTTCACTATTACTGGTACCGGTAAGTCGGCAACATTATACTACCTCACTTGTTCGGAACGACACTTACATCTGGCGCTGTTTAGAGATGCTTGCGCTCGCAGCGGCTGAAACTCGTAATCCACGCAAGGTAGTCCCGCAGGCCCTTCGTACTGTATGGATTCGTATCGTCATCATCTACTTCCTCGGCTCCTTCGTGGTCGGTCTCGTCGTGGCCTCGAACAACGACGCTCTAGGATCCACTTCTACCGCCTCCGCCTCGCCGTACGTTATCGCCATCCAAGCCGCCGGTATCAAAGTCCTTCCATCTATCATCAACGCCGCCATCCTCACGTCCTCACTCTCTGCCGCCAATTCGGATGTCTACACTACGTCTCGTACGCTCCATTCCATGGCCACACAAGGTCACGCCCCTCGCTTCTTCCAACTCACCAACCGTAACGGCGTTCCATACGTCTCCGTCATCTTCTCGTGGCTGTTCGGCTGTCTCGCGTTCCTGGGCCTCAACTCCTCCGCCGAGAACGTCTTCGTATTCCTCGTCAATCTCACCGCCATCTCAGGAACTATCACCTGGCTCGTCATCGCGGTGACGTATGTCTGTTTCCGCCGTGGCATGACGGCTCAAGGGATCGACCGAGCCATACTTCCTTGGAGGACCAGGTTAGGGTGGCCGGCGGCGGTGTGGGTCATCTTTACGATGACGATCATCATGCTGTTCAGCGGTTGGGAGGTGTTCAGGCCGGGAGAATGGAATACGTCGACGTTCATGTCGAATTACCTTCCCATTGGTTGGTTCGCGGTGTTCTACTTCGGGTATAAGTGGTATTTGAAGAGTCGTATCGTGAGGCCACACGAGGTGAATGTCTCGTATTTATCTGGCTCTGCGTAGTGGGACTGACGGGTACACATCTTGTAGATTGACTTTGTGAGCGACCTAGACGCCATAGAGGCTGACGAAAAGATGTACGAATCGGAAGAAAATACTTCGCCTGGCTTCCTTCGGAGGATGGTGAATACGGTTTGAATTTTGAAGACACTAATTGAATGTAGAAACACCTGTCCTGTTATCTGGTGAATCGTTTCATGATATGCATGTTGTTTCGTGAACGACTCTTTGTCCAATAAGTACTGGCTATGTTGATGTCCTCGCCTCGACATAAACATCACTTCGGCAGATACACTAACCGATCTAAGCAGATACAACGATTGCAATGTGTCTCAACCATGTAGCGGCTGCACGAATGTGATACACCCACGGTTTCAATGTTTTAGGCACGTACGCCATATATGCAATTGTCGTCGGGTAACATATCCCGCTCTCTCTGTATCTTCGGCGATGTTCCATGCTTGAGACTTACACGGCTTCGTCGTCAGTGTCCTTCAGTCGTCGTCAAATCACAGAGCACTGATATTTTGTCCGACTTAGGCTCCATCTCCTTCGCATGGGGCCGCACTATCAGACGGGGTTCAAAGTATGGAGAGTCACTTCCACTTCACTCTTCGAATACTTACATGGTTTATTATCTTCCACGAGCACCTCCACATGGAACCGCCGCCGTCCTAATTTCCTGAAGGATGACTGCGCCAAAATAAGTCAATTCTAACGGTAGGAGTACGTTGTACAAGGACTACGTTTGTGAACCTGAGTCTTCAGTCCACTAAGCGTCGAGCGAAGGCCCAAATAGATGTAAGGAAGCTCCCAAAGTTCGTCGAGGAGTTTCGGGACCGTTCACATTCCACGAAGAAAGCATGAGACGTTTCGGTCAATCGATTTAGGCGTATGAGAGGTACAGACACCACCAAGAAAATAACGGACACTCCCCTGGAACAAGCTTCGCACCGATGTCAGAGACCAGTCAGAGGCAGAAACTGGATGGGCATACGACTCTTGCGTACCCACTTCACTATTGACTCCGTCACGATCCTTTTGCTGGCGCCATCACCTGTCAACTTCAGCACTGACTTGAGACTTTGACTTGCGTTAAAATTGTGACGTTTTTCTGTGTGATAAATGTCAGTATAGTGAATATGTGAGCGCTGAGCCTTGCAAACCAAAGAAGAGTATTCCAATAGTTTGTTCGGTAGATGTAATGGTGGGTGGTATTACGAGAATATGAATGCGTACCTTCTCTGAGACAAAAAAAGCCAGACCATGACCACGGCGATCACGACGGTGACCGTGATGCAGACAACGCCAAGGCAGAGGATGTGCGCAAAGATGCCCAAGACGAGATTGACGGCCATGAGAAGTAGGATAGAGATCGCGACGTTGGTGAAGGCATTGAGCGCGTTCGTACCTGTGCAATGGATGAGGAAGTTGTCGAGCAATGCCTATAGACAGAGAGGTGCAGATACCATTATCCGCCATCTTCGATGTCATCTGAACGATGCCGCCGTATACTCCATTGTAACCTATACTCGGCGAAATTCGTAGTACCGCCGTAGAAAAGTAGGCTTCAGATTCCGTAGAGTCTTTCATCCTGGAGAGCCGGGGTTATGTGTCGAAATAAGGTGACATCCAATCCCATTTTTCAGCAGAAAGTAGTAAAAGAGTGTGATGCCGAATCGCAAGTTGTCGTGATTCAACACTTGCGTCTTCGTTGGGACAAGGCGGAAGCGATGAGTCACGCGTCTGTTTGAGTTGCAAAGATCTTGGGAACGAGGTTGGAGACCGCAGAAAGGGCAGAGGAGTCGGAAGCGTAAGAATGAGCGCCATTAACACCGCCTGTCTTCCTGTAAATTCCAATAATTGAAGTGAATAAGTATACGATGTTAGCCTCTCATGTAAGACTATACGTCAAAACGCAAAGAGGTCTGTGAAATATAGGCACCTTGAGCAAGCCATAGTACTTATGCTTTCCTCGTACAAGACCAATCCATACAAACTGTCTGCGACCCCACCAACTCCAAATGAATCTTGAAGCGGTCGGCCTGGAGAGATGCCCGCCTTTGCCATGAACTCCGGCAATTTTTATTTCTTGACGAAATGCTCACTGCACCTAGAGCATTCGTTGCAGAAGGAGTTGAGACTTCGGGTACGAATAAGACAATGCGCATAAGTAGATGAGACATAACGTGTCACCCCGTTTCTTCGCCAATTCAGCCGCGTTAGCTGCTGTCCCCAGTAGGCTGCGCACCGCTCACAATCCATTGACAGCCACCGGGCGCAGCATGGCGCCATCGTTGAGTTCTATCCGAGCCAGTTGATAAACCTACCTCGTCGCGGTTGCGGAGTACTGATTTCCTTGTATCGTTCTAGAAGTAGTCGCTTTGTCTTTCATGTGGGATCCGCACACCACTGCTGGCTTGCTCTGTCCGATGATTGAGGCGGAGCGAGACGAGGGTTTCCAGGTCGAGGTCGGAGGTGATAGTGGAGATGTCGACGTATCTGGTAGAATCGTGTATGGGCACAAGACGGTCTGCTAAGTGTGCGTTCACGGACGTTGCGCCACTCGTCTGTCAAATCAGGCAGTGCTTGTCTTAAATATGTATATAACCAGCCTTGTTATCTCGCGTCACATCAAAAAAACCGCCAGGCAAGAAGAAAGCTTACATGGATGCGGTGTCTGCGTGGAAAACATGGCTGCAGTGTAAGCCGTTAAGTGTGTTATCCTCAAAATAATACATGTGCCATTGCAGATCGACGGCCACGGTATCATCTGCATCAACCATGTCCTCACTCGCCCCGCCAACAAGCTGATCCTCGATCTCCAAACCTGCCGCTACCGATTCCAAGTCCTCATAGTATTCTTCTACATATTTGTCGCTATTCCTTTCGGTTGCGGTGTCGTCTCTGACAATGTCAAACCAAGATAAGGCCAATGGGAAAGTAGAGGTGGGTCTCCAAAGCATTATCACCCCGAGCATCTCCTAGAGACCATTGCTTCCGCATATGCACGAGGCGAAAGTTTGTTGAAAATATCGTACTCGGAAGGGAACATAGAGAGGGCAGCAAGACACAGGCGACGGAGATCAGCATATGTATGGTTATAACCGTCGCTGGTTGTTGCCTTGCCTGATTCAGCATCACAGCTGAGCGCTGAGGAAGAGTGAGCGTTCGTGAAGGCGAACATAATACTTAGGGATCATATATGTACTGGAAGTTGAGCATCGTGAAATCTTTGATGAGCTGACGACAGATGCCGAAGACGACGTGCTCACAAACTTTGGTAGAGTACAGCCAGGGAAGGAGGGTTCTCCCTCCAAATTGTCACGGTAGATGATGGCGAGTTGTAGGAATCCGCGTATGATGTAGCGCAGGATGTCAAGAGCTTCATAGTATGAGATCTCAGCTAAGAGCGCGACGGATCATGGGTTTATTGCTCAAGAATCCTCGCTTGACCATGGGAAAGAAAAAGAAGCAAAAAGAACAATTACAAGCGATTCAATCGCTCCGCTCATGGAATCGTAATTGCACCAATTTGATCTACATGTCGAAAGATTATACCCAAATGTTGATGCATATAAGCACCAATGAGAGTCAAAAACATCTACAGAAGGAATAAGTCCAACATAATGGTAGAAAAAACAAAGGAAAATGAAAAGGGGACTCATATGCACAGAGGACAAGTAAGCATATCCTTTTGAAGTGATGCAGAGTAAGCTGCCTCGATCTCATCATCAAACCGAAACTCAAAATTCCAAAACCTAGCCCAAATGCCACGACAAGTAGGACCTGGACGACGAAGCATATGCAACTGCCAATGTCTCGGAAGCCATCCTGAGTCCTCCCAGTCTACAATACCCGTCAACTGCCCCTGCTCATCAACCAAGATATTTTGCATTCGAAGGTCAGTGTGCACCCATACAACCTCATCTTCCTCAATTCGCTGGATGATATTCGGTTGTTCCATCCTGATCCTGTCGACCGCGAAAGACATAGTGCGGTAACAGTCTATTACAGACGGAAAGGGTCCTGCGAGCGTGTCTGGGAGTCCGACCGCGCGAAAACCAGGATGTGGCAGACCGTGGCCACTCGCGCTTTCCATGACCGTAACGACCGTTCTCCGCGGAATGCACCAGAGTTGGTGCAAGACGCTGAGAACGTCCGACGTGAGACATTGCAAGCGATCCGGTGAAAGCTCGCCAAGTTCGTCTAGGGAACGGCCGGGGAGTTTCGTCATGAGTGTGTAGGTGGCGCATTCTGATTCGATTTGGAAGGAGTCGAGGAGTTTGGGGATCGGAAGGTGTGGTACAACGCCGTTCAGGAAACGAAGAGCGTCAGCTTCGGTGCTGACCAGGCGAGGCGTTCGTTTGAGAATAAGAGGGGCCCCGAAGCGGAAGTGGTAAGTTTTTGGCTCGAAATCAAGAGGTGGGTGAGTGAGGAGTAGGTAGAGGTGGAGTTTGGTTCGGGAGACCAGCAGTCTCAGAGCGGCTGCCAGCCCGTAGATGCAACGGCTAATCAGCGCGGTCTGCTAAGCAGCGGGCCGCATCAGCAGGGGCGATCAATAACAGATTGATATGTTTGCGCACCATTGTAGCATTAAAACACTTCCTGAATTCTTCCACTGCACTTGAATAAGGAGTTTGTGCTGAGCGTCAACTATGAGAGCGACCATAATGTAGAAGGCGATAACAAGCAAGAGGCAAACGGAATCGCGAGCGCACGACAAGCTGCAGAATGAGAAAACGTAATCCGCTCCCACGCCTCAGCCACGTTCGACGTTGTGGCACCGAGTCGTCCTCTCGTCGTCGTCCACGGCGGCCCAGCGATCCCCAGCACTGATCTCTACGCTCACGCCGAGCATCATTCATCACGTGGCATCCCGGTCGTCTTCTACAATCAACTCGGATGCGGCAAATCTACCCATCTCCCCAACAAACCCAAGTCTTTCTGGACTGTCCAACTCTTCATGGCCGAGCTCGACAGAGTCATTTCATACCTCGATATCTCCACCAACTGTGATCTCTACGGCCACTCTTGGGGCGCCACGCTCGTGTCCGACTATGTTGCTACTATGCAGCCGAAAGGACTTCGACGCCTCATCCTCGCCGATGGTCCAGCCTCTATGAACTTGTTCATGGCTGCGGCAAACAAACTCGTCGACTCCGATCGCTACCCGCCAGGGTTTGGAGACATGATGAGGAAGTATGAGGGGGAGGGAAATACCATTGAGCGGGAGTATCGTGATATGGTCAAGCAGTACACACAAACCCACATTTGTCTCGTGGACCCCTGGCCGCAGCACTTGAAAGATGCATTCGCTGAGATGGCTCAGGATCCTACCGTTTTGATCGCGTTGTGAGTTCTTTTGCCCCTCATTTGTTCCGCCGTACATCGCATGTTGCGGGACGCGCCACTGATAAATATTCTATTTTTGACAGGTTTGGGGAGTACGAATTGAGTTGCAACGGCAACGTCGAGAAATGGTCGGTCATCGGCCGTCTTCACCGGATCAGTTGTCCGACACTTGTAATCAATGGAGTAGAGGATTCAGCTCAGGACGAGTGTGTTGAACCGTTTGTGAGTAACATCCCCAAGGTTAGATGGATTCGGTACGAAAAAGCGGCCATATGCCGAGTTAAGCGCCACTACTTAAGAGGTTCGACGGGCCTACTAAGGAAAGCGAAGAACGGTAAGGACTCGGGAAGTCCCGCGTCAAGCTATTGTGTGAAATTCAACTCCGGTTCATCCCGCGCAGAGTGTGGCACCTCCGATGTTGCTTTAACGCTTCCACTACCTCCTCCCTCCTTTTCAGCCTCTAAGTTACTTCTGTACCAGGCCTAAAGAAGTCCGTGAGAAGCTCCGCTCAGACTGGATCAGTGCTGGAAAGACCGTGTAGGGCGCTTCCGAGGCTTGAATTCTCAGACTCAGCAGCTGAGAAACATTGCGCACAGATTGATACGAGCGAAGATGACCTCAGTGGCCTCCTGAGCCTAATCGGAAGGATCAGTAATGGAGGATGCATCTTAATGCACGAACATGCGGTATGAAGCGCCGGCGTGGTAACCTTGTTTATACCCTCGAGCGACTTGCGAGCGACCTGTCGAACGCGCAGTATAGCCCTGTACCACTCGCTATGTATTCGATGATTTTTGGATTGAGAAAGCCGGAGCGTATGTTGGTCTCTTTGCTATACATGAAATCTGGCTTATACGCTTTCAATTATCTCTAGCGGTGCGTAGAACGACGTTTGTCGGCTTCATGGCGGTACAAGGACACGTCTTACTGAGAAAGATTGATCCATTCAGTACGTCTCCCCATCGATCTCAACATAATGTCCCTTCAATTGTGTCCTAAGCTCACTGGTATGGCTTTGCTGTATTGCCCCTTTCTCTTGTGGTCTTTAGCCCAGAACCGGCCATACTTGTCGAGTATTCCCCTTCTCTGGCTGGGTGTTAAGCCTCTCTATTTCTGCACGAAAAAAGTTCTTCCGCCGCTCTGGGGAGGTTTCTTCAAGGCAATTGGATTCAGTGAACCTCCTAGTATGTAGTACCCTGTTCCCCAACTCGTTTATTTGTTCATGGTCTGGCTCGGCCTATGGTTCGGCCTAACGCGTCTTACTCACTTTGTACATATAGTCCCTCTTGCTGCACTTGATCTATACGATCGGTACCGGGCCATAATTTTTGATCTTTTTGACGATCCATTTTACCACCGTCCAGGAGCCCCAGCTCCGCGCGCACGGGACCTTGAGGAAGAGAATATGATGCGGACGGCGGACGATGTGGTCGGGACGCAAATGCGTGCAGCGCTTGGCGTATGGGGAGGATATATCCTAGGGAGACATTGGAACATCTGGTAATCTTTGTGGAAAGGTATAGTCGTAGACAGGCCAGCGAGGAATATTGCGCTTTTTCGAATCGGATTGCATGAAGACATGATACTTTCTGAAATATATATTCATGTTTTTTCACTATCGTATTTCGCCAAGTACCTCATCCTAGACCTCGCCTCACGCCACACACTGAGCCATCGCCGTAGCCCGGCACCAACCTGTTGGTTTCCTATCATTCTCGGCCTGGACACCCAGTTTTGTATATTGCAAGTGGTACAAGGAGTAAAGTTATTCACAGTGATTCAGACCAAGATGAGAGATAGATAGATATTGCAGATGATTGGCGTCGATAGTCTGGACGAAAACAAGAAGATTGGGTACGCGATGGTGTATAATGTGACGAAATATGTGAGGTTGCATAAGGCTAGAGCGGTAAATGAATGACTGAGATGAGGACAGGACGGTGAGGATAAGCAATGTAAAATGTGAGAGGCAACTTTGTGCGGGGTGGTCAGAAACAAGACGAGGTAAGACATACGTCAGAGCAGAAAGCAAGGAAGTTACGGGTGCGGAGGTCAAGAAGAGAAGCACTGTGGTCACCGAAAAAGGATTGAACATCTCAACAAGATACTGAAGGAACGACAAAGGGACTCACGAAGGGCTCGACGGAAAGCATCACCCACCATTGGCCACGCAACCCGAGTACCGTCCGCACGAATTTCCGAGCGAACCTCCCAGCGACTATACCCGTTCGATCCAAACCACTCTTAGAAACCACCTCCCCCAAATCGATCCTCCCTCTCCATACGCCTCCCATCCGGCGTTCTAAGCACCTTCTCGCTAATAGACTCCATAGCATCACGCTTCCCCCAAATCCGCCCCGTAAACTCATCCATCTCCTCCTTGTCCAAATCAGAAGGCGTAAACCCCCTCAGCACCCTTCTTCTGCTCCCACCCCCTCCACTACGATTACGCTCCGGACTCGAACCCATGGATGGCGGCGAGCCGGACCACGAGTTGACTTCGGCCCAGTCGTTTAGAGGGGCAGGGGGTGGTGGGCGAGGTGGTGTACGGGGGTTGTAAGAAGATGAGGAGTCTTGGCTTGAGGATGGCGTGGAGAACGGAAAGGTGGAGAGAGGTGGTGATGGTGTTCGTTCTTTCTTCATGGCGGATGCTGCTGCCGCCTTCGCCGTTGCTGTGCTCGTCTTCCTCCGTTTCGGAAGAGGCATCATCGTTGGTTGCCGGAAAGGCAAAGATGATGGTACCGTGGGTATCGAAGGCTCGGATTTGATGTCGAGTGACGGTTCGGGTGGGATGTATGGAGGGGGAGGTGAGGGGCTGGAGTTACGCCATAATTGTCGGAAATCGGAAGGGTTGATAGAGCTAGGCATGAATGCAGGCCACGTTATGCGGGAGGGTTCAGGTGTGGAATCCCGGGCGTTGTACTCGTCTCGCTCATGGTTATGGTCGAGGTGGAGTTTGTTGGGACTTGCTGTATGAGGGATGGGTTGGTGTAGCGTGGATGATGGTGGCGTGAGATGTGAAGTGTCGATCCCCAACCTGTTCACGACGGTGAGCGCGTTGATTATGGAGTGAGAAGAAGCGCACGCACCTGGGAGGTTTACTCGCTCCCTGTTTCGCACGATAGAGACGTAAAAGGGTCGGACCAGCGAAGTAACTGATCAAGATACACGAGAGCGTGCAGAGCATCGCGACGTTCGCGATGAACATCCATGGCAAGAAAGACTGATAATCTTCAGTGAACTTCTCCACAGTACTCATAGTCCTTGATTGAGGAAATTTGGACATCTGGAAACGACGCGTCGAGAGAAACGATGGTAGGCAAGACCGCGTTCGAAAGGTTTCGCCACACAGGTGTAGTCGTGTTGTGACGTTCGGCCTAAGACGGAACGCACACGGAGCGAATTAAGATAAGATGAGATTTATCGAATAAGTCTTGATGTTCGCACGGTAAGAGAACTCGACAAATCAAATGGGAATTTAACCCGCTGAGGGGCCACAGTAACTACAGGTGCCCATATATATACATCCAGTCTATATCCACCTAAGCTACCGGTGACCCACAGCCATAGAATCATAGAGAACATATCCACGTAGGAAAAGAACATACTAGACGATTAAAGAATAATAAAACGGCAAGTGGACCACGATCCACAGGCGGTGGGAAAGTGGGTATCGGAAAGGAAGTGGAAGCTCGGGCTCTGCCGGCTCTAGCGAAGCTGGGTGGCAAGCCCGAATCGCGACATACGCCCTCCTGGCTTGGGACAAGTCAATACCACAACCAAACGAAAAACGACAAATACCTGATACGAAGCCTCTAAGTGAACTAGGTAAAAGGTAAGTAAAGAAGTATGAGAAAAAAGACAAGGAAATATTCTTGGCAAAGACCAAAGCCTTCAATCCTCGTTCATAGGCTGAGTAGAAGCCGACCCGCCTTCGGGAACGTTTGGAGCCGCTCCTCCCACGCCTCCAGCCAGTCCCGCCACTCCAGCGCCAAGCCCAACGCTTCCTTCATCGGAAGATCCCTGAACCTGCGCCGGCCCGCCATTAGCCTCCTGCCGAACCGAGCCATCCAATCCGAGAGTATGGCCTCGAGAGCCGCCAGCTCTTCCTGCGCTCCCTTCGCCCTGAGTTCCTCGATCAGGTCGTGGACCTTTTGGACCCTTACCCCTTCGTCCACCTCCCCCTCCCCTAGCAATATACTTGTTCCAACCGAAAGCAGGTTTCCCTCGCGGAAAACCTCCGACTGACCCGAAGCGAGGAACACTCCCTCGGTTGTTTCGTACACGGCGTGCGCTGGCAAACGTGAGTTCGGCTTGGGCGGCAAGATTACGAGTCTGAGCACGTTCTGTAAGCAAGCAGTCAGACCATCCGAATAAAATGTCAACAAAGAATCGGAGGGTCTAACTTGTAAGTCGAACGAACCTCTGTCCACCTGAGCCTGCTTCTCGGCGAGCATGAGCTCGGCGAGCCGATCCTGGATCGGAACGACTTGGCCGTGGGCAGCGTAACCGTAAGGCACCATTGCGAGTGACGTCGCGACCTGCTGGGCAGGCGGAGCCATATCGGGGCGAAGCGCAGGGTTCCAAGAATAGACGAAATCGCCAGTGTTGGTCTGGGTGCGAATGAACGGTCCATCAGGACGGAACTGGAGACGATTGGCGGGGTCGTATTGGAAGAACATGGACCACTCGTCGTAGAACGCCGGAGGCTGAGTCCCTTGATTGCCGGGGATGCCATCGCTGAACGCGCGAAGGATAGACATAACGGCAGGAGAAGGGTTGCCTGGGGGAGACTGGACACCAGCAGCGTTAGACGGGTGAGTAGCAGCGCTCATGATGACGGCAGAGGATAGTTCTCGAGAGAATCTGGCAATTGAGTGATTGGGGATGATTTGGTGAGTCGAAATTAACTCGCCCTCCGAATCTTTTATACTCATTGCAGCTGCTTCCACATAACCTGGATTATTCTCTCTCCTGCTCGAATGTTCGAGAGGTTTGATATTCTCCTTACTTCGCAATAAACTGGTCTCTGGCGTCGGTATTTCTTGCAGACTTGAGCCCTTTAGTTTAGAGATATCGCTTATGTCCAAAGCCTCCAAATATTCGGCTAGAAACGGCAAGTGTTGTACCTCGTGGTAAGGAAGCCAGGTTCGGTCGCCTGTTGTCCATTCAATTTCGAAATAGGCCTGCTTCGCATTGCCACGGTGTGACAATATTTTCTGAACAGCCCATTGTGCCGTCTTCCCAAAGCCCTTGATCTGGTGCAACTGTCTGCCAGGGAAGCGCCGGTCATCATTGGGGACATGAATTCGGAGTAGACTCGCATGGAATCCATCGTGAATGCCCCGCTGTCTTAACTCGGCAGGAAGCTTAATCTTGAAGGAATCATTGCCATAAGCTTTCAAGATCTTGAATGGTCCGATAAACTTAGGAGCCAATTTACGCGCTCGCCCCTTTGGCAACGTGAGATTCTTCGTAGAAACGTACACAAGGTCGCCTTCGGCGAAAGGTGATTCTCGCCGATGTTTATTTGCCTGCTTGGTTTGCTTCACCCGCCGCTCAAGTATGGCATCGTGAGCTGACATCAGAGCATCCTGGATTCGCTGTGCGAATACACGAACGCCAGGATACTCGCATTCTGAGTCCCAGATCATCGATCTAGGCATCTGTCCTGAATTGAGAAAGAACGGCGTGTAGCCCGTTGTCTCAGATCGGGCAGAGTTAATCGCAAATTCCACGGCCGGAAGCTTCTGGGCCCAGTCCCGTTGAGTCGGCTCGTTAATGCATTGCCTTATCATCTGAACGACAGTTTGATTCGCCCGTTCTGTGGCCCCGTCACTTTCAGGATGATAAGCAGTGGACATTCTTAATTCCGCGCCAATCAGTTTATTCAAGGTCTGCCAGAATATACTAGTGAAGTAGCTGTCCCGGTCGCTTACAATTACGTTGGGGATACCATGGAGCTTGTAAATATGATTAAATACAAGCTCTGCGACTTCCTTGGCCTTGTACGTCGTGCGCATTGGCACCAGGTGAACCATACTAGTCAAATGGTCGATAACTACCATGAGATAATTGAACGATCCGTTAACCGTCTTCGATTCGGGCAACGGTCCGACGAAGTCGATTCCAATCGACTCCCAGGGACGCGTTGGAACTTCCAAGGGATGCAAATATCCATACGGCTTCGTGTGCCGAGATTTCCCCGTGTGGCATGTTGAGCACGTCTCGCAGTACGCTTTGACATCCGCAACGAGATCTTTCCACCAGACATTGTCCTTAAGATAGCAAATCGTCTTTTGAGGACCTAAGTGGGCGAGCAACGAGTGTGCATGTTTGATGATAATTTCCTTGACACTGCGTTCGCCGACCTTCACATCGGGAATGCACAGAATCCGGCGATCTGAATTCCTGATGAAAACCAATCCATCTGAAACTTCAAAGTTCCCGAACCTTCCTGGGTTTTCGACGACGTCATGGAAGAATCTGTCTTCAGCATATTTGCCCCTGATGATCTTCGGAATCTCGATCCCGGGATGTCCGGAAGCAATTACATCTGTGAGCTTCGGACCAATGCTGTTCATGATGTCTTCACTGAGGCCCGCCGGTTCCTCATCATCGCGTAACACGTCCTGTTCTGGAGCGCGATTAATCTCCTCAGCAGACAACAGAGGTTCAGTATCTTCTTGTTCCTCAGCAATGGGTTCGAGTGGACTCGCATTAGTGACTTTTGAAGTCGGATACGATGCGGGTTCCGAGGACCTCACGCCCTCCAAGGTTTGCGCCGGGGCAGAAACCTTAAGTTTAACCCGCTTTGGAAGCCCAGCATACCCCGCCGATCGCGGGATCTCACCTGCGTACCCCGCATCTGTGCCGAGACGAACCCCGCCCAGCTCCATCAACAGATCTTCAGTTTGAACAGATGATCGCGCGCGCACCTCGTCCCCCACAAGGATAGGAGCCGTAAGCAGACCCTCCAGCCGAGGCAAAGCCACATCGTCCTCGTCCAGAGGCTGAATATATTCGGAAGTAGCTCGGATTACACCTGGCTGCTCGTTAGAGTATATCCGCGAAAGTGCATCAGCCAAGACATTATCAACACCGGGAATATGTGTCACTTCAAAGTCGAAGTCATGCAGCAGCTCGAGCCAGCGGGCCTGACGAGGAGACAACGTACGCTGCGTCTGCAGGCATTCAAGACTCTTATGATCCGTGAATACCCGGAAATGCGCGCCCTGGAGCAAGTGCTTGAAGCGTTTCATCGACTCGACCACTGCAAGCAGTTCTTGTTCATGCACAGGGTAATTCTGCTGCGTAGTCGTAAATTTCCCGGACCAGAAAGCAATAACCGGAGCCGTTCTCCAGTCCTCTCCCTGACTGAGCACGCCACTGGCGCCGGTGTGTGAAGCATCAGTGATTAAGTTCAACGGAGGAGCGCCCGGCGAATAATTAGGAGGGACACGGCGCTCATTTCGCCATGCATGCACCCTCTGCCTTACCTCGTCAAATGCCCGCTGCTCCGTAGCTCCCCAATGCCATCGCGAGTTCTTAGCAGCCACTTCACTGAGTTTAGCCATAGGAATCCGGATGCCTTCGCATCCCGGCGCTAAAAATCCGACTGCGCCTATGAAGGACGCGACAAGATCCTTGTTCGTAGGCACCTTCCAGTTCACGATGGAATCAACTTTATCCGGGTCCATCGCAATGCCACGCTCATCAATAACATGCCCAAGAAGTTTGAGCCGCTTCACAAAGAAGTTTAGTTTGTGTTCGCTCAAAAACAGTTGCTCCCTTTTTAGAATATTGATGACTGCCTTGACATGCTTGACATGATCTTCAACAGTGTCCGAGTAAATCACAATATCATCTAGGTACACATCCATGAATACCCCAATGTATGGTGCAAAAATATGGTTCATCAGAGCTTGGTACGTCGCCCCGCCATTACAATCCCCGATCTGCAATACATTACTGACCATTGTGCCATCGGGAGTATTGAACAGTGTCTTATGAATATCCTCCAGAATAATGCGGATCTGCTCATAAGCGTCTTTCCCATCCACTAACGACCAGAACAGATGTGATGCAACATTTCGCAGGATGGTCTCAATGTCCGGTAACGGTGATGCCATCTTGACAGTGTTGGCATTCCGTTCACGAGCATCAATAGCATTACGCATCCGAAGCACACCATCTCCTTTGTCCGGTTTCTTAAAGATCAACATAGGCATTGAGTTTGTGCCACTCGCGACCACCCATCGTCCCGATTTCAAGTAAGCATCTTTCTTCTCTCTCCAGAGCGGTTTCAGAGGCTCCGGACACCGAGACGGCCTATAGGCATAGATCTTCGATTCGTCCTTCAATGGTATACGATGATTAATCGCCCGGAATGGAGGTAGAGGTGTATCCTCTGCTCCTTTGCAGATCGGCTTCGCATAGGCACGTAATTCTGCCCTCCGCCGCTCAAGCTCATCTTCGAGGACTTCAACAGCATCGCTTTCGACTGTAAGCACGTTTGGTCCACTAATATCTAGAGGCACACTCGAGCCAATAGACACTTGTGCTGGGTTCAGTCCGGCTAGTACCTTGTGTTGATAAAAGAACGGTGTTCCAAGTATTAAGTCATAATTATGCAGGTTTGCTACATCAAACCGCTTCATACAATTAATGTTTTGATACTGAAACCGTACTTGACAGCCAAAATTCAGTTTAGCCCTCGATCCCGACACTGCCATCTGCACCGGCAATTGCTTGTCGAGTGCAGTGGTCTTGATCTTCAGCTGGTCAACCAATGTTGACGAGATAAAGTCAGCCATTGATCCAGTATCAATCAAAGCCCTAGCAGACTCACCATTGACACGCACATTAACAATTATAGGCCTAGGTACCTTCCGCGAAGGATCTTTCACGCGCAACGAAGTGTGCTCCAAAGAGTTAAGGTCAGCCTTGTTTCGTACAGACTTTCCTTTCTTCGCCTTCGGTTTCTCTGCAGTAACAGCTCCTACATAGAAAACGACAGGTTCATCATCCTCCCATGGCGACTCACAAGTGTAATACCCATCTTCGCCACTGGATTCTGACAAGCCGTCTTCTGAAGAAAGTGTCCATGCCTGAACCAGACGCCAAAAATCACGCAGGCCCCGGAGCTCACTGAGATCCGACTCCGTACGCCCAGGATGGTGTTCTACATCATCCTCAGCAATAGTTACGTTCATGTCCTCAGCATCGTCCTCAGTATCGACGACGCTAAGCATCCGTTCGACCTCATCGAGCTCCGAGTCCGGCACAGATTCCAAGTCCGGGACGTTTCCCACGCCACCGTCGTCGGAGACTGAACCAAGGTCCTCGCAGCCACTGCAGCCACCGCTTAGCCCACGGCACGGAATAGGTGTTGGGCTACGCGGAATGGATCGTTTAAACGGTCCCTTATAATGCTGAGTCCCATGAGCGATCACATATTGCAGGTATTCCTCAGCATCCGCATCGAAAGCGGAGTCGGGATTATGTGGTAGTTCACCCGGAGGTAAGCCTGAGTCCTCGCCTTCCTGTATTGGAAGTCCCTGCTGCCGGCGAAGGTATACAGCATAAAGATGTCGAATCTCTTCGAGATCAGGATGCTTTTCGCCGGTATACCACTCTACCATCGCTGGAGGTACGTAGTTGATGACGTCTTCCGTGCATCGAAGTAAATCATGCTTAATACCACCAGTCCGGTTACAACAAGGCCCACCACAATTGCTGGATTCATACCACTTCCCCAGTGCTTCCTGCTCGGCATTCTCGCAGTCGAATTCAAGAAGTTCTCCGGTATAGTGACGGAATCTCATTACGTGGTGACCGCGCGCATCGTACGTCCATCCATTATCTGCTTGAACTAGATAATTCCGATCATAGTCGGGATCCTCATCTGCGACTTTCACTGGTACAGGCTGAGAATGTTCCCTAGCATCCCAGATATCATCCAGGTGAGGTCTCATCTTCTCATGCAGCCAATGCGCTAAATCAAACGTTTGTTTCCGGAATAAAAATCCGGGAACATCAAAGATTACATTGCAATGACGGTCCTGGACATGTATGAGTCCCGTAGGAACGATGTCATCGTCAAGTTCCTGGACTACAAATCGCTCAGGGTCGTTCCATGCACAAGGACGAGTTCCCTCACGCATGTCATCAAAAGGTAGCGGTATGACTCCACGCAGACGCTGATGTACGCTGTCTTTCCACAGCCGTTTCTTGAGAGACCGGATTTCTTCGGACTCATCAAGATTTACCACACCGGCTAAGGATGTACTCGCCACTCCCATGTCTTCAGCTGCCTTTACCTTACTTCGACGCTCGGCTGCCCGTTCTTTGGCTGCCTTCTCGATTGCGTCTTCGTCTAGGTTCAGAACTGCGTTGGTAACCTTACTATCTGGGCAGTCTTTCGCATTGTGACCTTCCTTGCTGCACTTGAAGCACCGGTTCTCTTTCATGTACCGCTGTCTCGTCTCCTTGTCTAGCTTAGGCTTCGGCTGGAACTTAGGCCTGTGCTCCCGGTCGTTCTGGTTTCTGGTCTTATTCTGAAAGTTGTTCGGACGCTTCCCAGAGGTCGAACTCGCCTGTCCTTGCGGAGTTGGCTTGTCCTTTCTCCCAGAATCGTTGTTACGCCCTCCATTTCGGCCCTCATTCCTCCGATCAGTGCTAGGCCTTGTCCTCTGCGATCGCTCGCCCTTGTTTTCCTTAGCCAACAACTTCTCTGTCCGCTCCGCTCGCTGCGCGTACTTGGAGAACTGCTCAAGAGAGATACGCTCGACGTCGAATCCTCGCTTCGTCAAATATGTACGAACGTAGACCTGGCTACGCCTCCATGCTTGGCGTACAATCTCACGCTCGGACACATCGCCAATGGTACTCGCGATGTCCTGTAGCCGCTGAATAAAGTCGCGGATCTCCCAGTTCCCTTGGTGAGTGTTCTCAAACTTGTCGCGCTGTTCCGTTCGGAAATCTGGCGGAAACACATGGTCAAACAACGCAGAGAAAAATTCAGTCTTTGTGAAAGTTCTCCGGCCATTCACCACCTCGCGTTCGTACCACTTGTAAGCCCTGCCTTTCATGTATTGTCCGATTAAGGGTAATATATGCTTCATTTTCATACCTGACCCCTTAATCCAACGTTTGATGTCTCGAGACCATTTCTCGAACTCGTACATATTCGGCGACCCGTCGTATTCTTTCGGAGCGACCTTGTAATATTCCGAAGCCCGTTTAGCGATGGCTAACTTGCGTTTGTACTTCCGCTTAGCCGCTCGCTTCCTAGTCTTGGTATCTGTAGAATCCGACGAGTATACACTCTCAGGCTCGGAGGGGAACAGATCCATAAATTCAGATTCAGAACCGGAATCCGAAGAGGATGAGTCAAGATGCTTGCTTTTGCGTCGCTTGCTCCTTTTCTTCTTGTCTCGATTGTTCCGCTTCTTGTCTTTGGTCCCCAGAGTTCTGCCTAACCCTGTATTCCTTGGTATCTGAGCTGAAGCACTCACTGTCTTTCCTAGCTTCGCGGCCTTGTCCCTCTTTGCACGCTTGGAGGAACTCTTAGACCTTCCGTGATGTCCGGACTTGCGCTTATGTTTCTTGCGACTCTTCAGTTCGTCTTTGCGCTTCTTTTGCCGCTTGCGCTTATCCGCTTTCGGATCCGATGAAGTCTCTGATCCTTCATCCGATGAGTCTTCCGTTGTGGAATCTCCTTCCGTCGACGGATCAAACTCTGAACTTGACGAATCGCGATCCGACCCTCTATAGGTGCTATCCGAATCATCAGGACTAGACCCTCGGCTGCCAGATGAACTCGAGAAGCTACTACTCGACGGATCACTGCTCGGGTTCATAGACGAGTGAACATGACCACTCGGGCCAGCTTCAGCATTCACAAACTGTGTCCGGAACTGAGAACGTCCTCTGTTCTCATTGATCGGGACATGCACTGGTCGCTCAACATCTCCCGTCTGGATATCTGGTTGTCTCAGATCGTCTCTACCTACGGGCTGGTTTTCCGGACGCTCTGCATGGTATCGTTCGAGCTCTTTTTGCATCCGGAGAGCAAACACGCGATCTGCTTTGATCTGGGCCCTTCGCAGATCGCTCTCCTCGAAATCGTATCCGGGAGGGATGTTTTCCTTGTCGGAATCGCCGAGTTCTTCTTCGGACTCTACGGCTCTTTCTTTGCCCTTGCCTTTGGACTTCATTACCGGTTCTTCCTCGATAACCCCCATTGATACATGCAGGTTATTTAGGTCATTCCGGCTCGCGAAAACCTTGCTTGAGACAAAACTGGAGTCTTTCTTGTGTTGAGTCGACTTCTTGGCTTTCTTTCGAGGTGTGCTTCGATCCCGGCGCTTCCCTGCCTCAAGATTCAGATCGGAGATGATCTCGTTCCTGATCGGGCTCCACCGCTCACTTGCACGTTCTACCCACTCGACAGGCAGTTCTCCAATGCCGTTCTCGTCGAGATCACACCAGCGACCAGCAATTTCAGTCTTGTCTACGGGGTCGACGTCTAATATATTTGCTTTAAAGAATTGAGGCCCCGAGACCTCAGGCTGACTAGGGCTACGTTTACTGGCGCGTACAGGCGACTTAGGCTTAACGAAGCCCTTATCGCTCGGAGTTGCGAAGCTTCCAGGCATCCTCCCGCCCTCGGACTTCACCTCTCCCTTCATCCCCAAGTCCTCTGAGTTCACAGACTCAGTCCCCTTCGCATACGCAGGGTACATAGTACCCGCGTGCGTCGCAGCAGCAGGATTCGGAGAATCCGCGCGCGCAGCGTCGATCTCCCTTTCGGAAGACACACTAGCAGCCTCCTCTTGCTGCGATCTCGATCTCGCAGGCACAAGGCCCACGAGCTCGTCCCTAAGGGTCACGTTGCTTGCGGGACCTTGTCCCGCAAGTCCCGGATCCCTGTCTTGGGGAAGGGACAAGAGTCCCCCGATCATTCGGTTCTCGTCCGATGTAGACTCACCTGAACCAATGACCGAGCCGGACTCGGTAATGTGTGGAAGTGGCGAGCTTCTGCCCGTCGGCTCAGGAGCCACGCCACTCAAGTCGTCGTTACTCTCAGACCCCGATCCTCCGTCCTGAAGGACTTTGGCATACGAGGATTTACCAGACCTAGTAACAACCATGGTTTCACAAGTAAAAGGGTGATCAGTCCTTAGACAAGTGAAATAAAAGAAACTTAGCTTGTTGAGTTCAAAATATGTGACGTTCGGCCTAAGACGGAACGCACACGGAGCGAATTAAGATAAGATGAGATTTATCGAATAAGTCTTGATGTTCGCACGGTAAGAGAACTCGACAAATCAAATGGGAATTTAACCCGCTGAGGGGCCACAGTAACTACAGGTGCCCATATATATACATCCAGTCTATATCCACCTAAGCTACCGGTGACCCACAGCCATAGAATCATAGAGAACATATCCACGTAGGAAAAGAACATACTAGACGATTAAAGAATAATAAAACGGCAAGTGGACCACGATCCACAGGCGGTGGGAAAGTGGGTATCGGAAAGGAAGTGGAAGCTCGGGCTCTGCCGGCTCTAGCGAAGCTGGGTGGCAAGCCCGAATCGCGACACGTGTGAACGGATTGCTAGTGACACCTTACGGCCTGTATGTTTCACTGTTATAGATGACTAGTGATTGTTGTGGGAAGTTGCGAGGGTAGCTAGTGTGCTTGTAGTGGACGCGAGAGGACAAAAGGGAAAGTCAACATCGATAGTTACGGCTGGCTCATGTGGGAGAACCACGACACGTTCAAAGCGAGGCTGAGACACACCCGAAACCCTAACCCGACACACTATTCGCGTCAGTCACGCCACTGCCTCGTGGCCTGGTGCATTGGGCCACTCAACCCTAACCACGACATACGGCTTGCTTCCCTGTACGCCTTTTTTTTCGAAAATATCGACCCAACAAAACTGTAGACGATGAAGAGAACTGTAGACGATGAAGAGCGACTGCATCTTTCCATCTTTCGAAAAGATACCGAGGCCGAGGTGGGTGGATAACGGGTATGGTCCATAGGCAAAGCCGTGGCCGCGAGAAATATCAAGATTGACTTCAGATTGACAATATCAAGATAGGTAACGAAATGATACAAAAATGCTGCCACAGAATACATGGTGATTTCTCTCGTCGGAGTTTTAGGTGCTAAGCAAGTGGTAACGGCTAATGTGGCCAGAGTTCGTATTCAGCCACCCCTCAAGCGAAGGACTAGACGAGAACATGGGAATAAAAAAACAAGCAATCAGTCACCAGATGAAATATTGAGGATAAGATCGAGAAAAGGAACCGTACCGAGATGTACCGTCACGCCGTCTCGAATATTGTACTCGCTCAAGAGTTCGCCATCTTCCAACTGCTTTCCAAAACAAATGAGGCGTTGCTGATCAGGCTCAATGCCTTGGCGCTCCTCAACCAGTCGTTTCATGTCCTCGACTGTTGCGCTCTCGATATCGACATCTCGGTATGTTATGTTCTTGCCGTCGAGAGTCTTGATGAATATTGTGACTAAATCGCAAAATGAGACATTTATTCAGTATCTAAAAATATTAGAAATGTCGAACATAGAGCGCACTACTTTTCTTCTCCTTAACCTCATACTCGATATCGCTATCCTCATCGTCAGAGTATGGCATCTCAGGACAACTGGTCCTCCAATGCTCCACCAACTCCCTCCGTTCTCCTAGGAATGCGCAATTCTCCCGCTTGCACCTGACATCAAGAGACTCCAATTCCTATGATAACAATCAATATCAGAATGAGACCGATTCCTGCAGACGAAAAGAATGAGACAACAAACATTGTTCCTGCGAAGGTCGGGGTAGTACGTTTCTACAGAGACTGTCCTTCGACATTCAGGGCAGGAAGGCGACTCGGAATCTTCATCGATATCGATGCAGTGGTCATATAGACATTTTCGACAGAACTCATGGCTACATCTCGTGAGGATCGGGTCGTAGAGGACGTCACTAAGTGCCTCATCGGAAGTCGGCCTCGGTCAAATTCCTCGTACGAATGATGAACTGTTGAACCCACCGGCAGATGGAGCATCGTATATCTTTCTTGTCAGAGCCAATGTCCTCATCGACGTACTCATAGTCGGAACTTTGGGGAGGACTTGGCGGGGAATACAGAAGAGAGAATGTAGAGTGCATGGTGTGCGATTATTTTGAGGCAGTAACGATACGGAGGCCTGTGAGAGCTGCTCACGGGGAGTATATATACGCCATTGTATTTTAGTGGCGGCCATCCTGGCGATCGGAACTGTCAAACCTATGCCCAAGCGTTAAAAATAGCTATAGCTCTAGCCACAAGAACTCAAGCGTCAATTAAGCTTATGAGTAGCGACTCGAGCCTTAGGTTGATTGGCAAAGGCTTGAAGATACGGCCACAGAGTTGCCCGCGCTCGTCGCCACCGACGCCGCCTCAAACTTAAAGTTGTCCTGATAAGTCAAGAATAAGTAGACCGTATGTGCAAACGTTTACTTTGTATATTTTAAGACCCTCAAACCTGATGAACTGTGTCGAAGTAGAACGACGATTGGAAGTTCTAGATAAGCTGAAGTAAGTATCATCTCTAGTGAAGGTTGGCAGCGTCCACCAAGGCAAGAGCCAAGCTTGAGTCGGATATGGCGCCACAAAGAAATGACGTCCCGGGCCGCGAAGCTCCCGGTGCATTTCCAATCGGGAATCCATCAACTTGTTCATGTTATTCCTCTTGTTTGCCTCTCATCCCCTTCTTTCAAACTAGTCGAACTTAAACGATGTCTATTCCATCATCTATCTGGGGCAAGCTGGCTTCATCTGTCGACTCCGCACACAATGCCTCACTTCCCACCGCGAACCACCTAGAACTCACCATGATCATCTACGGCTCCAATTCCACCGACTCTCCCAACCACGACATCCGTTTCGCCAATCCCGAAAATCAACGCCGACTCGAAGTCATCATGCGACCGAAAATGCCGGAATATGTGAAAGATAAACATCGGGCAAAAGACGTGCAAGGGGTTTCGGATTGGGTGCAGGATATGCTTAGAAAAATCGTGCCGAGTTTGAAGCATAGTCAAAATTGGTATTGCGAGTTTTGCGGTGCGTCGTCTTCACTTCGCCGCTTCGTATGAGACGCATTTTGAGTAATATCCTATAGATAAGCCTGCGCGTGAATCGTATGTGCAGAATATGTTTTGGACACATCTCGATCCCCCTCGCGCAAACGCCTACGTACGTCTACCACGTACTATACACCACATGTGCCAATCACGTATGTTCATTTTTTTCAGGTTCATTTGATCTGCGATACTTCTAGAGGGCCTTGCTCGAAACTCCTTCATGAAATCGCTCGTGAAGCCGGCACCGTCGTTGGCGAGTCACAGAAAACACTAGATAAGCAAGAAAAGAAAGCCAAGAAGATCATCCGCGGCTCATCTATTCCGGAGTCCGGGCAGTTTCCGTTGATGGGAAGCTGTGCATTTTGCGAGGACGATGTGAAGGCTAGGGAAGTGGGATTAGACGTTGGCATGAGTAGGTGTACGGGATGTAAGATTACGAGGTGTGTTTCGTCTTCTTTTCTCCGCGAGGTGGGAGGATTGTACTCATGGAGTTGCTACTCTTGCCAGGTATTGCAGGTCAGTTCTAACAATGCTCATTGTTTCCTTTGCGTTTCGTCCCTGAAGCTCATCACTGTCCGTGTTCAACAGCAGAGAATGTCAGACGCAGGATTGGCCACAGCACAAGGAAGCCTGCAAAATAGTAAAGGACGTGAAGTGGGTCTGGACATGAGCGATTTGGTTAGTCTTCTCTTACATTTGATCGTGCATAGTCACTGACGATCTAATCCATCGACAGTCCCTTGAATTAGATACGTTGCACCCTGCGTGAATTGCTGACGAGAGCGTAGATCCCAATCTGCGCACCCATTGTATTTCCGTTGACTGTATTTCTTATTAGGTTGTACGCCTCAAATGTATCCTTCGTTCCACGCTGTATGCTCCCTTTCTGACTTGTAAAGTGGTGTCGCCAACATAAAGGCTAAGTGATCTTTCTCCCAGTGCCATTACGCTTTCAGTTCTTAGTGACCTCAGTTTCATTAGCTGCACACAAGGAGAATCTGATCACCAGAGTCATATTCGAGGGCGGAGACAACATCCAGCTGCGCCTCCAGCTCAGAATCTGCGTTCGCCGTCCCCACTCTCTTCCGATTCCTTCTGGTCTGTATTTCGAAGAGTCTTGGCAATGCTTGGCAAGGATTCTGTATGACAATCACAATCCGTTTCTCTGGGAAGATTGTGATGGTCGAAAGGCGAGACGAGGAACGCGAAAGCGCTCACAAATGCCCCGTGCATCGTTTATCTCACCAAGAGTTCATCATACCTTCTGCGTTTGGTCCAAAGTTCCCGTCTCAACGGCAATGGTTTCAGTCCGGTCGCCCTTTAAGCTTCATCCGCGAGACGAACTGAGATGTAAGTGCTTTGTGCAGGCGTTTATCCCGAATATATGGTCATATCACGAGGTGCTTTGGGGGAGATAGGGTGGACAAGTCGGCACGTTCGAAGTCATTTACGGCGGAATAACGCTATCTGTAATGGGACGTGGCGAGGCCCTTGGTTTTTTTTTCCGATGCTGATCCTTCTTCCTACTAACCTGAACGTGGTGCAGAGCCTCTTTATCTGCGATCTGTTGAATGATTTCTTCCAGCGCTCTAACACGTTTGACCCAGACGTGCGAGTCCCCCCAATTGTTGATTGACTTCACATTGCCACTCGTAACCTCTACGCTACGGACTCGACATATGAATCCTGTGTTGACTCAAGTCAACTCAACCGAGCCGAAGAATCCTCTCTCCTTGTTCTCGTCCACTGCACATATCATGATATGCACGCGGTGAGTATGGCCCGTGTGGGTATCATGATGATCGTGGGCCACAACTGATCCATTTTTCCCAAGTATGACTCGTATGTGCCTACTCTATACTTGACTTGAACGCGATCCTGCTATCTTCCCAGGATTAGCGCTCTTACATATAAACTCGATGGATTTCTGTTGAAGTGCACTCGCGAGCTCACTTCCTACCTCTTCCGTCTGCTGGGGCTCTCTGACCATCTTCTCCTCCTCTGCTGTCATACCAGGTCGCACGGTGCATATAACGCTTGAAGAATCCACACAAACATGCCATCTCGCGCCGTTTTTCTTGCCCCAGGCGTTATCTGCCTCTTCATAGCCTTCGTTCTATCTCTACTCGTGTCTATCTCCTTGCCTACCCTTCCCGCGTTGGACATTACGAGAACGCACTATGATACCGACTTCTTGGAAAATGGAGGTGATATAAACGGTGTACATCTCCTCGGCGAACTGAGGGTATGTGTTCTCACTCTATGGTGGCGAAGATTGGTGGTTATTGAAGGAGTTTACTGATTATTGTAAATATAGCTCGGTATTTGGTGCGGTTCATTTCCTCCACTCTACACAGAATTGGCGATGAAACTGACCAACGTACGCGAACAGGGCATATTGTGGCTATAGCGCGGATAATGGGGACAAGACCTGTATACACCAAGGTAAGCTATTCAGCGCCGCGGTTTTTTCGTTAATACCACCTCCCTAGCACTGGCAGCGTGTACATATATCTCATGCTGTTCTTCTAGGACATGGATACACTGTCAATCTCCCATTCATTGGGGCAGACGACTCTGGCTCAAACCCAGTGATCGGTATCGTAACTATCGGGTCTTCTTGGACCAGAGGTCTCGCCGTTCATCCTGTTGGTAGGTGGTACTCCAAATTTCACCCATTCACATGTCCGTCGTACTGACTGAATGTAACGATAACCTTCCTTTCGTACTGACTGATCGTATAGCAACTGCGGTGATTGGCATCGCCTTCATCCTCTCGCTCTCTTCCAACCTCGCCATCGAACTGGCCTCATCCATCGTGTCTTTGCTCGCCGCATTTCTTACGCTTCTTGCATTCATCATCGATATCGCGTTGTATGCACACACCAAACACGAGATGCACGCGATAGACCAGTCAAAGACCGTGACTGCCCCCGGTACGTTCCTCTTCGCTGTCTATCGCAAACAGCATGCGCGATAGAATCATTGACCCTGTCCAGTACTGTGCACTACATGTGGATACTCACGCAAACCTTTGCGTACAGGCTTCTGGCTCACGTTCGTCTCCCTCGTTATGCTCATCATCGCAAGTTTCACGGTCTGCATCGGTCGGCGACGCCACCTCGCTAACGAGGATCCGTTTGCGGACAACAAAGGCATCCGTTTGGCTTTCTGGAAGCGCTGATTCCGGAGCCTTCACGGTGTTATCATAACCGACCAGAGGACATTGCGAAAGGTTACTCACTCTTATGATGAGCGCACTCGATCAGACTTCTAAGCACACTGCTACTCATGAACACAAGGAGGGTCGATTTCGAGTGCGATTAGAATTTTTGGTAGCGGATGCTCTTGTACCTAGTGAATGAGATACAAGAATGCCATGTCACAAATGAACGTATTCATTGACCGAACCCATGCGATGAATGATCCCCAAACCTATGTGTCCAGAAAAAGCAGTGTTATTTACGAGGATTATGTACCATACAGTCTGTATCTGAGGAGTCTTGTCAATGTTTCCCCAATTTTATGTAGAGTATAACAGTAACATTCAATTTCCATGGGAAAATTGTGATACGGTCGAGAATGGTTTAGCGTATTGCTCCATGTATGGCGCTCATGTACATCCCGTGGACCATTTTTTCACCGAGAGTTTGCCATGCCCTGTGCATCTGGTATCAGGTTCCCGCCCGGGTCCGATGGTTCTAATCGCTTTCTCGCCTGGACCACCACTCAGCAGCGAGATGAACTGAGGTGGAAGTGCTTTAGGCAAGCGTATATGCCTAATGTAGGTTCATGAGGCGCTCCTGATGGGCATACGGCGGAGAAGTCGGTGCATTCGAAGTCGTTGAACGTTACGAATACTTCCGCTACACGGTGGGGGCGGTGAGGTCCTTTTGTTTTTACCGTGCCTGTCCCTTTGACCTGCAGCTGCCCACAAGCTGTAGCAGAGCCTCTTTATCTGGAATCCGTCGAACAGCACCGGTCAGCGGCTGGCCACAGTTAATCCAAGGACGTAGTACGAGCCTCCGGTGAAGGACGACTTCATGTAACTGTGCTCAGTCTCTCTGGTCTGGACTTGGGATCAGTATAACTATGTCGGCTGCGTTGTCTCTACTGTACTGAAATCGAGGATTCTCTCTCTATATCATTGTTGTCGATCAAAACATAGTACACATGGTGAATTTGACCCGTGTGGGTATCCTGATGATTACGTGTCACAGTTTAGCCAGTATTTCCTCGGACTGTATGACTCGCATATACCCGTACTTGACTTGCTTGCGATCCTGCGCATGCTTCCCGGGGTCAGTTCTCGTCCATATAAACTCGATGGAGTTCTCCTCAAGTGTACTCGCGAGCTTCGCCCTTCTATCCTCTGCTTGGGTTACCTGACTACCTAATGCACGATCGTGTCATACTAATTCATCCGACGAACTTCACAGTAGAAAACTTAGCCCATCTTCACCATGCCATCTCGCGCTGTCTTGCTGGCTCCAGGGGTCATCTGTCTCTTCGTAGCATTCGTTCTATCTCTGCTCGTTTCGATATCTTTACCCACCCTCCCCGCATTGGACATTGCTAGGACGGACTTTGACACCAGCTTCTTTGAAGATGGAAATATTCCGACAAAAGGCGTGATTGTTCTTGGTCAAGTGAGGGTACGTCTTTTGGCTTCTTGAAATATCTTGCAGCGACTGAAAGGGAATAACCATCTATTTTGACTATCGCTTGTACAGCTTGGCATCTGGTATGCTCTCTTTTCTCGCTGTAGAATCTTAATTGAACTTGCCATTCCAAAAACCCAGGGCATACTGCGGTTATGACACCGATGGTACTAACACCAACAAGACCTGCAGAGACCAAGGCACGCCAGCTCGCGTCGCCAGATCATTCCTTATTCAACGCTTGTGTAACATTTCTTGATGTGAAACTTCTCCAGGGCATGGATACACTGTGCGACTTCCTTACTTCAAGGCAGGCGACGTTCCCGCGAATCCGGAGGTCGATGTCGCCACCATCAGTTCTTCCTGGACCAGGGGTCTTGCCATTCATCCTGTCGGTACGTGGTGTCTTCGTTCCGTCTCCACTCATACTCGCATTTTTGTCAGAATACACTAATATTGTTTTTCACCTACGGATCATGTAGCCACCGCGGTCATTGGGATCGCCTTCATCCTATCCCTCTCGACCAACCTCGCCATAGAACTCACCTCTTCTATCGTCTCTCTTCTCGCGGTCCTCATAACACTTCTTGCCTTCGTTGTCGACATTGCATTATATGTAAACGCCAAACATGTCATGAGCGTGGTCACGGGAACAAAGACTGTCACCGCACCAGGTACTTATGTCGCTCCTTCACATGCTTGACGTCTATTCTGTGTGATATACACACCGCAGTCCACACAAAGCTAATAACGCTAACTTGAATCCTCGACCATCCACAGGTTTTTGGCTCACATTCACCTCCCTCATCATGCTCCTCATCGAAAGTTTCACGATCTGCATCGGTCGACGCCGCCGCGCGAAAGAGGGTCCGTCTGCGGACAGTAAAGGCATCCGTTTGGCGTTTTGGAGGCGCTGAGATTGCACACTACGGTCTACATGGTCGAGACAAGGTCTCCAAATGATACCCATATTGATGATAACGAGATGTTTCTTCGACGCACCAGTGCCTCTGAGTAGTGTGAACGGGATTGAAATGTATCCTATGCCATAGGTGGACACGTTATTTGACTGAAAGCAATTCAGGGAGAAAATTCCAGGGCTGCGATATTCACACTCGCATCACCCCTTACACTATCTCTGGCTTCCTGCCCTGATATCCTCCCAGGTCATGTTTCCATCATGGCCTCTATTGAGGACAAATGACTTTCGACCCAGGATATGCAGTCCTCGAGATATTTCTCCTTGATATCCGGCTCGGTCATGAGATCGTGATAGGCATCCTGTCAGTACATACGGAAGTAAGTTCACGAGTTCTAATAAAACGAGACAAGCAGGAGAAATGGCGAAAGTGAACTGAGCGACGAACGGGATAGAGAATGAGACGTTTATCCAACGCATCGACTTTCTTGAAGAAGTCCTCGCTCGCGGGGCATAAGTTCAGCTACAAGTCCGCAATGGACAGTTAAATCAGGTTATGATGAGGCGTAAAGATAGATATGCCAGCTTACATCGTCGGCCGTCCCGTGAAGCATCAAGAGCTGCAGGGCGGACAAGATGAATGAGTGAAGAAAGTAGAAGAAGGAAAAAGAGCACGGACAGGAAGATCCTTCGGCCAGTGTTTGTAATCTTCGGTAGCAAGTCGAATTCCCTAGCCAGTGAAACATAATCAAACGAGGGCACAATCGTTTGAAAGAAGGAGATCAAAACGCACTGCAGTGAACCTATCGGAGACACTTTGATACGTGCCATACTCCCTAACCCATGGATCCGTCACTAGTGCCTCTCCGATAGACAGATCGTGGCTGATGGCCTATCATCGATCAATGACGCTGACTGTAAGTAGGGATGGAATCACTTCGGTCATTCAACAGAAGATTCAACGCACCTCTGGTCTGACGGGCGTCGAAAAGTGTATATCTGGAAAGACCTTGCTGATCAGGCTGATCCCCCATACGGCCAACGACGGTGGGGGTCGAGTGAGTCGAATCCATGGGCTGGATGCGATAACTCCAGAGAGGAGTGCGATGGACCTAGGGTCACGAGCATTCGTCTGATTTGCGATGAAGTCGAGTACAATCCCTCCTCCCTTTCGGATCTACGTCAGTCTTGGTGGTTTATGTCCAGGTTTCGTAGAAGACATACCATCGAATGACCCATCAAATACACCGGAACCTCCTTCCCGAATGCCTCGCTAACATATCTCACCGCCCACTCCACATCTCCCAATACTGTCCCCATCTTTCCGTATACACTCCCGGGCGACCGATGCGTTTCGTCCAGCGCCGTCCTCCCGAACCCCCGCAAATCGAATGTGAAGACAGAAAATCCACGGCTGGCCCACGCACGGTGAAAGTTTTCATACCGACAAATATGTTCATCGTACCCGTGGATAAAAACGATGACAGCTCGTGGAGATCCGTCGCTGACGGATGTAGGAGTGTAAAGACGGGTGTAGAATGAGGTGCTTGAGGGTCCTTCGAGCCAGGATTCAGACGTTTTAGACATGGTAAATAGGAGGAAAAGAGGTGAGTTGTCTTACGGGCGTGCGATATTGGGTCCCTGACCTTGGCTGATATACGATTGGAGGTTCATCGCCTTGAACATCGAGAAACCCGACTGATATCACAGCTGATCGCGATTCGCGATGCCGAAGATTGTGAGCTAACGCAGAGAGCACGCTCAAGTGTGATGACCATTGAGAGAAACTGGGTTAAGCACGTTGGTGAGCATCTGTTGTTGTGATAACGATTATAACGGAGAAAAATAGGTTGTGACCGTCGTTGCTGACATTCAGAAGAGAACTTCGCCACTCAAGTACTCAGTGGCGCAGGTGGAGTGCTGACGGCAAACCCCGAGTAATCCTCCCACGAATCCAGCGTCCTCGATGTCGGGGTCATCATTCCTTTTCCTCTGCACAACGTTGAATTGTGGTTGATCTTCCTCATATGCGTACGCACCAGTGGGGGATTATGTGGATGTTTAATAATGCTTCTGGATCTCTTGACATTCCAACCTGGGTAGACTACGCCGCAGACCAGGGCCTGCTTCAAACACGGTGCAGCGTGATACGTGGCCGGAGGGAGAGACGAGAAGAGGGTCCAAGAGGTACAGAATATGGGGTTGCATGATGTGCGTAGCCTCAATCTTCTGCCGTCCAGATCGACTGACGAACGTCTTCAGAACGATAGCATAGATGTACTTGTAATAGGTCCAAAATACATCAATATATTTTATACGGACTGGTTCCTATAAATCTGGTAACACCAGTGACAATTTCCACGTCTCTATCGCCCCGTATCACAACTCATTTTCCCCGCCACGAGAGTTCACTGCGCTCTCAGAAAGCTTCCTATTACCTCGAGGTACACCTCTCGCTCCTCGAACATCGGCACGTGACTGCTTTTCTCAAATACCGCTCGTTGCACATTCGGGATGTTGTCCAAGAACGGTCGAATGGCTGCATATCCCGCCTCGTCCTGAGCGCCGTGAGTAACGAGGGTCGGGCACTGGATGTTGTGTACGATGTCGACAACGGACCAATCCTTCAACGTGGCGGTACACACGAACGTCATTCTCCCGACCCTGAATAGATTGGTATGTATCAGTCGATATTTGAACTTAGGACAAATGATCGACATATCCTACTTACATAGCGTCGGTGACTGCCATATCAGCCTCCATATCCCGCAGCGACTCCACCAAGTCCTCCGGCCACGGCTGCAGCGTACAGACATGCCTGTTATTGAACACCTCCATCGCCTTCTCATACTCCTTACTCTCCAAATTACCTTCCCTCTCGTATCTCACAGCCACCTCCCTCACCTCTTCCGGAAACTCTTTCAACAAATCGTTCACACACTCCATCCACAAATCCATCGATGCCGGACTACTCGAAAGCACCAGCTTCTTCAACCCAACCGCCGCCTCCGTCCTCGCCGCAGCCCAATTTGAGGCTAACATACCGCCCCACGAATGTCCCAATAGCGCAAAATCGTCAGCGATCCCGAAGTAAGAGATCAAGTTCTCAAGCTCGTCCATGAAGAGGTCGACGTTCCAGAACGAAGCAGGTTTGTCGGGTAGGTGCGTTGATTTCCCGCAGCCGAGCTGGTCGTAGAAGATGACGGGAATACGGTGCTTTTTCCAGACTGCGGAGAGGGGGAACATGTATTGACAAGGGACGCCAGGGCCGCCGTGCAGTACGACGAGTGGACGGGTGGTGCGGGAGAGAGTGCCGACGAGACGGTACCAGGTCTGGTGCGTCTCGGCGTCGTGGGTGAAGGGGATGAAGCCTGTTGAGTCTTCCGAGGGAAGGGAGGGAAGGGACATGGCCAATGCTGCTCGAAACGAAAGCGTAGACCGAGGGTTGATGTAGGGAGTGCTTTGGGGGAAGGTTTTGAATAAGCCGCAGAATCGAGGTCGTTCAGCTCTTTAACATGAATGCGCGCGGCGAGAAGGGTCAAGTGCAGCCGTTGGTGCGTACTATTCGCGTATTTAGATCGCCCAGTCGCTGATTGTCTCACAGGTCGTCTCTTTTTGACACGCTTTCACTCGCTGGTACAATTGGGTGTGAGTTTGATGAATTACTTCCCAGGCTGCGTCACTGACCATCCCTGTCCGATATTTGTAGACTTCATGGGACGTCCGTGCTGAATGCCCTCCTCGACGAGCCTACTCTTGCTTCCTGACCGAGCATACAATTTCATTATCTGCTCCTATCGAATTCTGCAGTCACCAATCCATTGAAATGTGCCTCACTTGCAGCCCCAGCGTGTCCTCCTTCAGCCCTCTCTGGACCAACCTTCCTCAAACCTGATCCTTAGCCAACGGCGACTTCCCGAGGCCGTCCTTGGTGATGCGCCCATGCGGCCTTTCGCGATTCTGGATCTGTGTGCTAGCGCTGGGAGGCTCGAGATAACCGTGCTCAGAGTCTAGGCGAGTTGGCTCCTGACAAAGTTGGCGAGTTGGATGGAGCAAGACGGTAAGTGGTGGTATCAGGGGATAGACAGGCCGAGTGGAGATGTTTATTGTTCTGGGGGATTCAAGGGTATCGGGAGACGTTTGTGCGTACGGAGTTTCCGGCGGGTTAGCGGTCCTTTGGCCTTTGCGCGATGGATGCCTTGCGGCAATTCTGGGTTGTCTCAAAGGATTGCAGCTCTATCGATCTATCGAACTCGTGATCGATGCTTATCCGTAACCTCCATTGCACTAAATGCGTCGCTCGGGTTAGACGGTGCTCCTCTTGACCCATTAATCACCCCATCAACCTCAAATAACATATTGACATCGCATCTGACCATGTGTTCCTCGTTTAAAAGCAGGTCCCTCACCGGCTTCACACCGTCCTTTGCCCCTCTTTGCCTTCCATCATCGCTAACACGACAACCGACCATGTCCGAGAAAACAGGTCTCATCGACTTTGCGTACGGTTCTGAGACATTCCAAACCTACTACAAAGTTATCGGAGACCTCTCCTCGTCCCGAACTCCTCTCGTTGTCCTACACGGCGGCCCCGGTATTCCCCACTCGTACATGTCCCCGCACGGCTCCCTCTGGGCATCACACGGCATCCCCGCCATCTTCTACGACCAGGTCGGGGTCGGTAAAGCTACACATCTTCCACACAAACCTTCCTCGTTCTGGACCGTCGAACTGTTCATGGACGAACTCGACAACGTTCTCGCACACTTCGGCATCGCAGAGAACTTTATGCTACTTGGCCATTCCTGGGGCGGAATGCTAGCGGCGGATTACGTCGCCACGAGGCGTCCCAAAGGGCTCAAGCGCCTCGTGCTGGTCAGTGCGCCCGCGTCGATGCAGCTTTGGGATGTGGGGATAGAGAGGTTGCTGGCGTGGTTTCCAGAGGATTTTGTGAAGATGTTGAAGAAGCATGAGGAGGAGGGCACGACTGATGCCAAGGAGTATCAAGATGGGGTGATGGAGTTCTATAAGGTGCATGTTTGTAGGACGGATCCGTGGCCTGCGGACCTGGTGGCTGCGTTCGGGGCCATGGAGGAGGATAGCACGGTTTATAAGACAATGTGAGTCCTTCATCCCTCGTCTCACATGTTTACACCCTCGAATGGACGCTTAGCTTACTGACGATTTCGTGACGCGATAGGGCCGGACCTTCGGAGTTCAACATCACTGGCTCATTGAAGACGTGGTCCGTCGTGGACAAAATCCATCATATCAACTACCCAACGCTTCTCATTAACGGAGCCGAGGACGAAGCGCAAGACTTGGTTATGGCTCCGTTTTTCGAAGGGCTTGCGAAAGTGAAGTGGGTCAGGTTTGCGGAGAGCAGCCATATGGTATTTTGGGAGGAGAAGGAGAGGTATTTGACGGTGTTGGGGGATTTCCTGAAGGCATGAAGGTTGTGGAGTGGACGTCACCATAGTAATGCAATGGTACGGGTCTATCTGCCTCGACCCGATTATCACGATGATGAATACTGATGAATGATACGTAGTGCCAGGAATCGAACAGCGTGAAGAATACAATGATTATGACGTGTGCAATCCAAGACTCCAGACCAACCGGCAGTCCTCGTTCGTGACCTTCGGCAACGTCAAACAGCTTGCATGAAACTCTCAAGAGCGGATCTCAAGACTGCTTTTCGCGCACGATGAGAAAACGAGTGGTGCCTTTATTCGCTCAATTCTCGGAAGTCGTAGCTTGGTATTCGTCCATATGCAAGAAGCGAATCGATGTCAACAACATCGCCTGCCATTCTACCAGTATGGATGTGGGATGTGAGCCGACGTGCACTGTACACGGAAGTTTGAACGCTTTCTGCGCTGACGAAAGTCTGGTTATTCTCACTACCGTCCACACTGTCTTTTAATTCGGCGATGTATACGACATGGGTCTGCTGGTGGAGCAAAATATCACTGGCATGGGTAGTCTCTGAACCAATTTCAGCAGGATTATTGTCAATACCGAAATCATTCCAACCGGAACTGTCTCCTGGCTGTCAGGATATCTACCTCATTCTTTCCACGAAGCCGTTGAAAGAGATACGGAAAACATTGTATATCGCCAGCATTTAGACACCAGAATCACACGAAGGCTGCATGTCAAAGTTCTACCTCCAGGTTGAACGGCTCCTGGTACGTTTAATTTCGCCTCGATGCACTGTGGTGAGGTCATCCTGACTCCATTCCGCCATAGAACGCTCTCTTTGTCTAAAGGCTTGGGGTCAAGGTCGATGAAACCCGAGGTACGCTCATCACGAGGAGATGACCTTAACGGCACCTGGAACTGAGTTTGCTTCCATACTGTCTACCGTATCTCAGCCGGACACTCAAGTCGACGTATAAACCGAACAACAACACAACGTTGACTAGAATGGAATGTTAGGCAGGTGTGTGCCGCGAGATGTATGTGAGCGTGGAGGTATGACCATGCTGCGTCATAGTTGACGGTGACTGGCCACCCTATCTTTTTTTCCTGGTCCTCACTTTCAAGCCGGCCCGAAATTGTATCGGTACGCGGACCATTCAATCTTCGTCTGTGTATAAAAGCTAACTTACCGCCTCTTCGACAGGTCGTTCCCGCACTACTTCTTATCTCACACTTTACCTCCATTTCGTAGACCCACAGCACACAATGGCAGAGGCAGACTGGAAGGCCTTCGTCGACTTCGTCGACAACAAAGACAATGTCACACATTTCATAGACCGCCTACGGAGTGCCGTAGAGATTGAAAGGTCTGTGTTGTTATCAGAGCCCCTTGATATGCGTACTGAATTGAAGTTCGAAAGCGTCTCTGGAGACAACACTCTTGAGGGCCGAGGCAAAGTCGTCGATATGGCTCACTTCCTCAATAAGGAGCTTGCATCCCTCGGAGTCGAAACAGACCTGGTCTCACTCGGTCCACATGTCGACCGCGACGAGCTGCAACTCCCTCCGGTTATTGTTGGACGTATAGGGACTGATCCGAGCAAGAAAACCGTCCTGGTCTACGGACATTACGACGTGCAGCCAGTAAGTTTTGCTCTCCAATCCATACACGCGATGTGCTCATGCTATCACGTTCAGGCTGCACGCTCCGATGGATGGCACTGCGAACCATTCCAGCTGACGGAAGTCGACGATATGCTCTACGGCAGAGGCAGCACCGATGATAAAGGTCCTGTACTTTGTTGGGTGAACGTCCTTGAAGCCTTCCACACCCTTGGAAGACCTCTCCCAGTGAATCTCCGCTTCTGCTTCGAGGGCATGGAGGAGAGCGGAAGTCAGGGCCTGGGAGATTTTATCACTTCAGAGGTCAAGAAGGGCGATAATGGATGGTTCGACCACGTCGACTGTGTATGCATCGTAAGTAACGTCATGCTCTGGCATCTGTACTCCATCTTCTTATTGTGTCCCTGCCCGTCCATTAAATTGCACACTCGTGCCTGGAAGTCGGACAACTACTGGCTCAACAACAGGACGCCGGCGTTGACTTACGGCCTCAGAGGCATCGTCTACTATGGCATCACCGTCAGCGGACCAGAGAAGGACCTTCACTCCGGTGAATTTGGCGGCATGGTCTACGAGCCAATGACCGATCTGTTCGCGGTCATGAGCCAACTCGTCAATACGAATGGCAAGATCAAGATTCCAGGACTGCAGGTAGACCCCCCTGACGATGAAGAAAGGTGACCCATCGTCCTGTTCACTGTTACCCGCGCCAGTTGCATCTCGGATTGATACTGATTTTTACCAGGAAGCTGTACGAAAAGCTAGACTATTCCGTGGACGATCTGAAGGACGCAGTTGGCGGTGTCGACATTGGTCTGAGCGACGACAAGGTGACCCTGCTAATGGGACGAATGCGGGAGCCATGTCTGTCAATCCATGGAGTTCAAGGTGGCTCTTCTGACGATAGTTCAAAGACGGTCATTCCTCGCTCGGTCACTGGAAAGTTTAGCCTGAGGTATGTTCATATACCTTTCTCTTTCGAACAGTGATCTGACGTGTTAGGACTCAGGATCGTTCCTCCCCAGACTCCGACAGATGTAGATCGAAAAGTACGCGAATATGTCAACCAGAAGTTTGAGGACCTTTGCAGCAAGAACACTATGGAAATTAGTATGATTGGTGAGGCCGGTGAAGCCTGGGAGGATAACCAAAACCATTGGAACTATCAGGCGGCTGACCGGGCGACTCAGGTACTTGTATTTCACTACGCTTGTCTTTCCGGTCGGTGCTTAACCTCAATCTTCTCGTCCTCTAGCGCATCTATAAAATGCCACCTGATTATACCAGGGAGGGCGGGTCGATTGGTGTCGTACTGACCATCGCAAAAGCCGTCGGTGTTAACATCTTACTACTTCCCATAGGCCGCGGGGATGACGGTGCTCAGTACGTGCCCTACACTAGCATACTTTCCTGATTCTATATGTACCCATCTTCCCATTTTTAGCTCTACCGACGAGAAGATCAACAAGTCAAACTTTATAGAAGGAGTGAGCGTCAATGTTGTCATATTTTGCTTCCCGACATTGAACTTTGGTCATCGCTCTTGCAGACAAAGCTTCAAGGGACTTACCTTTATGAATTAGCGAAAGCGCAATGAATTGTCATTTCTGCATTCCATGTCACTCAATGACCTGTTATGGAGTTTCTTGACCGTCTGGAGCTGTCATACGTATTGGCAGAAAGAGCTGTATTTACCAACAACCTGATATAGCCAGTGTTCCCCGAATCTCCGCGCACTCATACTTGGTATAGATGAGCGACACTGTTATTCAGCCAATATTTAGCTGTCCATTCAGCTTCCCTGAATCTCTGGACACTCTTTGCCCGATGATGTGCTTTTTACTCTAGCGGTACTCCCTCCGAAAGAGACACAGACTATATAGTCGCAAATTATACATGTGCTAAATTCACAGGGCGTTCATTTTACCGTATCTCCGTTTTAGCAATAAGTTTCGGTACCTTGTCGAGCGTGCAAGTCTATATAGTCGGACTGCACAAGCGGCAGTTTCTGTTGGGGCCAGCATCTCGACGATGAAATGGCATCGGTGCATCGATACTTCTCGTATATTGAGGCCCGTGCATACCTCCTGTTTACAGCTGGGTCTGCTCTACCCCCATGATCGTGTACTGACTTGCACCCTTCGCTGCTGACGGATGCCTCCATCGGCACGGATGAGTCGTGCATGCCTCGTAAGTCTGCAGGAACTGAAAGTGTATGTTTGTAGATTCTGCACTCAGCATGTTTTAGCACGTGAAATTCTCGTCGTTCGGAGAATTCTCAAAATATCTGGGAGCATTCTCTATGCTCATTAGAAGACCTCTTATTAGATGCGTAAGTGTAAGATCTGTACAGTCCATGCCGCAGTGCTGTCCAGAGATTGCAGCATTGTGCTAAATCTGGCCTTAAACTCTTTATCCAGTGGCACCTCATTTTTGACCGAAAATCTACGCCAGTATAAGCACGTACGACTGGATCAGTTGTGTACTATACATGGCCAGCCGGCTTCAGACATATTCAGTTGACCTCTCGATGAAGATGCATCTACACAGCTATGATACCAAGAAATACAAGAGTTTCGTTTTCTACCTGTCTCCTATCATCTTCACCCACCACAGCTCTCTCGTATTGACGAACTAGCATAGGAGACACGTCCTAGAAGAGAAGATTGATACAAGTCGGCCACCCACTCGTCCATCCTCGATAAATACCCAGTCTCTCACCTCACACCTCTGGGAAACCATGAAACGATTGCGAAACGGAATTGCTGGGCACGCTTGAGACAAGCGAGTCGTTGACAGTGACAGGTGCGGACGTGTCGGGAAAGGTTCTAGGGTCAGATGGATTCTAAGCGGTTCATCAACCGTTGAAGCATGGTCAGTATCGCACAGAATCTGTCTGCCTGAGTGAAGGAGAAGTACATAGTATTGAGCCTGCGAAGTTGACGGTATTGAGCTTCGGCCATATCCGGCCCCTGCTCCTAATTTCACATTGCTCAGTGGCTCCACGAGTATACTTTGTGAGGTCGGCGGAGCTGATGCCACGACAAGAGGATGTTGGGTTGTTTTATGTCGTTTACGTATGTAGATTACTAGCGCAGCAATTACCGATAAACCCAGCACCCCACCCACTACTCCTCCAGCGATCGCACCGGTATGCGTTTCATGACTGGGACTCGGAGGGATGGCAGAAGAGGAGCTCGCGGGGATGGTCACAGTGACACTGGCCGTTGATATTGACTGGAATACACTGATTTGAGGCGATGAGGTTGGGGTATTAGTTGTGCCTGTGGGAGAGCTTATTCCGGTACTCTCAGGCGAGTCTGATTATATTTAAACCTCCGTCATCCTGACTGACCAAAGGTTAGCCTACTCACCACCAATGTTTGCGGCTGTAGCAATGCTCCAGGTACTGTTGACAAAAGAAGCCTATTTTTAAGACATCACCAGGGGATAAATCAGCAATGAGAAATCAAGAACCATAGTGAGGAAATTTACGTCGAAAGCCCAATGAGGCACATTGGTTTCCCCAGGAATCAACCAATGATCAGGGAGGCTGCAACAGGCGAACTTTAGTATAGTGAAAATTGACATTATGCTCTATATACCTTCCATCTTGTGCGACAGACGTGCAGTTTGTTTGCCACCATTCGGTCCAGCTGCAATCGACGCCTGTGAATACGGGCCCCGAAAATATAAATCTAATTGCAGCATACCTCAGCCAGTTTCCAGATCCAGGCTGACAGGCCGTGCAGGCACTAATGAGAGAATAACCAACGGTGCTACAAAGGAGATCGTTGTTGTCCTGTTGTGATGCTGGGCCGTCATAGTAGTAACCAGCATCAAGAGCATCAAGTACAGCGATTTCTGTAGAATATAATCAGCATGGCAGATTGAACCTTTACGGGGAAAGGAATAGGGATATCGCTCACGCCCTCCTGTGCCAGCGAGCCACCCCCACACTAAACACGGGCTTTGACCAAGGGAGTTGAAGCTCTGAGAGCGTTGGTGTTCAGCGGAGGAGTTTAACATATGCACCGTGGTAAACATACCCATTGCATGTTCCCCGCAGTACAATTAGGCTCATTATCTTGCGCTACTGCTATGAGCACGATACTGAACAATATAGGACAGAGGCATGTTAGTGTTGAGGGATGCATTGATAATATGATGTAAGGCGGGGCGCAAGCGGGGCGACAGTGCGCAGGGGCTTTTCGTCGCACTGGGATTCTTATACGCTCGGACGGTCAATAACTTCCCGCTTTGCCACAAATGCTCTCGTTACCTGAAGCGGATACACGAATGGGAGGATCATGAGAATCAATCAGTGTGCAGTGCTTTATCACGGACATTTCCTAGCTCCATGAACTCAGCAAGTACCTGTTAGGGTTCGCCACGGGTCTAACTGGGGTACGACTTTGAAAACCACACCCGTACCCGCTGTGCCCATACCCGCAAGACCGCGGGTTTTCACGCGCGGGTTTCAGTCAATTAATTCATGAAAATAGCGAATAAATATTCGAAGATTTGTGGGTGCTTAAAACACCAGTTTGGGTGCTCGGGGACGCCACAGAGCACTCGGAATATTTCTCAAAGGGCAACCAAAAGTTGTGGGTATGGGAAGGTCGAACCCGTACCCGTACCGTGCGGGTACGGGTCCAAAACACCGCGGGTATCTCAATACCCGTGGCGAACACTAGTACCTGTATTGCTATAATCTCTGCGCATCTCTACGCATCTCACAAGGTGGTCACTAAAGGGCGGGAACAAGGCGGGACGCCCCCCAAAGATGCGAATAGTCTAAGATCCGTGATTTGTGCAGACTTGATATATATATATAAAGTCTCTGATTGTAACAAATCTCGAACTGCCGCAGCGGATATCCTAATCCTAGCAGAGCGTTGTGTACTTGATGGAGAATCATATATGGTATTCCGTGACAAATAGTATCATGATTGACAGAAAGTGCGGGTGGAAGGATGTTAGAGATCAGTGGCTTGATTCATGAGATGATCGCCCCAGAGAGAACGGTAGTACCCGCCTAGCCATTGTAGGGTGGGGGTATATCCTAGGGGTTATACGAGGGTTACAGAATCAAGGTAAATCTACAAGATAAGAGACTACTGTAATATGTATACTCCTACTATTTGTTACAACTAAACAACAATAAGTATGAGCTGCAAGCGCGAAGACGACGAGTCGGCGAGCGATCCAGGGAAGGGTTTTTGGAGAGCATGAAAACATTATCGAAACCGCCAACGCTCAAAAAAGAGAGCGGAAGTGTCCAAGAGATGCGCATAGTACAAAATGACAACATATTCGACCAACCTGGGACTCGAACCCAGAATCTCTAGCTAACACGGATTCAGACTCCGCCGGAAACTAGCGCGTTAACCATTACGCTAGCCGGCCGATGGAGAAGATCCCAAATGCAGACATGATATACTCCAATTAAGCCTGCTTTTCTCTCAACCCTTCTCGTCTTCGATTATTGTTCGATTCTATCGGGACTGCGTAGACAACCAATTTGCGAAGAAAACCTACCATGTCGAGGGGTCAGCAATTCGTTACAACATTCCGCCATCGGTACTCTGATATTTCTACGATTAGTACTTTGTTCCTTCGGTCTTTCTGATCGAATGTCACAATGGTGTGTATCATCAAGGCGGCGGGAGTCTAACCAGAGCCGGTACGTCATTTTCTGTACGTCGTTTTCTGTATGACATCTCATCACCCGTCTGTCCGGTCGTTTTTTGCGATCCCGTGGTTTATCTTGGACTCTTCATGAACGCTCGTATTTCTTCCGCATCTGGAGTACTCAGGTATACTACTGAGTGTCGTATAATCTGGAACCTTGCAGTGTACTATAGAATGCCACAACATCATCTTTCACAGCAGTATGAACCTGGGCGAGGTAGATAAGTACTCGGTTTATCGAGCACAGCGGGAGAGAAATGATCCTCCTTACTTTGATTCTGAATCATAGCCGCATTGGATACACAGCACAAATTGCGCCACCATCATTTCCTCATTTTTGTTCTAAATCTTGGTCAATTCTGATGACCATGGGCGGAACAGATAGCTGTTACGGATTTGGCTTTGAGCTTCCTATAAGTCATGGTCTGAAAAGACTCTGCATCGATGCCAACCTTCTGTCTCGGGACCTAACTGCACCTTCCCAATGTCTTCGTCAAACACTACAGCGAACTGCACATTGCATCAGCAAGACTGCATCTCCCCAGCGCGGGCCTCTCACGCTCTAAATCGGTCTATACGGTCTTATCGCTCTGCGCACTTAGACCGCACCCGATTTCGTAGACGCGCTAGAGGGTGGTAGGTAGGTATATTACACGGAGCGGTCCCAGTAGAGTGGGCTGGCGTTGCAAGAGGTTCTACAAGCCTTTTTTTTAATACCTAATTTTGCTGGAAAGTCGGCACATGGTGGTTTCACTCAACCACGTACAGCCTGTACTCAATCGTTCCCTATCATACTAGTATCCGGTCGTCCCAGTCCGACGACGTCTCTTTACCGAGCTGACACTTCGCAGAAGAACATACCGAGCAGGCTGACGACGCGAAGGGGTGCGCTCTTTGCGCGCTGATGGGATGTTAATGCGGGTGAAGGCTGGTAGTAGCGTGGGCAGGCATTGAGCAGGGAGAGGTGCTAGTAACAAGGTCCTAACGCCTGCCCTAAACAAGCACGTGAGCCAACAACGTCCGTTGATTTGTGCTTGGCAGCTCGTGGGCCTTTGATTCGAGCGCGTCTGTGCCTCTCCTCTTACCGTCATCTTCTCAATCCCCAACTTCGCGGCCCTCCTTACCATTACCTCCCCATCTATATTAGTATCCTCTGAAGCTCGCTCTATCATAAGATCGAAGCTAGTTAACGGGATCAAGCCTTTGAATGACCCCGGAATGTACGAATGGATGCTGCAACCCTCTACCCCGACCCGGTACATCGTCGGTAGTAAGCTCGACTGTCGGCAAATAACTGACCTCTTATGTATCGCGTTCGAGTTTCTACGGTGGTACACCCATCTCTCAGTTTCACTCTCGAACCACATCTTGACGTTGGTTCTCACGCTGATCGAACACATGTCTTTGAACATCCAGGAAGCCTTCGCGGAATCTCCCCTCTGGTTGGCCGTTACCAAGATATCAACCCGCTCTACCATCCCTCCAGTTGACGGGAAACACTAATTTCCGATGTCTTTTGCTCTTGGGGCCATCTCATACGCTGAATTTGGTCCCTTTCTGCGGACAGCGTGGGCTAACGGGACAGTATCGGTGCACAGGACTCCTTCACCGTTCTCATCTATCGGTTGTCTCATACTAACAACAGCACAATACTCCATCAGGCCAGATGACAAAGATGCGGGAAGGTGAGCTCTCATCACGTTGACTTTTATATCTCATGATATGTGACGACGACGGGCTTTGCCCTTCGATGGGGCATGGTGTGTGGTGCCCAGCCGCTATGTAGGTACATCCAGCCTCGTTCCTGTGTACTGCATTGACAATGTTCACGAATCATCATATTTTAGACAAGTTTCCATTGAACAATGAGCAAAATGTGATCGACACGTAAGTTCACATTATCCTATTGACTCGTCTACGCTTTGTGGTCGATGTACCTGTTCACTGACCACGATGACTATACTTTAGCTGCACATAGCCCATTGATTGGCCTAGCATTTCGATAGGTCCTTCATTGGTGGTTCGGAATCGTTTGTGTATGCTCAGAATGATCATCTGGAACCACGAGGTTGCCTGAGCGCTAGTGGAAGTTTGGTGCGAGTGTGAGGGACGAGGTAGACATTTCGAAGCATGACGAATGGCGGGAGTGCAGACGAGTGCATACAGTGGTGCAGGTATGTAGGAGTTGTCCGTTTCGTACTGTAGTGTACATAGATTTTGTGTATATAGTGGTCCCGGCCATCTGCTCCCAAATATAATGATTTACCAGCTACTGTGAACCCTGTATGATGCTCTAACATATTGCTCCAATACGAGGAGCAGCTCTTTGAGGCTCTATGGCCACTCTAGCCACAGAGCTACCAGTGCTCAAATTTCTGTCCGGCGGTTCCTTAGAGGCCAGTGGCGTGGTCTAATTGGTCTGAAAGCTCTATTCCTAGACCGGATAGACGCGTGCGGTCTTCCTGATGTGAGCTTGTGGAACTGGGTTAGTGGCACGCCTCAATAGTTTTTCTCTGACTCATGAACACTTTTGTGCCTCCATTTCCTCAGACAAACAATAGTCTGGGGCAAAGTCCTTGCCAAGTAGCTGAAGTCATATGCGGTGAAGTCTTATCCTGCCTTCTCTTCTTTATTCACCGCTTATATCTAAGCATTTCGAAAGACTTGAAGATACCGCCACTTATTCAAGGGCAAGAATACAATAGCATCCCCTTAAATTGGACAAATAACTGGACATGCAGCTCTGTGTTTTACTCTCTTCAGATCTAGCGCATGCGGCGGGTGTCAAGGATCCGCTTGGGTGCCGTACGTTTTCTGTGCTCATTGATCATAGCTCTTCAGCTCACATCGTGTCTGAACAGATGGGATGAGCTTACCCAAAACTGCAGCAACCGGCCCAATGGAACGTAAGTTCGCAGCGGTTTCGTCTCTTGCACAATTATTTTGCGCTCAAATATCAAACCTAAATCAGCTTCAGCTTCTGTCAACGACTCGATTAGGGTTCTCTAGGACGCGCTTGACTTGTTGAGACGAAGCTGAAGAGGTGGCTAAGGGAGGAAACAGACCAGAACAAGTCTGGAGATTTATTGTAGTGTAGCTACATGTTTTTATACATTCAGGCTTAACGAAACTACCTAAGCATGAATTACTCGAATGAATGAGAACAATGAGAGAATAATTGCGCGATATAGAAAGCTAGCCAATAAAATCAAGAGCTTTCTAAGCAATATTCAAGAGTAACGAATAGAGAGACAAGGATAAGAAAATGGCTCAGTAATCGAGTACAGTAATAATCATGCGAGCATTACAGAGCAGCACAAGATCAGAGACCGCTCGAAGAGGACGATAAGGAACGACGGAGAGATGATCTCGATAGAGATCAGTGAGGTGGCCCGAGCTGGGTGGCGTAAGTAAGATCGCCGGGCCGGCAGCCGATTCAAATCATCGCTGATTTGACTCGTCTGCAGTCTTCGTGGCGAGGGTGTTTTTGTTTTTATTTCGCTCATGCATTCGTAGGTAAGAGTACTAATATATTTTATAGTACTACAAAAAGTTCATAACATGACCCTCTTTCTCAGAATCGACGTCCTCGTCGATCAACTTATCATCAATATAAAACCGTGAAAGTGCGAGAACAAAGACGCACAACGACGAAGAGAAATAAGATGTTTCATAAGATCGTAAAATGTTTAATTCATAGCCTGACGCACGAGTAAACAAATTGTAAAGAAGAGCTCTCTCTTGTCGTGAGAGAAGAAAGAGCTAAGTATAGCAAAGGAATAAGAGGCAGTCGATAGCTAGATCGAAGGGCTCGTGTTCCATAGAGAAACAGCACCGTTCAACCAGCGCGGAAGCGCGGAATTATGAACGGATCGTCCTCGTGAACTTGCACGAGAGCGGTAAGGAAGGGCGGCGTGAAGTTGGACATGGGCGGCAAATAGATGGATGGGCCACACTGTGGCGTTTAACCCATCGGTGGGCTAATGCGTCATGTGGTACCGGGTTCCGAGAATGAACGAAGGGTTTGTGCGATGGCGCAAACGTTGGGCCGACCCTGAAGATGAATATCGACAGGATTGTTGTAGAATAAACGGAGCTCGTCTTGAGCTCGTCCGAGACGATAGCCGGCCGGATGAAGACGTTACGCCGAAAGAGGGAAGGAATGTCGGAGGAGTTTCATGCAGAGTTCGACGAAGTTCTACAAAAAGTTCATAACAGCTTCTTACCAAACGTGACCAACCCTGGTGTGATTATCCCAAATTGGGCCTTCGTCCCGGTGCCTGTAAGTCTCCATAAGTCTCCTCTCGACAATGACCGGACTTTACCATCGAGCTAGAATAGAGAGTTTTCGCCACCCGGAATCTGCCGAAAACGCTCAGATTCTCCAGAACGCGGGATGCATTCACAAGGTGACAATGGCGTCCTTGCCTCTGGCAGGTCTAGCAGAATGTAATGAGTATCACATGTAGAAGACTCTCAAATATTTTCACGATTTTCAATGCACGAAATACCGTCGAGTGGAAGAATCTGGATACGCCAGTCCAGAAAGATTTTCCCAGATTCTGGGTGGCGAAAGCTCTCTAATGGCACATGGAATGATACTAAAGCGCAGTTTCTTGGCGGCATGTCCATCACTCAGGTTCACAGGGAAGCCTCTTGTCTGACATTGATCGGATCTCTAATTGCTCCAGATGCTCTGTGATTAGAACCGCCTGAGAAGATACTGATTGATACAAGGCGATGCCAGTATCCACCTTGCATAGCCAGAGGACACCGTAACTCTTCGTGACCTATTTAAATCGTCTTCTCTATCAGTACTTGCTCAGTATCGATGGAAGCACTTTGAAACAAATCGCAGGCGTGGGGAACACAACTACGCAGACCATAGCATTGATGCCTTAATGGTTTGGAGTCTATCTTGCACATACTTGTTCGAGCCCATCACTTCACACTAGTAGGGGATGGCGTTTAATAATGCAAAGCTGTGTTGGCCTTGTCAAAATTGCAAGCGCCTTCCCAAGATATATAAATAACAAGAACATCCGTGCTCTGCAGTACGGAAACTATATCCACCCATCCGCATCGCTGGCCTCAAACAATGAAGCTCGGGTACTTCTCTTTCATTATTACCCTTGTCTTTGGCACGGCTATCGTCGCCGAAGTTCTCTCGATACCGTCCATTGTTCTAAGAGAGGCGAACGCTGCGCCATGCGCTGAGGATGACTTCCAGATTGGTTAGTGAGCGGTCTGAAAGAGCTTTATCGGTTGCGCTGACGATCCCATCCTGTTTGTAGATGGACCTGACTGTGGGCCATAAGCGCATAAGCATTAAACATTGGTTCGACTTGACTTCCCAAAAGGTAGGAACGCAAACAAGCACCTTCAGATATCTATCTTCTGACTCATCGCTCTTCAAGACTCAGTACATGTAGCGTTTTTATGGTAGTATTCGCATGAGAACTAGGTTCTGTGCAGCAATCAAGGAAGTACTGAGCAACGGAATTCTATTCTATTCTATTCCGTGTTCGGTCAAACGGTGCTGTGTTCCTCATCAGTACCAAAGAGCCCCCCTACTGGCTTTGCTTTGTCAGTGTTTGTTCTTCCATCGGCACTGTTTTCTCATCCTCGGTACCCGCCAATGAACGTGTTTTTTCCGTTCTAGTTCGTTTTATTCTTGGCCTATCTGACTTCGGCAATCCACTTGTCCGACGCTCTTCCGACATCCATAATGTTTTAGACTCTGGCTCTATCTCTGGTGGTCGCTGAAATAAGGCCCACAAGTGTTGTCATTCGATGCAGTCGGAGAGTCACTATGTTCTCAACGCTACGATACCGGATTCCGCGAAAAAACTCCTGACTGCTAATAGTACTGTATTTGACTGCGTCATCGAGATGGAATGTTTTACCACATTAAACATAGGTCATATGCTAATCTACATATCATATGAATCATGATAGACATTGATTAGTCATTAGTCCTCTCATACAACTATACAATCGACAGGTTGAGCTGGTGTCCCTTAGGTGTGGGATGATCTTGTTCGGAATTATTGGCATGTTCCGCCTATGTGGGGATTTTAATTACCCCAAAGACCTTCATAAGCTCTAGCCACACAGAAGAATGACAAGTTCAGACAGATTAGACTGACCTGCTTAGCTCGTTCGGGAATAGGTATGTCAACACTGGCAGAGGCATCCAGGTAGTGAGAAACGCGGAATGGAGGGACTATGGAACGGTTTCGAATACCCCCTGCATGGCCGTCCGAGTAGCTACTCAAGGCCTGGATGGAGAAGTCTGATGTACCTTGGGGAGCTCTTCTGTTGGAAGGCGAAGACCGCGTATTAAGTGACACGAGTAGAGAGTTTGTATACAATCTGGACCATCCAAGAGATTAGGTAAGAATTCAGTTGTAATAAGTATGAAACTTCCAGTTTACGTGCCTGGAGATCAAATATCCCCTACAGTAGGATGGTCAATATCGTCAGTTCGAGGACAAAGGACAAAGCGAATGAAAAACTAACATCAACGCGAAAAAGTTTGTTTCCGGAAGTACGAGGAGGACTATGATGTTGACGATGGATGTCATAGCGGTTACTCCATTGGTTCCGACCGTAAGTTTTATGAGTCTGGTAAGTAGCCTGTCCGTTTTCATATTCTGGTACCCAATATTATTATTTCGGGCGGAATTGAGCTGTCATTTTTGTTATCAGCATGACGTCTGAGAGACACAGGTTGGATTACGAACAAGGTAGACCATACTGAACGCTATCATGGCGTCTGTGGCAATGCTTGCGGATAGCCATACCTATACTGAGACTTTAGCATAATACATCTGCTTTCTATGAACAGTGTAAATCCCACCAGCAGCACGGTCGAAACTGCATATCCAAAAATCTGCTGGACACTGGTTATAGAGAATATCTGTGACAACCACGCATCAGTGTGTGTACGCAGCGAGACCATCCACCAATATACATACCAGTATTCCCGACACAATTGCACTGATCGCCTGAAGCGACCCGATCTAATGACACGTCAGTCTGTATCCGGTGGGCTCCAGGAGGCATAACGACTGTACCGCCACAATCAGGATGCCAATGGCCGTCCAGGTTCGTGATTTCCCCAAAACTACAATTCTTCGCGCGTAGAAGGCCTGAACCCAGAAAGCAACTGTACAGTTATATGACTCAGTCAGCAGCGCGACGTAAGAGAATGGAGTTTAGATCTTACTGATGCCACTAATGAGAGGGATGCAGCCGTACTCCCAGGTTATGCGCTCCAAGGCAGATACCTGACCCCAACCCGAGCTCAACATATGCCATGCTTGTCTGGTGAAAATCACCGTCAAAAAGGTGTCCAGGATAAACGTCCCATATACTTTGTACGATTTAATTTCAGCCCAAAATCAGGCCAATATCAAATAATAGGCGCACCAGTTATCCGAATGAGCAGTCTATCTGAGCTATACGAAAGGGAGTATATATCTGCCATATTTCAGCACAATCGTGTTGTCAGCAAAGTTTTCTGTGGTAGTGTACTAACATATTTGAACAACTAGAGCACCGTAAAGCCCTGATGCAAAGAGATTCCCGATTAACTGACAGAGACTGATGTCAAAGGAGCTTCCGACGGAAAACAAATTTGGATCCCTCACCATAGGCCCTACACTGAACATTTCGCGTAAGTGTGTCAAAAGATATTACACGTGAGGCGAAGTCTGCTTACAGGAGGAGTGTCGCTGTAGATACACCTTCACTGGAATCCAGGATAGTATCGCTAGTCATGGTCATAGGCGAATGTCTGGTATAGAATGGCGTCAATAGCATACCCAACATGCGTAGCGCTATAAGTATACGGCGAAAGGTGAACGCATCATTTTTCACATCCGAAAATCGGTTTATACTTGCCATAGCGATTGATCTGACCTGAAACGCCGAACACAGTTGATGATGAGAATCAAATCCTGGCTACTTTCAATAAGGGTGCGGTTCTACTTAGTCTCACGATTTAGCGCACCTCGCGCAAGACCCCTACCCCTGAGTCGTTGTTTCCAACAGAACACACTAGATTCTAGCAACCGAAAATTGAAATTCTTGCATACATAGCATTAGGGACTACGGACCCCACGATTGAATAAACGTTCCTTCTCGGGACTATGTCCAAACGACGTCTCGCATGTGATAGTGCAAAGATACTCCAGTGACAGATATATTGTATCTCTGCATCGATCACTTGACCACCAATTTGGGTCTTATAAATATGGGTAAAAATCCCATTTTCATATAGCATTTTTAACGTCGATAGTGATGCTTCAATATCATGAGGATGCTTCTGCGAACGAAGGGCGTCATCAGCATTACAAGATTGACGTGAAGGATAACAGGATCATCCCATCGCTTGCTGAGAAGGTCACAGGCAGAACATTATGCCGCAGTAATCGTTAACGATATGGGTATGAATCAGGAGAACGCCATGCACCTGATGTATGGGATGACCGCTGGAGAAGGCACTAGGGGATTCCATGGTGGCAGCTCAAATTTGCGTTCAGATCCGCGTTTAAGACCGCGGCGCGGCTTTGAGGCTTAAACACACGCTTCAAGGTCCCGTTAAACGATACCGTGGACTCCGCTAGTACCACAAAATCTACAAACAAGGAAAAGCGGAGCCTAACGGAATTCTCACAAATGGCGCAAACGTGGTCCGCTCAGAGATATTAGCGGCAATAAAGATGGAACTCGGCGCTTGATGCAGCCGTATCAGCGGACGATGCCTCGGATCTGTTCCTGGATGAGGGCGATGGATGGTTCTGAAGGTGAGAAACTCTGTGTATTTTATGAAGTGTGTGGGATCGGGGGTACCGCCATCTTCGCAGCGTCGCAGAGAGTTTACAGACCTCAAAGCTTTGACGAGAGTGCTCCCACAGACACCTCCTTTGACCCCTCGGCTATCGACTAACATCATGCAACCACTCTTTCCTCCTCCATCCAGACCTTTCCTGCCCATTCCTGAGCTCATAATTCGAACTGCTCGTACTCATCCGGATCGAGAGATAGTTTTGAATGTACAGGATTTGGCGCCGCCTGAGAGCAGTGCCGCAGTCACGCTAGTAACATGGAGACAACTGCTAGCAGACGTGAAGCTTCGCATGACCAGTCTCGTTCACTCGACTGGCCAGGGACCTCGTCGCAGAGGTGAGAGTGATGTCACTGTCGGCCTGCTCTCGCACAGTGGGTATGATTATTTTGTGACTTGGACCGCCATTACCATGTTACGTTGGACGGTAAATACTTTATTTTTACACAGACACCGCGATTATCTGAGATTCGCTTTTCTCTCCCTGTCAAACACAAAAGGTTCTCCTCATCTCAATACGGAATACACCTCCGGCGATCCAGCACCTCATGTCTCACGTTAATGCCCGATTTTTACTCGTCGGGAACGATCTTCTCCCGCAAGTGCAGGAGCTGGTCAACGAGCCTTTTAGTATCGTCCCGCTGGACGTGATAGTCAGCTCTTCGGAGACCCGGAAGGTCGAAGACGGATTGTTAGGGTGGGACGACGTTATTCCTATGAATCACGACAAAAGCAAAAATGGCTACGCCGAGGAAATTGGAAGGCATTTCACGTACTTGCACACGTCAGGCTCTACAGGTACAGCTCCATATTCCCTCATTTATCTTACACATTCTCAAAAGATTGTTTGTAGGCCATCCCAAACCAATCGGTTGGACTCACGAAAACATGTATACGGCATGCGTCTCCGTAGGCAAGGACCGAAAATCGAGGACTGGTCGTGTATTTTATACACCAATGCCTTTGTTCCATGTATGCAATCTAATACTCTATACGGATGGACTGAATTAATAAATTTGTCATCAGGGAGCAGGATTCATTGTTTCATTCCCAACCATCCTCGGTGTCGGTGGTATTTTCACCTTCGTTGAAAGCCGTCAAGCAATCTCGTCCTCTAGTTGCCTGCGGCATATGCGCATTCTTGCAGAGCACAAACCCGACGCTTTGCTACCACCTAGCATATTAGAAGACATGATCATAGAGAATAATAACGATCAGAACCTCCGAGTACGTTAGCACGCCCTTTCGTTGACTTTCCCCTGCTGACTTGCTTGAAGACCCTACTCGATATGAACTCGATTCTCTTCGCTGGGGCTCCCCTTCGTACGGATATTGGCGACGAGATCACACGCAAGGGAGTACGACTCGTGAACTGCTTCGGAATGTAAGACATTGCGACAAATAACATGAATTCGTCTCATTGATAAAGTTCATAGGACCGAGACAGGACCACTCTCAAGTTTTTGTTACCAAGATAGCTGTGATCCGGCAGACTGGTCCTACATTGAGATCAACGAGGAAGCGTTCAATTTTGTCTTCACACCCATGAAATCAGACGGTGCATTCCATAGCCTGATTATAACGGTAATTTCTCTCCCGCTTATGTCTCACATTTTCTGATGCGTCGACTAGCCGGGATATATGACTCCTATGGTTCTCGACAGTCAAAACCCTGTCGGCATTCGCTCTAGCGACAGGTGGGTACAACACCCAGACCCTGGGAAGGCAAGACTTTGGAAAGCATCGGGCCGAAACGATGACGTTGTTCGTCTTCCTATCCAAACCAAATCCTGTTCGCTCATTCTGACATTATTTTTACAGGTGGTATTGAGTAGTGGTGAAAAAACCGACAGCGTACAACTCAGTAAGTATTCATTGACTTGCAAAATGAATGGGGACTGAAGTCGGAAATGACGCGATCATCCTGTAGCATCCCTGCTATGCGCCTCTTCCCTGGTCTCGCGTGCATTAATATTTGGAACTGGACGTCTCATGAACGGGGCCTTGGTCGACCCTGCCCCGGAAGCATACTTGGCACACGGGCCGTCCACGTACCTCGATCTACTATGGCATTACGTTGTCCAGAACGTCAACCGCGTCGTACCTCATCACTCTCGTTTGATTCGTTCGCTCGTCCTTGTCGTCAATGAAGAAAAGCCTCTCCTCAGCACCGATAAGGGAACAGTTAAGAGGAAGGCTAGCCTCGAGCTTTACGCGGCTGAAATTGACGCGGCTTATCGTGACCTAGAGGACGGGGAATCCGGAGACTCGATAGGGTTGTCTCCTGTCCAGGGATATGAGGCGGGAAATGTAAAATCGCTTCAGTCTCGCCTTTCGACTCTCCTGAACGACGTACTCGGGGCCCAACTCGGAATGGGCGACGACTTCTTCGCGGCTGGCATGGACTCATTACTAGCTATACAGTATCGTTCCGCCGTGTCGTCCGGTATAAAGAGTTCCGGATACAACGGTACCTTGCCGAGGAACATCATCTACATGCATCCGACAATATCCGCGCTCTCAGAATGTATCATCTCTATCCTCGCCAACTCCCCCGCGCTTTCGAGCCCTCCCGAACGAACGAATGCCGTGAGGTCAATGCTGGAGGACGCTATCAATGCCTACAAATCGAACTTCAATCAACATCTCCCCGATCATTCTCCAGCTATGTCTTCTGACGATGAGGTATACGCAGTCACAGGGACAACGGGATCGCTTGGCTCGTTCTTCGTGTCTCTACTGCTGGACCTTTCGACAGTGCGAAAGGTCTACCTTCTCAATCGTCGCAGTCGGTCTACGTCGTTTGCGCGGCGCCACGAGATCTCCTTCGAAGAGAAGGGCCTTGATTTCGGTGTCCTGCAGAAGGCGTTGGATACGGGAAGAGCAGTCTTCGTCGCAATCGACTTGTTGCAGGCTGATTTGGGTATATCTGAAAGCATTCGCCACGAGGTATATCATTCCAATTGCTCGGTGTAGTCTCGTCGATTAGCCATTGAAATAATTTACTCCTGTCCAGATGCTCTCTGAGGTCACGCATATCGTTCACATAGCTTGGTTGCTCAACTTCAAGCTCATACTACCGTCATTTAAACCTCACCTCTCGGGCGTACGCCACCTGCTCCATCTCACCCTCTCTTCCAAGCGCATGACGCCTCCACATTTCACATTCATCTCCTCTGTGGCAGCTGTAGGACAATGTGCATCCTCCGATCCCGTTCCAGAAGCGTCCATCTCGAGCCCCGAAGTCTGTCTCGATCAAGGGTATGCTATGTCGAAGTACTGTGGAGAGAAGATCATAGAGCTGGCTGCCAAGGAGCGTCCGGAGCTGCGGGCGAGCATCGTCAGGACAGGACAGATCTCTGGGGCAGAGGGTAACGGTGCTTGGGCGCGGTCAGAGTACATGCCGACTTTGATGAAGACCTCGGTACAGATCGGCCTCGTACCGGACCAGCTCCCTGTGCGTATTCCTGTCCTACCGATTTTCGTTAGCTCCATCTGAGCTTATTCGTGGGTTTACATAGGATGTGCGCTGGCTCCCCGTCAACGTCGCTGCTAAGGCCCTCTATGCGCAAATTCAACATTCTTGCTCGCAAACGACCAGAACCGACGCTCATCTCACGTTTTACAACCTCGAGAACGGTAGTAAGACACCATGGAGAGACGTGACGAACGCTATCATCGAATTCGGCGCCAGCGTCTCTCTCGAGGTGAAGCCCAAGCTAGTCCCCATGAAAGAATGGGTGGAAGCAGTGAGCCGCGCACCGTATACCTCAGCTTTCCAACTCTTGGATTTCTTTGAAACCTACGCGCAGGGGCGATTCATGCCCACATTGGATCTGAAATATAGCAGGCAGGCAGCGGGCAGTTTGGTTGATCGCGATATCGGTGAAGAGGTCATCAGGTCTTATGTCGCCTTTGCGTGTGCGGACATCAACAAGAACTGAAGTAGTTCTGGATTTGTCTACGTGATAAAACCATGGGCATTACTTGTGGCTCTCTTTATGCATGGTGCTTTGTAATACGTATCTGCGCTCGTATGTACGTGCTCCCGAAGAAATAGAAGAGGTCGCTTTCAATAGCGTTTGCATACCCCGGTGTTTTAAACTATTTGTCATAACGCGAAACATTCCTCTAGGCCTTGAGACGAGCTCAAATAGTTCTCAGCGTTCGGCATACGGTCGCCCAAGAATACTCGGAATCAAATCTAATTGACACCGCAATGATGAGGGCAGACTCGAGAGGGAAACCGACGGCTGTTTTTCCATTGCGCCCAATTATTTCTCTAAGGAACAATATTTACTGTTCCTCGGCGTATCAGGTCTAGGTGCGTCCTTCGACTCTTTCTCGAAACACCCGCGAAGGTGATCATTACAAGATATCGAAGGGATCCGGACGACACAATATCATGACCGAGACAGCCAGGTAGAGCTAGGACGTGGGTATGCGTAACTCCAGATGATATATCGGATGGATACACGAACTGGTCTAATCGGCGACGTTATGCTTGATCCATGTGGAAACTTTAGAACAGACCACAAGGAGCCCGGGACATGGTGTGGCACTCAGTGTATAGGCACTGCGCTCAATAGTTGCAGCGATATATACATATATTATGCTATGAGGTTGTTGACTGCGCAACCACACAGATTTATGGATGGCTATCCCGCAATCTTCCCTCTTCGAGAGCGGATAGTCAATGTCAAGATTGGCATGGATGAGGCAGAACATCAGCATGCAAGCTTCGATATAAGTATCAGCTGCATGGTACTGACCGCCCACCCAGAAGGTTAATCGTCAGGATAGATATTCATGAAGGCTTTCAATGCGCCGCTTGCGGTATACGGATCGAGGAACGGAACATATTCGAATGCGACCGCAGGTGTTTGTCTATTGTTTGGGCCACATTGACGCCACACATCAACATAGCAGCCCCAAGACGAAATAAGCCACAGCACCGCGGCCGACCGGAGCTCGACGATAGTTTTCTATGAGTCTCTGGAAGAAGAGTTGTAAGTTGCGTAGAAAAGCGACATCAGACGACCGTGAGCTGTTGAAAGCGGTTGGTACACGGTATTCAAGAGTCGATTCCCAGAACAGGTGCAGCCATTCATCACCGGGGCAAACCAAGAATAAATTGACTGCAAGCTGCAGACGACCGAACAAGAAAGCGAGCAAGTTACACCGCGCGTCGGGATTCAGGAGGAGGCTGTTCGATGTGGTGGTCGACGACGAGAGCGGGTGCGCGTCACCAGGCGCGACATCGAGAATTCCCTCGCTCCGATTGGCCACGGGACTTCCCGGTACCCCCAAGCCAAGGTTTCGCTCATCGTCTGAGACAGCGCACAACCTCTCTACCTCACCACCACCGACGATGTTGAAGGCTTCGCGGGCAGCTAGTATGCTTTTTTCAGTGCCTTATACGACTTTTTGCTCATTGGCGTTAATGTCGCTTCCGCAGGAGTCTCATCACGCTCGCTGAAGCCAGCTCAACGACGCGGACTTGCCACCGTCGCCGATACTCCTGTCAGACGCTATGGAGGTCTGAAGGACCAAGACCGTATTTTTACCAATGCTTACTGCAAACATGACCATGGTCTGAAGGGTGCTCAGGTGCGTTTTATCTTTGGTTGGTGTTGAACGATATGCTGACCAGACCTAATCAATACATGTTATGTAGTCCCGCGGCGACTGGCACCGGACGAAGGACATTCTCTTGAAGGGCGACTCGTGGATTATTCAGACTATGAAGGATTCCGGTCTTCGAGGTCGTGGAGGAGCTGGTTTCCCCAGTGGTTTGAAGTGGAGTTTTATGAACAAGCCAGGTTGGGAGAAGGACAAGCGGTGCGTAATTTCTTGCTTAACCCGCTTTACGTTCCCTGCTGCTGGTCGGTACTTGTCAGCACAAGCACTGTAACGTGCAGCGACGTACACTTTGCTGGCCCGGTCACTGCTTGGTACATGTAACGCTGTAACGTCTAAGCAAGATAGGGCCTGCAACAGTCTTCCTATAATCGTATCCTCGCTGTTCGTGCTCATTGTTCGGCTCCGTCGCTGGAGGGTGGGCACATAGCTTGTTGGTCGAATGATTCATGACCACTGTGCCATTCCGGCAGCCAATCGTTTACACCCGCCTTATCCCCAGCTCCGTGCTCCGTACTCTTCGAGACCAGCACACTGATCATTATTTTCGTAGACCTCGCTACCTCGTTGTCAACGCTGATGAAGGAGAACCCGGAACTTGCAAGGACCGCGAAATCCTGCGTGGCGACCCCCACAAACTGATCGAAGGCTGCCTCGTCGCCGGCCGCGCCATGAACGCCACCGCCGCCTACATCTACATCCGTGGTGAATTCTACCAAGAAGCCGCCCACGTCCAACAAGCCATCAACGAAGCCTACGCTGCCGGTCTCATCGGCAAGGACGCCTGCGGTTCCGGCTACGCCTTCGACGTCTACCTCCATCGCGGAGCCGGCGCCTACATCTGTGGCGAGGAGACGGCGCTGATCGAGTCTATCGAGGGCAAACAGGGCAAGCCGAGACTGAAGCCTCCGTTCCCGGCGGATGTGGGGCTGTTTGGGTGCCCGAGTACGGTGGCGAATGTGGAGACGGTGAGTGTGGCGCCGACGATTTGTAGGAGGGGCGGGAGCTGGTTCGCGAGCTTCGGGAGGGAGAGGAATCAGGGAACGAAGTTGTTCTGTATTTCGGGTCATGTGAATAACCCGTGTGTGGTGGAGGAGGAGATGTCGATTCCGTTGAAGGATTTGTTGGAGAAGCATTGTGGTGGCGTGAGGGGTGGGTGGGATAATTTGTTGGGGATTGTGCCCGGTGGAAGTTCCGTGCCTATCTTGACGAAGAAGCAGAGTGGTGAGGTTTTGTGAGTAACGTCTCTTCCTCGCAGAATCTTAATGTATGAAACTGACGAATGGTTTGTGGGTAGGATGGACTACGACTCGCTCAAGGATGCTGGTTCCGGTCTCGGAACAGGTGCGGTCATCGTCATGGACAAGTCAACAGACATCGTCAAGGCTATCGCCCGTTTCTCTTCCGTGCGTTTCCCCCCCAAAGTCCTCGTTTCTTGCATCGTCCACTAACGCACGATACTATCTAGTTCTACAAACACGAGTCATGCGGCCAGTGCACGCCTTGCAGAGAGGGTACTACCTGGATGATGAACATGATGAACCGTTTCGTCGAAGGGCGTGGCCACCAACGGGAGATCGACATGCTTCTCGAGCTCACGTACGTTTCATTTCCTTTCCCGTCTCTCTCGCTCTCTCACTCCCTCGTCCCCTCCTTCCCTGCATACGAATGCTTACCAACTGCCACCCACAACAGCAAACAAGTCGAAGGCCGCACGATCTGCGCCCTCGGCGATGCCGCCGCCTGGCCCATCCAAGGCCTCATGCGCGCCTTCCGCCCCGAAGTCGAGCGCCGGATTGCAGAGTTCCGGGCGAGGGAGGGCGCAGTCATGTTTGGCGGCAAGATGGTGAAGGATATCGACCCGACGTTGGCGGTGCCGGATAATTTGGGGGCACATTTGAAGGAGGTTGGGGCGCCGGCGGGGGTTTAAGCGTGAGGGAGGGAGGACGATAAAACGGGGGATTTTAGTTTACTCTGACTGAGCGTTTCTCGATTTGTCGTCTGGTGCATCACATTTTTATGGTTCGTTCATCATCCATGAGAGCCTAAGACCGTTGCACAAAGCTATATATGCCGTCGAGACGCTGGGTGTACTGAAATGAGCTCGAGGATAGAGGTGCCTTACTTGGGCTGTCAAGCGTTCTATAAACCATCACGACCATCAAATAGATAATTTGAACATAGATAAAATATAAGTAAGCAGGGCCACCTTCAACGGTAAAGTTCAACTGCCCACGCGAGAGTTTGCCAACTGCTGCAAAAGCGACTTCATGGGGTCCTTCCCATTACTATCATCCGGCGCCAGCGCGATCAACGCATCCGTCCACGCCTCCATCGCGGCCTTATCCTCATGAAGTTTCGCACACCGCGCCATCCACTCATCGTTCCTCTCCCTCTGCTTCCTCTCCATCTCCCGCTGAAGCTCCTCTGTCCAGTTCGGGTCCTCTTCAGCTCTGCGTGCTTCCTCTGCGCACTCGTAGGTGTTGGCCATTCCGGCGTCGATGAGGGCTTGGCTCTCTTCTTCCAGTCTTTGTAGCTCCTTGGCGCGTTCTTCGTGTTCGAGGCGCATCTTCTTGACGTGGTCGGATAGGTCTCGAGAGGTTACGAGTTCGCGGGGCTTTTCGGGCGTTGATGTGGATTGTGAAGCACCGTCGTGGGAGTCCCCAGCGGATGTATCGTCGAGAAACCGTTTGGGGTAGGTGATGTAGGCAAAGGCGCCAGCTTCACGAGTGTTGATGGCCTTGAACCCACAGATCAGACGATGGTCCATCCAATCTCTGCGGAAAAGTAAATTTCGGAACGAATCAACGACGACCGGCAGGAATAGAGAAGAAAGGATAAAGACTCTTACAATTTTTGACACTCTGGACCACAATACCCTGCTTCTGCACAGTCCTTGCACTTCGCTTCTCTCCGCTTACTACATCCCCTCCGACTGCACTCTTTCTGCGGCTTCACCTTCTTCTCCAGCGCGTGCATCATCATCCACCCCGTCGCGGCTGCGTCTCGACGAGTCATATTCCGGCTATTGATGAAGGTGGGAGTATGGTCGGCCAGGCCATTGGGTAAAGGTCCGTGGGCGATGTCGAGGAGGGTACGTAGGGTTCGAACACGGGGGAACTGGGAGTGGAGCACTGGGCGGAGAGAAGGGTCTTTTTCTAGGGCAGCGGAGAATTCGCTGAACAGATTGCCGACCGAGGCTAACAATCATACGTTAGCACGGGAAGTAGGTTAGGAAAGACGGGAAGGAGAGAGGGCGAAAAATGCTCACCAGCGACCTTAGGCATCTGTTTTATCTGAGGCAGAACTTCGTCCAGTACGTCGAAAAGCTTTGCACGGACTAGCAGCTTTACGAAGTCGGAGGCCTCTTTGGGAAAATGTGCGCAGCCAGTTTCCAAGACCAACCCGAGTAGCCTGAAAACGTTCATGAACACTAGGTCGCGCACTTCCTTGTCGGCAGCTGAAGCCATGGCACTTTCGGGATCCGACGATTCTTGGGATGAAGCGTCAGCCGTCTCCTCGTCTCCGACGGCTTTGAGCACCCCCAACATACTCTTCCAAAACACCTTATGACATAGTAACGGTTTGAAGAACGCCGGGGAAGGCTTCGGTTTCGCTTCAGCGGCGTTCGAAGTAATCGCGAAGACAGCTCTGACGGCGAAACCACATTGCGTCCTGTTGATCCATCCGTATAGGTTACTCACCCCCGTGAAAAACAAGGATGCTGAGCTCTTCGTCGATTGGAGGATACGGGCGGTAGCTGCTGGCGGTTTTGGGTGAGACCGTCTGTAAAGGGCTAATGACGTATCGGGTGAAGGGTCTATCATGTCCATGATCGTTGCAACTGTGGTGATGAAGTCGCTATCGGCGGTCGACAATACCCAGTAGCGCGCGAGTAGTGAGATGGTGAGGTCGTTTTCGCGGTCGATAATGCTACAGAGGTCGAGTATCATTCTGAGCTATCCGTAGCAGCGGATATAGGGCCAGAAGATGGGAGAGAGATAATGCGTACCTCAGAAACGAGGGATCTGCATTAAGCATGCTTCGAGTCAAAGCGGCAAACATAGTGCGTTCCATGTATTCAATACCGTCGAGAGATTGTTGAGGGTCGGTCCATAACTACCCGTGCACATTGATAGCGTTAGACTGTGTATAACAATGTGAAAAACGACAAGCGTACGCGGATTGTGATAGCTGTCCAATTCTTCTTGACGGTGGAAATGAATAACTTAGTGGTGGCACTACTGAGAGATTGACTCAGATTCATGCTGCTCTCGCTCAAGACCCTCAGTGCAGGGTACCATGAGGACAGGACCTATATGTATGGGTCAATATACAGGAGCGAATAATGCGTGTCGAGAGATGTAGGCACACTCGATACGCAAGGAGCTGACTTACACCTGTGTTTTCCTCGTGAGCAGAAACTGATGGATCCTGGAAGCTTGGAATGTCGAGAAGAGCATGACATAGTGTTTCTACGATGCCGCCTCGCACGAGACGTTGCCACTGGTTCCCCCCGGTTGCTTCCGCTGCTTGAAGACGAATAGCTTCGAGTGCAGGGAATATGTCCTTTAGGGTAAATGTTTGTTTAAATCAGCGATAAAGATGGATTGGTGCAGAAGGTGACACAGAAACATACCATGTGCACATCTCCAGAGGCATTTCTTGAACCGAGTGCCCCGAGACGCAGGACATTGACAATGCGAGTACAATTACTAGGCTCTGCGACTAAGCTCTTCCACTTCTCGAGGTTGTCCATCCTGTACGTCTTGATATCGGAGAAAGACATGTTTCGAAGGGAATCCTAGCCTTGTCTACGATAATGAACTAAGAGAGAGCCGTACTGAACGAAGACAAGGGAACGGAGTGCAATGGCAGGACGAATGCGGCGACTTGGAATGGGTCGAGCGGAGCGCAAAAAAAGCGATTTCAATTTTCGGGAGCTGCCGCGTTCAGGGGTTGGCAGCGCCACTGACACAAAGTAAAATAGGAGTACACCACATAATTGGCCGACCTAAAAGAGTAAAAAAACGAGAAGCGGACATACTACCACTATATCATACATGAAATCCACATTCTGTCTCCTGCGGACCCAAAATTCCAGGAAAAGATGCGATGGATGTGACACCCCTGCAAGCGCATTCATTGTCCTATCAGCGCACTCGTTGTCCTGCATACCCTATTTAGCCGCCCCCTTCATGCCACCCATTTGAACTCTACACTCCCTCACTCAGTTGATAGGTTGGTCTTGCTAGGAACTCTTGGTAAGCCCTTGTTCCATGGTGCATCCTCCTGCCTTGGATCGGCTGCGTCCTCTGGCGCCTCGGTGAAGGCCACACTGTATCGCTTCGGAACAGAAGGCCTGCTCGAGTGCGACATCGTACTTCTAGCTCCACTTGACAGACTGGCGAGCTGTACTGAATGGCTTAGCTCTTGGCGCAGTCCATCACGAGAGTTAAGCCTAGCATGATCAGAGAGGTGTCAGCCCCCGAGAGAGCGAGTGTGGCGAGAGCTATAAACGTACGTGGATATGAACGAGCAAGGGTAGACTGTAGAAAGCTGTGATCAGCTTAATGTCGCGCTAGTAGTAGACGTGAATGGACTTGCGTCGGGCAAGTATGAAGAAGAAAGGCGAGTAAACAAGGTTGGAAGGTAAGGTCAAGAACTATGAATATTTCCCCGCGTCAGTCGAGTTGGCGGGAATCATGAAACAAGCCCTTACTGTGATCAGGGCTAGGCTCGCAAATACTCTGGATGAACGAAGGATATATTAGCCACCGTTGAATGACAGCATGTTCATTGCTGAGGAGACATACGTGGTGAGCAGGCCTGACCGTTCGTTGGGAGAGTTCAATAAGTGCGCAAAGGTATACTTTGGTGATACGTACAGGTGTTCAAGGAGTAAGTTATCATCCGGGTCAAAATCTTGTTCGTGCTATATGAGCAATTCCGCGATGTCAGATATGTAAGCATTCGAGGAAGACGTCTTGGACAGAGACTTACCCCGTGAATGTGCTTTTAGTCTTTTGGAGGTAATACATCATAGAACACATGATGATCACATCTCCCGTAAGTTCGAGCGAGATAATCGAGATAGTCCATTTCTGTAGTATCAAAAACCATGAGGTGGGCAGGAAACGAACTCATCGGATGCAGACACACCTTTCCGAGAACAGTTGCGGCTAGAAGCTCTTTTCCCCATCTAAAACATGGTTTATCGTCGAATAGAGGAGATGAAGGGTTGCTCAAATCTCAAAAGACAGCGCTTTACTTACACCGTAGTGACGAATACTATGAGGAAACGGTAACGATAAGAAATTTGTTAGCAGAACAGAGAGTGAATATGCTACTGACGAACGCTCGGTGCTTCAGTAATTGACGTCGATGAATGAGATTTGGAATCTATCAGCTGAAATTACCACTTGAAGCAAGGATGGGGAACTCACGTAGAGCAGCTATAGCAAGTATAGCCTAGAAATCATAACGACGTCAGCATGGTTCTTGCTCTTTTTGTCAAAGTCCATTCACTGACGACGACAAGGGGAATGACAAGGTTCTTTTTGCTGACTATACATGGTGAATATTAGCCAAACGTCGGGGGAGGCTAAAATCAATTGCGTGCTGACGATGATAAATTCTCCAGGCGAAGAAGCTGATGGAGATGTGTTTTGTAGATTAGATATTTGTGACGTGCCATAAACCGTCTTTCACTCACAGTTGGATCATTGTACCCATCAGTATCTACGACATCAATCAGTGAATGCTCAGCCGGAGGTTGATGATAAAGTACCTACAGTGATGGGAACCTCGATCTTTGGGCAACGGTCAGTGATATTGTGTCATGTCTGCTAAGCCGAAATGCGCACCAGTACGCTCCTGTGGTCCATGTGGGCTTCAGTACTTGTATCCCTGGACGACATCAGGACGTACCAGGTAGATTGCTGAAGAGCATCATAATCCCCAAAGTTGGTGATCGCGTAATGATAGAAGTATATTATGATCAATGCCTCATGAAATGCATCCAGCGACCTGAGCCCGAACTGAGTAATAGGTTTCACCCGCGCAGGAAGAGGGTCTACTTGCATTAAAGAAGCCACCTATAGTCAAGAGAATAACAGCATGAGCCTGATACCCTTTGAAAGTCGAAATGAACGGACCATTAACTTGAACGCGAGACGATCATTTTCAGAATACCGAGTGTAATACATGTACGCTTGAAGAGTTGTTATCCCGAATATACTATGAATATTCAGATTGCCACTGTCAGATGAGAATACACTCTTCATCAGCGACGACGTACATGGCCGAGAGCAAGATTCCGATGAACGTGATACCGAGCGTATCGTCTAGAGGAAAAAGACTCGGCATGGTAGTCAGGGTCAAAAAAAAAAAGATGCGAAGGGAGACGATTTGAGACCTGCTGTGTTATTCTCTGTCGACCTCGAAGGCTTTGTACCATCCACAACGGATCCACAAAACTGATGGAAATACTAGTGTGATATTATTGGACGGATGAGGCTCCCTGGATCATTTAGAATGTTCGCACAGCATCAGCGCCACGGACACGAAGGCTCTTCTCTTCACTGAAAAGCCACTTGATGATTCACGACAACGCTCGGCGGCCGAGAAAATTGAGGATACGTGCATACCCAAGGAGAGAGACGTTGCTGAGAATCACTGCAGAAGAAAGATCATCAAAACTAGGCACCTATCAAGGCGGGAGACGCAACGATTGGGGGAAAACATAGAATTTCCTTATACGGAGCGTAGGAATACATGGTGAGACCTGTCACCTCGGTAAGGGATTGGTAAGGGATGATGGCGTGGGTATTCACTGTCTTGTCCCTACCGTGAGGTCGCCGCGTGTAGTCCGATCCGGATCAAGGGCAGCTCGGTATCCCCGTTGCAGCAGAATCAGGAAAGACAGGATTTTGATCGGGTTCTGAGGCGGGAGTCAGGAACATACTGGAGTGTGAGAATGCAAAGACGTGAGTGTGGGACTTATACGACGATCACAGAGTTCTGCATGACATACCACTTTTGCACAGGCAGTCTCATGAAATCTACTCGGGCAGAAGGTCACTATCTATTAGGCAAATGAGATGGGATGACACGTACGGAGAACCGTTTTCACGATATTTCAGTACCTACGATATGTACCAGCCGTGTGATATCTGCATCAAGTATCATTTTTGGAAGTGCAGCGGAGACAACTTCGGTAAGAGTCAAGGCGAGTAATTCTACGGGAGTAAAATAAAGCACTGGGAACACGATCATCTCCATCTTGGACGCTCTCATTATAAGCGATGAAGAACGAGGCATGAGGGCGAAAGTTACGACGGCATTGGCGTTAGGCCGTTTGAGTAGAGAGAAGGCATGATTGTGCACATCATGAACAGGTCAAGACCCGATATGCAAGAAGTACGGGGCCTTCGCAAAGAAGAGTGAAAAAGCGGGAAAATAGTAGCACCAAAGCCACGAAAAGTCCAGCCGTGGGTTTGCAGTCATGATTATCCCCATGATGATTGACCGATCACATAGCTTTATGAAAGAGTTGGGGGCCCTTCAATGTAGATGATGAGAATGAAACGGATGCCATGCTCACCACACTCGGCACGTTATTGGAGGTTATTTACGCACACATGAGACGGGTGGCGAGCATTTGTTGGTTGTAAGTTATACGCATAAGCCCCTCGCGGTGTAGGGTTTCTAGTAACGACTCTACACTGGCAGGATCCTTCAACCGGATCGGTCACATACATTCGACGCCGTCCAGAAAAAGTTTGCGTGAGTCGAAACGAAGAGAGTACCAAGGATGTCCAGTGCTGTCGCTCGAGAGATAGCAGACCTTTGAGCTGACGGCAAGGCAGAGCAGCCGCCCCGAGATGCTGATCGTGACAGACAATCCACTAGCGCTGGGAGAGGTAGTGGTCAATACCGTTCTCTGTCCCCTGGTGGGATGAACGACTGAGACGGTGTGAGGTGGGACTACCGCTTCACCACCAATGACAACAAGGATGAAAGCAGAAAACGAAGAAGGCGAACAAATTTGAGCTGCCATAAAATTGTAGAGTTGTTTCGGGTGGTGCAGAAGTTGTGCAGAGGCGGGAAAATAATTCGAACTCCGCAGAGCCCGATTTCACCCGGCCGTCACCGAACTTGCCAAAGTCACGTTTGCCCTTGTGGGATCGCAAAAAATTGCAAAGTGCCTCGACGTTTGGCTCTTTGGTGGCCTCCATCGTAATGTGAAATGTCTGATGTACAAAAAGCATTGAAGAGCGGGACACAGGCGGAATGTCCCTTTGACACGGAAGACAAAAGACCTACATACGTCCAACATCATGTCTAACTGCCCGTCCATCCCTTCGGCTACATCAACCAGGGCCCAAAATTCACAGCAAGAGACAGTCAGCGATAACCACACACCACCACCGTAAACAGCTAGTTGAAGAAACGAACCTTAACCTCATCCCCAACCGTCCTCACAAACACGGCTGGCCTCTCCGTGTTACTCAATTTCTTCGCCTCCTCGTCCCCATTATCCCAGTTGTAACTTACCCCGATGGCAAGCTTGGTTCCGTCGCAATTGAAGTCGATGGCGGGTATGGCCGTGTTGTATCGTGGGTATTGACGGAGACGTTTTTTGACCTTATGGTCCCAAATAGAGACGGTTCCGTCTGATCCGGAAGATGCGAAGGTGTTGTATCTGAGACGGGTTCGGCAGAATGAGAGATATTTCGATGCCACTAGGAGGGGAACGAAAAAGAGAGGGAGACACGTACACTGGATGGAAGGCGAGAGAATTGACGGGATAGACGTGGTCTACGTCGTCGATCGTTTGTCGATGACATTTGAACGCATACTTTTTGCTCTGAACTTCTGGACTGGGATCAATGAACTCGACAGCTATCCGTCCCTCCACGCTCGCGGTTGCGAATCCTGTAAAATGCGCCACCGCCACACATGCCCACGAGAAGGTCAGTACCATCATTCAATGCTCCGCCATAACCTTTCCCAACCACCAGTGGTACCAGCTTCACAAAGAAAAAAAGGAACTCGCCTTGTCCGTCCGTCATACAAGCCAACGCCCTTGTCATATACTTCAAACTGCTCTCCCTCGTCTGCTCGGGCTGCTTCATATTCCGGATGTCGTAAATGTGGAACAGTCGACTGGCCATCGCGACGACGAGGCGGTTCTGCGCGAGGTCCATGAAGTAGACGCGCTCTGGGAGGTCGTGCTTGCTCTGTTCTGGTGTCGAGGCGCGTGGGTCCCAGAATCGAACAGTACGGTCCCAAGAGCCGGTGATGAGTTGGTCTGTAGTTTCGCAAAGTAACAAAAATGAGTATCGGTCAGTTAGAGTCAACGATTGGCGCAATAGCTGGAGAAGAATGCACTGGTTTCTGAGGAGAAGTTCATGCTGGATACTGAATCTGTGTGTTGACCCAGATGGTGAATCTTTTCCGTCTCAAGCTCAAGTCTGAACGCGACATGGCCAACACCCCTGTCAGCTGGAAACATACATGAAGAAATGAGTTTGGTACGTACTCTCTGACATGTGTCTCCAGCCCTCCGCTGAACGCTCTTGTCGCGTCAGGCGCCCAAGTCACTGCTAATACCGCCGCTCGATGGTCGAACTTGCATTTTTGCTCGTTAGCGGCAACATCGTAATAGCGTACTGTCTATTGCACAGTCAGAATGTATTCTCGCAGGATATTGTGAAGAAATGATAGGCGTACTGCATCCCAAGAGGCAACGAGAAGCTGGTTCGGGTCTTTTGGTGAGAAACGAACGGATGAGATGCCGTCAAATGGTGGCGAGGAGAGCTCGATTTGCTCTGTATGATCACAATAGTTCAGTAGAGTTTGAGGCCTTACCAAACGATGGACATACCAGACATCGAGTATCGAATACGAACAAGAACAGGGATGGGTAAGATATGGCGGTTGATGAGTGGCAAGAGCAAGGAAGACGCGGTTCGAACTTCGCCACAGCTGTCCATTTGATCTATGCCACGTGATCCGCAACTGCCGTCGACTCTGAGTCCGGATTCGGGATGGTGAGCCCGCACAAGCAACTTCCTTTCTCGGATGTGCCCCGCGCGTTGGCTCTCGGCCGCTTCCGATGTCCCGCCGCGCTCTCGACTTTGCATATCGCTCGACTTTGCCACAATTTAGCCTCGGCCACTCAGGCTCTTTATGAAATATGAGAAACATTTGATCCGTAGCATATTTTGTCCCTTTGAAACGAATTGAATACTTGTTGCTCCCTGACAAGCCTCAAAAAAGATGTCTACCACTACTCCCTCTGCCCAGCACAGCGTAAAGTCCAGCAAAAAGCCCAACAAAAAATCTCGCAAGGATCCCTTCATCATCGTGACACCCCTAGAGGCGAGCGGCGCCCATGTTGATCTTTCGTCGCGTCGCGTCGGCGCCCAAATCTATCTCGACCACCTTCGTCCCACAGAATGTCAACGCTCGGAGATTGAGCGTCTATACCTGGCGGGTCTCGCATTCGAACACCTCTATCGCTGTCTTGACCAGGATGACCAATTGAGCGCTGCAGCCCTCCTTGCCTCGTTGGGCTTGGACACGGACTCGCGGGAGTCACTGACGAACCGCTGGCATACGAGATGGAGCCAACCCAGTGGTCAGAACAAGGAAAAGACCTGGAGAGTCTTATATCAGTGGTGTGTGCAAACATAATCATGGCAAGACAGAATAGGTCAACTAACTGATTTACAGTGCATGCGGTTATAACCATTCCGCTGCAGGCACAAAGTCTCGAAAGAACCCGCTACCTTTCACAGAATGCCCCGCGCACGTTGAACTCACCTATGTTGCGGAGACCCAGAAGATCCTTCGTATACGTGGCTTGGTGGAACATAACAAACCGTGCTTAGATGCTGAGTACACTTCGATTCCCACCCGACCGCTTCATCCGTCCGTCTTCGCCGTCGCTCTCCGGCAGCTCGCCGAAGGAGTTAATTTGGACGGTATTATGGAGAAGAATAAGGCTATGTTCCGTCAGTCCTTGTACCCCGAACAGCCTTCAGATCTACGAAAGAGTGGTTCTGCTTACCGCTGGCTCATAAAGCGGCATGACACACGTTCGTTGTATCGTCAGTACAACCGCCTCCACGGTGTCAACGTGACAGAAGCGGCCCACATCAACGTGGACGAATGGCTGGACAAGGACTCACCGCGTTATAACGCGGATATCGCAGCCGCGGTATTCCACTATTCGGCTCGAGCGCAAGTGGGTGATCGCTTCGAGGTTTGCATTGCGACGAAGGCGATGAAGGAGGCGGCGTGGGCGCACGGGCACAAAAGTCAGATAATGCTAGATGGAACGTTCGGAGTCAGTGAGAAGAAACTACTTCTCTTTATACTGATGGGGCTGGACGAGAAACGGAGGGGCGAACCTTTGGCGCTGTTTCTATTCTCAGCTCCATCTGGAAATCGCCACACAGCCGCAGGTTACAATACCGAGATCCTCGCAAAGCTTCTTTCGAAGTGGCGTGGTACCCTCGGAAAGCGTAATGGTGAAGGATTTTCCCCAGCCGTCGCCATCACCGATACCGACCTCATGGAGCGAAACGCTCTCGCACAAGTCTTTCCAAATATATGGTTGCTGATCTGCAAGTTTCACCTCCGTCAGTCATGGCGAAACCACCGTAACAAGCTCTTACGAGGAAAATCACCTGTCCATATGTCTGTCAAGGCCCGCATGTCACGCGTCGAAGCGGAACTTGCATCCACAACGGACTTTAACCAGGCGAAGGAGCTGCTGGCGAAGGAGAGAGCTTTCCTGGAGGGGATGGAACAGGATCATCCGTCAGTTGCGAAAAATGGGTTGGACCATCTCACGTACCTTGGCGAGGGTTACTGGATGAAGGACGAATCCTTGTGGAGGAGCTGGTCGGAATACGGACGTCGATATGCCGCTGTTCTACTCGAATGCGAGATCGAGGGGGTACTCACCACGACGAACCATCTTGAGTCATTCAACGGTGTTCTAAAGCGACGACATCTCCGTCGTTGGCAGCGCGGTAACCGCCGTCTCCGAATCGACATCCTCATCAAACTCCTGATCCAGAAGATCTTACCGGCTATCTTCGAGCAGCGCACCCTCGAAAGGGAAGAGGACGCACGATGGGATCATCTTCTCCTTTCGCTTCCCGGTGGAGCCGCTCTCGTGAAAGGTCTTCGCGATAAGTCGCGTCAAGCATTCCTGCATCCGGTCGCATACCTATCCGTAGACGAAACTCGTCAGCAATCAGCTGTCGACCTTCTCCAACACGATCAAATCAGTCAGCCCACGTACGAAGAGCACACGCGCACCTTTCTTTTCTCGTGCTACTCTGCATACGCAACTATATACGACCTCCACCCGTCCTTGTACTCCATCACACTTTCTCTTGACGGATTCGCATCGTGCTCATGTCCTGACTTCGCACGCATTGGCGGAGCATGCAAGCATCTTCGTGCAGCGCTGCTCCGGTTGGACGCTTTCCGAGCTACGCACCCACACACGCCCATTGTCAGCTTACCAGCATCCGAAGAAGAAGCTCGAGCGCACCAAGCCGCGAACCTCTCAAGCAGATTGAAGGACTCTTCCGCACACGCAGCCCTTGCGGTCTCTCCTGCCGATGCATCAACATCCCCTGCTCGTGGTATTGATGCCTCAGTGATTGACGCCACAGCGCAAGAAGCCAACGATACCCTGTTTGAAGAGATAGAAGGAGACGAAGACGAGGGCGCAGACGAAGACGAAGAGGAGATTGAGAGCGATCTGGAGAGCGTGGCGACGGACGCTGGGGAAGAGGACGAGTTCTTATTCACGGCCCTCGATGAGCATGGGAACGCTCGCCGAGCCATCGAACAACAGACGCTGGCACGCGTTCTATTCGATCTCACGAGTGTGGCGCCAAGACTTGGTCAGCTGGGCGGGTACTTGAAGGAGTTAGAGGGGGAACTCTCACCGGACGACATGAAGAAAGCCGCGGACGCTCGAGAGCATATCACAATGCTTGCCGACCAGCTTGACAGGATCATGAAGATCAGTGCCACTAGCGACAAAGCTGAGGCCTCCAGTTTGCCTTTAGCGTTGCCAGAAAAGCCGGTTCTGAGTGCACCAGTATTCCCTGGAGGTAGAGACAGCCATAGTATAACGGACACCGGTATAGACGGTCGCCACAGTGGCCCAAAGCCGTCAGGTACGGAGCGACTTCGACGGAAACGTGCCGCACTAGAGCCTCCATCACCGGAGAAGGGATCCGCGAAGAGGCATCAGTCGTATTCAAAGGACTAGAGTACATTTACCATTGCTTTCAGCTTTACACCAGTAGAATACAAAAGCAAGAAGATATATAATGGTGCAAGCAAAGAGAGTGAGCGGCCGAGGCTAAATTGTGGCTAAGTCGAGCGATATGCAAAGTCGAGAGCGCGACGGGACATCGGAAGCGGCCGAGAGCCAACGCGCGGGGCACATCCGAGAAAGGAAGTTGCTTGTGCGGGCTCACCATCCCCGGATTCGGCTCTGAGCGCCTTTGTCTCGACCAACACGAATCAATCCTCAGGTATGTTATTTCTTGTACATAGCTTGCAGGCACCAGAATGGCTCATCATCGACCGCTGTCGTCTATTTTCCTCCATGATCCCCATACACAAGCTCTAAACACCCTCCGCCACAATGGCTTCGAGCTGCCTCTATCCGTATCCTCGAATTCCGGACGATATCCTACGCTTGATCTTTCACGATGTTGCACCATTGGCGGCTGCAGCAGAGATTCCAGTTAGCATTGATGGTCATTGGCAAACCTATCAACGAACAAGTGATATCAATGACATTCGGTCACTCATCCATGTCTCGCAGGTCTGCCAGCAGTGGCGCGCAGTGGCTCTTGGTGCCGCCAACCTGTGGTCGAACATCTGGGTAGAAAATGACCACTGGCGCTACGAAATGCTTACCCGCACTCGCGACGCACCTCTTATGCTTATACATCTCGATGACAAAAAAGGCATATCGGCAATGATGCCTCTTATCTCCCTTTTACATCGTGTTAAATACTTGCGTCTGAGAGTCAAGCGAGGCGATACACCGACCCTCTTCAACGGTCCATTCTCTCACTCTGCCCCTCTCCTAGAGACATTCAGTCTTAAACTATGTAACCCATCGCCAGTCCTCGATATCCCCCGCAATCTGTTTGCCTCAGACACACCCAGACTCCGTTCTCTCTGTATCGAAGGCCGGTTATCTTCCAAGAACCTTCTTCAGTCACGCATTCTGGATAATCTGACGGAGTTAAGACTGTCACGCCCGGGATGTTCCACTGGCTTGGACATTGTCTGGTCCGCGATCTACCGCATCCGCAATCGGCTAGAAACACTTGTCCTTCACAATGTCCTCCCATACTTCTCTTCCGATCCCTCCTGGCCCCTAGACGCTGGGAGAGCGTCTGTCATCGACCTTCCGAAACTCACCCACCTCGAAATCAGCGCACAAAGTCACGCTTGTGCATCTTTCACGAAACAACTCAAGATTTCTCCGCACGCCAAAGTCTTCTACGCGATCACGCACACCGAAGATGTAGACGGCCGAGCTGTCGCGGAATACTTCCCATCGATGCTACATCCTATACCGAGGATGTCAACTATTCAACTACGTTCCCTCTTCTTCTCTGTGGGTTGCGCGGAGGACTACCCCGATGTCCCTGTTTTCAAATGTGGCGCTGGGCGTCTTGTTGGCCCCCTTCGTGATGAGCCGAAGTCGTTCGCCACTGGAACCCAACTAACCATCCATTTCGACCTAGTAGATCTTGCACCGGCAGAGGACGAATTCACCATCGTGTATGCCATATGTCATTGTCTATATCTTGACTCCGTCCAAGACGTCGTTCTCCAGCAAGTTGGCCTCGCCGAACCGAATCGTTGGATCAAGCTTCTGGGACGATTGACAGGTGTTGAGAGGTTGGTACTTCGGTCGAAGGAGTCTCTGCCGATCCTCGCTCTTTTAGCAGGAGTACTCTCGTCTTCAGCCGCATCTGAAGAGTGGCTCGAGACATTCGGCGCAACATGCCCGCTCCCGCGCCTGACCACCCTCTATCTCCTCTCGTGGGACTTTCGAGAAACCCACGTCGGGAACCCCTTACCTCTTGAATCGATGAATGCAGCTACGGTCATCGTGGGCGATGAGGACTTACTCGGCGAAGGCGAAGGCGAGGTTGGTATACCTGCACTTCTTCTAGATGTCCTTCGTAGGCTCGCGAGCCAATCGGACCCACCTCATCATAGAACTGGAGGGGGCTTGGCGGAGCTGCAATTCGTCGACTGTCATATTACGGAGACTCAGGTGCAGGCGTTCGAGGGTGTTGTTTCGAAGGTTTGTCTGGACGGAGAGGTGTCAGATTGATTACCACGGGCGCAGCTAGGCCTCGACGCCAGGCAATAATGAGAATGCCTTTCGCTCGGTGTATATGCAGAAGGGACCGGTCGGTGATTACCTATGTGAGGGAGGTCATTTGTCCCCGTAACATCCCGTTCCGTTATTGCAGATACAACCCAGTCCTTTCAGGTATTTTGGGAAAATGACGACGTTAATTGGAGAAAGAACTGGTCATACGGGCCTCTTTGGACGTCATGGGCAGGTTATCAATACAGGTACGGTATCTTGGAGAGGTGATCAAGACAAGTAAGGAGGACGGCAACAAAAAACCGAAGAGGCTACAAGACAATGATTGATACAGCTGATTTCGTAGAGTACAAGGTACAAATTCCCAAACAATCGCAGACACGCCGTATCTTCGAATGGGGGAAAACGAAGGGAAACGTCGACGTCGTGGCGTCGGTCTCGCCGCAAAACATCGCAAGCACAAGGTCCAAGAAAAGTAACAGCAACGTCAAACGAATACTAAATGCGCTACCTTTTGAGCAGCACACCAACGGAAATAGCAACGTCGCCCTGCTTCGGACGCCATGCTTCAGTGCGAAATCGTAGTCCAGGTGTCCATCGTCAACACACGAATACCTTCTCAACGGCTCTCTCCAACGTCTCAATCTGCCCTCCCGCCACTTGACATCCTACCAGGCGCAACTCTCTCAACCCAAACCCAGTGTCGTCGGCCTCCGCGCTCCGTCGATCTACGAGCGTGCGGAGGCAGTCCAACAGGACCGAAGGTACACCGTCTTGGAAATCCCACTTGGCGAGGACAAGGGTGGTCAGGCGTGGAAGCAAGCCTTCCGGATATGACGGATGCAGTCGCTCTTTGATAGACGAAGCCGAATCGAGCCCAGAGATGAACGCGAGTATGGGTAAGGGGTCCTTCCATCCCAAAATCAACGTCTCCAGGCTTCCCAGCCGTCCCAACAGCTTCCCCCATCGCTCTGGTTGTGCGACCCCACGTTGGACGATCACGAAGTCCTGTACATGATCCAGAACGAGATGATCACATATGAGGGAGTGAAGCGTAAGGTCGTCTTCTGGGCGGTCGGCTTCGTAACGAATGTATGTTTCTGACAGGTCGAATGCGATGGTGAACTGGGCACCGGTGGCGAACACCTTGTCCGAGGACTGGGGGACACCGAGGAAGCGACTGGTGCCACATTTGATAGTGGGGCAATTGTGATAGGAGGAGACAAAGACGTATAGCGATTTCAGGGGCAGGGAAGAGATGTTCGGCATGGGCTGGAGCAAGCGCGGGGCATATTCCGACGCCTTTCTATCGAGCATTTCTTCGTGTACGACGTCGCAGAAAACGACAGCATCGGGGGAGACTTTGATGCGCCTAGCGAACCAGCAGCACCCCCGGATTTGGCCTGAAATTTCGAGATGGGTAAGGTTCGGGAGCTCAATAACGCACGCGTTCCCATTATCGAAAGGTACAAAACGCTTGCTGGGGATGAAGGGTAAGACGTCGTCTAGGACAAGGGTCTCGAGTTGATGACGGATGGGCGTGATAGCGCGCCAGATGTCGTCGAATGTTTCCTGACATCTCCCCGTCTGAGAGAGTCTCAACTCCGTTAAGTTCCGGAGAATCGGTGATCGAAGGAGGTTGTCGAACCCAAACACGCCTTGAATGCATAGTGAGCGAAGGAGAGGGGCATCTCTGCCCAGAAAGTCGAATAGGATCTCGACGAATACGGCGTTGCGGAGATCCGGATATGGGGGAAGTCGGAGGTGAAGACGCGATAGAAGAGGCGTAGGATGAGATGGTGCGCCGTTGAGGAGCCCCTCCATGTCGCAAGCCCTAACATTTACTCAGAGGTATTCAACACGATATGAAAGAGAAGCGAGAGTCATCAAGGTTGATATGTTTGCTTCGGGGTGAGACCCGAACAAGAGACAAAGGTGCTTGGCGAGTGCGGGTCAACATTTCGTTCCGCCAATGCGTGTTTTTAAGCCAAAGGTTCGACCACATTTTGGGGTTGTCCAGTGCGACTGAGCGCCATAGTTGACAGACCTGCGAAGTGCGAATGGCTGATTAGATGTCGTGGAGATCTTTTTCTCGGTTGTAGACCATGGAGGTTCTGTAAAATCCACGGGGATTTCTCCAGCTCCGAGTGGAGGTGCAACATGACGGAAGATTAACGAGAGAATCTCAGGTGGAAGTGAGGAAATCTAGGCAGTCGAGGTCACTTCGGACCACGGAAATTTTTATTCTCTGTCAGCGGTAGACTCCCACATCCCTTGAGAGGGACATAATTCAGACCACTGTAGGCTGACGAGGTACATGCAACCATAGTCAGTGAAGAGAGCCAAAGAAGACGACGCGTGTTAGAATTTAGAACTGTGGGATGCTGACGTAAGGAACACGCTTTACGTCAGCGTCGCGTTACAGCGCGTACTGGACGCGTCTTTTCTTTTCGTCTTCTTTACTCTCATCTATTTTACACTCCCTACTTGTCCGTCCCCCCAATAGAGGGCCGAAATAATACTCCATTTACCCACCGGTACGAAAATGCTATCGGAACCAACTCATACAACACCAGAGGGAAATTCTCCTGTCCCGGTTCAGTGTACGCAGTCGGGCTCTAACGTGAAGGTACGAGGTGGCACGAGCGGAGACTAGCTTTGGAGCGACTAAGATATTTTGCTATAAATCATAGGATAATTCAGAAACTGATACCGACGCCACTCCTGGTAGCCGATCTGGAAGCAATGAAGATGTAAAGATGTCGATTGTGGAGGATACGGTGGAGGGCTCGAAGCAGATGGCCTATCCACCGGCAGCAGGCGAGAGTCAGGACTCACAGTCCCAGGAGATAACGAACACCGATGATATACTCGAGCATCATAGGTTGGGCTCTGAGGTCTGCAAGGAGCATGACAGCGAGGAAGAGGTTACCAAATCGCTAGTTAGGATGGAGGAGACAAGTAGCGAGATCCCCACGAGTGATGAACGTGTAGCTATACCAGGGACAAACGGAAAAACAGGGAACCCCCATTCAATGGCCGTCAGTCAATATTGATTTTGTTTGTGCTTCATCGGCCTATATTCGGTTTGCAGTCCTAGGAAGATGTTTTTGCTGACGAGATGGGTATTTCAGGCCTCTGGTTCGCTCGACTCACGGGGCAGAAAACGCAACGACCGAGACAGCGTAGTTGAAGTTCCTTCTGGGACTAAGCACGGTGATGCCCCAACTGCCAGTAACGATCCTCGTGATGGGCCACAGTCCGTCGACAGTGGCACCGAGGTTTGTCGTAGCTTGAACTCTGGATAGATCTGATGGCTTACAATTACGAATAAATGATCACTATAGGCTGTACTACCCGAAATCCCATTGGCGGTCACTGGCCAGGTTATCCGGGCAGTGGAGAACGAAAGTGTGGTGGAGAGTGCTCAGGATCCTTCCAAGACCCCTCGCAGCGAAGTAAGTTGCATTCGAAAGCCTAGTTCTCCAATTCGTACACTGATATATTCTGCGGCTTTCCACAGTCTCACAGCCACCATATTACTGCAAGGTCGGATGGTGATGTGCCTATGCAGGGTGTAGTCGCCACAACGGGTCTCGATACACAGCCCACAGCACAAGTTATCGCCGCCGTCGAAGGCTCCTCCGGCTCCACTCACGCCCCAGATCGAGTGCAATTGACTGAAGAGGTCGTGGAAATTTCGTCTGACGATAGCAAAGATGAGGATGAGGAAGATTCAGAAGAAGAGTCGGATTACGAACGTCTGGAGGAGTGCATCAAGGTTAGTTCTATTCTGTGATACCTATTAGGTATGTTCTCATGCTTTTATACGTATAGGACGAGCTCCGCGCGGTCCTGGATTCCTCCTTCAGTGCCTCACCCGGTACATTCGCCTCCATGACCTCCTATACTACGCCTCCAAATCCCGCCATATCCATCACCGGCTTCGGAACGCTCGGTCTCCCTCTGAGTGTCACAGAAGCCTCTCGCCTCCGCACAGTCTGCAATCGCGCACCGTTCGGAAAAGGGGAGCGAACGGTGGTGGATACTGAGGTCCGAGATACGTGGGAGCTGGAGCCCGACAAGGTTAAATTCGGGAATCCTGATTGGAATGGGTGGTTGAATGAGACGGTGGTAAGGAAGGTGTGTACCGATCTAGGTGTTCCGGCGGATGCGGTGCCAAGGATGGAGTTGTATAAGATGCTACTCTATGAGACGGGCTCACAGTACGTCCATTCTGTCACTGGTCAAAGACTCTGCTGATTACCTTCTCTAGCTTTCACGCACACCAAGAGTACGTGCCACAAATAGCTCTGATATCATTCGTCATGACCTCTCAATAACTTATCGTCATTCAGCACCGAAAAATCTAACGGAATGTTCGCCACTATCGTCATCGTCCTACCATCGCAATTTCAAGGCGGCGAAGTCCACATCTCTCACGGCAAGAAAAGCAAGGTGTTTGATCCTGCCCAAGGCAGTCTCTTCACGACCACAGCCCTATCCTGGTACACCGACGTCGTCCACGAAGTCAAACCTGTTACCTCAGGCTTCCGGCTTGCTCTTTCCTTCAACCTCATCCGAAATCCCAGCGCTCCTTATGTCCCCAAACCCCCTTCGCTCGATGGTCCTGTTGAAGATCTAGAACGCGTATTGAAGGCGTGGCGGCACGCTGAGATCGATGGCGAGGATCCTGTGACGGGCCAGGAGTTGCCCCAGAAGCTAGCGTATATCCTTGATCACCAGTATTCGCATGCGAACCTCTCATTCGACAAGCTCAAAGGTCGAGACCGGTCTATGGTCCTCAACCTGCGAGAAGTATGCGAACAGGAAGGGTTTCAACTCGGACTTGGGAGTCTCAAATTCACCCAGTCAGGAGAAGCGGAGGAAGATTATGGGGGCTATCGCGGATATGGTCGGTATGGGCGTGGACGGCAGTACGGATACCAGGGGGACGAGGGTGTAACGATGGGTGAGATCGAACATACGAGCTGCACGGTGCAGCTCATTTCTGGCCCAAACGGAGAGTGCCTTGGTAGGGAGGTGGCGTTGGAGATGGATGAACTCATGGTAGATGAGAATTATTTTGACGACGAAACACCAGATGACCAGGAGTATGAAGGCTATCAGGGAAATGTACGTCTCCTATCTTATTTCTCAGCGCCCGGACAGTCACTCATTTATCTTCTGTTCACACAGTGGGCAGGATCTTTGGAATACTGTACGCTCTGCGTCTATCTAAATTCAAATTGATCTTCTCTGACAGATGCATACCTTTGCATATCTTTCAGTCTACCGCCGAACCGTCCTTCTAATATGGCCAGATTCACAGAACGTCTCCGTTGTGACTTCAATGGGAGGTACAGCCGCCGCCATAGCCTCACTCCGCGCCAACAAATCTACTACACCGTCAAAGCATGACCTTGACCTAGTCGATATCGCTCTTTCCTCGGCTGCGATCTCAACAGAGACAGGACGCTTGGTAGCTGACTTGGCTGTCCGATGGCAAGACCCTGCACTGTGGCTTAGAGCAGTCAATTCGTGCAGAGCAGGGAGCAACGTCTCTGTCTTCGGTGCTACGAGGCTTGTGGCTGCATATGACAAGTTTGCGTTCCCATCTGTTGGGCCCGTGTACGTTCTACCTTTCTTGCTTCAATTTAACTGCGATGAACTGCTTACCTTGAATTGCTTTCAGACTCGACAATGTGATCTCCAACACGACTTCAACGACCGCTCGCCTGGACTTTATCTCAATTCTTCAGTCTCATCCTAAGGTCTCCATCCAACCGTTCTGGAATGCACCAGATGGATGGTTCGATGCAAAGAGCGTCCAGGTTTTGAGATCATTACGCCAGGTCGGAATCAACGACATCTCGTCCATCGTATCTGCGGCATCGACCCAAGGAGGGTGGGCTATCTTGAGAGACACGTCAGTTGTCTCTTTCTTCCGCATCCTTAAAACTGTTCTGAATACATTTGTCTGTGTAGGATCATACCGCAGCTCGTCGCCTTCAACCTTCCGCTGGATTGGTGGAAAACATTTATCCAACACATGCGCCAGTGGACGCAAGACCCTAGTCATAGCAACTTTCAAGGTTGGGTGGAGCCCGTCATCGCAGCCGCCGGACCAGTGTAAGTTTTTGAATTCTGTTGATTTCGATGTAAGACTTTACTTACAGCGCCCTAAGGTTCGAGAAAGCACTCCTTACGGCCGAGTCGAATGCTCACCGGTTCCAGATCATTGATCAACTTCAGCAAGCCATTCCTGACGGTTTTACGCCACCCTTCTCGACGTGGTTCGATAGCAAACGGGACCAGGCTCTCACGAATTTGAAAGCTGTGAACTCGAACGACATTCCTTACATTGTATCTGCTGCTTCGGCCTTAGGAGCTCTGCCCAAGCTACGAGACATGTACGTTGCATTTCGTTCGATTTAGGTCTTGTGTGAAACGCTCACCCTTTTGACGAATTTCCATCAGAGTTCTCCCTCAGTTCGTATCGTCCAATTTGTCTGCTGCGTTGTGGACGGATTTCATCGAGCATCTACATCTACGATCGCAAGGACAAGGTGGTGAAAGATTCGACGGTTGGTTTGATCCTGTTTTTGCAGTTGCCCGACCCGTGTAAGCAATGTCATTCTGTCACTCGAATACATAACTTACTAAATCGTCTTTAGATTCGAGAGTGCTCTTCTAGGCATGACTTCCAATGTTGGTCGATTCACTCTCATAGAGCAAATTGGACGGTTGGTACCTGGAAGTGATGCTCTGAAGACGTGGAGTAGCGATCAACGTTCATGGGCCGTACGATCGCTCGTGGCACCTAGAGAAGAGGACGTACCACTCTTCGTCAAATTGGTCACGGCCGACAAAGACTTTATGGCCAGTTAGTGAGTGCTTCGTTCGTTCGTTCGTTCGTTCGTTCGTTCGTTCGTTCGTTCGTTCGGCTGCGCTTTGTTAAGATAACTGTTCAGTTTGATCCCAAAGCTGTCACAAGAAACGGTCGAAATAGGTTTTTGGAACGAATTCATTGCACAGCTCATCGCAGAGGAGAAGAATGAATGTGTGGGGCTGCCTGTGAACTGGCGAGAGATGATCGTGCCGCTACTCGTGCAACCGTATGTCTCCGTTTCATGTCGAATGTTTGATAAAGCTCACTAGCTGGCACGACAGTATCGCACGCCTGCTCGCACCGTGTACGAGCAACCAGCAGCTCTTTGCTGTATTCGAGGGCGTCGCCACGCTCATGCGTGGACAGCCCGTCTTCGGCGATTTCATCGAAATTCAGAGGCGGGCAGCATTCGACAGGATCCAAAAGCCAACGAACAACGACGTCCCATGCTTCATGCTCGAGATGCAACGAGACCCCGCCTTCGGGCCAACAGTGTATGTCATTACGGATCCTCTCACCTATCTCTGCTGACCAAGGTTCGTGTTAGGCTATTTCCTAAGCTACGCAAGTTTGCGTGTGGTGTGGATTTCTGGAAACATTTCATTCGAACAATCCAGTCGCAACGAGCCTCACTTATGCAACACGGGTGGACGCATGACCCTTTCAAAACCTTCATCACAAACCTCGTCGACACCGCAATAATACAGACTCCCATCCAAGCTGCCGCTCCGCCACCGCCACCTCCTCCTACATACGGTTACGGTGGGAGATACGGGTTCAACGTACCGCCTGCAACGCCGGCAGTCGTCACTACCATGAGCGATCTACTCACTCTCTGCATAGAGACGAGCAACTTCCTTTCGTCTTCTCATCTATTCCACAAACTCTTCACCATCTGCGTCAGTCAGGACGCCATCCAACACACCCTGCTCCCTTTATTCCCCATCGTCGTGAAGCTCCTGCAGAAGCACCAACTCGCACTCGACACACCTCCATTCGATATCTTCTTCCGCGAGGCCATCAAGACCTACGCCACAGGCCTCCTCGGTCCCAAACCCTCCCCTACCAGTCGCGTCTGGAAGGGCGCCAAATCGACATGCACTTGCACCGACTGTCAAGAGGTCAACAGACTCATTGCCAAGCCGGACGCAAAAGTGGTGTGGCGAGCAGCTCAAGCCCGCAGGCAACATGTCGAACTCAAACTCCATGGCCTTCCCGGTCTCACACTCAACACCGTCCGACACGGCTCGCCACATGGACTGGAGATCACGAAGTCCGACGCATTCTTGGAGGCTGAAATTTGGAAGAAGAGGAGCGAAGAGGGTATAAAGCTCCTGATGAGTGTTGGGAACCAGGCGTTTTTGTCCAGGCTTTGGACCCACCATCCTGGAGGACTCGGCGCTGTTGTTCTTGCACTCAAAGGGTTATCGAACGCCCTGACTCTACCCACACCGGACGCACCTCCTGTGCCCCACCCTCAGCCTAATATAGCCACTCGTCCAGATCAACCTTCAGCCAATACTGCTCCGGTCCCCGTCTCTTCAACCTCGACGGCCACCCCCACGGTTGCTTCCCCACAAGCCCTTCAGGCGGGAAATACTGTGGCCCGTGTTGCGCCTTCACACCCAGTCCCTAGTTCCTCAAACGCTCATCCTGCCATGCCCATCGCTGCATCGAATGTACAACGACAGCCCTCGGCTTCGAATCAACCCACGTCCAAGACGGTCCCTACCAAGCGAAAAGCCAACATTCAGAACGTGGACATCGACCTTACGCTTGATTCAGATTGAGTGGTTGGAAGTGTGGCGGAGTGGGTGGTGGTGCTGGTGGTAGGCAAGGGCAGAGTTGTACATGACTTATCTTCGTATCCTGCTCCATTCCTCTTTCGTGCCCTCGACGTCGTACTAGATTTTTATGCTTAATGTCCTATAATGGTTGCTGAACGTATACAACTATATTATCAATTGTTCCTATCACAATCAAGGGAGGGAGACTCCGTCACTACATAGCGAAAGGGGTGACGCGTATCAAGTCGTAGAAAGTATGCGGGCGTGTATGGTTGGATATGTGATTATTAGGGGTTAAGACTGCAATAAGTGTGCGTGCGAGGAAGTAATGACAACATTGTGAATGAACCAGAGAATTGAACGGGCTACTGGAAGAGAAGGAAATGCCGAATAATGAAAGAAATGCCGAGTATGAAGGAAATGCCGGACGGGAAGGAAATGCCGAGTGTGAAAGAAATACAGAGCAGCGACGAAGAAAACATGGAGGAATAAGGCGAATTATGAGAGAGCAATGTCAAAGTGAAGCCTAGGGTATACAACGAAGATAGATGAAAGTGGTACGAGACATAAAGCGATACAAAAGCAGCAAAAATCAGAGAAACTTGTCCCATGTGTCCGAGATAGACCGTCTCAACTACATATTCTTGATGAGACGGGGCACGAAGCCAAAGGTCGAAGGACCGCGAACATCGCGACGGCCCACGATGAAAATTTCATCGCCGCGCTGGAACGGTAGGTCCTATGAGCATGGGTGCAAGGCGTCTTTGTAGCAGAAGAAAGCTCACCAAGGGCGCAAGGCTCCCGATCTGAATGCACCAACCATCGGTCAGATTCCGGACCATCTCCGAAGGACAAGTCAAGACACCCACCTGCGGCGTTTGCACATCAAACTCGAGATCCTCTTTCATCTTCTCGATCTGTTTCTTGGTATACTTCGCGCCATGTTGTTTGATGAAGCGGATGGCGAATCTTTGTTTGGCGAATGCGTCTTGCCACAGATGGTCGCTGGTATGAATGAATAACAGCGTGCATCAATATGCGATATATGATAGTCCAGATTGGAGGGCTCACCTTAGTTTGAGGTGCATATGCTCCACGGAAATGGAAGGCGTGTTCTCTACCATAACGCAAAAGTCTAACTAGTTGTACAACGAGTATCATATGTGGAGCTGTACTCACCCAGAATATTGATCAAAGCCTGAGAAAAATGACATCAGGCTAATCACGGGGAGTATGATTGTGAATGGAGCCCACCTTCGTCATGGAGCCGTTAGAGGACACGCTAGATGCAGAGTGGATAGACTCAGAACCATCTCCGTCGAAATCGACCTCCCAACTTCGCTGGTGATCCTCGCAAGCAGAGATAGATATCTGAGGATGAACAATAACCAAGCGTAAAGTTCGGCGTCTGGAGGGATAGAGGGTCAGTGGACATACGACGGTGGGTACGGCCTTGATCTCCAATCGACAACGGGGACCACATTTATGGGTAGCTGAAGCCGGGTGTGCGACGGACACGGACTGACGGATCTTGGTGTAAGGCATGATTGCAGACGACTTGACGCGGCTTCTCGCTGACTTCATCATCATGATCGCCCTCACGACCGCCTTAAACTTGGTGAATTTCGCCTTCACGATGGGCTTGCCGCGCTGCTTGAGTTCGGCTTCGGTGGCCACGGTGCGAGCTCGGCGGGTAGAGCGCGTTCGCAAAGCCATGACGGAGAGCTCGTCCTCTGGGCTAGTAGGGGCGACGGCTGGTAGAAAGGCATAGTAAGTAAACTGCATAGTCCAGAGGGTATGCAAGGTGTAGACACGTACGCAGTGAATCGCGCCGTTCTGCCCGAAAGGAGTTGCAGCGGTAGTGTGGAAGATCGAGCATGGTCCCCGAATGACAAGAATCGAAAATTGCCTAAGATGAATGGTCATTACGGGCGCGATAATGTCAAATAAGGTCAACGCACGGTCAATCTGCTTCCAGTTGGCAAGGGGTCAACCAGGTGCTTTCGAAGATCCTGTGTGCTCGTTAGCCTCAGACAGTCTAAATCCGTAAGAGTGCGCTACTCACATCATCCACGATTTGTTGGAAGTCGGAGGATATCAGGACTGCGTATAACCTAGAGTCAAATTACGGATACAAACTATCCAGGTAACCGCTCACTTTCATCCATCCCGTCCTCTTCATGAGAGGGTGGACGAAATACGCCACAGTCACAGTGGCCAGGCACACTATAATCGCCCAACTTGCGCCATGTTGTGCCGGCGGCACACCACAGTGGCGTACATGCATTATCGTCCTTTAGCGTTTACCCCGCTGTGTAACTAGTGTACGGGTATATAAACCACTTATCCAAGTAATGTATATATATGTTTTCTGAGTTACATATGCGCCATTTACAGCACAATGAGAGTTGTGCTCGAGCTGGAAGGAGGCCTTAGATCGAGCCCGGTCCGGATATCCGCCGTGCCGCTTACATACCAGAGTCAAAACGACAGACCCATCGTAAAGAAAGAGTTATTGCTAGCGCTTTCCGGCCTCCTTTATTCTCATAAATGTTCATGGGTACTCGCAAGGCTGTATATGTGTCAGAGAAATTGTTTTTGCACATGTCTATGCATTTGTTCTTCGAGTACAACATACAACTGTACGATATATGCTCCTGCACTACAACTCGGCACCACCCGGCCTTTTCACTGAACGCCACCCGGGAATCTGAACTCGCCCTCGCCACCCGTAAATCTGAACTCACCCTCGGGAGTCAACTCGTACGCGAACGGGTTGTTTGCCAAAAAGGAAAACAGCTCCCCATTGTTTTCATATGCGGGGGCTGGTATGTTGGCAGCTGGC